CAGAAGGTCAGGATACATGCGCCAGGTTTCTGCAACCCAGGAGTAACAGCCAGGTCCCAGCGAACCGGGGGTAAAAGAGTTTGCAAGAGGCTGCGGCTTGTTTGGCATGAACGCACCAGAGCGCATGCAACCGCACTCCACTTGCACGGCAGTATCCGATGGCAGTACCCGCGGTTTATTTGTGCGCGACTACTCCTACATGCATCCTACGCTTTGTTTAATAAGTAACTTATTGTAGTGGGGCAGTCGTGACCCTAGCAGTCGTGCCTTAAATGACTGCCAACCTGCGCTTCGGCGCTCTACAACTTGCATGTCGCTCCGTAGCTGCTGATAGTAAGCTTGTATCTGCAGCAACTGCTGCTGTGAACTCTCTTAGCCCCTCTTTCAGCTTGATCGGCGAGGAGGCGCATACTTCCAGAATAGCAGGGAACAGCGCTCCGACAGCAACAACATCAGCATCCAGTAATTCATCTTTTGGAATGCTCGTTACTCCCCACAGTTCTACCTTTGCAAGGCCTGTCGCAAATGCGCCTCCATCACCGCCGGCACTACCAGCACGTTGCAGCGCTTCTCATGGCAATACTCTTCCATTGCGGAGTTCTCTAAATACAACTACACGTCACATCCTCTCTGGCGCCCTACGCCAGCCGTCGCACACCTCAATCCGTCATGACAGCTCAGCTTGCTGCCAAGCTACCGCATACAGCGGCTCTTCCCTTCGCTCGCTCTCCACGCGGGTTCCTCATCACGCCGCGTTCTCATCCTTTGGTGCGGGGCCAGGGGAGCCGTTGGCAGTAGCAGCAGCATCTGCACCTTCAATTCCTGCTGTGGAGCGTCCACTTGGAGCCGCGACTGCAGCAACGGGCGTCGCCTCTATCTCGGGCAGAGGTCTCTGGACCGGTAGCGTTGGCACCGGCAGCAGCGGCCTTGTAAGCAGCGTTGGCAGCAGCGGCCTCATCACCCCCGTTGGCAGCAGCAGCAGCCTCATAAGCTGTAGCAGCAGCAGCAGCAGCAGCGGTCTCCGAGCCTTCGGTTCTTGGGGAGGCGGCAGTGCTGGCGGCAGCAGCGGCAGCAGCGGCCCCCCCGAGGGTCACGGCCTGCCCCCGCCCGTCATCATCAGCCCGGTGGCCCTGCGTGTGGTGGTGATCGGCTGGATGGGCTCCAGCAAGCGATACCTCAACAAGTGAGTACGGTAGACTGGGGGGGTGCCAGGGGGTGCGACTGGCGGTTATCGGACCGGGGAGTGGGTAGAGCTGAGGCTAACTAGCCCCTTCCCCCCTTGCAACACCCCCTCGAACTCCCTCCCTCCCACCTCCCTATCCCCACCCCATCCTCCCCACCCAATCCCCCGTATTCCTCTTCCCACCCCATCCCGCCCCCCCCGCCCCCGGGCGGGTCGGGCTGGCTCACATGTTGCAACCCATGTTGACGCCTTATCCCTCAGTCAGTTAGTTGGTTCCTCTTTACCCGCCCCTCCTCCCCCCAGGTACGGCGCGCTGTGGGCCCGCAGCGGCGACCACGAGGTGCTGCTGGTGCGCCCCAGCGTGGCTCAGACGCTGGTGCGCTGGCGGGGGGTGGTGGTGGCGGGGCGCGACATCGACCGCGTGGCTCGCCTGCACCGCGAGAACCCCGCCATGCCCACCGTGTACCACATCTTCAGCACGGGGGGGTTCATCCACGCGGGCACCATGTGGCGCTGGATGGACGAGGTGGAGGACGTGGCGCAGCGGAGGGACCTGCTGGAGGAGGTGGGAGGGAGGGAGGGGTGAGGGTAAAGAGTAATGAGACATTGACGATGCAACTGAGGAGCTGGGGGGGTGCAAGGGGTGTGTTATGCAGCGAGGGTTGCGAGGCTCGGGTGTGGTGGGGGAGAGGTGGTGAACATCGTGAGAGGGCTTTTACCAGTGCGTTCTCAGCACAACGCAACCCTTCCTCCGTCTTCTTCCCTTGCAACCTCTCCTCCTCTTCCCCCCCTCCCCTCCCTGGTGTTGTCACTCAGGTTCGCGCCATCATCTTCGACTCCGCGCCCGCCTCCGTGAACCCCGACATGGCCTCGCGAGCCATCGTGTCCGCCCTCACGCACACACCCGCGGAGGAGCTGCGGCAGGACATGCCGGGCTGGCAGGTGGGGCCGGGGAGGTGGGGAGGTGGAGGGGGTGTAAGGGGAGAAGTTGCAGGAAGGGGTTGCGTTGCCGGTCAGACATGGGCGTGCTGGCAATGTACTGGTGAAATCCCTCTCACGCAATTAACCCACCCCTCTCCCCCCTCGCCTCACCCCAGGGTGCGCTGCTGGGAGGCACGCGGGGCTTCCTGCAGGGCTATCTGCGCTCCAGGGGGGTGCAGCTGCGGACGGAGGAGGTGCGGGGGCGCGTGGTGGTTTGGGGGATAAAAGGCGGAAACTGACGAGCTGGGGGGGCTGGGCGGTTGGGGAAACGCATGGGGTGCCGGGGCCAGGGGAGGGCAGCCAGGAGCCATCGGAACAGCGTCCATCAGACCATCACGACAACAACATGCACATGCACCCTTGCTGGTGTGCAACCTTTCCTGCATGCCCTCTTCAAACCCCCCCCCCGCCCTACCCTCCCCAACCCGCGCAGGTGTACGACGCCTGGTACAACCTTGCCCCCACCTGTCCGCAGCTCTACCTGTACAGCGACGCCGACCCGCTGGTGCCTGCGGGGGACGTGGAGCGGTACATGGGTGTGCAGGAGGGGCGCGGGGTGGAGGTGAGCGGGCACAAGTGGGGCGACAGCGGGCACGTGGAGCACTACCGCCGCTACCCGCATGAGTATGCGTACCAGATATCCGCTTTCCTGGCGAGGGCGTTGAAGGACTGGTGAGGAGGAGGAGGGGTGCAGTGGTGGTGGTGGTGGTCGTGGTGGTGGAAAGAGGAGACCAGCGAGCTGTATGCGGTGGTGGTGCTGGTGGAAGGAGGAGGAGGGCAGGTTAGTGTGGAGGGTGGCGGGGAGGACAGGGATGGGAATGGTCAGGGAGTAGGGAGTAGAGGAGTTTGTGGGCTTAGGGAGGTGTGGTGCCGTAGCTAGGAAGCAGGGCGCCGAGGAAGGCTCGGGTCCGAGGAGGTGCCCCGTGAGATGCAGGCGAGCGGCGGAGAATCCTTGGATAGGCATTCGAGTCGCAGCAGCAGTGGTAGTGCGGAGGGGTGCCGGGTCTGGCGCTCGGGCCAACCCACCCTCATCACCGCAGCTACGAACGTACGGCCGGTACACGGCAGCTGTGTAGGACGACGCAGGGTACGTGTCGAGAGGTGTCGTACACTGCTCCCTCTTGCTAGTCGGGATCCGGGCTTTACGTGCGGAGGGGTGGGGCTTGACGTGCTTGAACTGTTGGAAGCCCCTGTGCCCCTCCGGTGACCCATGGGCCGCCGTCATCCCGGCTGTGTCGTACGATGTGAATACTGTGAGCCACATTGCGAATGCGGTATGTGTGAGGAAGGCTGGCTGCGAGGGGGAATCACGCTCTGGTTGCCGGCGGATGAAGTCCCCGCAGAAACGCCACAAGTGAAGTAGTCTCCGTTGGCTGGACCTGTGTACACGTGGTGTGGTGTGGGACAGCGCAGAGGGGCCTTTCGCGCGGCGTGCGGTGTGAGGAGGATAAGGTGAGGTGGTGCTGGGGCGGCTGGGGTGGCGGTATGAGGGTGAGCACGCAGTGAGACCTGCGGAGGACGTGGCTCAAGTAGGCCCCCCCTGGATGGGGAGAGGGCATTCTGGCAGTGGCAGTGGCTCAGGCGGCGGCCGACAAGCCCCCGATGGGCTGCATGACACATGCATTTAACTTCCGATTACCGTCCGGAATCATGGAAACAAGACGCAGATGTGTCTGCAGAGAATCATGCATGCTAACAGCGACACGACTTCTACATTTTGTACTAGCTCAGACTAGCTTACATGTTTTTTTAGGTAGCTCACACGGCACTGTTGCGGTAAAGCAAGCCTAGCTAATGCGAAAGTTCACCTTTGGAGGTTTCACACTGAACCATGGGTCACCTCTCCGATATCAAAACGCTACGTGTGCCCAAACTCCGTCCGTCCATATCCGTTGTCTTTCCGTGTCTTGCATCCCGAAATGCGCATAACATCATCAAACAATCCGAAGAGCGCATGCGGTAGCACCCCCCATACACGGCGCGTCGGGTATCGCCCATCGCAACACAGTTCGCAAATACATGTCCGCGACGGGTGTGCCGTACCGGTGCTTTCAAAACGTACGGCACCACATATTTCCCGTCGTACACATTTGCATGTCGTACACAGACAAGGACTGGCTTGTCGTATTTCGTTGATATACTCAATCTCAAGATCTTGCAACAGCAACGCAAAATAAAAACACCACAGTTTAGCACCACATCGTTCCAGCCAAAGTTTACAAAGCAGAGTCATAAGAAGCGGCTGTAAGAATATCGATATCAACTCCCCTGCTGCCAATACCTCCCTCACAACACAAACATCTTAAGAAAATTGCAGAAAGGAAATCTTAAAAACATACCGCAGCACCGATTTCTTCGTTTGGCTATCGGCTTGCGTAGCAACTACCCATTTAACAGCTGCTCGCAACAACAACTGCCGCGCCACCACAGTTCACGCCACCTCAGCACGTGTGCCTGCACACGCATGCATGCAGCATGCCTCCCTTCTTCTTTCCTTTTTCCTTCCCCTCGTCCAGTTCTTCCTCTTCCTTACACCAACTGCCAACGCTGTAACATCCCCACCCAAGACCAACCGAATCAACCACACATACCTACATACACCCCCAACCTGCGACCTCAGTGGCAAACACCTGTGACAGCACGCGTGCTCCGGCCCAAGCATACCTCCAGCATGTGAGGTACCCCGCTGGGTTACCATCCAAGTTGCGATCCGAGTTGCGATTCATACTCCTACACTGCCATCACTGCACGACTCACGTGTACGCCATGCACCTCGCCCTCCGCCTCCCAGCTCCTGCCTACCTGCCAGCCTCCTCTTCCGCCTCCGCCGCCCGCATCATCGCATGTCGCACTACATCCCGCAGTACTCGGTAAGCCGGCGCCCCCCGCCCCGCCGGCTTGCACACGTCGATGTGGTCATTGCCCGGCAGCAGCATCGCGGCTCCGAAACCCGGGTAGGCGGACTGCGGCTCCACAATGAGGATGCGCGGGATGACGCCCGACAGCTGCGTGGGCTGCCCCTCCAGCAGGGATACCACCCGCAGGTCGCCGGCGCGGGAGTCGTGCAGGGCGCGGAGCTGGTCATTGAGAGCGAGCAAGTGGGGGCCTGCGGGAGGAGGGGAGGAGGGGAGGGGGGGGCAGGGAGGTTAGGCGAGGAGAGAGGAGGTTGGGAAGAGGAGGAGGCAGAGAGGGGGTAGCTGAGGGGTGGTGGAGAGGGGCAGGAGGCACAGGTGGGTAGTTCAGGGACATGGTAGGTGTGGGAAGATCGTTCCTCATGCAAAAAACACGGAACACAGCACCCGCTACAGACATCACGCCCGCACACCATGTAGGAAATCACCCGCACACATGCTCATTCCGCCCACCCCCCCGCCGCCTCCTACCCGGCGTGAGTCGCGCCAAGGAGGGAGCGGGGTGCGCCCCCGGCAGGTGCCTCAGCCGCCAGCCCATGGCCGCCATGGTGTTTCCGAAGTGGGGGGTGCCGTAGAAGACGATGCCGCAGGTGGAGGGGGCCAGGCGGGCGTGCGGGTCGCCTGGGGGTGGGGGTGGGGGAGAGGTGAGGGAGAGGGAGAGAGGGGGAGCGGAAGTTGGTGTATGGCCTGGGCAGGCCATGGTCGGCAGCTAGCTAGCTAGGTACCCCGGGGCAAGGCTGGACACACCCATCTTGGTCCAATACCCCAGGCGACCGAGCACCCTCTTCCCCCTACTACCCCCCCCCCCCTCTTACCCTGCTCCGCCTGGCTGGCGCTCCGCGCCATCATCTCCTTCACCAGCAGTCCGCCCATGGAGTGCGCCACGAACACCACCGGCCGCTGCCCCGTGCCCACCCCCGCAGCCGCCAGCTGGCCCATCACGCGACTCACGTTGTCCTCAAGCGGCAGGGACTCGCCCTGGGGGGGGAGGTGGGGGAGGTGAGAGGGCAGCCAGGGGGATTAGGGTTAGATAAACTGAGCCGCGGAAGGGGAGCGAAAAAGGGACGGGGGAGGAAGCCGGGTGGTTAGGATGTGGGATAGTAGGTGGAAGCGCATGCGGTAACGCTCCTCGCTCCTCCTCATGAGGGAGGGAAAGAGGAAGAGAGCTGGGCAGATGCGGGTATACGGTGTACCACACATGTAGGACATTTCGCACACACAGTCACACCACACGCCCGCCACCAAACCATGACCACGCCTTATCAGGGTTATCACACGGTCAGCTCGTTGTTTCCTATTTACGCCCCCCCACCCACCTCCCATGCCGACTTCACCCCCCCCTCACCTCCCATGCCGACACGGGTGCCAGGTACTCCACACTGAGCAGTCGCGCCCGCGGGAACTCCCGCGCCAGCCAGGTGGAGGGCCAGCAGTCGGATCGCTCCATGTGGGAGGCGGCCGACCCGCGGGTCATCACACCCGCCTTGCGCCAGGTGATGAAGGGGCCGCCGCGGATGCCGTGAATGAACACCACATCCACCAGGGGGGGTCCTCCGGAGGAGGAGGAGGAGGAGGAGGAGGAGGAGGGGGGTTGGTGGTCGTCTTCGGTGGAGGGTGTTACATCGTCTTCGGAGGAAGAGGAGGCAGGGTAGGGAGAGGGGTAGGGTGGTAGCAGGATGGAGGTTGGCGGTTGTTGAGGTGGTTGGCCGTTGATGGCCGGCGGTGGCGGCGCAATGGGCTTGCTTGTTGGAGTGTTGGCAGCAGCAGCGGCGGGACTAATGCCAGTGCCGCCACGGCTGCTGCTGCTGCTGACGGCTGTCGAGGATGGAGCTAACGACGACACCGACGCAGCTGTTGTTATCGGTAGTAGTGCTGGCTGCTCTACACCTGTACTGCTGCTGCTGAGGTGTACGGCACTCCCGTCACCCGGCGACGCTGCTGCTGCCATCGCCTGGGAATCCCCTCCCCCTGCGGCGCCATCACTCCCCGGGAGGGAGCTTTTGGTACACAGCAGCGACGACGGCTCCGCCGCCGTCGCGGCGGCAACTTCTTGCGCTAGTGGCGCCGTCGCCGCGCTGCTGACGTCAGCGTCGCCGCCGCCGCCGCCGCCGGACAGGACGGCCCCCGCCGATCCGCCCCACTGCTGCGCCAGCGGTTTAATGTACGACACAACGTACGACAACGCGCCGAGCAACGTCGTCAACGCCGCCGCCGCCGCCTGGTTCGAGGGAAGGCCGTACGACAGCGACGGCGACGCGTCAGCACCGTAGCATGATGACGTGGATGATTCGGAACCCGACGCCGCCGTTACGAAGGCCGAGGCGGCGGCGGCTGACACATGCAGCTCCTCCTCCGCCGGCGTCGCCGTCAGCAACAGCCCCCTCGACCGTCGTACGGCCGCAGTCCTGGCCCTTGCCTCCGCCGCCGCCTTCGCCTCCGCCACCGCGGCGGCGGCCGCCGCCTGCCGTACCAGCGCCCAATGGTGCCGTGCCGTTGGATCCAAAAGATGGATGCCGTCGAGGAAAACAGGTGGCGGCGGATGCACCGTCGCCGCCGCCGTGGCCGCCGTCGGCGCCGCCTCCGTCGCCGCCGCCTTCACGCTCGTGCCGGGCGCCGCCGCCGCCGCGACGGCGGCGGCATTTGCTCGTACTGCTGCCATGTGTAGCAACGCGCGTGTCGCATTACTGGACAGCCTACAATCGCTGCTGCGCGCGGCTGCACGTAACCAATCCTGCCAACTGCCATCACTCCCTCCGCCACCGCCGCTATATCCGCCATGACCATCCACCGCCGCCAGCGCCGCCGCCGGAGCCGCCGGAGCCGCCGCCGCTGTCTTCAGGCTGCTCTGCGCCTCCGGCAGCAGCGCCAGCAGCGCGAGCATGCGTGCCACCTGGCGCTGCAGACTCAGTGAGGGACCCGCCTGGTGGTCGCTGAGCACCTCCGAAACCACCACGCCGCCCTCCACCGCCTCTTCCGCTGCACCTGCTGCTGCGGGGGAGGACAGTGCTGGCGTGGATTGGGAGGGCGGCGTGCGCGACGTCAGTACTCCCGAGCCATTACCACCATTACCAGGTATATCACCGACGGCGGCTCCTACAGCCGGAATGGGAGCTGTGGCGGAAGGTAGCGAGGAGAGAGGTGGTTGGTTCGGCTGATTCCCCTGTCCTTGCTGCTGCTGCTGCTGTTGAGCTGCTTTGCTTGTTTCAGCAGAGGCCTTGCTGACGGCATTCGCTTCCGTGGCGCTTGTGACCCGTGGGTCACCAGACGCCGCCACTGAGGACGGCGAGGACGGCAACAAGGAGGACGAATGGGCGGCCGACGAAGCGTTCACAGCTGCTACCGTAGCACCGGCAGCGGCAGCATCCGGGCCAGCAGCAGCGGGCGTGCGACTGAGGCGGTGAAGCAGCGGCAGCACGCCCCGCACCAGCAGCCAGCGCTGTTTGGCGGGGTCGGGGGCCACGATGGCACACAGGGCCTGAGGGGGGAGGGAGGCAGGGAGGGAAGGCGACAGCAGGTGTGTGTACGGATTACTTGCAGCGGACTAGATTAGGAAGACGGGAAGAGGGGGAAGAAGGAAAGAGGGAATGTCGGTGCAAGGAAGGAAGGAAGGAAAGCAAACCGGAGAGCAGCCGTACGGGTACAGCCGTATCAGTGCATACCGGCATCCCTCCTCCCCATCACCTCCCCCACCATCCCCACCTTCCCCTCCTACCCCATCACCTCCCCCATTTATGTTTTCCCCACCTCCAGCGCCTCCGCCGCCCTGCTCTCCGCCAGCACCATGTCCACCAGCTGGCTGGCGGCAAGGTAGGCGGCGCGCTCGGCAGCAGCGGCAGCGGAGGTAGTGGTGGAGGCAGTGGAGGCAGGCGGGGTTGTGGGATTGGGGTTGGAAGCGGAGGTGGATGGTGCTGATGACAAGCTGCCGGTTGCAGACGCGGCCCCGTCGGCCTTCTTTGCCGCCTCTTTTGTGTTGGCAACTGCGGCTCCGTTCTTGCCCTTCTTAGCACCACCAGCAGCACCAGCACCACCACCAGCAGCACCAGCAGGTGGAGGAGGAGGAGGAGGTGGAGTGGGTCGGCCCACCAGCCCGCTCCCCGCCAGGTCGAACTCCAGGTGTGGCGGCAGGGAGGGCGAGTCGTCCGCCACCGCGTCAGCTGCCCGCTCCAGGGCGTCTACCACGGACTGGGAGGGAAGAGGGAGGGGAGCGGAGGGGAGGGGAGGGGAGGGGAGGGGAGGGAGGCATACCAAAACAGCTGGTAAGGGCAAAGCAATGGGAATATAGGGAGAAGCCGTTCGTTCAACCTCCACTACCACCCTTCCCTCCCCCCCTCCTTGCACTTCCCTGCTCCTCCACTTGTACGCCTAATGCGGACTATGTGTATCCCCTCCCCCTCCCCCTCCTCTCTCCCCCCCTCCCCTCACCCTGACGTAGCTGGGCAGCACCGGCACCGCATGCACCAGGTCAGCGGGGTCCCTCGGCCCCTCCGCGTACACCAGGCTGGTATAGGGCGCGGTGCGGGCGGCCAGGGAGGACAGCAGCCGGGCTAGCCAGTAGTGGGCCACCTGGAGGCCCTGGGGGCCGGGCAGGTGGGAGAGGGCTGGGGGGGAGGGAGGGAGGGAGGAGGGAGGAGGGAAGGTGTTCTTGATGGGGTTGGCTGCAAAGGGGTGGGAGGTGTTGTGGGATGGAGGAGGGAGGAGGGAGGAGGGAGGAACGGAAGCAGGGTGCGGAGGGACAGACAGCTACTCCACCCGTCCTCCGCTACAGCTCTAACCGCACCTCCACCACACTTCCTACACCCCTACCACCCTCACCACCATCATCACCACCATCCTCCAACCCCCCAAATACAGACAGCCCCCGCAGCACCCCCACCCCACCTGATAGCGCCTCCACCACCCCCGCCCGCAGCCGCCCGCGCAACGCCTCCGCCTCCTGCCCGCCCCTCCCCGCCGCCTCGCTACGACCACCCAGCTGACCCATGGGTCCGCCAGCCGCCTCCTCCAACGCTGCTGCTGCTGGCGACGGCGGTTGCGACGGCGGGCAGCTGCTGCTGTTGGGCAGCGTCAACCACCCGGGTAACCGCTGCCCCTCCTCCTGCTCCGCCTGCTTTCCCCTTCGCCGCCGCTTCCCCTTCCCATCACCCCTCTCCGCCTGCCCCTCCTGTCCCTCCTGCACCTCCTCCTCCGCTGCCCCTCCTGCCACCCCTCCTCCTCCTCCGCTCCTGCTCTTGCCCCCTCCTCCACCCCCGCCCCCGCCATCGAACCCCTCCGCCGCGCACATCACCTCCAGCAGCCAGTCACGCCAGCGCGCCACCTGCTCCCCCGGAAGCAGCGACCCCGCCGCCAGCTGAGCCACCGCAGCCGACACGGAGGCCACCAGCGCCGCGTCGCGCACCCGCATCACATGCGTGGTAGTGGAGGTGGCTTTGGAGGTGGCGGCTTTGGAGGTGGCGTCGGCGGTAGGGGCGGCACCGGCAGCAGCACCGGGGCTACTGCTACTGGCATCAGTGGGTGAGTGCGCCTTGGAGGAAGGCGAGGGCGAGGGTAAGGAGGAGCTACTTCGCCAGCTCAAGGCCGCTACAAGCGCCCGAGCCCCCCTCGCAGCTGCACTGGAGAACCCCCCACTGCTGCTGCTGCTGCCGCTGCCACTACCGCTGCCGACACTTCCTCCTTCCGCCTGGGCCGCCCCCTTTGCCGTCACTGCCGCCGCCCCCGTGTCACCACCCTCCTTCCCTCCCGCTGCTGCTGCTGCTGCTGCTGCACTACCCCCAGCCACAGCCGCCCCCGCCGTCCCCACCGCCGTCACCGCCTCCCTCCGCGCGCCCATGTCCCTCGCCAGCTGCCACAGCAGGTGAACCAGCGTGCTGTCGCCCACCTCCGCCGCCACCGCCGGACCGCCCTGCCGTACGGCGGCCGCCAGCGTGTCGACGGCGTACGACACCATGGGGCCGTCGGCGGCGGCGGCGGCGTCAGCGGCGGTGTAGAGCAGCGGCAGGATGCAGATGGCTAGCTGGGAGGGGTCGTGGGAGGGGGTGGCGTGCTCGGCTAGGACGCGAGTGAGCCTGGGGGTGGGGGGGAGGGAGGGAGGGAGGGAGGGAGGGAGGAGGACGGAAGGTAAGGGGTGACACGGATGACGTAGATAGGTGTGCCGCAGGTAGTCCCAAGCAGAGATCACAACTCTGCTACATCCCAACTAAACACAGCAACGAGCAGACCACCCCTCCCCTCCCCTGCTCCTGCCATCCCGCCATCCATACCTGAGCAGCTCCCATTGCAATCCCACCACTCCTCCTCCTCCTCCTCCTCCTGCTGCTGCTGCACCACCCGCCTCCCCCTCCTCCGCCGCCTCGACCCCCTCCGGCTCCTGCCCCCTCACTCCGCTCACGTCCGCCGCCAGCCGCCCCAGCACCGCCGGCAGTCCCAGCGCCGCCAGCTTGGTGCGGTTGGCGGCGCTGCCCACCGCCCAGCTGGCCAGCAGCCCGGCGGCGGTGCACTGCAGCGCGAGGAGGTGGTGCTGGTCGGGGTGGTGGGGGTGCGGAGGAGGAGGCGGGTGGGGGTGGCCAGCAGAGGAGGAGGAGGCGGAGGTGGAGGTGGGAGGTGGGCCCAGGCGACCACGTAGCTGCGCGGGGGAGGGAAGGGTTGGGGCGGGGACAGGGAGGCGCGGGGTGCCGTCAGCATCCAGGGCATGAGGAGGAGGAGGAGCTGAGTTAAGGAGCGGGTTAGCAAAGGTCGGCTCCTCACAACACCCCCCTACCAACACACAAGTACCTACTCGCGGCCGGTTTCCTAAATCAGAAACCCCACCACAGGGTTCACGGGTGCCCCACCGCTCCGGGACATACCCGCCATGCGGACTCCTGAGGCACCGCAACCCCCGCCCCGCCCCGCCCCGCCCCCGCAACCCCCCGCCCCGCCCCCTCACCGCCTGCACCGCCGCCTGCAGGTCGGCCGTCATGGCCTCCTCCGCCGCCCACACCCGCCCCGCGCGCCCCGCCAGCGCCCCCGCCACCCCCGCCCCGCAGCGCCCCCCAGCCAGCGCGCGCAGCAGGCGGGCGGCGGCGCCGGGGCGGGACAGCAGCTGGCGGGAGGAGGCGTCTGCGGGGGGGGAGGTAAGGGGGGAGAGGGGGAGGGGAGGAGGAGGAGACCCGATGTGTTAATTGGGAGGGGAGCGGGGGTTAGGGAGCGAAAGGCGGCCGTTAGGAGTGCGAGGGACAGGAGAAGGACGATGGGTTGTGGGCAGGAGGGTGTGAGCTGGCAGGCACCGTGTCCCCGCACCCACCCACGCACCGTCCCTTAGCAGGCTCTCCAGAGCGCGCTCCGCAGCCGCCCGCCCCGCCGCCGCGTCCGCCCCGCCCGCCGCCACCAGCACCCCCGCCGCCTCCTTCTCCATCTCCGGGTGATGCGCGTGCGCGTGCGCGTGCGGGTGCGGGTGTGGGTGCGGGTGTGGGTGCGGGTGTGGGTGCGGCGGGGGTTCCAGATCCAGATCCGGGTATGCCGTACGCAGCAGCCAGTCCAGCACGGGTCCGCCCCCCAGTGCCAGCAGGTGGTGGCGGGAGGGCGGGTGGGCGGCCAGCTGCGACACGGTGAGGGCGAGGTCGTGCAGGAGCTGGTCTGTGGGGGGGAGGGAGGAATGGAAGGGTTTGGCAGGGAGGGGAGGGGAGGGGAAAGGGTGAAGGCTTCCTTCCCTGGCGGCAGCCGTAACCTGTCTCCGGACTTGTCGTACAAACGGCATGCCCATCGGACTCTCCTCCACGCGTTATGGAAAAGGGCGGGCAGGAGGTACGGCACCTGGGAGTTTGCCGTACCTGGATCCACTCGGCGTTGCTGCTGTACGGAGGTCACGGTGGACGACACCGCGGTCCGCAGCAGCGCGCCGGCAACACCCGACACCTCCTTCACCGTGGTAGCGACTTCCTGCGCTCGCTCCTGCGGGCCACAACAGGTGGAGGGAGGGCCTTTTGTCAATGGAACATGTGGGACCGACGGGGATGCACAACTCTAGAGCACAGGCATGGATGCAGCAGTTGGAGGAGAGCATGAAGCGGTGGCCAGGTGTCATCTGGCCTGGGGTAAAGTAAGAGGTGTGAGGTGATGGGCGGGCTTGCTGCTGGGGAGCCGAGGCCCCGCCATGGCCGTTGGCATCCGGATCGGCGCGTGCTCACCTGCGCATACTCGCTAGTCGTTTGCCCAAGCTCCTCGGCCTTTTCGCGGAGGTCGTTCTCTACTTTGAATAGCCCAAGAGCTCCACCACAGGCTGTCAACGCCCATATCCATCGCCGTGAGCGGGCTGAACTCGCCGCAGTTCGGGAGAGTGCCATCTAACAATTCCAGGCTGATTATCGGCAGAATAAATAGCACAACATCGTAGTATCACCGGCCTAATTGCGCATATAAATGTATGTATGTATGTATGTATGTTACAAGCTTCGTACCGAGCTCGTAAGATCCGTCCGAGCCAGAAGGCTCATGGATCGCGAGCACAAAACGCGAAAACAACCAAAAGAAGAAAAGTAAACAAAAGAGACAACAAACAGAACGCTAATCATATGATAAACCCTGTCTGCGCAATCCTGCGACTTCGCATGCTAGTGATTACGCTAGCAAGCAATGCCTGATTCTCCATGCCCATGACAGCAATCATATCAGCATCCCGTGGGACACCACTTTCCCATATCTTATCACGCAAATCATCGTAAGCGGGACATTCAATGAGGATGTGTTTCTCATCTTCCACTCTCCCCGGCGACCCCTGCACGGCACACATAGGACAGACACGCGCTACTCGTTGCCTACCCCTAGGGCGATTGGCTTCAATGCCCCACACACACAGCCGAAAACGCATCAGGTTCACATGCTGCCGCTGAGAGTAATGTACCCCCTGTCAACCGGGTCACCCATCCAATTTTTGTACCTGCACATCTTAACTCCAACCCCTGGTACGGGGTCTACTGGGTTGAAAAGCCGCGGGTCATCTTCCAAACTCCTATCCTCCCAATCCGCATCCATTCTATCAGCAAACTTTTTAGTGAGAGCAGACACATTTAGCTCCGTGCCAGCAATACGTTCCACACGCGCATTCAAGTCCAATTCACCCCCCAAGGCCGTCAAATCCGTCCCTAGCATTTTCAGAATCTTCAGCACCTTAGAACCCCAGCCATCATAATGCTCAGTACTGAGAGCCGAACGAATTTCACCTCGCAACGTCTGGTGGTAGACCGTGTCCTTCTGCTTGACCAGGTCATTCCAAAACCTCAGAAACAGTTCCAGCCAGAAGACATGCAAGGGACGCTGGTTAAACTCCTTAAACAGCAACTTATCAGGCGAGACTTTCACACCCGCAATCTCCCGAAGAAATTCCCTTTGTAACTGCACCATTGGGTCCCGCAAGGATCTGTCAAAGTACCTCGCGGAATTCTCGCAGTCCGTCATTAGCTTCAGCACCACATCAGGCCCCCACACCTGGACACCGTACGACAAGATGGAGCGGACTTGCACGTCGAAGCACTTAACTGCAACAGCAGGGACCAAAAGACCTAGGCGTTTTAATTTACGCTGAAGAGAAAACATAGCACGTCGGCCAGAGGTCAACAGTTCCTCTGTGCAGGAAACAAACGGTGTGCCAGGACCAAAGTGCAAACCAAGGTAACGGGCTCGTTGTACCCAAGGAATAACCATAGGTACTCGCGCATTTCCCTCAATAGAAGTCCACACCACGGGGCAAAGGGCAGCAAAAGCCTCGCGGATATTGGCACGAGGGTGGAAAACCATCAATTCACATTTACGAACATTCACCCGCATCCCAAAGGCCTCACACCACTCTCTCAAATCAGCAAGCAACACAATCAGCCGTCTGTGCGTCGTAGCGAAAAGGCTGAGGTCGTCGGCATACAGTTCCAACGGGATACGCCGGCCATCCGCATGGGGAGTCTGCTGCTTAGCGCGCATAGCATCAGGGAGCCACTTATCCTTAGCGTCAACATAGTCAGCAAACCCCTCGCCAAAAATCCCGTAAAGCGTAGGGCTGAGAGGGCATCCTTGCTTGACTCCCTGCGAAGATTCAAAAGGATCCCCCGTCACTCCGTCTACCCTGACACGCATCATGACCTTGCATATAAATTGACAGAAGCCTGATACCGAATCCTAGCTATGATGCCATATGCGGGCTATTCACCTATCGTTGAGAAAAACATCGTTATGTGTTATATTCAGTTGTTGCAGATAAGGTGGCCATCTGGGGAGGCGGGAGACGACGCGACACGTCAGCACGTGGCACTGCCGTTGATGATTGATTTCACCACCGAAAGACCTCCTTTTCTCTCTAATGTAGTTCATTGTTAGCTTGCATACCATATATGTGGTATACCGAAGCTTCCTTCAGTGCTCCTGTAACGCTTGCAAAAAGCAAACTCTATCCAGCATTTGCGTAGGCTTCCTGCTTATCAAGCAATTTGAATTTCAGGTTGGTCCGCTGTTGGCGTAAGGGATGCAAATATGCAACGACTTGTTAGCTATGTAAGCAAGCTCGGTATTTGGACCCGAGGGTCTCCTGCACCTTCAGCTGAAGGAAACCCCGCTTCAGGGCCCCAACAAAATAATTACATCACACGGACGCGCCCCCACGTGAAAACAATCACACATACTATTCCACTCTTACGCTCCTAGCTCGTGCGTCACGGCCGTATGCGGGTGTACAACAACACACACGCCAGCAGCGGCAGCAGCCAGTGCACCTCTCCTCGGTCAAAGCTATGTTCAGCATTACTTAGAGCGGCTTAGTTTGTTTACCACACGCCGCAGTACACAAAGGGTTTCGCCTTTGTCTGTTAATGCCACGTTCCCCAGCATTTCACGGCCGCGAGCCAAGCAGAGGCGAGCCATACGTGTGCCATGCATGCAGTGATGCAGGTTGGGGTCTGTACTCTCCCCCTATGTCTGCGTCGGGCTGTGGTGGGGACGGATGTGGACAGAGTTACACTAGGCGGGCTTGTAAAGTATCAAGTATGACCATCGGAAGACATGAGGGGGCGGGGGAAAGTTTGAAGAGGCTGGTATGTGCGGTATCTTCAACACAAGGACGCCTGGATTTCTCAGTACGGCACGGTTGTGTCCTGCATGCAGTTAGTATGCCTTGCGTTGTGCTTCCACCTAATGACACTTGTACGCGTGTTACGCTTGGTATGAGGGATAACTATCTGGTCTAGGATTATTGGTGAGACTGTGGAGAGCTTGGCAGGTTCAAAGTCGCGCGAAACCCAACCGCAACAACCGCAAGCATGTCTGGCTCCTCAGAAAGCCACGTAGCCACCTAAAGGCAAACGTCTGAACTATGGTGCTTGTGTTGGCTTGCTGCCTCGATCAAGATGCTTTAATCCACGCTCCGAATTCGCAAAGTCGCTCCCCGGTGTACGGCAGAGGATAGCATCGCCCCAGGTCGCTGTGTCGTGCAGCGCTTCTGCGCTAGCTGCATATGCTCTAAGGGCGTTGCCAGCTGTCTTTAAGCTACTCTCATTAAATGCTCTTTTGTGGTGCTTTTCTGGTCGACTATTTCGGAAGTCGTCGGCGCTTGAGCCCGTTTTTGAGCCGATGCCATAATGTTAAGAGGGTATCCCAAGCACATTTGCTCTTTTTTATTCAATAGAAAGCACTGAAACGTGAAAGCGGCGTGGGTGCTCAGTCGTATTGGTCTGCTATTAGGACGCAAAAATGAGTAGCCTACCGGAGACGCTGTCCTCAGAGGAGGTGGCGTCGTCGCTTCCGACAACGCGCGTTGGTGAGCGAGGCGGTCCGAACGCGTACACCTTCTTTTCCTTGAATCGCGCGTGTGCCTAACGCTTTTTCTCGGCATCTGCGTGCACCTGACTTCCCATGCCCCTGACGTCTCTCTGATCATGCATGTAACCTCTTTCCTTCGCACTATGCTTGCTTGCACTATGCACCCATGCTGATGACGCAATTGTCGTGCGTGAATGACTCCTTTTCCCAGACCGCCTTCTGCGCGAGCGCATCCGGAGGAACCGCAGCCACCAGGCGTTCGATGCTTTTGAGGAGATACCCATGGAGGATCCGGTCCTTGAGACGGTTCCGGAGCCGCCCACGATTTCTCGCCTGCTGGTCATTGCCAACCGCCTGCCTGTCACCTGCAGCAAAGACAGCGCCGGCCGCTGGCAACTGCAGGTGCGCACGTGTCCATGTCTTTCCTTTCAGGACTTCAGCCCACACCGCCCGAGGGGGCTGGTGAAGCAGCACCATCCACATCCACAATCCTTTCAAGCCATCCTTCAACGGGTTGGGCTGGTGTACTTGCCCATTGCACATACTGCCTTTAACAGCAGCCTCGTTCCCTCCGTCATGTACGCTCCCTCTGGCGCCCGTGCGGACCATCCGCCCGACCATCCCCCCCTGCCACGCTGCCCTCCCCTCCCTCCTTACCAGGGATTGTCAGCAACTTGTATCATCATCATACCACACTTTGGAATTTCTTTTTTCCCTCCTTACCCTGCCTCCTTCCCCTCCCTCCCTCCTCCTTCCTTCCCCCTCCGCCCCACCCACCAGGCCAGTGCTGGCGGGCTGGTTTCGGCGCTAAAGGGCGTCAGCAACTACGCGACCGTGTGGATCGGCTGGCCGGGTGGGTCCGGTGGCGGTGGGAGTGTGGCGGCTTGGGTGCATGCGGCATCATTGGAGGGGGGGGGCGAAACAACACTGCCAACACTCGACGCCGCAACCCTCTACTTCCCACCTGCCCCCCTCTCCCCCTCCCCCTGACCTCCCCTCTCCCCCTGCCCCTTTCCTCCCTCTCTTTCCCTCTCCTCCCTCCCCTCCCCCCCATCCCCCCCTCCAGGCATCTGGGTGAAGCCGGGCCGTGAGCGGGAGGAGCTGGCTGCGCTGCTCAAGGCGGAGGGCTACTCGCCCGTGTGGATGGACCAGACGCTGGTGTGGGGGGGGGGGGGGCAGGGAGGGCGGAGGGGGGAGGGGGGAAGGGAGGGCGGAGGGGGGATTAATTTGGTTGGAAGATTCCGCATTAAGCTGGAATTTAGGATTGCGCGGAGGGGAGTTGGGGAGGGGGAGGGGAGTGAAGCAACGAAGTCCAAATCCTATGTCCCGACTCGTACAGTGAGCGCGTACGGGAGGGGGAAGAGGTGGGCGGGAGGGGGGGTTAGTGCCTTGGCGCCCCCCCGAGCGCAGGGGGTTTGGAGGGCGCTAAGAGCAGCTGCAGGGAGGGTAGGGACGCAGCATGCAGGGGGCTGGGGGACCAGTCGTGTGTGTAGGAGTGCAAAGGCGCAGGTCGGGGGGTTTGTTGGGTGGCTAGGGCGGGTAGAGAGGCGGGGAACACAGGACCAGGGCCCCCCCATGTTTCCCCGCTCAGCCGTTTCCGTCCTCCCCCTCCCCCCTCCCCCCCCCCAGTTGGACATGTACTACAACGGCTTCTGCAACTCCGTGCTGTGGCAGCTGTTCCACTACGTGCCGCTCAACATCGACAGCTGGCAGAAGATGGCGGAGCACAGGGCCATGCAGATGCAGTGGCATGCGTACCAGGTGGGGGGAGGACATTAAATATAGATAAATGCATCCTCGGGGGGGGAGGAGGGGGAGCAAGGGGGGGCCGCAGGCGGGGAGCGAGGGAAGGTGTGTGTGTGTGTGTTTTGCGCGGTCGTGCGCGCGGACCCACGCACCAGGTCAGGGCTCCAGGGGCGGCTGCCGTACCCCCTACCTCCCCATTCGAAACCCCCACCATAAGGGCGCTCTCCTGCACCCTCCCTCCAGCGCTGTCCACCCGCTCCCTCTCACCCCCCCCCCTTCCCCCTCCCCATCCGGATAGGGGCTCCGTTGCTTCGCGTTTTCAGTTATCCCCCCCCCCCCTCCCGGCATCGTTGCATCGTCAGTGTCTCACTATTTGTACCCCTCCCCCCCCCAGGTTGCCAACGAGAAGTTCGCTGACGTGGTGCTGTCCGAGTACGGCAGCAATGACGTGGTGTGGGTGCAGGACTACCACCTCATGCTGCTGCCCTCGCTGCTCAAGCAGGCGGTGCCAAAGGTAGGGGAGGGGGGAAGAGGGGGGGTGTAAAAACAAGGAAAACTGACGAGCTGGACGACGGGATGAAAGGGGGGGAAATTAAATAAGTGAAACAACGAGTCCCAATCCCATATGAAAGGGGGGGAACAGGAGGGAGGGCGCTGTCACCTTTCCTCAGCTTCCCGCTCCCCCACTCCCTACGGCGCACCTTGCCCGCACTTTGCGTTTGGTTTTTCTGTGGTTTAACCCTGTGGTTTAATCCCTCCCGCTCCCCTTCCCTGCCCCCCTCCCCTGCCCGCAGATGAAGGTTGGGTTCTTCCTGCACACGCCCTTCCCCTCCTCCGAGATATACCGCACGCTGCCGGTCAGGGAGGAGGTGAGAGGGGGGTGGGGCGCTGCTGGGATGAAGGGCGCATGTGTGCCACCCTGCTGCCTCCCCCCCCACACACACACATACCTCCATCCCAACTGTTTTGCTCTTGTTTCCGCTCAACTACACACATACCTCCATGCGTGCATGCCGCCCTAGTAAACTCCCCTCCCTCCCTCAACATTCCCACTGCTTTGCCCTAACCTGTGGCTTTGGTACATCTCCGACCCCCCCCCCTCCCCCCGGGCCCAGGTTCTCCGCGCCGTGCTGGCCGCCGACCTTGTTGGGTTCCACACGTACGACTACGCGCGGCACTTCATCTCCTCCTGCACCCGCATACTGGGGCTGGAGGGCACGCCGGAGGGTGAGGCGGCGGGGGGGCGGGGTGAGGGGGTTAGTAGGGATGAAGATTCCGCATTAGGCGGGGTGAGGTGGGGGGGAGTGAGGCAGGGGGGGGTGTAAAGGAGAGAAAACTGGCGTGCTGCGGGGGGGTGGGAGTTGTGAAGGGGTGAGCAGCACGGTGGTCGGCGCCCTGATGCGGCGCCCGCGTCCGGTGTCCACCCGGGGTAACTGTGAAGGTGAAACCGTGTGTTGCATGGGTGCATGGGTGCATGGGTGCATGCGCTGCCCTCCGTCTCCCCGCTCCACGCCGCCACCCTGCCGTCCGCACCCTCCACCCCTCCCCACAGGTGTTGAGAACAACGGGGTGCTAACGCGCGTGGGCACCTTCCCCATCGGCATCGACCCGGAGCGCTTCACTCGCGCGCTGGAGAGCGAGGAGGTGGCGGGGCAGACCGCCAAGCTGCTCAACAGATACGCGGGAAGGAAGGTGGGGGGGGGTTGTGGGGTGTGTGTTAAGAAAAACTGGCCGCGAGTAGGAACGTACTGTCATTGTCGGAAGATGAAGTCCCCACAGATCCGCCGCAGTGTGTGTGTGGGGGTGGGGTGGGGTGGGGCGGGGGGTAGGGTTGGGTCAAAGACCAGCCCAAACCTTAGAGGAAACCACAGGTTAGGGCAAAGCATTCGGGGTGGAGTGAAGGCTAACGGATCCACTCCACCGCAATCCCACTCCACCGCACCCCCCCCCCCCCACCCTGCCCTGCCCCACCGCACCGCACCCTCCACCGCACCCTCCCTCCCCCCCTCCCCCCCTGCAGATCATGTTGGGAGTGGACCGGCTAGACATGGTGAAGGGCATCCCTCAGAAGCTGCTGGCGTACGAGAAGTTCCTTGAGGAGCACCCCGAGTGGCGGGACAAGGTGCTGCTGGTGCAGATCGCGGTGCCCAGCCGCACCGACGTGCCGGAGTACCAGAAGCTGAGGAGGTGGGGGGAGGGGGGGGAGTGGTGGGTGGGGGGGTAAAGATGATGCGAAACTGACGAGCTGTATGACGACTGGAGAGCTCGACTGGAGGTGGGGGGAAGGAGGGAGGGGCAGGGGCGTGTGTGTGGGGGAGGGAGCGGATGGGGCTTCCTGGTTTGGGCCTCCAGCGCACACTTCCTCCCCCCCCTCCCACTCTATCCCCTGTCGCCCTGCACGCCTTGAAGACCATTCACCAGATTCCAAACCCCCTCTCTCACCCCATCCCCCTCACCCCTCCCCTCTCCCCTCCCCCCCCCACACCACCAGCATGGTTCATGAGATCGTGGGGCGCATCAACGGCCAGTACGGCACCCTCACCTACGTGCCCATCTACCACCTGGACACCTCGCTGAGCTTCACGGAGCTGTGTGCGCTGTACGCGGTGACGGACGTGGCGCTGGTGACCAGCCTGAGGGACGGAATGAACCTGGTGGGGGGGGAGGGGAGGGGGGGAAGAGGAAATAACTGACTGAGGGATAAGGCGTCAACAGGGGGGGTGGAGGGGGGAGAGGAGGAAGGGGGGGGACAAGTAGAAGTGAAGAGAGGGGTGAGGGGCCAGAGATGTAGCCAGACCACAGGTTAGGGGTGAGGGGAGGGGGAAGGGGGGAGTGAGGGGAAGGGAGGCGGGGATCCAGGCGCGCTCACCCGCACGGCTGGTGCCGGAGGCGGGACATGACCACTCCACCTCTCAGCTGTCCCCCCCTGCCACGTTGCCCTTTGTAACACCTCTTACCTTTCTCACCCCCCTTCCCCCCTCCCCCTCCCCCACACCCACCCATGCCCCATGCCCCCCTCCTCCCCCCCCTCCAGGTGAGCTACGAGTACGTTGCCTGCCAGAGCGACAACGCGGGGGTGCTGGTGCTCAGCGAGTTCGCGGGCGCGGCTCAGTCGCTGGGTGCGGGCGCGCTGCTTGTGAACCCCTGGAACATCTCCGACATGAGCGCCGCCATTCATGACGCGCTGTCCATGAGCGAGGAGGAGCGGCGGGAGCGGCACCGACAGAACTACATGCACGTGCAGGTGGGGGTTGGGGGGTGCGGGGGCGGGGGGGGGTATCCGCGCCTCACTCCGGGCGGCTCCCTGGGGCCTTGTTGTGTTCGTTGTGTGCGTGTGTGTCAGGTTGCAGCAGGTGGGGGGCGCCCCCTTTGAGCTTGCTGCTACTAACCCAACACGCAGAGACGATATACGCAGTCCTACGCTCCGGCCACATGATGCATATGTTCCCCTACACTGCCCCAACAATACCTCTTCCCCCCTCCCTCCCTCTTTTTCTTCTTACCCTCCCCCCCCCCCCCTCCTGCTTTAACCACCATTTCGGCTCGACTCACGGTTGTTTCCACCAGGGATTGTCAGCAGCATGTCTCATTCTCACACCACACACTCTCCCCCTCCCCCCCCAGACCCACACCTCGCAGCACTGGGCGGACACCTTCATCACGGAGCTGAATGACACGCACATAGAGGCGGACCTGCGCATGAGGCACACGCCGCCGCCGGTAGGGGGGGGAGGGAATGCCGAGGAAGGGAGGGCGGGGTAAGGGAAGGCGGGGGAAGGGAGGGCGGGGAAAGGGAAGGCGGGGGAAGGGAGGGCGGGGGAAGGGAAGGCGGGGGGAGGGAATGCCGAGGAAGGGAGGGCGGGGAAGCGACAGGTGCAGGCTGCCGTGGCTGCCTCCAGGGGGCGATGTAGTCTGCCTCCAACAGGAGCCGAGGGGTGGGGCCTGGGCTGGGTTGGGTTGGCTGGGCATGGGGCAGGCGCTCGCACTGGGTCCGTGTTCCTCCTACCCCGCTACCATACCTTGAGCCGTCCGCTAACACCCCCCCTCCCGCCCTCCCCCCCCCTGGAGCCTGGTCACACAACTCGTTAGTTGCCTCGTCAGTTTCCTTACTTTTACCCTACCTCCGCCCCCCTCCCCCTCCCGCCCCCCCCCCCAGCTCGTTATCCCCGAGGTGGTCCGCGCCTACCAGGCCTCCCGCCGCCGCCTCATCGTGCTCGGCTACAACGCAACACTCACAACCAGCGTGGAAGCACCCAGGTGGGGGGGGGAGAAAAGAAATTCCAAAGTGTGGTGTGATAATGATACAAGGGGGGGGAGGGGGCAGGGGGGGAGGGGGCAGGGGGGGAGGGGGCAGGGGGGGAGGGGGCAGGGGGGGAGGGGGCAGGGGGGGAGGGGGCAGGGGGGGAGGGGGCAGGGGGGGAGGGGGCAGGGGGGGTTAAGGGGGCAGGGGGGGAGGGGGCAGGGGGGGAGGGGGCAGGGGGGGGGGAGGGGGAGGGGGGGAGGGGGCAGGGGGGGAGGGGGCAGGGGGGGAGGGGGCAGGGGGGGTTAAGGGGGCAGGGGGGGTTGAGGGGGCAGGGGGGGAGGGGGCAGGGGGGGAGGGGGCAGGGGGGGAGGGGGCAGGGGGGGAGGGGGCAGGGGGGGAAGGCACCCAGGTGGGCCTGGTAGGGGGCAGGGGGGGAGGGTAAAGAGGAAACAGCTAACTGACCGTGTGATAAGGCATCATCATGGTTTGCAACCTAGGTAGGGGAGGCGGCAAGGCAGGGGTGCGGGCATGTATTGGGCGGGAGGGGCGAGCGAGCTGCCGCTGGAGGTCCCACCACCCACCTGCTTGCGAGTCGTCCTCTCGTACGCCATCCTAGCAGCAGCAGCGTCCGCACTGCTTCGTGGGGGGCTCCGTGCAGGCTTGCTGTGGGCTTGGTGGAGGCTTCCCGGCTCTGGGTGCTCCAAGTGTTTTTCCTCCTTCTGCCTCACCTACCCGCCCCCCCCCCCCTTCTCCCCCTCCCCCCCCCAGGCTGCCCAAGCGCCAGTTCGAGCAGGTCAAGGCGCTGGCCAAGGTCAACCCCCGGGTCATGCAGTCGGTGTGTGAGCTGTGCCAGGTGGGGCCGGGGGGAGGGGGCGGGAAGCACTGGGGGAGGGAAACCGGGTCGCGCAGGAGCTCGCGTGGGGTTTCTAATTCATTCACACTACATTGTCTTGGGATTGGGGATTGGGACCCCGTTGCTGCACTTGTCACTTATCCCCCCTCCACACCCCCTCCACCCCTCCCGACCCCCTCCCCGCAGGACCCCGCCAACGTGGTCGCCATCTTCAGCGGCTCCGAAACCTCCAAGCTGGACGAGATCTTCGGACACCTGCCCGTCTGGCTGGCCGCGGAGAACGGCGTGTACGTGCGGCCCCCCCACCCCCTCCACCACCACCCGCACCACCACTCCCACTCCCATTCCCACTCGCACCTGGGGTCCGGTCCGGGGGGGCTGATGGGGCCAGCAGGGACGTCCCCTCGAGGCACATCCCCGCAGCAGCAGCAGGGGGGCCTGCAAGAAGCCGGCGTCGGCGCCGGGACGGCAGCAGAAGGCGGAGCAGCAGCAGCAGCAGGCGGCAGCAGCCGGCAGCAGCAGCCGGCCGCAACCCCGCAGTGGCAGTGTGTGTTTGACCAGGTCCACTGCGAGTGGATGGAGAGCGTGCAGCTGGTGTTTGACTACTTTTGTGAGCGCACGCCGAGGTCGTTTGTGGAGGCGCGGGAGACTAGTCTGGTGTGGAATTACAAGTATGCGGGTGAGGCTGGGGGGGATTGGGAGGGTGGGAGGGAGGGGGTGGAAGGGGTTGGAGGGAAACAAATGAAAAGTGCAGCAACGGAGTCCCAGGGGTTGGAGGGAGGGAGGGAGGGTGAGTTGTATCGTTGAGCCCCTAGCTGTGTCGTAGCGGCTTTCCTGGGTGCCAGGCAGTTCCTAGTAGGGTCGGCTTCTCTCACCGCTTCCCCCCCTCCCCCTCCCAGATGTGGAGTTCGGTCGCATCCAGGCTCGCGACCTGCTGCAGCACCTGTGGACCGGACCCATCAGCAACGCGCCCGTGGAGATCATTCAGGGCGGCAAGAGCGTGGAGGTGGGGGGGGGGACGGGGGGCGGGGAAGGGGGGCAGAGAGGGCGGGGGAACTGTGAGGGTGGTGCGCGAGTTGCAGCAGGATTCACCCAACAAAATAGAGTGGAGGAGCAACAGAGGAGCAGCAGAGGCGGGAAGGCACAGGCGTTGTTGAAAACCCCCAGTCGCATGTGCATGTGCCCGCCTGAACCACCACCCAGCGCACCCACCCGGAGGCCCTCTCTCCCCCTTCACCCCCACCCCCCCCACCCCCATTCTCATGCAACACAACGGGTATTCTTCTTCCCCGCCCTCCTCCTCCCCCCCCCCCCTCCCCCCCCCACCAGGTCCGTCCCGTGGGGGTCACCAAGGGTCTAGCCATGCAGCGGCTGGTGGGGCTGATCGCCTCGGAGGGCGGGTTGGAGGCGGCGGCATTCGACATGGTGCTCTGCATCGGGCACCTTCTGGGGCGGGATGAGAACCTGTTTTCGCTGTTTGAGGGGGACCGGATCGACGGGGCGGCGCCCACACACAACAGCAGGAGCGAGAGGTTCGCGGCGGCGGCAGCGGCAGCTGCGGCGGCGGCGGGAGGAGGGGGCGGAGGGCAGGGCGGACGAGGAGGAGGAGGGGGGGCGGGTGTGGGGGGTTTGGGTTTGCAGTTGCAGGGGCTGGGGTTGCAAGGGCAGCAGCAGCTATCGCCGTTGGGTGGAGGCCACCACCACAACCAACACCACCACCATCATCACAGTCACCAGCTGGGTCGGCACGGGCGGAGCAGCAGCACGGGGGGCATTGTGGGGCTGGGGGCAGCTGCCACCGCCGCCGCCGCCGCCGCCGGCAGCAGCAGCGGGATTAACAGCGGCAGCGGCGGCATGGCGGGTGCAGGGGTGGCGGTGGGGTACGAGGAGGGGGCGGGAGGTGGTGTCCGGGGGAGCAGGGGGGGCGGCAGTGGGGGCGGCGGCTGCCCGCTGGGCGGCTCCGGAGGCGCGCTGCTGCAGCAGCATGCGAGGGTGAGGAGGGAGGGGGGGATGGAGGGGATGGAGGGGGGGGGGGTAAATATAAGTGAGAAGGGGAGGAGAGTGTTTAGTACTATTTCCGGTTACCTGGGGGCGTCTCCTGCCTCACCACCGCTCCTACCGCTATCAACCTCCCGCCCCTCCTCAGCGACCCTCAGCCCCGCCCTCTCCTCGACTCGATGCGCGCAGCACGCGCCCCCTCCTCCATCCCACCCTCTCCTTCACGCCCCAACCCCCCTCCTCCACCATACAGCCTTGTCATACAGCTCGTCAGTTGCTTCGTCAGTGTCTCATTATATATATTTTTTATCCTCCTCCACCATACCTCCCTCCCTGCCTCCCACCCAGGCCTCCCCCCTCGCCGGCGGCGGCCTCTCCCAAGCCCTGGCTGCCTCCCCCTCCATCTCCCACCCCCACCACCCCCTCCACCCCCACCACCACCTGCAGCAGCTCAGAGTGGGCAGCGGCAGCGGCGGCAGCAGCCCCTTCTCCACCCAGAGCCTCACCCCGCCCCTTTCCTCCCAACCACACCCGCTGCAGGGGCCTTCGGACCCGGCCCCCGCCTCCTTCGAACAGGGCTCTGCTGCCTCCCGCCCCACCTCTGCAGGCGGAGCCGCCGCCGCCGCCGCAGCAGCAGCATCTGGTCCGCTGAGCTCCGGCTCCCACCCCCAGCTCGGTTACCCCCATCACGCCCACCAAACCCTACATTCCTATCATGGAGGGTCGCATAGCCACCACCACCACCCCCACCCGCAGCAGCAGCCCTCACCGCTGCTCCCAGCAGCACTGCGAGCAGGGCAGCTGCCGCAGCTGGGCAGTTCGGGGCATCATGGGGGGGGGCTTCATGCGTTGGAGGGGCGGGTGGAGGGCCCCCTGGGTCGGGCGCTGGCCAACACCATGTCCACCAGCAGCGTGGCGAGCATGGCGGATAGGGTGAGGGGGGAGGACAGGGCTAGGGAGGGAAGAGGGAGAGGGAGAGAGGGGTAAAGAGGGGCTAGGCCATATAGCCAAACGCACGGCATAATACATACGTTGAAGCTTCGCTGCTGCTGCCTCCCCTCTCACAAACTAAACATGTGATCAGGATACGACCAGGGAAAATAGTGGTTGACGTGCGGTGGCCGCAGCTGCACTCGGGTGGGTGCGCGACCTTGTCTGTTAGCCACACAGTCCGGTAGTGCCCCGTCCCCCTCCTTCCCTCCCTCCCTGTCACCATCAGTCAACGCATGGTTCTGTTCCCTTTCCCACCCTCCCTCCCCTCCCCCCCCAGCTTGCCGGCATCTTCCCCCCCCGCTTCCTGTACACCTGCACGGTGGGGCGCAACCGCAGCAAGGCGCGGTACGCCCTAGCCACCAGTGCGGAGGTGGGCGACCTGCTGGAGGCGCTGGTGCAGCAGGTGGGTGTGGGGGGGGTAAAGACCATGCCAAACCATAGGAAACCACAGGTTAGGGCAAAGCAGTGGGGGGGGGGGTAAAGTAAGGAGGAAGGGGATGGGAGAGAGAGGGGATGGGAGAGAGAGGAGATGGGGGGTACCTGGGTGGAGGTTGAGGGTTGGCCTGGGGCCCGTGAGGGGGCTGGGAGCTTGGAAGTCTTGCAAGGGGTGAGGCGGTGCCGGGTCTGGAGGGGGGAGCGGGGGATAGAGTGGGAGACGAGGGCGCCTGGTAGGGGAGGTCCCATGGTGTCTGACCCCGCCCCTGCCCCTGCCCCTGCCCCCCACCCCATCCCCACCTCCAGGGCATCTACCACCGCGCCCCCGCGGCCCCCTGCGCCTGCTCCGCCCCAGCCGACTGCAGCAGTGGTGGCGGTGCGGGAGGCGGCGGGGGGGGCATGCTGGCTGGGGGTTGCGGGCGGGTGGGCTCGCTGTCCTCCGCGGAGGCGCTGTCCCCCGACTCCATGATGGCTAGTTTCGTGATGCAGCGGGGCTTCAGGTGGGGGAGGGGGGAGGGGGGCGGGAGGGAGGGGAAGGAGGGGAGAGGAGGGGAGAGGAGGGGCATGTTCGAGCCATGAAACAGGCGTGAGAGGAGGGCACACCTCAGACCTCTTTATGTTTCTCTTCCAAGAATCGCCCTTCCACCGCTCCGCCACTGAACCCACCCTGCCATCCTCGTCTTGCTCCCTCCTCCCTGCCCAGGGGTGGATGCGGCCCCATGGATCGCACCGGCTCCATCTCCCTCGCCTCCGAGGAGGGACCCTCCCTGCCGCACTCCCCCGGACCGGCGGCCGACTACACCTCGGCACCTGCGGCAGCAGCGGCACCAGCAGCTGCTGCAGCCTCTGCGGGTGCGGGTGCGGGGGGTGCGGGTGTTACTGCCGCAGGCGGCAGCAGCGCTGGAGGCAGTGCTGCCGCCTCGCCGCCGTCGGTGCCTCTCAGCCAGTCCGCCCCCTCACACCTCCAATACCCCCATCCGCACCCCCACCAGCTGCTGCTTCCCTTCCCGCAGCACCAGCACCACCTCAATCCGCACCTCCCCCACACGACACAGCCGCAGCAGCAGCAGCCTCAACAGTTCGCATTGCCCACCCACCCCCACCCCCACCAGCAACCGCACCCCCACACCCTCTACCCGCCACATCATGCCTCATCAGGAGGCATGGCAGGTGCCGCTATGGGTGCCGCTGCTGCTGCCGCTGCTGCTGCCGCTGCTGCTGCCGCTGCTGCGGCGGCGGCAGGCCTTGCGGGTCCGGGTCGGCGTGCGGGGCCACTGTCCATGAGTGCCGGGGGAGCTCCCCTGATGGCAGGTGGAGGTGGCGAAGGTGGCAGCCTGGGCTGTAGGGCTGCCGGGGGGGCCCTCCACCCACCTCCACTGCTAACGGAGCAGCTGCTGCTGCGGCCGCCGCACCTGGCACCCACGGGGCCGCAGTCGCCGCCGCCGCAGCAGCTGGCGTTGCAGCAGCTGGCGGCCATGCCGTCGCCGCAGCGCCTGCAGCAGCAGCAGCAGGAGCAGCAGCAGCAATCCTATCAGCACCCGCAACCACAGCAGCAGCCACAGCAGCAGCAGCAGGTACGGCAAACGGAGCCCACTCGACAGACGGGCTGGTTCGAGGCAACACCTGCAGCGTTGGGGGAAGCGCTTGGGCTGCAGCCGGCAGGGGGGCAGCAGAAGCAGCCGCAACCGCAGTTGCAGCAGTTGATTCAGGGGTTATCCGAAGTGGAGGGGTTCGGAGCAGGGGAAGATCATGGAGCTGGAGATGTAGATGGATTTGAGGGGGAAATTCTTTCGAACGAATCGAATGTGTTTGCGGACGGTGCCGGTGTGTAAGAGAGCGGCGGTCTGTGTGACAGGATGTTTATGTGCGGGCGTAGTGCAAGCGCGGAGGGAGTGTACGGAGCGGTTGAGGGCTGCTGAGGTCGGGGGCTCCGGAACAAACGGTATAACGTTGAGGTGTGTTTGAGGCTTGGTCGTTGACGTGTACGGTAATGGTGTACGGTATGCTGTCCGCGCGCCCCATCATGCGCTGATGATCTGCACCCTGATGGCAAATTGCTGAGGTGCAGAAAAGCCCTGGTGAAGGAGGGGAGAGAGAGAGACTGGAAGAGCGTGTGTGCGGCCAACTGGCGGAGGGCAGGGCACGACTCGCTGGGGTGCTGAGGAGCCGAGCTCCGGTATGAGCCCTGCTGGTGCCCTGCTGGCCTGGGCGTCTGGGTGCCTGGCATCACAACGACGACGACGATGACGGTTGTCTGTTATAGTTCGGGAAGCGTCGTGGGGGATGCCCTGGGGGTAACAACCACATTGGTCACCATACAAGAGCAAGCGCTAGCAAAGTGCAACCCGTTGGGTTTACACACGTGTCTTCTTACATGCAGCACCAGCTATCTAAGCAGTTTTTGAGTTACGGTTCAGGTTTGGTTACCTCTGTTTTGCCTGTGCTTGCGGTTCACATGCGAACCCATCCCAACTGCTAATGCTCTTGTTTCTGCTCAATTACACACGTGTCCGTACAGTGCTAGTTATTTGAAGTACGGCAAAACACATGCATCCGGGCAAGTCCAGGCAGAAAGGCCAGCTAGTCCCCTACATGCCTGTAGCCTCTGTGGGCACATGTTTGCCACAGACGGAAACGGGCTGAAGAAGCGTTCGCGTACCTGTATACAGCTACCTGGCCTTCCATCGCCCATGCGGACACGCAGTCGTTAACGGTGTATACTGGTATATGAGTAAATGCCATTCCGCAATCCCACCGCCGGGGGTTGTGACAGCCCACCATCAACTGGGCTCTCCCCCGCACAACAACGCCAGGTTGCTGCATGTCCCCCCCCATGTCCGACTGCTCCAACTGCAGCTGCAAGAGGGGGGTACCTGCGTAGTGCCGCCGAGTGCTGCTGTGCCTCCGCCGCCCCCGTTGCTGCCGACAGCTGCCCCTCAACCTCCGCTACTTTTCAAGGGAAGTCAAGGCTTACGCAGATGGGGTCAGTGTCAGCCCCCTTGTAGCGTATCGATAGCGATGTGGCACATGTTGTCAAGGAGGACAAAGTGGTTTTAAATGTAGCGACAGGCCCCCCAGCCCTCCATGTTCCAACACACACCCAAACTGTTTTGCCTGTACTTGCGGTTCACATGCGAACCTATCCCAACTGCTTGCTCTTGTTTCTGCTCAATTACACACCCAAACGCTTCCCAGCATCGCAGCGTGCCTTCTTGTCTTTTGCTTTCCCGTCTTTTACGTCGTTGATTTGCTTGCGTGCACTGCAACCGCAGCACAATTCTTTCCGTCATGTTATCCGTCCTAAGCCACAGAGTCTAACAGACACATTACGCGGTACAATGCAGACGAGGCCCATGACACAGCTATGCGGGCTCCCGCTGCTTCGACATTGTAACTGACACAGTAATAAGACCTTCAGTTATAAAACTAGCGCCCTAAACAGTCAAGGCGAGCACACCACCTAGTCAATACCTCGTCATCACCATTTCACCTCCAGCCAGCCAACACCGCACGAACATACCTCCTAGTAACCCATGCCGCTGTCCCATGCCCCCGCTACCTCGCACCCAAACTCCTCCTGTACTCGCCCAGATCCGTAAGCACTTCACCGGACAGGCATCAGCCCGTACGTGGGAATACCTATGCGGTCAAACCGAGCATTTCCCAGACCTTCACAGCACACACCCTATGCAGGGACTGTCCGAGGGAGACAGGAAACTCCCTTCTGCGCCCCTTTCCAGTTAAATGTGTTAGGGCAGCAGTAAAAGCTGAGAGTACAAAAGTCAGAAGCGACTATAGCGTTATCCGCTCTATCATGGCTACCTTAGTCGTCACACACACACACAGACTCGCGGCCAGTTTTCTTAACAACACCGACACGCGGCCAGTTTTCTTAACACACGCGTACACACAGTCCCCGGACTTCATCTTCCGGCAACCACAGTACGTTCCGACTCGCGGCCAGTTATTTAACACCCAGTCCCCACCCCGCCATGACAACCCGCTATCAGACACGAGTCGCGCAACCAGACACACATCATCCCTAAGCTCCATGACACGAAATACCCACCACCGTCGTTGCCATGCCGTGTTGCATCGCAACGTCCCTCGGCGGCCCGCCTTAAGTGTCACCACCTTGTGTCCGCCCACCGCCACCCCAGTGAGTCCACCTCAGTAAGGAGGACACCCTCTCACATCTTGTACCCCACTGCTGCTGCTGACAGGGGCGTAACGAGTTCGCAAGCCCTCTTCCACCAACCCCCCAGCCACGGCGGCGCCACAGCGAATCCGACGCTATCTTTGCATCCACATACACGACGCTACTCACCAGGACCGGATATTCCTAACACACCTCTACCCTACTCGCAGTTTTGGGCATCGCCTACCTGCTGTTAATCCCCTTCTCCAAGCCCTCACTGCTAGGGTACCGGTCCAAGGCTAGAGGGACTCCATGAGGCCGCCCTCCTCCCTACCAGTAATGAACACAAAGGCTCGCCCCTCTCACTCCCCCTCAAGACACACCTCGTGCACCCGCAAGCTCATCTCACTCCAAAGTGCCCGCAAAAGAATAAAGCAGCAGCAATAGCAGCAGCAAGAGAAGCAGCAGCAGCTGTGGCCTCTGGACCAAGTACAGCTACAGATCCTTGATGGCACCGGGTAAAGCGCTGCCAGTGGAAACAGGGGCGCAGTGGCGAAATGTCGCACACAGTAACGCCAGCACGCGGCGGCCTCCACCCCCGCCCCGCTTCCTGCCACTCTGCGAAACTGCGCCCGCTATTGGTGCAATTCAAGACCCGCAAAAACACAACCGCCGCAGCAGCAGCAGCGTTTCCCATTGAATAAGCCAAGGTGAAGGGTCTCGTCGCAATTCTATAACCCCTTTCACCACGCCCCCGTCAAATCCAACCCGCACCTCCGCCTTGCACCGCCAACACTTGTCCAAGACGGTCCAAGAAACCTACCAGTCGCGCCACCAGCCGTGACCCTTTGCGTGTTCCGACGGAAGCATAGCATCATTGTTTCCCAGTTCCTCCCTGCTCAGCCTCCCAAGGGCTGCCATAAGGGTTGCCATTTGCCAGAGCCACTTGCCAGGCCCAAGCCCTAGCCGCCACAGCCTTTGCCTGCGTTGCCGCGGGCTACACCGTGCTCTCACCAGCACAGCAGTCCATGCACCCGAGCAGCATGAGCAACAACCGCACCCCATTGCAACAAACTCTTTAACCACCATTATAAACCCAGCAAATGCATTCCATACCGTAACCATACAGGCGATACAGCCCCACTAAGTGAGTACCAAAGGCCTGGCAGGCGCGCCCCTGAGGAACCCAACCCTAGGGAGGTGGCCGCCTTAACCACTGTTTCCCACAGCACCCAAAACACCACATTTCAGCAGCTTCAAATCCCAATCCCCCACAACCCGCCACCACCACCAGCAGCTGCACAACAACAACAACCGCGCATGTAACACGAAAGACCCCCCCCCAGGGAACTCATCAGCCCCCTCCCCAGTTGAACATCGCACCAAAATTGCCCCCGCAACGCACAATTCTGCCACAAAGGCGTTCCCAGCAAGGAACGCATCTGCGACCTTTGCCATCACATGCGCACCACCACTCGCCCACCAGCAGCAACAGCTGTGCTCTCCTCCGCTCTACCGCTGCGTGAAACAGCACCCACCCCCGGCATCCCCAGCCGCACCCGCCACCTCCACCATACCCTCCATCCCACACTCTAGCGGCGCCAGCGGCGGCGGCGGCGGCGGCGGCAGGTACTGCAGCTGCCATGCGGGCGGCGGCACCCCCAACCGCTCCATGAGCTCCCTCCCGGTGGCCGCGGGCACCCGCATGTGCTTGCTGCGCAGCTCGCAGGCGCTCAGGTCCGCGCCCACACTCACCAGGTGCTCGCACAGCCACCGGAAGTTTTCCTCGCGCGGCCAGTAGTGCCCGCTGTCCGCGGTGAGCAGCCGCAGCTGGCCGTGCCGCGCGGCCAGGCCCCCGGCTGCGACCACGGCACCCCCGCGGAGGAAGCTCGAGTGGTGGAAGCGGCCGCGGACCTGAGCGAGGAGGTGGAGGCGGAGAGCGGGCCAAACTGGAATGATCAAAGGGTTGTACGTAGCGTCTACTATAGCGCCGCTTCCTTCCTCCCAGGCACCGATGCAACGCGCGCGTGCCATGGCACCGTCTCACAGCAGGCGACAGGCCTCCCTGCATGCATTAAGAGTCCTCTCACCTTGGGATGTACGAACAGCCGCAGCTCCGGATCCACCACATAGATCCACTTGGGACCCTTCTCCGCCCCGCGGTGATGCCCGTTCCCGCCGCCACAACACCCGCAACCCCCGCCGCCTCCTCCAGCACCACCATGCACCCCAGCTGCTGCTGATGTTGCTGCTGCGACCGCCGGCGTCGTAGGGCCCACAGCAGCCCCAGCAGCAGCCGCACCGCCCGGCCCCCCAGCAGCAGCCGCAATGGGGCTCGCAGCCCCAAAAGGCGCCGCCGTCCCCTTGTCCGGCGTGCATGGCTGCTCCGCGCTGTCAAGCTCGGGTCGCGGCACCACCGGCAGGGACAACACCGGCAGCGGCGGAACCTCCTGCTCGCCCCCGCTATCCGCCTTGATTGCGGCCCGACAGGAGGAGAAGTCTGGAAGCATGGAGCCGGATGGCTCCGGTTGGTCGCCCCGCTCAGGCCCGCCTACGACGATACCCACATGGGCTCCCAGTGCAGAGCCCCCACCCGCCGCCGCTACGCCGCTGCCACCGCCGCAGCCGCCGTCACCCGCCAGCCGCATGCGGTCCAGCGAGGACGCGGAGTGACCTCGCAGCCCCAGGTCGGGCAGGGCGCCGCAGCGGACACCACCACCACCACCGCTGCTGCTGCTACTGGTGTTGCTGCTGCCAGCTGGGGCTGCTGCTGCGGCGGCGGCGGGGTCGAGTGCTGCCTGCGCAGCACCGGCGGTGACACCCGCGGCCCTTGTTGTTGGGGAGGTTATCTTTGGTGGCTGCGGCTGTTCCTGCTCCAGCTCGGGAGGGAGCTCCATGCTGGGGCCCCGGCGCAGGCTCCCCCGCGTCTGCAAGCCACCCCCAACTTCACCCCCGCTGCCACCCCGAACACCCTCAGCCGGTCTTGAAGAGGCCGTTGGGGAGTCCGGCTGCGGGAGCCCGAACAGCTGTACCTGCAAGTGCTGCGGCATCTGCAACTGCAGCTGCAGCAGCTGCTGGTGCAACAGCTCATGCTCCGCCTCCGTCATCATTCCTCCCGCTACCTCCGACGCCACACCCTCACCCTCAACCTCCCCTGCCGCCACCCCCGCGTCCCCCTTGCAACAACACCCGCCTCCCCCTCCTCCTCCTCCTCCTCCTCCACGCCACCAGGCGGCGGCCGCCTCGCCCAAACACGACAGCGGCACTGCCGGTGGCGGCGGGGTGGGCGGTCTGCGGTGCTCGTCCAGCGAGCAACGGCCGTCCGGTCCGGTGTGCAGTAGCTTGCCGCTGCGCTTGTACCGCAGCAGTCCCGACTCCATGTCCACATCCAGTTCGTACTCTAGGAGCTCCAGCGGCGTCAGGTACTTGACCTGGTGGCAGGCAGGGAAGGTACCGGTAAGTAGGAAAGAAAGGTAGTTGATAAGCGGAAGGGGAGGAGGATCTGAGCATGGCTTTGGGAGAAGGAGCTGCGTGTTTTTGCTTGCTGAGCAGCGAGCTACCTACTGAGCGGAGCAGAGCTGGCTGCGAGGAGGAAGGAGTGCAGGCGCAGACCAACAGCAGCGGTGTGGGAGTGTGGTCCTAGTAGGAGTGTTGGACGCAACACACAACACAACACAACACCTAACCCCTCCCAACCTTACCCGCTCCGCGTCTAGCTTGGCTCGTGGGACGCCCAGGTGACCCAAATCCACTTCCAGTCCCGGTCCGTTGTCTAGCCACCTGCGGAGGAAAGGCGGCCGTACCACCGTTCAGGAGGGTGCAAGGGGTCTCATCCACCAGGGTCGCCACGACACACTCATCTTCCACGCAACACCCCCGCCATCACATACATGAGGGCCGCACACCATCGCCTAATCCCCCCAGGCAACCTCCTTACCTGAAGAAGTTGCTGCCGTTGCCAACACTGCCCCGATTAGACAGCAGCTTGGCAACTCGATACGCCGGGGCAGGCACTCCAGTAGGCTCCCCAAACCCAAAGGCGGAGCCACTCCCAGACCCGCGTCCCGAACCCTTGGCTGCTATTGCCGCTCCGGCATCCGCATCCGACTGCTGCGGCTGCTGCTGCTGTTGTCCGCACAGCGGCGGCGGAGTCGCCGGTGGTAACCCCTGTGCACCCCCACCCCCACCGCCGCCGCCAGAGCTGCCGGCCCCGCAACTAAACCCTCCCCACTCCACCTGCTCCTGCCCATGCTCATGTTGCTGCTGCTGCGGCTCCTCCCTCTCCCCTGCCACTCCGGCCGAGTGCGTGTCCTCCTGCCCTCCCTGCACCCCCTGCAGCGGCAGCTGCTGCTCCTGCTCCGGCTGCTGCTCCTCCACGCCCCCCATGTCAATCATCGCCGCCATCATGAAGCGTTTCGAGGGGCTGCAAACCATGGAAGCACGCCGGGGGCTGCTGCAACCCAGGGCGGCAGCAGCCGCAGCAGCTGAAGCCGCAGCGGCGCCAGGCACCGGCACCGGCAGCGTGGCAAGCCCCCCGGCAACCGTTGTGGCACCAGAACCCGCAGCAGCAGCAGCAGTACCACCAGCCATGGCAGCAGCTGGTGGCAGCGTCTCGGAATGTGGGCGAGGAGCGGGGGTCGGCGCGGCGGCGGAGCAGCAGGAGGAGTGGTACAGCTGCGAGGATGACAGCGGTGACGCCTCCCCGCAACTGTGCCGTCTCAGCTGCTGCGCAAAGGGTGGTCGCGGGGACTGCGGGGACAGCGGCGGGTCCAGCCCCGAGGCTTCATCCATGCTACACCGCGCGCCCCCCGTGTCCGGCCCCGCGCTGCCGTCAGCGTGACTGTTGCCGTCCTCGCTGCCTGCGCCCAGCTGCACGCTGCCCTCCCGCAGGTTGAGGTGCGGAAAATTGTGGATCATGTCTTGCCGGTGCGGGTTGTTGCTGTGAGGTTGAGGGTGGGTCACCCCCAGGTGGCCGCTGCTGTCATGCGCAGCTGCGTGCGCGAGACCTGAAGCAACATCGCATGGGGAGGTTCCCTGCTCAATGCTGCCTTCTCCCAGCGAGGGGGGCTGCTGCGGAATGGGGCGGCTGCTGCTGCTGCTGCTGACAACGTGGGGCTGCTGGGAGGTGTAGTGCTGGTGCTGATGGTGGTGGTGGTGGTGGTGGGGAAAGTGGTGGTGCAGGTGCTTCACCTGGAAGTGGTGTGGGTGGTGGGGTGGTTGCTGGTGGTGGCTGTGGGTGTGTTTGTTGCGCAGTTGGGGCTGCAGCTGGTGGGTGTGGTGATGTGGATGAGGGTGGAGATGAGGGTGGTGGGGTTGGTGGTGGAGCTGGGAGGAGGGCAGCTGGCCGTGCGACTGTTCGGACCCCGGAGCGCTCTCCTCAGCAGCCGGAGCCGCCGCCGCCACCGCCACCGCCGCAGCTGCCCCACTCGCCACCGGCGAGCGAGACGCCGCGTCGGTGGAGAACCGCGACGGCCCCGCACCCGTCGTACCCACATGCGCAACCGTCATACCCGCAGCAGCAGCGGCAGCACATCCCGCCGCCACCACCGCCACCACCTGTCCCGAGCCCCGCTGCTGCTGCAGCACCGGCTGCACCTCCGCCACAGCATCCTCTGCTGCTGCCACCGCCGGCGCGCCAGCATCCCCTCCTTGACCGCCCGCCTGCCCCTGATGCTGCCCCTGCTGCTGTGCCGCCAGGGCCACCAGGGCGGTGTACGAGGGCGAGGGCGACATGAGCGCGGGGCTGGGCGGGGGGGTGAGCTCCGCCGCCTCCATCTCCGCGACCCAGTAGTCGAAGTAGACGCGGAGGTTGGAGCCATAGCGGTGCTGCTCGTCCGTCACCTCCAGCCAGTGCTCGCAGCGCAGCAGCAGCTGGGGGTGCGGGCTGCGGGAGGAGCTCTGAGGGGCGGGGCGGGGAGTGAGTAAGGGAGTGGAGGTGTAGAGGTGGTGATTGGGGGAAGGAGGGACGGAGGGTTGGGGCGGTGCGGTAGGCTGAATAACTCCAGTTCGCATGCGCCTGTTATACCTTAAACACCGCAAGAACGCCAAACATGCCCTTTGCAACCTAAAGGTCGGTTGTGTACACACACAGCACCAGCGGCCAGCTCCCTCACGCATTACCCCATCGCCAGTTGGGTGTTCATGCAAGGCGCACCCGGTTACAACCCACACCAAACAGCCATATACATGCCTCCGTGCACTGTTCCCCTTCCCTCCCTTCCCTTCCCGCAACCCCTCCTCCTCCAAGCCCTCCTCACCTTGCCCACCAGCTTCATGGCCCCCCGCGACGCGCGCACCCAGCGCATGTACGCCACCAGGTTATCCCGCGTGAAGTGCGCCTTGCGGTTGGTCATGGACGCCTGCCGCAGCGCCTCCCCGGCGGCACTGGTGGAGGTATCGCTCAGACTGACACGGGAAGTACGACAGAAGGAGGAGGCCATGGGAGAGGCGCTGCCGCAGGGGTGCCCGGAGCCGTCGGAGCAGCCGTTGCCCGTAGCAACCGTTGGAAGAGGAGGAGGAGGAGGAGGGGCGCTTGCGGATGTGGATGTGAGGGGGGTCGCTGTGGAGCATGTTGCGGTGTTGGTGGCGAGCGTGGTTTCAGTGGTTGGTAAGAAGTCGTTGGTGGTTGCTGCAGCCATGACGGAGGATGTGGTGGTAGGAGCGCTTATGGAGATGTTGGTCGAGGTGTGCCGTGGGCTGAGTGGATGTGCAATGGGAGCAGCCAATGCTGCGAGGGATGGAGAGGATGGGTCGGTGGAGGTGATTTGGCCTTGAGGACCGCTTGTGTGGAGGGAGGGAAGGTTGCAAGGCGGTGAGGAGTAGCCGTTGGCCGCACGGGGACGTGCGGTGGATGGAGCAGTGCTGGACGCCGAGGCATGTGAGGATGACAAAGCTGCTCGCTGCGGCCAGTCGTGCGTGCCATCATCGCTGCTGCTTCCATGAGGGTTGACTGTTCCAATAGTTCGGAAGAGGCTCCCTATGGCCTGCAGTTGCACGGGACCAGTAGCACGTGAAGCGCGAAGCGGTTGCAACCTGCAGCTGTGACACGCCAAAAGTCGCAAAGCAGAACTCAAGCACAGGCATGAATGGTACACAGCCACATTTCAGATAGTACTGGTTTATCAAGGCACTCGCAAAGCAATACCACAGCGGTCGAACTTTTAGACAGCGAACGCTAGGATGGGACCGAATGAAACGCTACATCATCCTTCTTCGGATTATTATTAGTACCTTTCCGAACGACGAGAGTAGCTGTGGCATGTTCAGGCGATCAACGCCAGCGGCCGAGCCTCCGAGCGCGACGGAGGCCCGGCCAAAAAGATGAGCGCACGGCTATAGCTACGCAACAAGGCAGCTAGTGAACTACTAAGCTTTTACGTCTTACTGCAATGCTGCTCTGCGAAGCGCAAGCCCGCTGCAGCAGATGGTCCTACACCCGAATATCTCAAATGTAGATTCCTTTCTAAAGTCTATTACAAGAGTCTATACCAGTTTATCTCCTTCTGCCATTTGCGTGTCCTGCCTTTGTCGCGCGGAGCCCGTTCAGAAGTGCTCAGGAAACGGAGTATACTACGACGTATGCGGTCTCATCAAATGCGGATGTACTGAAGTAAGAAGTGTATATGAAAGGTCGGGGCGTAACGCTATGAGGATCGGTGAGTTACATTCCGCGCCACCGTACCGTTGGGCCTGGCCTAGGCGTGATCGCGTGAAAGCTTGTGTTGGAAGCACATGTTATACTTTTCGGCATACTGTCATATCTTAACGATGGAATCTGTCTTGCGGTGTTAAAGGCATGGAACGTTGCCAAAGCGCTAGTTCTCGACCGATATGAAATGCCGGAAATGTTGCGGTCTAGTGCTCCTCGTAGCATCATACATTAACGGGGCCCTCGCCACTTTCTCGGGAGGTCCCGTCTCGCCCGCAAACACAGATAGTTCACAATGCAGAATTATACAGGGGCCAACAGCCATTCTTGCACAGTTCTGCCTGCTGTGCATAGTTATAACGGCCCTGCTGATTAAAAGGTAGGCTCTTGCAGTCTTACTTTCCATCGTGTGCCCGCTTGAAAGTCCAACCCTGCTGAGCCGTCCGTTACTGCCCGGCCCCTTGCAGGCACCAGGAGCGTCCTCGGCGGCCATGGAACGTCTGGCTGCTGGACATCAGCAAGCAGGCCTGCTCCGCGGGTGCGGGGCACCTGTGCGGCATGGCCATAGCGGTGATTGCGCACAGGACGGCACCTGGAGGCTCCGAATGCGGGTACGTGCGCTCCCATGACGCACTCTGCTGCCGCCGCACCCTGTAACGCCTCCCCCCCCCGCTCCTGAGTCGGGATCTGGGATTGGGACTCCAGTTGCTGCACCTCTCGTTTACCGCTACCATTCCCCCCTCCTCTCCCTCCCGCCCTCCCACAGCTGGTACCTAGTTGTGTACCTGCTGGACTGCACGCTGGGCATCACGCTGGCCATCGCCTTCCACCGCCTCATGCACCGCGGCGCGCGCTGGCAGCACAGTCGGCTGGTGGCGGCGAGGGACCACCACCACGGGGGGGGCGGCGGCTACCGCGGCCTGCCCTCCTCCTCCGACCACGACCATCCCTGGACGGAGGCGCTGCTGGAGTCGGGCAACTACGGAGACCCGCCCAATGCACGGTAAGGGGGGTGGGGCGCGGGGGGGGGGGCGCGGGGTGGGGGCGCGGGGGGGGACCCCACCCGTTGTAAGGTTCTAATGGAAGCCCGCACGAATGCGGGCTGGGTGGTGGGTGGGGAGAAAGGAGGATGTAACACTCCGTGCTGTGAGCGGTAACCCCGCGGCTGTGTTCTTCATGGGAGCCCCCAGCGCGGTAGGGGCGTTGGGGTGTGTGTGTGGGGGGTTGCCATGCACCTGCGACAGTGCCCCCAGTCCTGGGGCTGACCACCGGTAGTGACCGCACCCCGCCCCTTGGCCACCTGCCCCCTTCCCCCTTGCCCCTCTTGCCCCCCCGCACCCACAGCCGCTGGGCCATCCAGGCTGCCGGCTGGGTGGTGTGTGTGGTGTCGGCGCGGCTGTCGGTGGGCGCCACGGTGCTGGCCAGCATGCGGCTGGTGGCGGCGGTGGCGCGGGGGCTGGACCGCGCCTTCGCGGGCCGCCCGCACGCGGAGCTGTTCACCGTCATGGTGGGCATCCCCATGCTGCTCAATGTGGGACAGGCGTGGATACAGGACCAGGTGGGCGGGGGGGGGCACAGCGGCGTTCAGGGGGAGCGTAAGGGGGGGTAGGGGAGGTTACGGTGGATGGAGAACTGAGCCGCGGAAACACTGACCCTGACCGTGGTATACCGGAGGGGTGTAGCGCGTAGGGGTGGTGTACATGGGTGGGGGTTCAGCTGGGCCATGCGTGGCATGGCATGTTGCGGGTTGCCCATGCACCACCGCCGCCATGCACCCTCATCCCCCTGGTACTCCAACCTCATTTTCCCACCCCACTCCCTCCCTTCCGTGCATCCCCCACGCACCCTTCCACCTCCCACCCCCCACACACACTCCACCCCCCTTCCCACAGGTGCTCAAATGGAGCGCCCGGCGCCGCATCAAGCGCGGCATGTCCGACTCGCTGGGCAACGGCGACGTGCCGGTGCTGCAGCACAGCAGCGCGGGGGGGCTGGGCGGGGGCGGGCTGGGAGTGGGGGGGCTGGGCGGCGGCAGCTCCTCCTCCGCTGAGATGCGGCTGGGGTCGGGTGAGCTGCAGGTGCAGCTGCTGGTGGCGGCGGGGCGCAACCGGGGAGGTGGGAGCGTGGGGGAGAAGACGCCCCTGCTGTCGAGCATTGTGTAGAGGGAAGGTGTGGCAAGGTGTGGGTAGGAAGGAGGCAGGGTGGCTCCGGGCGATGCGGTTGGGATTTGCTGGGATGTGCAGGGAAGCTTGAATGGCCAAGGTGGGGAAGGGAGGAGGCAGGGGGGAAGGTGGGCGGGTGGGTGGGTGGGGAGGCAGGCGCGCGCGCATGGCTGCGTTTGCCGGCTGCATGGATCTGCTTGGTGGTGTTGTGCAGCGGGTGCTGCTGCTGACTTCACGCTTTCCAGCTGAGACTGAAACGATCGGGGACTGTTACTCGTACATACCGTACTGTCATCGCTGGGTTTGAGCTGTAGTGCAAGATGTCCGCTGTACGGGGCAGGCAGGCAGAGGGGCCCCGGAGCAGGCGGAACGGGACGCGCTGGTGCCAATGTGTTGCGGTGCCGTGTGGGGCGGGGCAGGGGGGGGGCACTCCTGCTGTCACGTGTAACGCTGCTCGGATGCGCGTGTTAGGTTCTAATGGGCTAAACTTGAGTCGGGAAAATGAGGACCAGGGTCTTGGGGAGAAAAAACGCTTGACATCTTCTTTGCATTTGAGTGCACACTTTCCTGCTTCGTACATGCATGCATGCATGTTGTTGTTTGCGGCGAATGTTGTTATGCGTGAGGTTACAAGGTTGAGTACGACAGTGTCAAGGACGTGTTGTGCCGATCCAATGTAAGTACCGTATGTAACAAAAAAGGGCACCGTTGGGATGTGTGTGTGGGGGTCAAAGACCATATCAAACCATAGGAGACCACAAGTTAGGGCAAAACAATGGGGGTAGGAGTTGGCTGGGTGCCACAAGACAAAGGGTGTGGGTGTGTGGGGAGGGGGGTTGAGTAGGAGGTGTCAGTTGGAACAGCGGATTTCGCGTCAGGTGGGCTGGGGAACGTGGCGGACGAGGTATGGTGTAGGCTTGGGCTGCGGGTTGGGCCGAGGAGAAGTCCTGGGAGAGAACAGGACTCGACTTTGGTTCTCACGAGGGGGCACACGAGCTGAATGGAAGAACCTTTTCGAGCCTTGAAGAAGAAGGTAGAAAGATGGGGCCATGCACCGTGTCAACCCAATTACAGCGGCTATGGCTTGTTGCTAAGCATGCTAACAGCGCAAACCAGCCCGGGCATGCTGTGCGGTTTTTCCCGTCACCTAAGTTCACCTGGCGCCCTTCTGCAGTACAAGCCGTTAGCTCTAGCCCCCCAGGCTTCCCCCACAAAGTGCAGCTGTAACCCTCCCCAAGCAAGCAAAAGCCATCAACCAACCGCTGTGCCTCCTTTGATTCAGCACGAATCATCATCACTGCCTCTTTCGGGCCAGACTCTGTCCTCTCCCCGCACTCTTTTACCCAACCGCCTAGACCAGCGATTGCCTTCTCCTATCTCGGTAGCCTCCCGCTCCATCGATTCCCCTCTCTCATCTTGCCGCGGTACAAACAGGCTGACAACACGCGGCCGTGTAGCATTACGTAGCCGGACAATCAGCACCCACTAACGCAACGAGCAGTCCCACCCATCTAGTGCTGTCGTACAGGGCTACCGCTGTTCTTATTGCTTTTGTCGCTGCTACTAGACACGAGGGACGAGGTGCTGCTTGCGCAGCAGTGCCAGTACCTCGTCCCTGTACAATCCTGTCGCACCCGTATTGCCTCTCGACGGCAACGCTGCTCGTACCGCCTGCACCGCCCCAACCCCCCGCACAGGACAGCCCAGCTCCAGCATGCAGCGAAGCGCCTCAACGGGAGCACGGTGAGTGACACAGACAGCGAAGGTGTTCCCGGGCGGGCCCCAGGGGCAGCGCAGCCGCCGCAGGCAGCGCAGCATGGCCAGGTCGCCGTTGCGAGCAGCCCGCATGAAGGCGTCACCAGCCTCCTGTGGTGTGTTGAGGAATAGACATACTGAGCTGCGAGGACACACTGACCCTGACCATAGGAAGAGGTGTTGGGGAAGGAAGCACACTGGTAGGAGCCGCATGAGGCAGGGAAGCAGGAATGTGCCAGGCTGGCTCGTGTCTTGCATTGGATTGGGGTACTAGGCCCTTTACAAAGAGGCTGCAAACACCTCCTCCTCGACTTACTTCCCAGCCAGTTTGGCCCCTTGTGTAGCAACCCCCTTCCCCCTTTTCTCCGCACCCACCTTCAAGCGGCAGCCCTGCTCCATTAGCCACTCAACCGCCTCCTCGCAGCCCGCCTCCGCGGCGCTACTCAGGGTGTCTTCAACATCCCAGGGGCAGCCGCGTTGCCGCAGCCACCTCAGCAGCTCCAGACTGCCCGACCTGGCTGCATCATTAAACCTGCCAACCCACATGTCCGCCCCCACCTCTCCCACCAGCCATGCAACCAGCTCCAAGTGGCCATGGGCGGCAGCAGCCCGTAAGGCGCACTGCACGTCCATGCAACCGCGACTGTGGAGCCATTGCAGGGCGGCTAGCTGGCCGCGCACAGCTGCATAGTCGGTTATGGACCAGGCATGTTTCGGAGCGCTGACGAGCAGTTGCTCCAGGCAGTTCAACAGCGTGATGTCGCCCTGCGCTGCTGCCGGGTATGCAGCGGTCACGTCCACCGGGTAACCCCGCTGCTGTAGCCATGTCAGGCGGCTGAGTGCATCCGGGCAGGCCGCGGCTGCGGCGCATGCGGAGGGGTGCTTGGGGAACCCCTGCTCCTCCTCCTCCAGCCACTCCACCTTGGCCTGCCAGTCGGGTGTGGAGCTGCGGGCTGCAGCCGCCAGGATGCGCTGCTTGTCCTGCTGGTCCAGCTGTTCACCCTGCCGGTCACCGTACAGGCGTTGCAGCAGCGTGAGGTCGCAACCCAGTGCGGCTGCCTCCATCAGCTTCGACACGGAGACGGCTTCCTCCGGTTGCTGCTGCTGCTGCAGCCATGTCATCAGGCCCACATGGCCCCCTTCAGCTGCATCAGCCATCGCCCCCCGGTTCCAGGGGCAGCCGTGCGCCAGCAGCCACTCGCAAGCCGCCCGCTGCCCCGCCCCCGCAGCTGCACGCAGGGCGCTACCCCAGGGGCAGCCCTGCTGCCGCAGCCACTGGCATGCCTCCAGCTGCCCAGCGGCTGCTGCTGCCTCGAGCACCTCGTCCGTTAGGACGCATCCCGCGTGGGCTGCTGCCACCTGAAGGTTGGCCAGGCTGCCGGAGGAGGCGGTGAGGCAGAGCAGCTGCCGGCGCTTCTCCAGCGTCAGTCCCCGCATGGCACCCGGACTGCCCCAACGCTGCGCGAAGGCGTGCGGGGGAGAAGGCTGCGACAGCCGGACGGTGGTGTGATGAGGGCCGCGAAGTTGCGCGGCAACGGCTTTGTTGAGCAGACGGCCTGTCAGCGCTATTTCGTTGGGCGGCAGGAAGCGCACGATCGTCACCAGTATTTCCGGCAGCAGGTCGCGCGTACAAACGTGCTCCGGTAGCTCTGAATCATGGCTTTGATGCGCCATTTGAAATTTATAATCTCTTGCAGGGCTGATGCAGGGCTGATGCGGGCTGGCTGCCAGTAGTTGCACGAAGCTCAAGGCTGAAGGAGCTGCTGTGCGCTTTGTTGCTTTGGCGCCTTCGCGATCCCGCTTTACAGGCGCCACTGCTTGCAGACAGAAAACAGTAAAAAGACCGAATGGCCATTACAGAGGAAATATTGAGGTATCAAGACACCTGCGTGGCTAGGAACTCAGTCCAGCCGCCGTCCAAGGGATTGCACGGCAAGCGCACGGCTGCACTTGGCGCAAACGAGACTTGCTTTGTTCGCTCATGCTTGCTATAACCCTTTAACAAGGTAATGTGTTTCTATTTGGTGGTGGTTCCTATAGCTTTGATGTGCGGATGATAACACCTTGATGTGTGGAATGGACAAGGGAAGAGGAGGAAGACGGGAAGGGGAGGATGGAGGAGGTATCTTCCATTCGCTGAAGGCATCTTTACTTTACAATCCCTTTTCCGAACTCCCTCACGCGGTGCTGCTGCCTCGCGCGTGCTCCGTGATACCCACCGCCTCTACGTCTTCGTCATAAGCCCACATGACATTCCCAGCAGCCGCGTGCCTGCAACACCCACCATGGCTACTCTTCGCTGACATCGTGAATGGCGAGGGTGAGCGCCCCTCCGGGTGACCCATGGGTCACCCGGGTGAGGGCGGGCTGCGTGTAACGGATGATTGGGCAAGAACACGGGAACCGCTTCGCGAATACCTCCCCACCGCTCCCCGCCCTGCCTCCCACCGCTTTTCGCCCTGCCTCCCACCGCTCCCCGCCCTGCCTCCCACCGCTTTTCGCCCTGCCTCCCACCGCTCCCCGCCCTGCCTCCCACCGCTTTTCGCCCTGCCTCCCACCGCTCCCCGCCCTGCCTCCCACCGCTTTTCGCCCTGCCTCCCACCGCTCCCCGCCCTGCCTCCCACCGCTTTTCGCCCTGCCTCCCACCGCTCCCCGCCCTGCCTCCCACCGCTTTTCGCCCTGCCTCCCACCGCTCCCCGCCCTGCCTCCCACCGCTTTTCGCCCTGCCTCCCACCGCTCCCCGCCCTGCCTCCCACCGCTTTTCGCCCTGCCTCCCACCGCTCCCCGCCCTGCCTCCCACCGCTTTTCGCCCTGCCGAACCCCACTACCTACGCCCTCCTGCTCCTCTCAACCTGTCCTGCTCCACTTCCAACTGCTGCTGCCCCTCTTCTTCCTCCTGCTTTCATATCCTGCTTCTATTCCTGTTCCTGCTTCAGCTGCTCCTTCTCTCCCTCCTGCTCTTGCTGCTTCTGCTCCTCTTCCTTTCCCCCTTCCTCCTCCTCCGGCTGCTGCTGCGCCTCCTCCTCCTCCTCCTTCTGCTGCCGGAGATCGTATGCGGTGTACTTTGCGGATGAGCCCCGGCAGCGTTCCGCCGGGTACTTGACCGCGTTCTTGGCCATCTTGCTCAGCGCCGCTCGCCCCAGGTCCACCCCGCATGCATCGGCCAGCCGCACCTGCCGCCGGGGCGCGCAGGACGCACCAACGGCAGAGCAGGGAGGGGGGTCAGCAGCGGCGGCACAAGGAGGAGTACGTAGCATCAACAAACAATATTACCCCAACACCCCCTGGCCATTCAACCCTCCCCCCGACCCCACCAGGTACAGCAGCACGTCCGCCAGCTCCTCCGCCACCGCGGTGCGCTGCGGCGCTGTGAAACCCGGCAGTCCGCGCGCCGCCTCGCCCTCGCGGCGCCACTGGAACAGCTCCGCCAGCTCCCCGGCCTCCCCCACCAGGGCCAGCAGCAGATTGCGGGGGGTATGGTACTGGGGGGGGAAGCGGGGGGCAGGGACGGGAAAGGGAAGAAGACCCAGTGTGTTGCATCATAATGGGCAGGAGGGAAGAGAGGGAAGGGATGGAGGGGAGTAAAGAGGAAACCACTAACGAGTGAGGAGTGGCCTGGAGGGAAAGGAGGATGAGGGCGACGAAGGGGGAGGCAGGTACAGTATGATTGTGGGAAGAGGGCAGGCCCAGGTGCGGTGGGGGGGTCTCTTTGCCTCGCGTGCCTGCATGTCCGCTAGACAAGCAACCCGCGTTGCAGAACTATACCGCAGGTGGCAGCAGCAGAGCCCCCCTCCCACCTGCTCCCAATCTCGCTGCCGTGCAAAGTCCTCCAGCTGGCCCCTCAGGGACTCGAGGGACACATCGGACCAGCCGGGGCGCGGGCCCGCGGACTGCTGGGGGCCTCCTGTGTCCTGCTGATGAGCTGTCCGCGGGTTGGGAGCCTCAATTCGTTGGCGCTTCGTGTCGGGAGAGAGCGTTTGGAGTGGCGGGTCTGCTGGCTTACACACCCCGCTTGCGGCGGTCACGCAATTTTGGGATAGTGTTGGGTCGTGCGCAGGTATGGTTCTGCCTGAATCATCAGCCATGCTGCTTTCGACCTAAAGCGTTTTAGCCTTGGCAGTAGTACAGAATGTTGACTTGCTTCAATGTACGTGTGTGGCAGGCGTATGACAGCAGCTAGCGTAGTTCGCACAGCGGTTGCGCGCTCGGATCTATCTACAACACCCTATGCACAAAACATCGGTGCACGTGCGTGCGCTATCATAAACGGTTAACCAGTTACAGCGTAGCCAATCGGAAATTATTATCGCTGTGATGGATGAGGAGCTGGAGCGAGGCTTGGAGCCAAATCCTTCGGATCCAGCGAAACCATGAAGCCAAATTCCAAGAACCAGGCTGGGGCATCCACTTAGGCCTAGAGTGATAGCGAGAATGTAGCTTTGCTCATGTTCGCTGACAGTTCAAGTTATGAGGACTCCATTCGTCCTTAGACCTCCGGCGCGCGGCCTGGCCAGCAACACCCAAGCAAGGTAAGGCCTGCCTGGCCAATCCTGCAGCGCCAACGTAGCACAGCTATGCAACGAGGGTGCTGTGTAGTTTTGTGTCAAAGCACATCTTACTTTGTCAAATCACGCGCAAAGCAAACAGTGGTTGCTGAACGTTGTGTCGCACGTGCGATGTGCCGCACCCCTGCTGTAGGATACATCCTTCTCAGGGCAGCAGCGTCGCTTATGGCGCCTGCAAAAGAGCAGGGAGCGCTTTACATGTAGCGTAACGATCTGTAGTGCCGGAGCGCTAGTGATGTAGTCCACGATTTGACAAGTTCCCCTGAGGTGATACCCGGCAGACCCAATGCATTGCACTGCATTGCCGTTACAGTAGCGTTGGTGTTGCTGCACAGCTTGCACCGAGCTGTCCATTCCTCATTATGGCCAGCCAACGTTCAAGCAAGAGCCGCAAGACCGCGTGCCGATGTGCCGAGTCTTGATCTGCCGAGTCTTGATCGATGCACGGGCGCAGGGGGCCCCGTCTCCTGTGGTGGAGGTACCGGCACCTGTCTGCAGCAAGAGCGTACCGTAGCATGCAAGGGAGCCGTGAGGGGTCATTGGCGCACACCAGCAGGGCGGAGGGAGCTGTCCGGCTGCCGCTGGAAGCACGCGTGCATGCCGTGGTACGAATGTGTGTGATGACAAATTAGCACCAACGCTTGCACCCGCTAACGCTAACGCCCAACCCCTCCCAATCAGCCAACAGCAGCTACCGTAGCAGCTGCCTTGCTGGCTGGCTGGTTGGCACCTCGCGAAGGCACACCCACCTGCAATGCGGGTTGCACCGCGGACCCGGGCGAATCCGCTAGGACACCACCGGACTAGCTCGGTACTCCACTTGCTGGCAGCGTAAGGGCGCAGCCAACGATACACCACCGTCGCCGCGGCCACCGCTACCTTTGCAGCTGCTCGCGCCTTTTCCTGGTTTCCCCCCTCCTCAGCCCCTGCACGTCGCTTTGTGGCGGGGCCAGTGCTCCCGCTGGCAGCGAGGGGAGCAGTAGAAGACCTGCCGACAGCGGCCGCAGCGGAGGAGCGACGGACACGATAACGAGGCAGCGGTGGCTGAGAGCGTTTGGGAGCTGGTGCTTGGCGCATCGCCACTGGTACTGCCTGCCAGCGGCGGAGGGTGTGACACTTCTGTTCTGGCACTGCCGGGACCTGCAGCCCCACTCCATCGTCCAGCAATGCCGCAGTTGGCGCAGCACTGGCTTGCGCCGGAGGGTTCGGAGGGTGACGCTGGTGTTGCTGTTGCATCGTATTTGGCAGGGTTGCCAGCCTGCGCCTTGGCCACACGTAGCAGCTCAGCTTCTAGCTGCTGCGATGTGTACTGCTGATGCCTTTCGTGTTGGAGCGCTGACGCTGCTGAGCCATCGCTGGAGTTTGAAGATGTGTCAGTTGCTATGGCAGCGGTGGAAGCTCTGGATGCGGCGCTTGCTGCTTCCGCGGCTGCTCGATCGGCAACTGCCTTGGCGACATGCGGCTCCAAGGAGGCAGCTGCGCCGGGGCCAGTGAGCGGAATGGCACCAGGTACTGGGGGCTTGTCCCGAATACTACGCATCTTTTGAAGCCGATCAAGGCGCAACTTCACACCCGGCAGCATTGCGCGCAGTTCCGCGGGATCAATGGCTCCGGTGAGCAGCGAGCACACAGACGAAGAAAGGAAAGCATTGACGCGTTGAATAAAGGCATCGTAATGCTGGATGGCATTGTCTAATTTGTGATCCTTGTCTGCAGCCTCAGCTAGAGACAGCTCATCAAAGGAGGCGTTCAGGTATTCTACAGCGTTCGCTGGTGTGATCGATTCCGCCATTATGCTTCTATAATTGTGGAAATCACGTGTGACGGACGTATGCGACGCTTGATGGGCGGACTACAGATGGTAGCGACGATGATTGCCCAAACGATCGGAAAGTCGTACATGTGCCATGCTAACCAAACCACCTGAAACGTCTGTAAGCCTGTCACACTTGCAGGACGGGTTATCTCATGTCGCTTCCACGGCACTGACGAAGTGACGATGGACCTCGACGACGGGGAGCGATACGCAGCTGCAGCCCTCTTTACCCTCGCCCTACATACAACACAGGTTAGGACACATATAATTAGCATGTAACGTTGAGTTAGGAGCCCATAATTCGCTGACTTTCCTTGGCTTCCTGACAAACTTTCGTATGGGTTGGACCCAACCGCTGCATCTTTGTGCACTCATTGCTTTTGTAGACTGAGACTGGTGTAGACGAGAATGGCAGCCGCCTTTCAACCTACACCTCAGCTTGGGGTGAGGCTTCTTGCAGACAACTGCTCGACATGTAACAGCTCCGCGAGTCCCAATACTGCTGCCACTACGCAGGATGCCCTGACGAGGAACTCTTTGACGACCTCATTTGCGTGCCCGAGGATGAGCCCTGGCCGGGCATGGAGGTAGGCACGTTGCGCTGAGCCCTAACGTTCTTTCCAGCCAACATCGCCCCGCCAATTCCAAGTTTCCCTGGCTTCCAAGCCATTACCTGGCTAACCCTAAGCCCGCGCTCCTAAACACTTGGTTGCGATCTTTATCGCAGGTGCCCAAGGGCTTCTGGGGCTTCGACTGTTGCGCACCTCAGGGGCTATGCCGGCGCGTGTACAGCGCAATGGGCATAGCGGAAGCGCGATGGCCAGGTGAAATCCCGTCGGTTTGTAACACAACTGTCAGACCCCCAACTGGACGGTGTTGCCCTCTGCCTGCCTTAGCTGCCCCTGTATGGCCACTGTTGCTGAACCCACGCAGCCCAATCAACCCTAACCAACCCCCTCTACCTAACGACCATGTGCCTCTTTCTCTTGCCGTACATACACTGCGCTGTGCCGTCTTGAGCTGTGCTGTGCTGTGCTGTGCTGCGCTGTGCAGGCCTCCTCAAAGCCCCGTGTGTGCCGGATGCCGCCAACGCCCACGAGGCTCAGGTTGCACTGGTGGCCCTCGTACGCAGGTGGGAGCAGGGAGGGACGGGGGGGACGGGCAGGGGGGCCAAAGTGAGGAAGGGGGAGGTGCCGTACCCCTGCCTCCGTCTCAAGGGCAAGGTAGGCCCCCGCAGGCCCCCAGGTAGCCACCCCAGCTACCCCCCAGCACAACCCAACCCGTCCCTCTCCTCCTGCACCGCCGCCTTCCTCTCCTGTCTCCTCTCCCCCCTCCAGGTACGGAGCCCTGCTGGACCCCGCAGTGGCCCCGCACATCGCTCGGGCTGCTTCCTTGGAAGGGCTGGAGGGGGAATCCGGGCGGCAGCAGCAACAACAACAACAACAGGAGCAAGCGCAGCCGCATGAGCAACAACAAGAACAGCAGGAGCAAGCGCAGCCGCAGAGAAAGGCTAACGAGGAAAGCTGCCAGCAGTTGGGAGGGCAGGAGCTGCCGGGGGAGGGGCCCCTGCAGGTGGAAAACTCAACAGGAACCATGTGTTCGGAGCAGCAGCAGCAGCAGCAGGTGTCACCGCTGTTGCATCCGCAGCAGCAGCAGGTGCTGCTGCCACCTCAGCCGCAGTTGACTTCCGTTGGCCAGCTTTCAGTGCCATCGGACCCGCCCCAACTCCCATCGCAGCAGTTCCCATCGCAGCAGTTCCCATTGCAGCAGCAGCCACAGCAGCAGAAGCACCCACAGCAGCAGCAGCACCCACAGCAGCAGCAGCACCCACAGCAGCAGCTGCTGGAGTGTCAAGCGGTTGGTTCGCATGCGGCTGATTCGGATGGCAGCATCGAGGAAGCAGCCTGCGAGGGGAGGTCGGGTGGGGTTGTGCAGCAGGAGGGGGACGCTCGGGCGGGCGCTGCTGCTGCTGCTGCGGCGGCGGCGGCGGTGGCGGCTGCGGCAGGAGAGCCGTTGGGTGCGGTGGCAGGCGGGCCTTCGGAGGTGGCGGCGGTTGCGGAAGATGCAGGGCAGGGGGAGGGATGCGGGCAGGAACAGGGTGCACAGGGGCCAGGGCAGGGAGGTGGCATTGGAGGCCTGAATGAGGCTGCGGATGAGAACAACAAGCAGCGGGGTCAGGAGCATGTGGGGTGCCGGCCGAGCAGGAGCTGCTCTGGAGGCGGTGATGGAGGTGGTGGAGGTGGTGGCGGGGGTAGTGAGGGCGCAGGGGCTCGGGGGAGCGGCAGCAGCAGCAGCAGCTGCGGCCCCCGCCCGCTGCATGATCCCACGCACCAGTCCGTGCTAGCCTTGTACGAACTCATTGGCGCCTGTCTGCGGGCTTCGGCGGTAGCTGTTGCCGGGAGCAGTGACGGCGGTGATGACGGCGGCGGAGGGGGAAGTGAGGAGGCTGGGGCCTCGTCCAGATGCGGTGGCGGCGGGGCGGCCGTGGGTGGTGGTGCTGCTGCTGCTGCTGATGTTGTCGGTGGAAGTGGGGGAGGCGACTGCGGCGGTGGTAAGGTCGGCAGCAGCAGCAGGAGCAGTGGCTTCTTCAGCAGGGCGAGGTGGGGCGGCAGCGGCCGAGGAGGAGCGGCAGCAGGGCCGGAGGGAGGCGGCGGCGGCGGCGGAGGGAGCGGTGGGGCTGCCAGGAAGTCAGGCACGGGGGCGGCGGCGGCAGCAGCAGCGGTGATGGGGGGGCCGGAGGCCGGGGCGCGGGTCGTGCGTAAACCGCTGGTTCGCTGGTGGGTGGGTGGTGGGTGGGGCTGGGTGTATAGCGGTGGGGCGGTAGACAGTGCAGGAGAGGAGTCGGAGTGCCACGGCACCGCGGGATGGGCTTGCGGGGTGTGGCTGGGCGGGTGGCTTGCTGCTACCTACCTGCCTGCCAGTTCACTACATGCATTCACACCTCTCCATACGCCGTGACAGTACCCCAGTACCTTACCGCTACCCGCCCACACCCACACCCACGCACATCCCCCAACACCCGCAGGTACGATGCTCGCGCGCGTGTTGCGCTCCGCCGCTTCTGCCACTGGCTGCACATCCCACCCGCCAAGATGCACGCCATGGAGCAGATGTGGGCGCTGCAGCTGCTGCGGCTGGGCGGCGGAGGCCAGTGCGGCGGGGGGTTTGACTTTGGCGACAGCGCAGCGCGGGTGGGCGGCGGGGCGGGCGGGCGGTACTGGACATACCTCAAGATCAGCGCGGGGGCGCTGGGGGGCGCGGCGCTGCTGGCGCTGACGGGTGAGGTGACGGGTGGTGCGCTGCGTTGCAGAGTTCTGATGTGCGGTTGGGGATGTGCGGTTGTGGGATGTGGGAGGTGCCGGTAAGGGAGGTAAGAAGAAGGAATGGTTTTCCGGTTCCATGCGCTCCCTGCATTCCCTGCCCACATGGCGCTGCTTTACCCATATCTCAAAACGAATGGCCCCTGAACCCCTCATCCCTTCCCTTCCTTGCCCTTCCTTGCCCTTCCTTGCCCTTCTCTCCCTCTTCCCTCAGGCGGTCTGGCCGCTCCCGCCATCGCCGCCGGCCTGGGCAGCGCCATCATGGTGCTGCACGGCGGCGCGGCGGCCGCCACCGCAGTCAGCACGCTGGGGGCGTCCGCAGCCGGCACCGCCGCCATCAGCGGCACCTTTGGCGTCATCGGCGCCTCGCATGCGGGCAGCAAGACGGCGGCGCTGTACGGTGAGGGGGTTGCATGGGGGCACATGGGGGCAGGTGCTTGGAGGTGCGTGAAAGGTGCATGCATGCATGGTGCGTAAACGTGGTGGTTTTGTCGTGTGAAATGGTACCAGGGCTCCAGGGGGCGTTAAGGGAGCGGCCGCGCAAGGGGGTACGTGAGCAGCCTCTCTCACATGCTCCGCACTTCCCCGCCCTGTGGATTCGTGCTTTCCTTGATGCGCAGGCGACCTGCAGGAGTTTGGTTTCCTCAGCATCTCCTCCCCCTTGCTGCTGCCGCCTGCGCCCTCGGCGGCCACCCCACCGGAGCCTGAGGCTGAGGTGGCGCCTGGTGAGGTGGCCTCTTCATCCACTACCGCCGCAGCCGCTGCCGCTACGGCTACTGCTACAGCAACAATAGCCCGGACAGCCTCAGCCTCAGCCTCGGCCATGGAGCTACCGCCCTCACAGCTTGAAGACGTGAAGAAGCCGGCCACCTGCACGTCGTGTAAGATCGCCGCTGCGGCACCACCGCAGCAGCAGCAGCAGCGGAAGAGCTTCCAACTCCAACAGCTCTGCGGCGGCGGCCTTGGTGGCGCCAGCAGCGGCAGCCTCGCTAGCGTTGGCCCTGGCGGCAGCGTCGAGGATGATGATGACCCATGGGCCTTTGATGATGAGGAGGGTGATCCCTGGGCAACTGAGGCGGCGCTAATGCAGCTGCAGCAGCAGCCACAGCAGCTGCAGCAGGCGGGCGAAGCAGCGGGTACGTCTGCGCCTAGTGCTGCTATGCGGGCTCGGCTCGCACATGCGTGCGCGGGTGCTGACCGGGTTGACATTGCCTTTGTTGAGGCGCTGCTCGCGGAGTTGGATGCGGAGGAGGCAGACCTGGACGGGGGCGGGGATGGCGGTGAGGCGGCTGCTGGTGGCAGCAGTGCAGGCAGCATTGGGGGAGGCGGCGGTGGCGCTGTTGCTGCTCCTGTACCCCAGCAACAGCGACAAGGGGTGTCAGCTGCGTGTGGGGGCGGCGAGGGGGGCTGCGGCGGCAAGTCCAAACCTGCATCCAAAGCCGCTCCCGGCTGTGGCTTACAGCCGCCCGCTTCCTCGGCTGCTGCCTGTAGCAGCGACGCCGATTATAGCTCTACCTCCAATAGTAAGTTCTGGAGCTGGTTTCGGGGCGGCGGCAAGTCCGGCAGGACCACCTCCGCCACCGCCACCGCGGCGCCGCCCGACGCCGCTGCCGCTGCCACGTCAGCCTGCTGCTCCGCCGGCAAGCCCTCGCCGGCGGCGGCTCCCGCTGTCAACGCTGTCCCCGGTGCTCCTCCTGCTGGCGCGGGGGGTGCCAATCCTGGTGCGGGTACCAAACGGCGACACGAGCCGCCGCCGCTGCTGCGTGTACCTGTGAACCCCCGCCGGGCCGGGGATGCCACCCTCGCCCTCACCATTGCGGTAAACGGGTGAGAGCAGCTTTTGGTTGGGAGCATGGCTGAATGGCATGTGGTCCAGCTCAGTGTTCCTGACAGGGAAGGACCTCCGTGACCTCAGTGGGTGGTCTGCCAGGAACCCCCTTCGCCTGCCCTCCCCCACTCCTGCCCCCACCCCCGTTCCGGCGTCTCCCGTCTCCCTACTCCGCGTCTCCTGCACCCCCGCCCCCCGCCCCCAACCTGTGGTTTTCTATGGTTTGGTATGGTTTGTTTCCCCCACCCCCAACAGCTCGACTCACGGTTGATTCCACCAGGGATTGTTAGCAACTTGTATCATTATCACACCACACTTTGGAATTTCTTTTTCCACCCCCAACAGCTGGGTCAAGTGCACCGACGACTTCGTGTCCCCCTGGCGCCCGCTGCCGGCCGCGGGTCGGGAGCTGTGGGGGCTGGTGTGGGAGAGCGATGTGCTGCGCTCGCTGGGCGGCGCGCTGCGGAAGTTCATTCGCGACAAGGCCATCGAGGAGAGCAGCAAGATGGTGGTGCGGCTGGGCGTGTCAACGGGTGGGCGGGGGTGGGGGGGGGGGTCAAGACCATAGCAAACCATAGGAAACCACAGGTTAGGGCAAAGCAGTGGGGAAAGCAATATCGGGGGGGTCAAAGACCATACCGAACCATAGGAAGCCATAGGAAGCAATATCAGGGGGGGGGTTGGAGGAAGGGAGGGAGGGAGGAAGGCTAGAGGGGGCTGTGGAGGGCGTAGGCTTGGAGTGGAGTGGAGGGGGGTTCGCCTACAGGACGGATGGCCTGGCGTGAAGGGTACGCAGTGACGACCTGGGAATGCACCGCCGTAGGCCTACCGCGGCTTTGGCACGCCGTATTTTCCCCGTATGACATGCAGCATGCTAGCGGCCGCCTTTTCCGCCCCCCGTTCTCCGCGCCTGCAACCCCCACCTGCCACGATGACGCTGTATCACACACTCAGTTACCGGTAGTTGTTTCCTCTGTACCCACCCACCCTCCCTTTTCCTTCCCCTCTTTCCCCTCTCCCCGCCCCCCTGGACCTCAGCCCTGGTGACGGCCATGATGCCCGCCATGGCCGTCATGAGCGCTATTAACATCACCATCGGCAGGTACGACAAGGGGGGGGGCGGAGGGTGGAGGGTGGAGGGAGGAGGGCGCAGGAAAGAAAGAACAGTCACACCCAATACCCAATGCCCGTTGCCCGACCAACTTTACAATGGCCGAGGCAGTGGCTCCTCCGCTGCCTTGCCTCCCCCTCAAGGGCCTCAACCCACCTGACCGCACCCCGCCTCTCGCCCTCACCTCACCTCCTCCCCCCCCTCGCTCCCCCAGTCGCTGGCGTGTGGCTCTGCGGCGGGCGCAGCTGGCGGGTCGCTGCCTGGCCCACCTGCTGATGCAGGGGGCGCACGGGGACCGGCCCGTGACACTGGTGCGTGTGCGGGGATGCGTGCGTGCGTGCGTGGTTTATAAAGATCTTAGCAATACATTTATCTTTTTTAAAGATCTTAACATACACCCCCATCGCCACCCTCCCCAGATCGGTTTCTCCATGGGTGCTCGCCTCATCTTCCACTGCCTCCTCGAACTCAGCCGCTGCGGCGCACGAGGCCTGGTGGAGTCTGCGGTGCTGCTGGGCACCCCGGTCAGCGCGAATGAGGCGCGTTGGACGCAGGCGCGCGTCGCGGTTTCGGGGCGCTTCGTGAACGCCTTTTCCGCGAACGATTGGGTGTTGGGTGTGATCTTCCGCGCGCACAGCCGCAACAGTTTGGTGGGGCGGGGTGCGGCGGGGTGCGCGCCGGTGGCTGTGGCGGGTGTGGAGAACACGAATCTGTCGGCGTTGATTGCGGGGCACACCCAGTATCTAGAGAAGCTGGAGGAGGTGCTGAGTGCGCTCAACCTGGTGGAGAGCTGAGGGGGGGGGGGAGGAGGAGTGGGGTGGTGTGGGAGGAGGAGTGGGGTGGTGGGAAGTGGTGGTGCGAGGCCGGTGCCGTTTGGGGTGGACAATGGGGGCGGGAGATGAAAGAAGGATACCCAATGTGTTTAATGTGGCACTGGGGGGATGATAGCGTGCGTACGGTAGTATGGGAGTGGTAAGGAAATATGGCATTTTGGACATTGGCGAGTACAGGGAATAGGAAGGGAAACTGCCTTTTCGGAACCTGCCTGCCTAGTGGAGTTAGTGACCTCCTAGCATGGGCTGCAGGGAGGGGAATGCTTTCCCCATACACTGTGCAGTGTGCACCCCTAGGCCAGGGAATGGGAAGAGCCTCTTGCGTGTGGACACGGCAAGCCATGTATGATGTAACCGAGGCTTGCACACACCACTGCATGTGATCTGGAGTACGCGGTCAGGTCTGCACTGACGCAACACTGATGCCAAAGATCAGTCCATCCATTTGTCCATCTGTCGGCAGCATGTGGTGCATTGGTCGCATGCTCGCAGAGGGCATTTTGCCTGAGAGCACTTGAGCCTGCTGGTGTGTACCGTGCGCCCTGTGTTACCTGTTTGTGGAAGATCAGCAGGTCATGGCCAGTTGGCAGATGGCCAAGATTCTACCTTTGTGTAGGGATTGCCTACCAGGCAGTCCGGAATGTGGGACTGTGTGGTTGCGTCAGTTTGAACTCCATCATGATTTCACGGGCGCCTAGCCAAGCTAGGCAGATCTGGAAACCCGGCATGTTTCCAATTCAGCGCAACACAAGTGGTGTAAATACTGAGAAAGGGTCCTAGGCCTCCCTGAGGAAGCAACGGCTCACGGCAATGGGTGATGGATAAAAATTTCCATTGTATACGGGCAGAGACTACAGACCGGGAGGCGCGATGGAGACATTGACCTAGACAGGCTCGAACAAATACAGTGGCTGGCCTTACAGCCAGCTAGATATGCAGTGCACGCCCTTCAGGAACGATCGGTCAACCTGTTGTTGTGGAGTGCGATGCACCAAGAACCACGGATAGGCGCGGAGTTGCATAGGACTGCCGCAGTCAGACAACAGCTGTTGCCCTAATAGTTGGGTCATGGGAATGTCCCTTATAGTAGATCAGAATGAAACCCTTTTAAGGAAGCCTGGATGACTCAAGATCGATGCAGGGAGGTGTGTGCCGTCCCGTTAACGGGCAACCATGTACGACCACCCGTAAATACATCCCAGACTATGCTTGCAGATGGAAAGGCGGACAGATGCGAACTGCACCATGCCCTTTTTTACTACAGTTGGAATACGCTTTCGTCGGTCCTTCTTTGGCGGCAGCCAGCACCTTTCGCAACGTTTCAATATCGCAAGCTTTTGATCCTAATATTTATGTCCTGTGAATAGCAAACCGGGAATCATACTTACCCTTTTTGGCTAAGGTGCAAGCGAAGGCTCAACCGAAACGGTATGCTAGGTGCTTGCAGCCTCAGCCCGTGAATTGAGACTATAGCTCAGTGCTTATCTTATCCGTGCTGCTTGCTGTTTGCCAAGCTAGCACCAATTCAGGAGAGCTTTCTCCACCCTGTAAGGCTTCCGCTCCACAGTCTCAGCCAACTAGTGAGGCGATATTTGGCCAGTGCTGTTCTTGCATAGCGTTTCCGGGGCCAAGCGAACACTAGTTACTCAGCTTGGATGGTCAGCCAGGCGGCATTGGGGCGCAGCGAAGGCCATTCCCGCATCCTGAGTGGCTAATTGGTTCAGTGCTGATCATAACATTATGGATAACAACCTCAACCGCTTGCGCTTGGGGCAAGCCCAGGACGTAACTGGGCAGCAACAGCGCCTTGATGAGGAGGGCAGGCCAGGGCCTGGCACCCGGCCAACCACAACAATGGCAACGCAAGAGCCCGGACCAAACCGCTGTCAGGTAGGCGCAAGCCGAAACAACGGTGCTTTTGTTGGCCGGTATTAGCTGCAGCCTCAACGCCGCGGATTTCATAACGAGCCGGCATCGTAACAATTGCTTATTTTTATTACCATCTTAAACGCATCATTATGGCTAATCGCGCAATACATGCGTGACGTTTGGGGTTCGTCGCCCCGGTCGCCTAGGTTGCCTGTCGGGAGACTTTCTTTGACAGGTCGCGGGTGCAAAACTTACCCAAGGCGCACTTCAAGCCATCCACTGCATTGAGGCCGCCAAGCTGCACCGAGCTGCTGCAGCGGCCCCGGACCATCTGCCGTGCAGACACGCAGGCCCTCTTCCGCTCATATTCCTCCTTCCCAGTCCGCGCGCCCCCCCGCCCGCCTGGTCCCTGCAGGTTGACAACTGTGATGCGGACCTGAAGAACCTGCGGCGCTACTTTCGTCGCTACCATGTGTGCGAGACGCACATCCGCGCCCAGGTAGGGGGCGCAGCGTGGTCGGAAAGGTGCATGCCGCCGCCTTGCCTGGGGCACAGCATAGGCAATCATCATGTGTGCGAGACGCGCGAAACGTACTATGAGTGCCTTATCAGCTCTGCGCTTTGCGTGGTCCGCTACGCGCATCGCAATGGTGGGGCTTGCTGCTGGCTGCTGTGGCTCTGGTACAGGCAGGGGCTGGCGGTTAGGGATGACATGTCTTGACCTGCTAACCGCTGATCCCAACTGCTCCCCATGCACACCCCAGGTGGTGCACATCCGGGGCTGTGAGGTGCGATTCTGCGACCAATGCAGCACATTCCACCCGCTGAGCTACTTCGATGGGACACGCAGGTGGGGGTACAGACGGGGTGGGGGTCGGGGCTGGCTGGCATGGCATGGCGTGTGGCAAGCGTGGCATGGCAGGGTTTGGCAGTTCGGAACGTTCATCATGCGTCCCCGGCAGGGACTGACCTTGGCTCATGGGTTGAAACAACTGGCCGCGAGTCGGAACGTACTGGGCCCCGCATGGGGCACGGCCTGCAGAAATGCATGGGTTCGACGCCAGAAATGCCAACAACCAGTTGGCCATACTCTTTGCTTTTTACTCTGTTGCCTTAACTGCTATGCAAGCCGCATTGAACAAGGCGTCAGCTACGTTTCCAGCGCGGTTGCGCTTACAGTTCGCAATAGCGCTTGCCAGCTAGGGGCGCCACCACACATGTTTACCCGTTAACGCATGCCCATCCACGCTGCCGCACACACAGGACCTGTCGTGAGAAGCTGGAGTACAACCGCATGCGCCGGCGCGCGCGCAAGGCGCAGAGCACAGCCGCTGGTCAGGGCCAGGCAGGGAGGGCCGCCGCAGCACCAAATTCCGCCGCCGCCACCGGCGGCGCCCCTGGGCCCGGCGGTGGCAGTGGCGACGATGTGGACTCAGACGACCAGCCCGCCAGCGGCAGGGGTAGCGGCCAGGGCAGCGGCCAAGGAAGTGGCGTCGGCAGTGGCAGCGGTCAAGGCAGCGGGCAGGCGGCTGACAGCGGCGGCGGCGGCGGTGCCGCGTCGCCGTCTTCGCGGGGAACCGGCGCTGCGGGTCGAGGTCAGGCGCGGAAGCGACAGAGCGGAGTACAAGAATCGCGCAGGCAGCAGCAGGCTGCGCGCCAGGCGTCCATGCGCGATGTCACGGGTGCCAGTCACGGGGGGCTGCAGCGCACGGGGGGCGGGGAGGCTTCCGATGTGGAGGCTGACACGACGCGCAGCGGTCATGGGCCTGACGACGGCGGCAGCGAGGCTGGCGACTGGCGCGATGGAGCGCTGGCTGCTGCCATGCAGGCAGCGGCTGCCGCTGCGATGTCGGGTGCTGCGGACGGTGCAGCGCTGAGCGCGGCTGCGGCGCTAGGCTTGGGTGCCGGCGGGGGTTTCGCGGGTCGACGTGCCGCCTCGCTGCCTATGGATCTGCAGACGGCACAAATTGCTCTGCCACGTCGCACCCTGGAGCTGCTGGATGAGCAGCAGCAACAGCGGCAGCTGCAGCAGCTGCAGCAGTTGGAGTTGCTGCAGCTTGGGCTGCCCGCAGGCCCCCTAGGAGCGGGCATGGGTCGGGGCCCAACTGCTGTCGCAGCAGCGGCGTTACGGGTCCTTCCGCAGCAGCAACAGCAACAGCAGCAGTTGCCGCCGCATGCGCTGCTGCCCCTGTCGCCACGTGCACCCGCATCCTCGGACCAAGGCGGGCTGGCGGAGGCTCCTTCGAAGGCCCTGTCCGCTGATGCCGTTGGCGCTGGCGGTGTTGCTGGTGCCGGCGGAGGCATCCAGGTGCCGCGTTACCACTCGGTTGGCCACCTGGGTGACAGCGGGCGGCTGGGCATGTTGCTGGACCTGTCCGGGCAGCAGCAGCCGCAGCAACTGCAGCTGCAGCAGCAGCTGCAGGCCGGGGCGGCGGCGCTGATGGCGGAACAGGAGCTGGGGAGGATGGTCCAACTGACCGTCGCCGGCACGCCGCAACTGCCCGACCACGCTTCCCTGCCTCTCGGCTACACACGCGCTGCCCCAACGGGGCCCGTCAGGGGAGCTCGGGGGTGCAGTCTTGGTAGCGTGTTCGGTAGCTCCGGTGGAGGGCCCGCTGCGGCCATACAGAGGCTTCAAGAAGGCGCGGCCAGGCCGCCCGCTTTCCCGCCCTCGGCGACTCTAGCGGCAGAATACGGGGGGCAGCCTGCAGCCATGCTGCATGGGCCCAGTCTTTTGGGGCCCTGGTCGTCACCACCGCTGCCAAGCGCGCCGCCATCGGTGGGGGGCGCCTCTGCGGAAGGTTCGACTGGTCAAGAGGCCGCGATGGAGCTCGCCGGGGAGCTGCAAGGCTCAAACCTGCGCCACCTGCCGCCGCCGCCGCCGCTGCAGCCCATGCTGAGCGAGGTCTTCCCGTCCTTCCAGCTGCCGGGAGCCCTGCAGCACCCGGCGCCGGCTCGGCGGCAGTCGGCAGGCTCCTCGATCTACACGGGAGATGAAGAGGCCATGGCGGTCGACCTGAGCGCTCAGGAGGTTGACATGGCGCTCGCTGCGGAGGCCAGAACCGGCGCTGTCGCTGCAGCGGCAGCTGCTGAGGCCATGACAACCGGTGCCGCGTCATCATTAGCGGCGGCGGCGGCTTCGGAGCGCGATCTTGATGCGCTGGCTGCGGCTTCAGAAGGGCATGTTATGTACGGTGGAATGGGCGCGTTAGGTGCCACTGCCGCTCGGCATGGAGGCCAGCGTGGGAGCTCCATGCCTCAGCTGCTCCATGAGCGGCAGGAGCCAGCACTCCAGGGGGAGGTGTCGCTGCCGCTGCAGCAGCAGCTGCTGCGCCTGCAGGACTCACAGTCATGTGTTGAGGCACCGGAGATTTGTCTGACGGACTCGTTCAGAAGGGAAGTCTCGGAGCTGCAGGCAATCGCACAGCAACAGAGGAGTGGTGGTGCTGGTGCTGGTGCTGGTGGTGGGGAGCAGGCTGCTGGAGCTGGACTTGGAGCCGCGCCCCCGGCCAGCGGAGCAGCACCAGGTCCGGGCCTGCTAACCAGCCGCCTGAGCAGGAGGTCACATGTGCCACCCGCCCCTCAGCAACAACCCACGCCCCAACCGTTCCAGGGCAGCAGCGGTGCGCAGGCAGCAGATCAGCCGCACCCGCAGCAGCAGCAGCTACAGCACCCAGGCAGGGAGCCACACAATCAGCAGTCGCGACAGGGTGCTGCACCACAACAGGAGGAGCCCCCTCCTCATCCTTCCCAACAGCAGCAGCAGCGGGTCCCAGGGGGTGTGCCAGCCGCTGCGGGGCTGAGCGCCTTCCATCAGCAGGAGCCCGAGGGACTGGACATGGACGACCTGGAGTTTGGGTTGGAGCTGGAGCAGGGCAGCCTGCCGCTGGGGATCTCGGGCCTGCTGCAGCAACTGGCCTCGCAACCCCAACAGCAGCTGCAACAGCAGCAGCTGCAGCAGGATCCCTTTACGGGGCTGACGTCCCGGCTCTCCTTGGCGGCGGGCGCCTACGCAGGAGGACGTGGCTTTCCGTCGCACCAAGGCCATGGCAGCGCACATGAGCAGGCACAGCAGCACGCCACCCTGGCCTCGGCTGCCTCCTTGATCAGTGCGCAGCAGCAGCAGCTGGGGCTGGGCGGCGGCGCGGGGGCGGGGGCGGGCCAGGAGCTGATGCCATCGCCCTCTCCGGGCGCGGGCCGACCCGCCCGGCTGCAGCCGCAGTCCCTGTCCGACCAGGCCCCCGCTGGTCAGCCCTCGGATCCTGCGGGCGGCCTGCTGTCCACTGCTTCGCTGCCGGTGGGCCGGCTGGAGGATGTCCTGATGCGGCGCGCGGGGCCACTCGGCATGGGCGGTATGGGTGCCGCAGGAGGCCCCGAGGAGGCTGGCGGTGGCGGGGTCTTGGGCGAGGGCCAGGGCCATCAAGGCGGCAGTAACATGGCGGGTGTTGTGGCGGCCGCTGCTGCCCGAGCGGGTTATGGTTCTGAATCGCAGATACCGCGTGTGTCTGGGCTGGGGCTGGGGTTGGGGGTTGGGCTGGGGCTTGAGCTGGGTCGAGATGAGCGGCGAGGGATGAGGTTGGGCTCTGCGGGCGATGTGGAGGCAGCCCAGCGACACCGTCAGCTGGTCCAGCAACGTCAACAGCAGCAGTTGTTGATGAGCCTGCAACAGCAGCAACTGCAGCAGCTGCAGCAACAGCAACAGCAGCAGCACCAACTGCAGCAACTCCAGCACCTGCAGCAGCTGCACCAACAACAGCAGCAGCTGCAGCTGCAGCCCTATCAGTTACAGCAGGGCGTTGGGTACAGGCGCATGCAAACGCAGCAGCAACAGCAGCATGGGCCTTCCCTGCTGTTCCCGCAACTGCCTCAGCAGCAGCCTCAGGGTTTCCTGCCGCTGCCGGGTATGTTTGGGCCAAGCCAGGAGAGCCCCCAAGCGCAGGGCTTGGTGCAGGGCGCCTGGCCTCCGTCTGCGAACTTGCAGCACATGGCGGCAACCGGAATGTACCTCGGCAACCCGATGGGCCGGGAGCAGCCGCACCTGCTTCCCCGGCAGCCCCTCTACCACATCCAGGAGCACCCGACCCCCCACCTCCACCACCACCACCTCCACCACCACCACCAGCAGTCGCCACAGCAACAGCCGCAAGCCATGGACTTCCAACTGCAAGCAGATGAGCACATCGTGACACTGGCCGGCAGCATTGGGGCCACCAGCATGGAGGGCTTGTACGGCAGCTTGAGCCCGCATGGCATGGCAGGCGGCTTTGGCGAGGGGGCGCACTTGGGGCCGGGTCTCCAGCTGTCGCACCTTGCATTAAAGCTGAGCCATGCACGGCCGGAGGATTTGCCTGGGGACCTGCAGGAGCGACTGGGCGGCATGTTGGGGAGAGCGGGCGCGTCGGGACTGCCGCCCACCATTCGGCAAGGTGGGGAAATGGGGCTTGGCGCGGCGTGGGGAGCCTCGGGCCGGTGCATCCGCCCTCGGAGCCATTGCTACCCTGTGCATCCCAGTCCTCGTCCAAACATTGTAATATTGCGTCTCGCCGCTGCTGCCTGTGCGCATGTTGCCTGCTGCTATGAACTTGACCGAAACCTGGGCATACCATGTAGGCAAGCGATGCCGTTCGTACTCTTCTAGCCCGGTTAAAGCCACGGAAGCATGGGCACACCGACCAGAGGCATTGCCTGCTTGTCTGCACACCTAATCTGACCGCTGTGTGCCACCGACCCCTGACCCGCCTGAACCCCAGGTTGTGTGGAGGTTCTGGTGGAGGTATTGCACAGCTGCTCGCAGTCCACCCTCCGCAACGAGCTGTTCGGCCTGGGGGGCCTGCTGGCGGAGATGGGAGCCACTGCTAGTACTGGGGCTGGTGCTGGCGCTGTTGGCAGTGCAGGAGGCGGACCTGACGCTCTGGACGAGGTCCCGGAGGCGGCGGACGGGGTTCAGCTGGCGGCGGCGAGTGCGGCTGCTGCTGCCCGGGAGCGGCTCCGCGGGCTGGTGGGCAAGGAGACGTTTGACGGCTGCGAGCGAGTGACGATGCAGCTGCTTGGCGGGCCGGTAGGAGGGCCGGGGGTGGGAGGGTGAAGCAGCTTGCGGTCGGCGGAATGTACGCCCTGCGTGACATGGCATCCCTGCTTTGCGATATCTATAATTCACATGTACATAGGTTTAGATAGGTTGCTGGGCCAGCCTAGCTTGCCGTTACTGAGTTGCTGCCTTGCTGGGCCAGCCTCGCTTACCTGCTAAGCTGGGCTTACCTGCGATGCGTGTCGCGCCTCGCCCCATGCCGTTACTGCTGCCGCAGGTCCTGTCCTGCAGGCCGAACGAGGAGCCGCGGCTGCTGCCCTGGTCGGAGGCGCTGCAGGAGGCGGGCGTTCCGCAGGCTGCTGCGTGGCCGGACATGCTTCTTTCCACCTCGGGTCCTCTGGTCCTCGTGACAGGTGTGTAGGCGGCTCGGGAGGAGGGGGTACTTACTGTGCTGCAAATGCATGCACCGGGGGATCTACCGTACACGGTAGGAGAGCTGCGGCTGCTCGGTGACAGATGCCGGAAAGGCGCGTATGTAGTATGTATGGCACACATGGGGCCAAGCCGCTCGCCTAGCCCCATGCACCCACGTATAGCCAGGGTTCGCCCCTCCCCACCCGCTGTCACCATGCTTCCCCACCAAAACAGACGTCGTCCATGGCCCCACCATCACACTCTGCTGTCCGCCGGGGCTCCGAAACCTCCTTAACGGCGGTGTCGTGCGATTGGGCGCGCGCATGGCCGGCGGCCGCAGCGCCCTGGGCCCGGTTGTCCTGTTCCCCGGCGTCGCGGTGTCACCCGCCACCGCCACCGCTGAGGCTGGAGCAGCAGCAGCTGCTGAGGCTGCGGCGGTGGCGGCTGCCGACCAGCCCGGCAGTCTCACGCCAGCAGAAGCACCCGCCGCCACCCTGCGCACAGCCCCTAGCCTGCCGACGGCGGTGCCGGTGACACCTCGTAACGAGACCGCTCCAGACCTGCCGGCCCGCATCGCTCAGGCGACTGCCTTTGCGTTGGGGCTGCTGTGCGCATCGTTACATGCGGATGCTCGGAGCGCGAGCCCTAGCCCTGCTGCGCATGCTGCCGTGCATGCAGAGCCGGGGAGCAATGCTATCCCGGTGTCACCACATGGCATGCAGCGGCAGCATCCACACCGGCCTTCACCGCACCAGCAGAACCACCAACAGCAGCAGCAGCAGCTGTCACGGTCGCCGCGGGCGGTCCTGTCCACCTCACCCCTGTCAGCGCTGTCACCTCGAGGCACCGCAAGCCCCATGCAGGCGGCCCGGGTGGCCCGCGAGGAGTTCAGAGCGCGCTCGCCGCCCTGCCCTTTCCGCTTCGCTGTCGTGGACGAGGAGGACGAGGAGGATGCAGACGCGGAGGAGGATGACGAGGTCTCCGCGCGGGAGGACTCCGAAGACGCGGCGTGCAAGGGAGGCTACCGCTGGAGCCGCGGCCCAGGCTCAAGCGGAGCAGCGTCCTCTGCAGAGGCGGCCCTGGAGCCGGGACACGCTCCCAATGTGCTGTCCGGCGCACCCGCCGGCGCCGCTGCGAATGCTGCTGCTGGTCCTGCTGCTGCAGCGGGCAGCCCCCTGCCCCCCAACAGCAAGGTGCTCTGGTCCCGCTCCTTCAGCCTTGAGGCGCCCCGCGGAGGACTGCTGCACAGCTGCTTCCTGCTGGCACCCGAGTTGTCTGCGCAGCTGCTGGTGCAGCTCTCCGCCATGCCCGGAGGAGCCGCCGCCGTCGCCTGCGCCTCTGCCTCCGCGTCTCCGGCAGAGAAGAAGTCGCTGCTGGCATCGCTAGCCTCCTCGCCGCTGACGCCGCCGTTAGCGCAGAGGCTCAAGCAAGAAGCCGCCAGGGAGGCTTCCGGGTCTGTGGCTGTGCCGGAGGAAGGCGCAGCGGCCCAGGCGGATACGCTGGCGGCCCATACGAGCCTTGCTGTGGCTCTGAGTGCTTACCTGGGTCCCTCGAGGCTCAGCAGCATGCGGCGCGGCAGCTTGCAACGACATGGGGTCGGCAGCAGCGGCGGTGGCGGCGGCGGCGGTGGTGACGCTCACGAGGTGCCCGCCGCTACAGCTGTTGGCGCCTCGGAGCTAGCAGCAGCAGCAGAAACGGGTGCAGAGGCGGGTGTGGGCCCTGCAGAGGGAACGGAGCGCGGTGCCCATAAGCCGGAAGGTGGTGTTGAAGAAGCCGTCGTGGGAGGATCTAGACCCATGGGTCGCCACGAGGCCGATGTTCCAGTTGCCACATCCGGAGCAACAGCGGCTGCAGAGCGGGTGGAGGAGGGGCTCATGCGTGCTGGCAGTTTCAGGCGGGACGATTCCGATTCTGATGCCGCCGCCACTGCCGCGGCTGCTGAAGCTGCGCCACAAGCTGCGCCACAATCTGCTGCAGCTGAGCTGCTGCATCTGCAGTTGCCGCCGCTGCCGCAGCCCGGGTTACTGCTGCTGGAGGCTATGGCGGGGCACGCGGTGGTGGCCAGCTGGCCGCTGCTGGTGGTCGAGTCCGCGCAGCAAGCCGAGGAGCTGAGCAGCCTGTGGCGGCAGCAGGCGACAGGGGCCGCCGCAGCGGACCGGGGGGCAGCTTGGCGGCGACTTGCGGTGGGCTTGGGACTGGTGCTGGGGCAGCTGCCCCGGCTGGGCCATGCAGGGGTGCCGAATGACGGCAGGGTAACAGGAATGGGTTGCACAGCCAACGAAGATGCCCCACATGCAGACACTTTAGCTACGCGGATTAGTGTGGTTGTAGCTGAGGGAACGGAGGCGGGGGCGGTAGCAGCAGCGTCCGCCCTTGGTGAAAGGAACAGCGGTGGCGAGCGCGGTAGCAGCGGCAGCCGCAGCAGCGGCGTGTCGGTTACTTCGCTGCTAGAGTCCTGGGGCACGGGGGCCACGGCCAGCTCCTCGCAGCAATCTGATCAGGGGCCGCAGGGTACGGCAGGCGGCTCGCAGGGCACAGGGCACGATGGCGAGGTTGAGGTTGCAGACGCCAGCGGCGCTGACGGATCCAGGGGTCACACCGCCGAGCCGCATGCAGACATGCGGCGGCTGCAAGATAGTGGTCCATTGACCACCACGCCTGAAGCAGGGCGGGAAGACGTGGAGTCTCAGGTGAGGGCCTTGGCGAGTGGGCTTGCCGCAGTGCGGCTTCAGGAGCAGCGGCAGAGGCAGGAGCAGCAGGTGGAAGAGTGTGGAGGCGGGGCCGCGGGTGGTGCGGCGGCGCCGGTAGTACTGCGGGAGTTGCTGCAACGGCTCCGAAACTACGTGGGATGCAGGTGAGGGGTAAAAATGAGGAAAACTGACGAACTGGATGACTGGGATGCAATTGGGGTGGGGTTGGAGGCGGGCGCGTGCCATTCTGCGATGGTGTTCAACCGGAGGGGGGCCGTGTGCGCTGTGCGCTTGCAGTGACCTCCGTAGGATGGACATCCAGTTTCACTGGATGGTTTAGCACCTTTTCCCTTTTACCTGCCGTTGCTTCTCCCTTTGGCCTGTCTCCGGCCCCTAGCACGCCGCCGCCCCACCCATGCCTGAAACCCCGGCCCGCCACCTTCCAACCCGCAGGCCCCTTCCCGCCTTGTCGGAGCTCCTGGGCAGGCTGGAGTCTGAGAAGCAGTAGGCAACCTGCACCGCCGCTGTGCTTGCATTGCCGTGGCCCGGCCGGATACCAGGTGCACCAGGGGGGGGGCCTGCCGAGACTCTGGTTCGCGGTCATCCCCATATCCTCAGGCAGGCAGCCGGAGACGCCTGTGGCCGCTAAGCATTGTGATGCATTGGGGGGGGATAGGTTGGGCATCCGGGAAATGGCGCGAAGGGACCCGTGTTTGGTCGCCCTTTGCTACAAATGGACCTGCGGCTGTTGTTGGTAGTTGTAGTCGCTGTTGGTGGTGCCGTTCCCTGGAGCCGGTTGCGAATTGCGGGTTGCATGGCTATACCATATTGGGTGGGTGCACTTTGCGGCAAGAAAGGCGCTTTTTGAGGTTGTGGGCACCCGCGGCGTGAAGGTTTGCGGTTGGCCACACTAGTCAGTTGTTGCACAGTAGATTGGAATTGCTTTGGCGAGCTTGGGGTAGGCGGGAGAGAGGCAGGCGGACAGGCGCACTTGGGGCGTTTGGATTGTTGGGAGGTGCTGGTAATGAAACCGTTGTTTGAACTGCCGTTCTTATACGTGTGCTCTGCTAATCTTGAGATACCATTATTGGGGGTTCTTCTATGCCCGAAGCTGTAGCTGCGTCCTGGGGGCGTGTGCCGCGCGAATAAGCCATTGCTGGGCCAGGAGAACGCGTCGTCCTTCTTACAATTGACCTTAGACCCCTGCAGGTTTTGGTAGGCGTAGCGCATCCAAGGTAGTGATGTCACTGGTGGCGTGCCCAACTGGCACCTGGTTTGCATGCCCTCGCCATTCCCGGGTGTTAGGGGGCAGCCGGTTGTCTGAACGCCGCACAACATTCCTTGTTACTACCTATCCCTGCCTTATTGTGATGCGGTACGGTGCGACGAGGTGTGGGTGACAGTAGGGGAGGCGGGCAGGCATAGCAGCATCATCGCCGCCGGTGATGTAGTGTCGGTGATGTGGATTTGCTATGCTACTATATGCGGCTGAAGTGCCTTTGGTGATATAAAGCGCCGAGGCGATGCGGAGTAGGAGTTCTGGGTCTGGATCTGCTGGGGCGATATCACTCATGTGGGTGGGGGACTGCGGGTTCGGTTCAAACTTGGCTGTTGTGCCCCGATGCTGCCACATCTGTGTTCTCGCTGAGACTGCTTCGCTAGCGTTTTGCATGCCTTGCATGCTTTCCTGTGAGGGGCGCGTGCCGGGGGATTCGCCCCTCAACAATACCCCACTCAGAACGCATGCGGTGTAGGTGTGTAGGTTGGACGTAACGTGAGAAGGGAGGTGGCGCAGTGCTAAAGGATGCGCGCTTGAAGGATGTTGTTGCGAAAGGATTAGGGGGAAACCGCTGACACGCGTGCGACCAAACATGCTCGACAACGCTTTATACCCTCCACTGGGCGGCCTTCGGAGCCCAACAGCTATTGTGGCCTCTTGTTGGGGAATGCCGTGCGTCGCTAACACGCTTATTTGCTTCTTGCTTGGGTGGGGTACTGGGGTTGTATGAGTGGAGCCACGCTTTCGTGTTGTGCGGTGATTCTATTTTGCTTCTTCCTCATTGGATCCATTTCTTGAATCCATTCTATACGCAGATGGGCTACTACGCGGCCGGATTGGCTGTCCTCGTGCGGGGCCAATAACCGTTGTTAAAGGGACCAGACACCTGTGGAACGCATGTCAGAGTGGGCTGCGCTTAGGCCGTCTTATCGCCTCTCAAGGCTTCAAATATAGGGAGCTGACGGTGGCTCTGGCTGACGAATACTGTTACCTGTTGCGTGAGGTTAGGGCGGCAGACGGCGGTTAGGGAAAAAGAAGAATAACGGTGCTCAATGTGTTGAATGAGAAGAGCAGCGGTTAGGGGAGGGTGAAGTGTGCCCCTTGGTGGGCGGGCGCAAGGTGGGTGAATGACCGAAAGACACGGCTGCTTTATGTGCCGCCTCAGTGCGTGCGGGAGCTGAGGTTGTACTGCGGCGCTGCTTCCTGGGGTGATTTGGTGGGTCCTCAGGGGGGGATGGGACTGGCGGTTGAGGTGGTTATTGAGCCTGACACCCGGCGGATGGGCTGCTGCGGTGGCAGGTGCAGACAAAGGGTAATCATCCAGGGTAGAGGAGGACTGAAGATGACAAATTGGCGAAGGCGTTGATAATTGGCCGTTGTGCGGTTGACTGGGAGGACTGTGCTGCTTACAGGGTGTGCCAAAGCTGCTTGCTTTTGGCGCTTGCTGGGAGCTTTGGGGACGAGGATACTTGGTGTGATGGTGGTGGTGGTGGTGGTTCAAGGAGGTGAAGAAGATGCGAAGCGTGCGGTATGGGTTCATGTCTATACTGTTATGGGAGCTAAAGCACTTCTTTGCACGGGCTCAATCGCTATGTGATGACCAGGTAGTTGGTGGTAGTTGGTGGTGGTTTTTTTATGTAGGAGAATTTGTGTATCTTTATAATGGTTAAAGGAGGGGGACGTCCCGGATGTGCTGCACTGCTTTCGAGTTCTGTGCGCCGCTGTTAGCCGGGGTTCAGCAAGTGGCAGGCGCAGGGTTTCACAACTGTCCTCCCTTGCCTACTGCGTGCTAGCTGTTTACGCTACCCAATGCTGTACGCTGAACGAAATGGGGTCGCTCCTTTCCTTAAAGGACAGCTGGCAATGCGGGTAAAGGGGAATCCGGCTGCGGACTTGGGGACTATTAGTTGCACCCATGGTGAAGTGTTTGGCGGATGGCTGGTGGGTGGTGGGTACAGCGGAAGCAACGAACTGACCGGTGGTGGGTGGTGGGTGGCCGATGGATGAGGGCATACGATGCCAGGTGATGCTCGCAAAGCCGGGGGTTAGGCGGTGCCACCCAGGGACGGTCTAGCAAAGCCGCTGTGACCTAGCAACTAAAACTGCCGGGTCGTAACACCACCCCCAGCATGCATGCATGCACTCAAGTACCTGACCTCCAGCAGCAAAACAGCTACACCTCCAGAGTAACAGCTTGGTAGCGGCACGTGAGCCGTGAGCATGAAGCGGTGTACATTTTTTGGAAGGAGCATGCAAGCTCCCGACTCCTCAACGGAGATGGGGCTTCCCGCCCTTACAGCTATCTCCTGTAATAGGGGCACCACTTCCCTCTCCCCCACAGCCCTGCAGCCCTGGGATTTGGGATTGGGACTCCGTTGCTGCACTTATCGTAAGATTTCCTCCCCCACAGCCCTGCAGCACCAAGCAGCTCGCTCACACGTCATATGGCTACTGTGGCAGCAAGCTGTACCCGCGAGGCAGCACGGAGCGAACCCCCAACAGAGCGTCACCAACCTCTCACTGGGCAACAACGCGTGTGCGAAAGCCACCCATGAGGTCCATGTCACGATTGTCACCCGAATGGTGCAGCCCTTTGGGACTACATGCATGTGCCTCAACCCATGCGGTAGGCGTTCGTGCCCCGCTCCCCGTGTTTCTCCTGCAGTTGCTCAAGCCCCACTTCTACACAGCTGGTGAGAATTGCATGATAGCCCCGCTTTACAGCCCCGCATGATAGCCCCGCTTTATCCCCGCCGCTTGCGGCTCTTGGCAGAACCCCGGGCCTCCCCCTTGTGCCCCCTGGAACCCGGCAGCAGCCGCTGCCCCGGTTGCCCTGCTGCCGCTGCTGCCCTGGCGCCGGCCGCTGCCCCTGCTGCTGCTGCTGCCGGCCCCAAGCCGCAGGAGAGCCAAAGCTGCGTCACCCACTTGTCTGTGACGGCGTCTTGCGCTGTGTGCAGGGTGCGACTGGGAGCAGGGGAAAGAGGGTTCAGGGAGCAGTGGGGGGGTTTGGGGAAGAGGAGGGGGGTGGGGAAGCTGGAGGAGGGTTAATGGCAGAGGGGAGCTGGAGGCAGGTTGAAGTCTACAGGAAGATGTGCGGTGGTATGCTGGTGTGAGCGCCGGGCGGACCAGGAGGGGCGGGTGGATGGGGGCTGAGAGCGCACGGGTGGCAGGAGGGCGGCAGCGGTTGCCAAGACCGGACGCAACCCCGGATTGCTGCCCAGGGACTTTGCTCTTTGCTGTTAACCAGCAACCTTAGCGCCCGCAGCACGGCTAAAGCACCCACTCACGCGTCGGGCACCCCATTGGCGAAGGAGGGGAAGAACAGCAGCGCCGAGCCCTTCACCGGCTGCACAGCGATGTCCAGCACGTCGAACCGAGTGGCGCCGCCTGGTGCGGTGAGGGAGGGTGAGGGCAAACGGTGCGGCACGTAAGACTTTGTGCGTGGGATTACCGCGAGGCACCTTCCACCTCCAGCCCTCTCACCCCACTCCCTGGCTCCCGCCTTCCCCAAGCGTCCCCCCCCTCTCCGATGGTGAAGTCTCGTCATGTAGCTCGTCGGTTTTCTAATTGCACCCCTCTCCTCCCTCCCTCCTCCCTGACCCACCCTGGCTGCAATCGTTGAGGTAGGTAAGCAGCGTGGCCCGGCGCTGGAAGCCCTTGGCGGCCGCCAGCGGGAGCGGGAAAGCGTCCTCGTGGATCAGGAAGTGCTGGCCTGGGGAAGCCCAAGGGGTTGGGGGTGGGGGCCGTCGTGCGGGCGGGGAGGGCACGGCAGTGTCGCCCTGCGACGTCCTCTTCATTTATCCTCTCCTATGGAAGTCACAGCACATACATACCCGCTCAACGCCGCCTTCATCTCATCCACAAAGACCATAAAGCTGCACCCGAACACACCAGCCTCCCACCCGATGAAGCTCAGAGCATCCTTACCTCACTTCCCTTCCCGCCTTCTCCCTCCTCCTCCTGTCAGCAACTTGTATCATTATCACACCACACTTTGGAATTTCTTCCCCCCCCTTTCCCTCATCCCACCCCTCTCATCCACCCCTTCTGCACCCTTCCCCACCCAGCCCCACCTTGCTGGTACCTGGCCACCTGCGGCAGCTCGAACGCCATCTGCCCCGGCTGGTTCGGTCGGCTGAAGGCGGCGGTACCCTCGGGCGGCAGCGGACCGCGTAGCAGCGCCCGGGCAGCGCCCAGCATGGCACCCAGGGCAGCGGACAGCCGCGGGTGCTGGGAGAGAATCTGGGGGCGGGAGGAAACAAGGGAGCGGGAGGAAAACCATGCTTTGAATGATGGTGGCGACGCCCTGAGCTGCCCCGGGCTGAGCGGAATGGGTCGGCACAACCATGACGATACAAGCCTGCACCCCATGGTGAAGCCTACACGCCACTCGGTTAGTTTGTTAGCTGGTTAGTTTAGCCCTGGCTACCCTGCATGCACATTCCCGGCTTCCCCCCACGACTCATCGAGTAACCAAGTAATCAAGTAATCAAGTCTTCATGACAGGTACCCTGTCACCTACCTCCGCAGTCGCCGCCAGGGTGCTGCTGGTGCGCTGCTCCCCGAGCGCTGCCTGGTCACCCCGGGCAGCCGGGTAGGCGGCACCCACACCCGACCGCCGCATCAGGCCGCTGTCTGGGTGCGAGGCAGGGAGGGAGGCAGGAGTCAGGGGAGGGGCAGGGGAGAGAGAGATAGCCTGGGCATGGGAGAGCATGGGCATGGGAGCGAGAGAGCATGGGGGGAAGAGGGAAGAGCCTGCGTGCGGGACTCATGTGACCACACAGGGCGCATGCGGGGCTGTAGGTACCGCCCCCGCAGTCCTCCAGCCTGGGAGCGCCTTCCTTTCCCTTCCCAGGCATCCACAGCCTCCTACGCCCCAACCCACCACCCACCCCGCCCCACCTGTTGCCGCCTGCATAATGTCATCGCACTGCTGGGACGTCAGGAAGTCGTGAACCAGCAGCACGGGCGGGTCGATGTTCAGGATCCTGCGGGGGGGGAAGGCAGGGCAGCGCGGGCGGGGCGTGTGTGTTGTGTCCATATGCAGCACATCTGGCCGCCTGTCTGTGCGTGTAGTTGAGTAGACCAAGAGCAAGCAGTGTGTTAAAATAACTGGCCGCGAGTGTGTCTGTTAAGTTGGCTGGCGGCGAGTAGGAACATACTAAATAGTGTCTATCTAGGGGCAGCTGGGGATGCAGAGTAGGAGGTAGGGAGAGGAAGCGAAGTGAAGGTGATAAGCAAGCACCACCACCTTCTTCTCCTCGCACACCACACAGTGGAATATCTTCTTTTCCTCCCGCCCGCCCGCCTAGTCACCTCCTTTCTCCTTTACCCCCACCCCCCACCTCAGGCCCGGGTGTGTTAGGTGCACTGGCACGAAGAGGGAGGCCAGGTGGGCGGCGAAGGAGGCCTGGGCGGCGGGGCCCTCCAGGGAGGGGTTCAAGCCGCCTGCAGGGCTTGCATGGGCAGGTGGAGGGGGAGGAGAGAAGGGCCCGAACTAGTGGAAACTGCGCAAGTTACCGGTACGACAAGGAAGGCAAGGCTGCCCGCGGTATGTCGCAAAACAAGTGAGGTTTAGCGGCTGGGAGCGGGGAGAGGAGAAGGAGGAGGAGGAGGAGGAGGGAGCGGGGAGAGGAGAAGGAGGAGGAGGAGGGGCAGGGGAGAGGAGAAGGAGGAGGAGGAGGGGCAGGGGGAGTTCGGTGGGGAGGAACAGGAGCATTGTGACAGGGCGTCAACAGGGATAGCAGGAGGAGGGGCTGGAACTGCCCCGCACCACGCGCATGTCCATGAACGGGCAGTCCCTACCCACCCGCTTCCAGGAGCTGTGGACTGATTTTGAGAATGGAGGTGGGTGGGACCCAAGCGGGTTGCCGCTGCGGCTTGCCGGCGGCACTGCTTGCCGGACCGTCATTGCTGACGTTGCTGCTGCTTGGCGGAGGTCCCGCAGCTGCAGCGGGAGCTATTTCCTCGCCCGAACCCGTGCTCCCGTCAGCGGCTGCAGCTGAGGGCGCACCTTCAGGTGCGCGCGGTGCGATGCGAAACGGGTTGCGGGCAATGGTAGCTGAGGGGCCCCGAACGGTTGGCGACTGCACGCTTCTAGAAGATGTAAACGGCTTGAAATGTTGTATTCTCATGGTTGCGAGAGGGGAGGTTTACTTGTAGGTGCGCTGCGGAACTAGGCCTCGCCTTGCAAGCAAAGTGGATGCAGTCGCGGTCCAGCTGGGAGGTAAGAGCTGATTTTTCCGATGTTTACTTTGGAAAATGCGAGGTAGCAGCTCTACGGTAGCCGGTTCGGTTTGCTTGCGCAAGCGCATGAGCCAGGAGCCAGTTGGATTTGGTTTCTAAGCCAACAACCTTCCGCTGGACGTTGGGTCGCGGATTCGCGATTAACTCATATGCAACGTTCGAAATGTAATTCTGATCAAGCAGTACCGCAAGTGTTAAGATCTATAGCACAGCAAACTTAAAGCCTGGATTTCGGTGTTCACCAGGTGACATCACACAGCAGGCAGTGAGAAATTCCGACGCTTCATTTACCAGCTTTGACGTTCCCATCCATCACTAAAATTAAACCTTCTGACCGAGTATTGCGCTCCGCCCTGTAACGATGCAACCCCAACCCGTTGGGCACGGTGATTTCGACACGTCAGCTCCCTACATCCCGCTGTCAGGAGGCAACCCCACAGCTGACGAGCGCACCCCGCTCCTGCAACCTCCCCCTCCGCCACGACCATCCCTTCGACCCTTACATACCCTTCCGCCGCATCCTCATCCCCACCACCCCCACCCACACCACCACCACCAACACCACCACAGCAGCCACCAGCCTCCCCACACCCCCACCATCACCACCGCAGCCCTCACCCCCGCCTCGGACCTTGAAGCCCCCAACCCCTCCGTCCCCCTCACAGCCACAAACACAGACACAGATGCTAGCCCCGAAAACCTCACCACCACCACCACCACCCGCCGCCGTACCTCCTCCACCTCCACCTCCACCACCGCGGCAGCGGCCCGCTGGCAAAAGGCAGCTGAACGCGTGCTACAATCCCAGGGCCTGGCTGCTGCTGCAGGCTTGGGTGTGGGTGCTGACGGCGCTGCAGGCGGCCCGGCAGCCGGGGCAGGAGGCCGCGGGGACCGGCTGAGCGCCACCATTCGGGAAGCCCTGGAGCGGCACCGGCCGGGGGCGGCGCCGGGGATTGACCCGCGGCGCAGCAAATACCGGCACCTGGCTGAGCGGTGGTGCCTGCCGGTTCGGGTGACGGTGGTGGATTATGACGCCAAGTGAGGTGGATTTGCGGGGGAAAAAAGAATTTTAAAGTGTGGTGTGATAGTGATACAAGTTGGGAGGGAGGGGCGAAGAGCCGTTGTGTTGGGTGATACGGTACCTGTTGGCTGGCCCGGTGCCAAGCTGCTGGTGGTGGTGAAGCTGCTGGTGAATGGAGGGGTAAAGAGAGGGACGGGGTTAGGTGAAGGATGAGGGCTAGGGAATAATCCCTCACCGCACCTAGCAAGTCCTCAGCACGGCACCCACCACCTCTCCCATCGGTGCCTCCTTAACCCCCTCTCCACTCTCCCCCCTCTAACCCCCTCTAACCACCTCTCCACTCTCCTCCTGCTGCCGTTGCTGCTTCTAACCCCCTCTCCTCCCCTGCCCTCCCCTGCTGCCGCCGCTGCCGCTGCTGCCTCTGCCGCTGCTGCTGCCCCTGCTGCTGCTGCCGCTGTTTCTACTGCTGCTGCTACTGCTGGCCGCAGGGAGGTGTCCATCCGCTCCGGTCTGCGCAGCGCCCGGGAGCTGTCCGAGGTGTTGTCCGCCCCCCGGCCGCCCGCAGCCCGGGTCAGGTGGCTGCATGTGGACGGGCTGAACTGGGAGGTCATCCAGGTGCGCGTGTCAGGAAGAGACTGGTCGCGGGTCGGCACTCAGGGGTGTTAAGGGAACTCCGGAGGGGCGGGGGGGTTGGGCATGGGGTCGTGGGGGGGCTACGCGGGGGCTACGTGTGTGTTTGCAAAGGGGTCTAGCCGGTGTGAGCTGGTGGGCGGGGTTGCCCAGGCGCATGAAGCGCCTAATCCTAATTGTTATGCGCCGCCTAGGGCGCCTGTCGTACCTAATCTCCTTGCTGTTATTACCGAATTCCGACCTTTAGCGGCTTCTAACGGCCGAACTACCTGCCGAAGTATCTATCACTGGCCCCCCTCTGACTCGCAGCTGCTAGCCCTCACGTACGACCTGCACCCCCTAGCGCTGGAGGATACGGGTGAGAGGTGTATAGGTGTGTTTCGTCCTCTTTCTACCTCTCTTGCTGCACCCCCGTCACTTAGCTACCTCCTCATCCTCATCCGCCCTCCTCGCTACTCCTCATCCCTCTTTGCCTTCCTCTTCCCCGCCCACCCAGTCCACGTCCCTCAGCGCATCAAGGCAGATTTCTACGACTCATGTCTCTACATGTCCCTCATCTACCTCTACCTAGCCAACGGAGCTTCAGATACCGCCGCCGCCGCTGCCGCTGCCGCCGCCGCCGCCGCTGCTGACGGCGGCGGAGGCGACGATGTTGACGCCGCCGCCGTCGTCGCCAGTGGCGGCGTCAGCAGCGACGACGATCGTACGACAAATCTTGCCGCACTCCGCACCCTCAGCGCCGTACGACGAGCCGATGCCGCGGTTGCCGCCACCGGCGGCGACATTGATCCCTCGCTCATTGACCTAGAGGGCACCGGCGGCGGCGCTTCAGCTTCCATCTTCGCCTCCTCGTCTCCCGTGCTCCGGAACCTGCCTGCGGGAGCAGCCGGAGCCCCCACCCAGCCGGGCCCCGCACACTACCCGCTGCCCCTGCACCATGGCTCTGTTACCGTATCCCCCAGCGGTACTGCACTCTCCACCGCCGCCGCCACCGCCGCCGCCGCAACGTCCGCCGCCGCCGGTGGCGGCGGTCGTTGCCCCAAGCCCGCTACCAAGACCACCACTGGCAGCAGCGACAATGCGGGCCGGAGCTGGTTCCCTTGGCGGCGCTCGCAGCCTTCGCATCACCACCAAGAAGCTGCTGCTGCTGGCCATGCGGCCAGTGCTATCGGAGGCACTGCTGGTGGACCCACGGGTCGGCCCATCCACGTGTCGGCGCAGCAGGTGTCGCTGTTCTTGCTTCGCGGCGAGGCGGGGCGGGCGGCCAACACGCTGATCAGCGTGTTCCAGTCGGACGGGTCGGCGGTGGCTCAGCCCATACTGGCGCAGCTGAGGGAGCCCAGGACGCTGGTGAGAGGGGGGCCTCCCGTGAGGGGGGAAATGAATGAGAAGTAAAAGGGGGGGGGGTAATTGAGAAATGAAACGGGGAAGGGGGAGGCAGGCAGCAGCAGGCGGGCGGGCCCTACCCTAGATGAGGATGATCGATTGTGGATGGTGGTACGGGTGTTATCGCAGCGTGATGTTTTGGTTATACGCAGCACCTGCCAGCTTGTTTCTGCATGCATGCATGGTTGCCTTGCTGCCCCCTGGTGCCTCCTCTTGCGCTCAAATCTCGTTGGATGCTGTCGTTGCCAGCTTGCCACCCCTCCTCCTCCACCTCCTCCGCCTCCCTCCTCCTCCCTCCTCCTCCCTCCTGCCCTCAGGTTCGGGAGGCGGAGGACGCCTCCTTCCTGGCCAACCTGGTGATCGATACCCTGGTGGGTGACGTACTGCCGTACTGCCACGCTGCCGTACGTCGTAGAACGGAGGGTTAAGAGGAACGGCACAGATTGCACCGCCATTACATTGCACCATACTGGGCTCGGGGGTTGGGGAGGGGGACGCCAGCCGGGGAACGCTTGTTACTGCCTCCGGTTACTGCCTCCGGTTACTGCCTCCGGTTACTCCACCCCTCATGTCCCCTTCCGGGAACCTCCCACCCTCATGTTGTTTTTCCCTCCTCCTCCTCTTCTTTCCCCTCATGCACTGCGACTTTGTACAGCTCTCGCAACTCCTCATACCGATATGTCCTTGGCCCCGCTGGCTCGTACGGACACACTGTACACGCGCAGAGACTGTGACTGTTAACTCCACCTCTGCAAGCGCAGGTGGACCACATCTTCCCCGTGGTGGGTGCCTATCGGGAGCTGCTGGAGGGGTACGAGGCGGAGGTGATGGCGGTGGGGGGCGGCGGCGGCGGCAGGGGGTCGGCCAGTGCGGCGGCGACACGGGAGCTACATGCCATGCAGCGCGACCTGCGGCGGATCGACCGCACCATTGCGCCGCTGCAGGTGGGAGGGGTTAGGTTGAGGGTGAGGGTGAGGCGAGGGAGATGCTGGGAGGATGGAGGGGATGGAGAGATACTGGTTTGGGGCGCAGAGGGATCAAGGCATGCACGGTATGGCAAATGACATCCCCCGCACTCGCTCCATGCATAGCCCTAAACAGGCGCACCCCCCACTGCCGTACACCACCTACCACCCTACCACCCTACCCGCGAAGCCGCGTCATACAGTTCGTCAGTTCGTCACTTCGCTTCATTGGAAATTGATAAATGAATATAAGAGAAGGTCCTTATTTTTATTCTCCCCCCTGGGGCAGGCGGTTGTTGCCAACATGGTTGCGCGGGACGACACGCTGGGGGATGCAGCCGCCTCCGCCGCCTCCGCCGCCGCTGCGTCCCTCACTCCCGCCGGCGGCAGCATCGGCAGCTTCAACAGCAGATGGCGCTCCGGGACGCCCACCGCCCCCGCCCCCTCCGACACCACCACATCAGCCACCGCTGAACCTACTCCCACAGCCCCCGCCACCACCCTTCCCGCACCACCACCACCCTCCTCCGCCGTCGCCGCCGTCCCCTGCCCGCTGCTCTCGCGCCTCACTCGCACCTACCTGGGCGACGTGCGCGACCACGTGGCCACCATCTGTGAGGACCTGGTGAGTCTGAGTGCGGAGTGCGGTGACCTGGTGGGGCTCATCTTCAACCTGGCCACCCACCAGCAGGCGCAGAGCACCCAGACGCTGGCGGTGGTGTCCACCATCTTCCTGCCCATCACGTTTCTGGCAGGGGTGAGGTGGAGGGGGGGTTGGAGGGGGGTTTGGAGGGGGGGATGGAGGGAGGGAAAGGGAGGAGGGAAAGGGAGAAATGGAGGGGAGGGGGGAGTGAGTGTAGGGGTGTGCACTCCGCTGCTTGTTCTTTCCATGGCCGCTTTGCTGAGGCCTTGAACTCACATCACGGGGTTCTTATCGGGCCCGCCTCCATGCCCCTGCCCCGTCCTGCCCCCACCCCCCCCCTGGCAGGTGTACGGCATGAACTTCGACAACCTGCCCGAGCTGCACTGGCCGAATGGCTACCTGTACTTCTGGGTCACCTCGGGGGTCATCGTGCTGCTGTTCATGTTGGCCATGCTGCGAGCTGGGCTGTGGAACATGTGATGAGGGGGCTGGGGGGGGGGGGGGAGAAATTCCAATGTGTGGTGTGATAATGATACAAGTTGCGAACAATCCCAGGGTGCTGGGGGGGGGAAGCATGTGATGGGGGTGCTGGGGGGAGCATATGATGCGGGCTGGGGAACTCCGGGCGGGAGTTCTTACCTGCGGGTGGTGCCGGGAGTTCTTACGTCCCAGTGAAACACACAGGGCAGCATTGGGGGAGCGGCGAGAGGGGACGGGAGGCGTGCTGAACGGTGGAAGATGTGTGCATAGCAGAGGTGTGTGGGGGGATGCATGGCTGTGGAGGGGGGACTGTGATGTCAGCTGCATACAGCGCATGAGCCCATTTGGTGAGCGTAGGCGAGGAGAGGAAGAATTCAGGAGTAGACGCGTGCGTGTGGGAGACTCCCAACACTTGGTCGCAGGGTGTTGTCCGTTGGGCTCGGAAGTGCGACTGCCGGAATGTCTGTGGTTCTTTGAGATGGCAGATAGTACAGCTGCTATTGGAGAGGGTCGTGGTAGAGCAGAGTGCTTTCTGGGATGCACGTGCAGGTGTAGAACGACTGTGTAGTTTGAGGGGCGGCAACACTTAAACCGGCGCTGTTTTCGGAAGGGTAAATGGATAGAACGCAGCAGTTATGTCACCGGCGTCCCGTTTATATGCATAACGTTGGCTTTGAGCATAAGCTTGCACATCAGACAATAGACGTCGTGCTAAGAGTTCGTTTGCCGTTTGCGTAGGGTGAAGGGACCGTCTTGGGTTGCGCTATCTGCAAGCATGCATGCTGCTTTGCACCGTGCTTGCGCCTGGACTTGCCGGTGTTTATGGTAAGACAACATATGTTCTACACACAGCAAAAGTCCTTATTACAACCGAACTGTGCTATCCGATTGTCGAAAAGCGTCCCGGTGTTGCGACTTCACAAGCGAGCGTCCAAGGCGTTTTGCGAATGCTGTGATGCTCTTGTACGTTGTATAAGGATCTTGTCAAGTGCAACTGGAAGGTAATCAACGGCAACTTGTTAGCAAACAGACTATTTGCGCACGGAAATTCCATAAGCCCCTTGAGCCCCAGAACCCCTTATCCATTACGTTGTATCATAAGATATCCAAGCATACCATTCCCGCTTCACAACTGCAAAAATGATGCTCGCAGCTAAGCCTATTGTTGTTAGCCGGCCACAGGTTCGCCCTGTGGCCTCGCGCCCCCGCACAGTCATCGTCCGCGCAAGCGGCCAGCCTGCTGTGGACCTTACCAAGAAGGTCCAGGACGCCGTGAAGGACGCTGAGGAGGCTTGCGCTAACGGTACTACCCAGGTAAGATTCAGCTCCGAGGAACTCACCGTGGATAAGCATGGACGATCCTCGCCTTTTGCGTTGGACCTTCAGTAAGCTACGTTGCAAAGCGTCCTTTATGGCATGATGTAGTATATCAGTATTATGCTGAGGGATGTTCAGATCGCGGCTTCCGCTTGTGAAGCGACCTGCGAGTGGTTCACATCACCTCGCGTCTCCTTGGAAGGCGCTAACCCAGGCGTTGCCGCATTTAAACGCTTTTACTTGCATGCATACTATTCCAGGACTGCGCCGTTGCTTGGGACACCGTTGAGGAGCTGAGCGCTGCAGTTGCGCACAAGAAGGATGCTGCCAAGGCTGACCCGCAGCTTGACCCGCTGGAGAAGTACTGCCAGGACTCCCCGGATGCTGACGAGTGCCGGTGCGTGCGCCCTGCGCGGTACTGTGCCGAACCTGTAACCACCGGGCTGTACCCCTACCTGACGGAGGCAGGGCTGCTTGTTTGGATTAGTGCCTCATGCGGGAGGGCAACTCGCCTTTGCCGTAAGCCTCGGTAAACATGCATTGTGAATATCCCTGAGGGCATAACGCTTTCCGCATACGTTGACCCTTACACCCGCATGTGCCTCTGCCGTTTACACGCCGCTTGTCCCTCGCTTTCCTGCCCTTCAGCGTCTACGAGGATTGAGCACTGCACGGGTACGAGCTATTTAAACCAGCCGGCAGCAGCGCGGCGCTAGTGCAGCACGTGGCAGCTGCCGTGGACAACGGCGGTAAACAACGGCGAGCCAGGTGTAAGCAACCTTTCCCAAGAGTGTTGAACGCAAAATGGTTATGTGTGCGAGGGAGAGAGCTTTCTTCGACATCAATCATGCAGGCAGGGAGCGATAATGAAGGCCTTTCTTCTCAGGCTTGGAGTTAGGTTGAACGGGTCTGCTTGCTTTCATAGTCGCCAGACGTTTCGCAATGTTGAGTGCTGGCCGCGCCAGTCGAAGTTTTGACTCGTTTCTGAGGGTTTGGTGAGTGTGGGGCACTTGCACAGTGTGTCCTGCAGTTTGGCGCGGGCTGTGGTGTCCGCTTGTACGACAATCCACGATGTACCAACTGCCTATTTTGTATTTCCTAAAGTATTGCATGAGACTACGCACATTGTTCGGCTGTTATGTATGTAAAGGCGTAACGTGAAAGGAACATGTTAATGCGCATGCAGCGCACACCGTGTACCACCCATGCTGCAGTGGGTACAGCTGTCTGTCATGCGACAACACGGTTAATGGCCCGGCATAGCGGAAGAAAGTGGGATAATGGGTATAAGCCGCACAGCTCCTCGAGATCTTTCCACCTCACCGTGTTACGCTTGAAACAAAGCCTTAAGGAACAGCTGGTGTGTGCTAAGGACCCAAGGGTCCAGTTAATTAGCAGTCTGCAGTTGTACATCTGAAAACGGTAAGCAAATGTCACATCGCAAGTGGCATGCAATTGTGGAGAGGGTTATGAAGACACGTCGGCTGGTTCCAATTGCTCTGCGGACTGCGCAATTGCACAAACCTGACCATTGCACACCCCTCTCTATTTTTCCATGACCCTGCAAACGCCAAGAGCACCAAGACCACTTATTCCTGCTTCAAGCAACAGACTCTCTTTCTCCTCCTCGCCCTACGCTCCACACCTCGGCAAATGTCCGCGGCTGCTCACGTTCCTCTCATGTCACACACGCACGAACACCAATCCCGGCCTCCTAAAGGGCAACCCCTGCAAAAAAATGAAACCGCCTTCGGCCGTAGTACATCCACTCGTAACGCAGTTGGTCATCACTAAGGCATGCCTGGTCCAAGGCATAGTCGGAAGCACGCGACTCCTCTCAGGAAACGCGGAAAATGCCCAGGCACTCCCCTTGTGCACCTCTGGTGTCGGTCATCCAAAACAAGCTGTCCTCAAGCTCTTACTTGTCAATAATAAATACGAAGCCATATACCGAGACCATTCCCCAGCGCATCCCCAACGCATGCACATGAGGGATAGAAGTCCATTGCAGCCATACGGGTACGACCTCGCCCAGCAGCACTTCACACCCTGCAAACTCCTTCAGTAGCCGTGCAGCGACCCGCCACACCGCTCCTTCCGACCCGCTGCTACGCCACGTCACGGCGCACGCACACTGGCCGCGACGACCCTCGTTCACCTTAACGCCCTTCCTTGCGCTCGTCCAAACCCCAACCATAGTGCCTACAACGGTAGCTAGCCGTAGAACCTTCTAACCCACCACGCTCTACGCCGTTCATGTCACCAAGCCTCAGCGCTACTGCTACGGCCGCCGGGCTGCAGCGCAGCTCCCTCCCCCGCTGCTCCCCCGCCCGTTACTTGCGGCGCAGCACGAGCTTGTGTGCGTTGATGAGCTGGTACTTGCGCGCATGCTCCCGAATGAGCAGCGGCATGCTGCCCTCCTCCAGCACCTCGAAGTCGGGGGCCACCAGCGCCTTGAGCGCGTCGGCGGACCTGCGAGCATCGGGGCGTGGCGTGGCGAGGGAGGGAAAGCAATAAATGAGAAGTGCAGGTGGGGAAAGGCTAAGGGTGAAAGTACGCGACATGAGAAAGAGGGAGGAGGAGGAGGGGACTCTTGCACCCGGGCGTAAATTGCTGCGCAGGGAGCGCTTGCGTCCAACCACCACAGCAACCGCGCTCACCTGTTGGGCAGTCCGTCCCTATACCCCCCGCCCAGCCAGTTGCTGCGGTCCGTGTACTGCTCCAGCCAGGAGAAAGGGCTGGTGAGCAGCGCCACGCCGCCGGGGCGCAGGCTGGCCTTGATCTGGGCGATGCAGGCGGCGGGCTCCGGAACCCGGCACAGCAGGTTGGCAGCCAGCACAGCGTCGAATTGGCCGAGAGCCGGAGGCAGGGAGCAGGCATCACCCTGGAAGCAGCGGGGAAAGTAGGAGCAGGAGAGGCAACGATTAGCGGGCTAGGGGCTCAAGTAAACAACAAAAGGGAAATTGGGTAAAAGCCACGACGCGACGCAAAGGTTCCTACATGTCAGCTCCCCATCTTCCCTCCTCCCCCGAAGCGCTTACCTGCAGGAAGCGGCAGCGGCTGGGCTGTAGCGGCTGCTCCCCCGACTGGCCGCTGGCAGTGGCGGCGGGTGCGGGTGCGGGCAGGGCGGCGGTGAGCCTCTCCGTCACGTGACCCTCTAGCACGCAATCGTAGTCCAGCCGGCCGTTGTCGCGCATGCGTCCTGCGACCTCGACGAAACTGCGTCCAGGGGGGGAGAATTATAGATAAGTGCATCAACGGGGGGAGTAAGGATAGCGGGAAGCGGGAGGCAAACAACCGGTGCTGCCGCGGCGTCAGCATGGACTTAAAAGATAACTCACGTTTTGGAAATGTCGACGCCAACCACCTCGCCGAAACGCCTGGACAGCTCGAACGATGAGCGACCCACAGCACAGCCCAAATCCAACGCACGACGCGAGGTGCTGCTGTTGTTGTTGCTCTCGCTTTCGCTGCGTCCGCTCGCAGATGCTTCCTCCTGCTGTTGCTCCCCTTGTGATGACAGCAGCCCGCATCGCTCGGCCCACGAGGTGAGGCAGTCCGACAGCTTGCGTGGGAAGTCCAGGGCATCCGCGATAATGCCGGTTTCGCGGAGGAGGTCCGGGTAGACCCGGTCGATGGGGCCGTAATGGAGGGAGAGGTACTGGGAGAGGATGGCGTCGTTCTCGTAGGCGATCTGTGCGGGGAGGTGGGGGGGTGGTGGTGAGGGAGGTGGGCATAGTTGTTGTTCGCCAAAAAACGAGGCGGAGGATAAGCACCGGTAGTAACACAGCTCTTTGCCTACCGACCGTATGCGCGGTACGCGGTAAAGGACATCCGAGGACATCGTTCTCTGCCGTACCTGCGCAGCTTCCAACTTGGCTTTCGTGGAGGCCGCATCCTCCACCAGAGTGGATGTGAAGGCCGCCCGTCGAGATGCGGAGCAACAGGGGCCGTCTCCCACATGCGGGGGCGCGGCATCCATGCAGGACGTTTCGTAGAAGGGGTTCACGGGGTTGTGCGGGCCGTAGCGCGCGCTGTCGTACTGGGAGAGGTCCACGTCGGATCGCACCAGGCGGAAGGTGGCGTGCTGGAAGAAGTGCGGTCGGAACTGGTAGCGCGCGAACTTGGAAGCGAGCTGGCCGGTGGAGATGAAGGAGCCGCCAAAGATCTGTGAGGGTGTATACGGAAAGAGGAGGTGCAATGCACGGGGTCAGGGAAGGGAGGGAGGCGAGAAGAAAGGACAGGAGGTGTAACAACAACGCTCGTGCTCTGCCTAATCTGCAAGCCAACCATTCTTGTATATCGGTATCCGGCACTCAAGCTACATGCTTTCATATCCAGCACCAGTACGGCTGCCACGCACCAGCTGGTGCTTCCCCGCGAAGCAGGGCGCGGAGAAGTCCTCGTAGTAGGGGTGCACCTTGAAGCCCGGGTAGGCCGCGTAGTGGTCCTCACCCCACTCCCACGCGTTGCCGAACACGTCGTAAAAGCCCTTCTCGCCTGACCGGGGGAGAGCGCACAAGGCATACACGTCGAGGAGAGGTCATACACCATAATACAGCGACCCGGGCTTTGCCCCTACACGTGGACAGCTATCTGAACACGCACACAGCTCCCCTTCCCTCCGTTGCTCCTCCCATCTGCCGTACTCTTGCCCATACTCTTGCCTTACTCCCCATCTGCGAATTCCCCCTCCTCCATTGCCGTACTAAGCCATACTAGGCCGTATTACACCGTACACAACTCACTGGGCGGCAGCTCCGTGACGGGGCTCTGGCTGCCGTAAGCGAGCTGCAGGTTGAAGCCGCCCGCGGGGCCGCCGCGGAGGGCGGTGTCGCCCGTCAGCTGCATGGCCAGGTCGGGTGAGAGGGTCTCGTCCGCGGAGGGGGCGCGGCCGGCCGCCTGCGCCGCCGCCTGCTCCTCGGGTCCCGCGAACAGGTGGGCGTCCACCCTGGGGGCGGTAGCACAGATGCCGGTCATTAAGGTCTCTCCCTTTAGGAAGCTAAGGGGACGAGGGAAGGGCTAAGAGATGGTGAGGGCAACGGTATGTACCAGGCAACGGAATGGAGGCTGTACATGACCCGTTTCGTGCTTCCCCCCCCCCCCGCCTCCCTACCCATTCCCCTCTCTCTATTCCCCTGCCCGTTCCGGGCTCCTGCCCCCTCTTGCCCCCCGCCCGCCCGCACCTGTCCCGGGTGCTCCTCATCAGGTTGTGCTCCGCCTCCGTGACCAGTCGGTAGCGCACCGGCGAGCCGTCCTGCTCGGTGCGCCAGGCTGCGAAGGCGCGGCCCTCGTGGTAGTTCACGTCCACCGGCCAGTCCCAGCGCATGTCCACGGCGTCGAACAGCACACGCAGCTTGTACCTGGGGGTGAGGGAGGGGGGAAGGGGCAGCGGGTTGGGGGAGGAGGGGGCTGGGGGGGTGAAACCGGCGGTCGACCCTGACAAACGGGGGTACGGTAGTAGGGGCTTACTAGTCACGCTCCTACACCACCCCACGTGCCCTTGTCGCTTATCATTCTGGCGTCTATCGTTATAACAAAAACTTGTCGCTTAGCATTCTGGCGTCTATCGTTATAACAACGAAAATAGAAAATAAGGAGGTGAAAAAGCGTCTTGACCTTATGGGCCCTACAGGCCCTGCAGGCACATGCACCCCGGTCCCGGCCCCCCAGCTCACTTGTGCAGCCCCTGCGGCCCATCCGGCATCCAGAAGGTGGGCCACTTGACGTTGCGGAATGTCTTCCACGCCCAGCCCTCCGCGGACCAGTACTTGGGCGCCATGTAGCCGCCCGCCTTGACGAACTGCAGGAACTCGCCGTTGGTCACCTTGAACTGGGTGGCGCTGGGGGGAGGGAAGGGGAAAAGAAGAATGGGTTGAATATGGGTTGAATGATATGGGCAAACAAGAAGACAAGCTCCTGGCGAGAGGAGCCGAGCTAGTCGAGCCGAACGTGCGAGGGAAGGGAGGACGTTAGGTGGAGGACGTGAGGTATGTAAGCTGATCGCTGCAGCAAGAACAGTGCGCACCTGAAGGGCTTCACGTGGATCTCTTTGCGGCCGTACTCGTTGTCCCAACCGAAGGAGGGGTAGGCCATGTCCTTACCCAGCACCACCGCGCCGCCGCGAACCGACACCTGCAGCCGCACATGGGGGGGGGCAGCACATACACACACGCCAGTACTCTTAACACACAATGAAGAGAGCTCTGGTCAGCCCAGATACACGGCTCAGTTGCTTACCGGTAAGCACACGCGAGGAGGAGAGGGTGGAGAAGGGCACAGCAAGGCAACGGGTGCGGATCCATCCAAACGTATATGCAGCGAGGCCCGGCTCCAGACCCAGCCTTCCGCCCTTCCCTCAACCCCACGACTGCCCCCCCCCTTCCCACCCACCCACCCACCCACCCACCCACCAGGTTGTTCGCGGGGTAGTCCACTCCCTTGGTGGGCACGGGCGCGGAGGGGGTGCGGCTGCTGGGGTGGTAGTCGGGCCAGAACTCGGGCTTGCGGACACTGCTGAGCGGCAGCTGCGGCAGTGAGGGAGGAGGAGGAGGAGCGGCGAGGGAGGGGAGAGGGGAATGGTGAGGGCGGGCCTTTTTTTGAAGAGCAGCACACATGCAGAGGCGCTACGGTAGGGCATACACAAGCGGCAGCAATCACCTGCCTTCACATGTTACATCAATCCCTACCATCCTCACCCCTCATCCAAAGCATGGGTTCTCTTCTTCTTCCCCTTCCCTTTACACAGCACTTCGACATCTGGCACGTCATCATCTTATGGTTGTATGCAACGGTCGCGGTCAGTATGCAATGCGGCTCAGTTCATCTCACCACCCCCTCCCTCCCCCTCACATCCCCTCCAGTTGCTTCACTTTCCATGAACTCCTTCTCCCCCTCCCCTCACCTCCCGAATCAGTACGGAGGAGGTCTCCAGGTGGATGCGCTCGTGCTCAAAACCCAGGAACAGCGCCCACGCGGGGTCGTCCCAAGTCACCTGGAGTGCGAGGTACGACACATGGTGGGGATCAGACAAACTGAGCCGCGGAACATTGACCCAAGAGAGGAGGGGGCAGGGACGAATAGCGGGGCACATGCAGGGTGCTCAACGGCAAGGCAGCACGCATGCATGCACGAACGCATGGCTCAGCTTCTACAACGCATGGCAATGGCATTCGTTAGTCTCGACGTCTACCTCCTCTTGCGACACAGATACTGTTGCGATAACAGGCTAGCTCTGTCGCCCGTTGCCCACAGGAAGGGGCGGCACGCCAGCAGTCAGATGGCCATGTAGGCATGCAGGCAGCAACAGCAGCAGCAGCCGGGCGAGGAGGCTTCACCCCATTTCCTTCTGTCACACGCACCTCCTTCTTATCCAGGGCCGGGTGGTTGAGAATGATGTCGCGCACCACCGCATACGCCTTCTGGCGGTAGGCGTGCACCTCCCGCACGGAGGGCCAGTCATCGCGGCCGCGGGACAGGTCGTCCCAGCTCATCTCGTCCACACCGGTCTCCATGAGCTGGGGAGAGAGGGGGTCCAGGAAGCGAGGGGGCAGGGTTCGGGAGGAAGAGTGTTCGGAAGGAAGAGGGTTTGGGAGGGAGAGGGACGACAAGGGGAAGGGTCGTGAAACGCCAACGGGGTTTGCTGTGCCAAGGGGCCTTGACCCAAATCGATAAGTATACCTGCCATAACTGGGCATGATGCAAACTGGGGCGATACCGGTAACCGCCTTAGGCATAAGAACGACAATAACCCAGTTCCCAAAATGCCAACCATAATGCCTAAAGGCAACCGCCCATCCTCGCAGCTAACAAGCCCCGCTAGAAAGCATGGCAAAGACCAATTGACGTCCAGCCATTGACCCTTGACCCAGATGCCTCCCGACCCAGATGCCCCAACTCCGTCCTTATACACCCTTGACTTCACCGCCCGTACCCGTCCTCTCTGCAACCCCATGCACATTGCAGTAGCCACCTCACCTTCCCATCCCAAACCCCCATCCTCCCGCCCGCCCATTCCCAACCATCACCTTCCATCACCTCCCTCCCCAGTCCCCACCCCTTCCCCTCCCAGTACCTGCTCCAGGTACTGGTCGATGGGTCCCTCCAGCACACCCGCCACCCTGAACTTGTTGATGTAGACCACCGCGGTGTGGCCGTAGTAGAACATCATGGGGTGACGCAGCTGGTGGTACGGCTGGCGGATGAAGGCGTCCGTGGTCTGCAGGCTGGCGAACAGCACCTCGTTCAGCGTCCAGATGTTGTCAAAGTAGTCAAGGACGGATTGGCGCGTGAAGTTGCGAAGGTTGGGCAGCGGAAGCGAGCGCAGCACGCCGGCAGCCTTGTCGAAGCCAGGGCAGTCGGTGGGGTGCTTGCCGGTCCACCACCAGTCGCCACGGGGACCAACGAGCTCGTCGTCGACGGAAGGGCCGGTGATGGCGGTGGCAGCGCGTGCGAGGTCAGGGCGGATGTTGAGCGCTGGATTGCGGCAGGCGCCCATGTCAACGCGGTTGGTGGTGTTGGTCGCCATGGTCATACGCTTACAGAGAAGGAACTAGATAGGTTCTGAGGGACAACGGGCGAGGAGCAGGGCGAACAAAGGATTGGGGTCAGCCGGTACGCCGGACGGACCAAGTGCGCAACGTTGCACGCCGCAGAGTCTTTTGCCCAGCAAGCCGCGCTGTAGAGAATTCAGCGTACAGGAGGTTATCAGCTTTAAGCCCAAACGGTGTGTGGCAAGCGGCGCGAGAGCGACTTGCCGCAAGTCGTTGTACATGGCGTATACAAGCGAAATGCGATCGAGTAAGCTACATCTGGGTATACATCTGCTCCATGTGCAAGACTGTCACCGATAAATTCAGTTACTATACACCGCAGCCGCGGCAAGCAATTGATTAGCGAATTCCCATGCAGCACGTTCCAACAAACCTGAAGAAGCAGCCGCCAACCCTTCACCACTAATCGCGGTTAAGTAACTGCAGAATTGAAGGGAGCCACGCGACCTGCTGTTACCTTGCTTGGCTTCCCGCCTAGTACGCCTCCTCTTCTGAAATTAATGCAGCACAGCTGAAGTATGTCAGGATAAAACAATCCACGAATAAGCACTGCAGACCTTTGCAACCCATTCTGCTTCCCGTGTGTGGCTTACATGGAATGCTCGTCCATCGCTACGAAACCTGGATTCACGTGGCATAACTGTGTGACCGAATTTGCATCCTGCATCCAATATGCTTCGGCCTTGCCTAAGCAACCCATTATCGGTTATCGTCAATATTACTTCCATGGAGTTAGGGACTGGGGCAAGCCAGATAAATGTGCCGGTGACGGTCGCAACCGGCTTGGTATGATACAATTGCATCGTCAAACCTATACAACATCTTTATCTGTTTTGCACTGAACCATTGTGCCAAATGCAGTATCTGCCTAAAAGCAAAGTGGAAACGGCCCGAACGCGACCTTCCAATCTCCCTCCTTTAAGAAAAGACCCGCAACATCTCCTGCGCTGGTGCGGACGCGTACACTCCCTCCCTGCTTGTACTATGCTTTTCTCCCTTACCTCGCGACGCAACTAGAAGCGCTGGGTACTGCACAGTATTGACGCCCGTGACGACGATGGGAGTGGTGGCATCATGGTGTGGTACGACGGTGGCAGGCGACTGCGACTCTGATTAGACGCACGACCAGTTGTTACATGCGCGTTGTGGCACAAACGGTGCGATCGACGCATCCATGCAAACCTCTACAGGCACTTCAAGCTCCTGGGGCCCCTCACACGGAACCAGCAGTTAACAATTCCCACGTAGACAGGCGCGGTAAATCCACGAATAGGTGCAGACAATTCATTGGTATATGCAAAGAATTTCAGACGACCTGTACAAGACCTAGAACCCGAAATGCATGGCGCTCCAATCGTTTTTTCGGATGTCGTACTAGTCAGTGGTAGCACACTGCGTCATACACAGGCATGCCAGCCTGTGCCAACGATGCACACATGACGCGTCTTCACACCTTGTGCCAAAGACACAAACACACCAAGCAGCTTGCAGTGCGGTCAGCAAGTACCAAAAGTCGGTCAACGATTCGAACCCCGCCGATACAACCCAGATCGGCAAGCAGGGACACACAGCGCAAGGCGTGCCGGCGCTTCCGCCCAACTAACACAGCACACCGCAGGAATGGCCGCGCCCGCTGCGCTCTGGTGCGCAGCGCCCAGCAGCTTGCGGGTCAGTATACGTCAGGGAAACGGCACTTCAGGCCACTCAACCTGCACTGTGTCATGGCGGCTCCTATACCACACCCGGGAGCCACAAAGGCCACAAAAATGGTACACAAAGCTGGTACAAATGGTGAAGATGCCACACATACCGGTGCCACGCCCGCCTCAGTGGGGTATCAATTCCATGCTCGGACTCAGTCGTTCGTACTTTAAGGTGACCCACATTCAGTGACATTCAGGTAACCCGCGCGAGCCCGGGGGAGCATCCGCAAGTCCCCAAACCGGTACACAACAGATTCCCACCTGGGCAGCGGAGCCAGACAGCGACAGACCCATAATAGGACCCGTCCAAACGGCCAAGCACGCAGCCCCATCCGTATGCCCAATTCCTGGCAGGAGGATTCTACAACCGCCCGGTTGCAAGCTACAGCGCAGAATCACAAGCCAGCTGCCTCGACCCGTGGCGCAGAAGACAGGAGCGTGCGGAAAGCAATCCGCCATTCGCCATCACACCATGCCATAGAGCCAAAACCGCGCGCTTAACCACCGACGAGTCGGTGCGGGTACAATGTGGGCCTTATCGGGCAAGCACAGCGAGGATAGACACATGGATACATTCAGAACGCTATGTACAGCCCACAGATTAAGCGCACTAGGTCCAGCCATGCGTCGAACTGGCCCCTTCCGGCGCGTGGCATGCCACGCGCACCGTGGGGCGCAGTTCAGTACAACTATGCATGCAGTCCAAAGGCGGGTGGAGGGGCATCCCAGCCCGCTGCAGCCACAACTGCGAGGGCGCATGCCCGCTTTGGCGAGGGCGCACATCGCATTAAAAGTCATAGCACAGCGACAAACCATGGGTCTTACTACCGTACAAACACACAAACGAATTTGGATCCACATGCAAGGAGATGGCATCGTCTTTCGTCTTTGCGCAACAGAGCACACATGCATAGGACGCGGGCAGCAGCAGCAGCAGTGGCACAAGACAGCCGGCCGGGTGATTGCAACCCAACCCAACTCATGTAAGCAACCCGGATGCCACAACGCAACCAGCCATCCCTCCAACTCGCCTGCGCTGACACACACACACACACACACGCGCGCTATCCAAGGACGCCGCCACATGCAGCGCCTGCAGCCCCTCTTGGCAGCGGCTGCTGAAACATAACCGTACAACAGATTACTCCAGCAATGGCCGTACCCCGTACAGTACTTCACAGCATGCCTCGGGGACCGCTAACCAGGGAGACAGATGAGCAAATTCAGCCTTCGAGAGACCCATTCGGCCACAAGCCGAACAAACGCAGACGCTGACACATGGTAATTTTGAGGGCTCCTAAAGTTGCGGGTGCTGCCGCCAATGCCCCTGGGGCAAACACCATGGCATCATCATACGATGGATGGCAGCAGCCCGCAGCTTTGCCAGCCCTAGGGACGACTCCTGTAAGCAATTCAGTTCCGCCCCCTTTGCCTATTCATACAAACGTCCAGGCAGTGTATCATACAAACACTTGTGACCGCTCCTTTCCTCACAATCCTCGCATGTCTCGCCTTTGACCGCAGCCAAGGCTGCCGTGCGCCGCAACCGACAAGACAAGAAGAGCCCACACCTCCCTCGCACACAAAACGCAAAGAAAACAACGTAGAAGAAGGCATCGACGACGATGACGTAGCTGTACAGGAACAGGAAAAGTTGACGGCGACGGAGCCTCTGCGCAAAAGGCGTGCTGATCAGGATGGCGGAAGCAGAAACGGTAGCACCGGCTGCGGCAGGCGGCGGCGTGCGCGACCTCATACCACCGCCTGCGCAGGCGGCAACGGCGCGCTGCCTCCCGCACCCGCATCACTGCCTGCCAGGCCAGCTGCCTGCAACAGCGCAGCCGCCACGCTCGAGGGCGCCTGCCCTGCCGCCGCAGCTGCTGCTGCCGCCTCTGCCCCCGCCGCAACCGCAGAGGACGTCGCCCCGGCGGCTTCCGCCGCAGGCTCGGGCTGCGTTCCTGCTGCGCCGTGCTCCTGCTGCAGGCGCTGCTGCAGGATGCAGGGTGCTGCGAAGAAGGGGTGCGTGAGGGCCTGCGCGGCGCTGATGCGGTCCGCCGGGTCGTACCGCAGCATGGAGGCGATCAGGTCCACCAGCTCCTGGGCATATGCGCGGGCCGAGGGGTCGCCTGGAGGGGGGAGAGCAACCAGGTCACCGAGGGGGCGAGCAGGGCAGCGAGTGCAAGTATGTGAGGACGACACACCGCGGCTTGTTGCCGCGGAAGGTATTACAAGCAAAATGCTGAGGACACATATTTGGAGGCGGCCATCCTTGGAGGCGGCCTTACGAAAGCCCGGCCATCCGTCGCTCCCCCCCCAGCCCTACTCCTCCGCGTCCACCCACCCTGGTCCAGTATGAGCTGGTGCAGCCCGCCCAGCCGCTTCACCGCCTTGACGCTCTTGCGGCTGGCGGCCCCGTCTGGCCAGTTGAGGCGGCCGCCGCCGTTGAAGTACTTGCCGGCGGGCGTGCGCTCGCACCTGCCGGACATGTGGCTGGGCAGCGGCCCCAGCACCGCCTCCATCATGGCCAGGTGCTCCAGGTTCTCGTGCGTCTGTCGGGGCCGAGGGGAGGGTTAGGAGGGGAGGGTTAGAACGAAAAGACGGGAGAGAGGTATAGGTAAGAGGGAGGGCGAGTCTTGAGAGAGGGTGCGGTAAGGTAAACAGGGTAGTGGCATGCCAAGCGAGCGGGCATTACACCACCTCTGTGACCCCCCAACACCCACAAGCGCATGCTGGCAAGCCCGCCCCGCTGCCGCTCCCGCACCTGGAACAGCGCCTCCCCCGTTGTGAGCTCGATGAGGATGCAGCCCACGCTCCACATGTCGCAGGGGTAGGACCAGCCTAGCCCCAGGATCACCTCGGGAGCCCGGTAGTGCCGAGTGGATACAATGCAGCTGCGGACAACAGTGGGGCGGGGCGGGGTTGTTGTGTATGGGGGTGGTGGTGTGTGGATGGGGTGGGGTGTGCGGAGGGCAGGGGCACTACTTGAAGACACTACGCGCAACCTGCGTGCACCCTGTGATGTCTCACAACCGAGGGATGAGGGTGAAGAGTGGGGCTGACACGGTGACCAGATGATGACCACCAGGGCCATGCAGCAGCGTCACTTGCCGGTCAGCGCCGTTGCTACGTGGTAGGCCCCAGGGGCCGCTGCTGCAGCTGCTCCCCTTCATCCCCAACCCACCCACCAGGCCATCACCTCATCCGCCCGCACCTGTGGTACTGCTCCTCGAAGGTCGCGCTGCCAAAGTCGATTACCTTGATGTCCGAAGAGGGAGGCCGGCTGCAACACCGCCCACTGCCGCTGAGACCAAAGAAGAAGTGGGAGTGCGCAGCAGGCGTACACATGGGGGCAAGCGGAGGGGTGTCGTGAGATACTTTACCGAAGAGGCCCGCAAGGTTGCTCTATCTTCGTCCTGCTGCAGGACGCATGTGCTTCGGATGCACTCATTGCCGGTGTTACGAACACGATTCCCCCTTGGAGGCCGCCGCCGCGCAACAACATAAGCTCAGCTACTCGGCCACTTGCACCCGGGCATGCTTGCCACATCCTGGCCACAGCAATCTAGCTAGCTATTCACATGATGGCGCCCGCCTACCTGGACCCCGAGCTCTCCGCTGGTTGTGCGCACTCCGGGCTGGTGAGCAGGATGTTCTCCGGCTTCAGGTCTGTGAAGCGGAGAGGGGAAAAATAAATTCCAAAGTGTGAGGGGAGGGGAGGGGCGGCGGTGAGGGGAGCGGCAGACCGACGCGACCAGAATCAACGCAAGATGCGACTCAAGAAACCCCAAACAGGCGGCTCGTCCTCACCAACTCGGCGACAAGGACACCTCCTAGGACATTGCCAGGGTATAACCCGCTCGCCCGTGTACAGCACGCCAAGGACGTGCCCCGCTATCCTCATACCACCACGCACAGATCCAGCAGATCCCTCTCATACCCACAGCCGCATGCTGGCATGCGACTCCTCCTCTCTCACCCCAAAAGGCGCCCCTCGCCTGCCCACCTGTGTGCACAAGTCTCAGCTCATGCATGTAGCTCACGGCTTGAAGCAGCTGCCGGCCAAAGTCCTGTTTGTGAACGCAGGCAGCGGGGCAACCCAGCGGGCCAACGCTTATCCGCGGTGTTCCTAGCATTTCGGCTCCATGACGCACTGCCACCCGACTGCTACGCAACGTGTCCTCTCTCTCTCGTAGTGGGTTCGCAGCATTTCGCAAGGCGTGTAGCAACCCGTCACCTCCTCCCGCCCCTCCCCCCCCCCACCTGCACCACGTCCAGCGGGAAGGGCTTGTAGCCGTTCTTGCGCATGTAGTCGAACAGGCTGAGACCCAGCTTCTCAAACACCTGCCGCAAGGGGTTCCGCACCGCATTCCGAAGACCATAATCACCATACAAGAGGTTACGGGAGTTATGGGGGGCCGCCAAGGAGGAAGGGGGGGTAGCTTCGGTTCTCACTGCCCTAGGTCCCCACTGCCGCGACGTGTGGCCGCTTTCAGCTGCAAGCGTCCCTCCAGTCCTCTTCTCCAGAGACTGGAAGCGGTAGCGGGTTCCTTTCCCTCGGCCCCCTTTTGCGGACTTTGATCTATCCAACTGCCGACTGAACAGGTCTCTTCCTGGTGCGCCCCCGGGACGGGAGTGCAACCGCATGACGACCCACCAAACCCGCCCTGCGTTCCCCCACACATCGAGTCACAGTTTCCCCTCACAATCCCGTGCCACACTTACCCCACCCATCCCCCAGCACCCCAGCGAGCCCCCCACACCCGCCCTGTCGCCCACCCACCATGCACACATGGCCGCGGTAGTCGAACCATTCGCGCAGCGCCACGCAGTGGCTGCTCAGATGAAGGGAGGCGGGAAGGAGGCGGGAATATGACCGTGAGGGCGGTATGGGAGGCGGAAACAGGTGAGGGCTAGGGGATGGCATGTGCGGAAAAGGATTCAAGGTTTGACGAAACGCCGAGGCTAATCGGTTTTGTAAGCGGCAGGCAAGCCCGCAGAGGCTCAGCAATGGTGATGCAATACCAGTGGTGCCACTCTACTTACTTTTGCCCGGACGGGTCATTCTTCTCTAATGTGTTTAACACTTCGAGCTGCGTTCAGGGGAAATGGCGGCAAGGGCGATGATTTGGCGAGGCGTGTCATGGGTCATATGGGCGGAGAAAGAAATGGGACCAGGCTTTGCCACAGCAGCACCGGAGCACATCTGGTGAGGAGGAAGCTGGCGATGCACCCCAAAGCCCCAACGTGCGCGTACCTCAATCATGGCCGCGTGCCGATACTTGTCAATGTTTCGGACGATTTTAATGGCAACGTAGTCCTCGCGCTTGCGGTCCCAGCACTCCAGTACGCGGCCGAACGTACCTGAAGAATTGGGTGGAAACACCTTCAGACATCCATCCCACCCATAATGTTGGCGTGAAGTATGCCCGGCCTGCCGAAACAACCTACCTTCGCCCATTTTAGAGAGTATTTTGTCTGCAGGGGAGGAGGTTGAATATGTTAGCGCATGGCCAACTGGCAGGGCCCAAACATATGGTGCTTTGCTACTCACAACGTGAGCTCAGGTTATCGCCGAGCTCGTATTGGAAGTGCCCATCCTGCAAGTTGTACACGCGCGCGATTAGGGCAGCCGCGCCAGTGTTGGCCACTTTGGCCGTTGTTGGCTGGGCATTGTATGCACCTTATCGTCGTCCCGCAAGGGAGGGCTGAGCTTGTCAGGAAGCCGAAATGCTGAAAGGCTTATTCGGGCTGGAACCCCAGGCCTGCATATTTCCAACTTGGCCTTTTTGCGCACGCATAGCTGGGAGGACGAGCAGACCTGCTGGCGCGCAAGGACCACAATAGATAGAGCATAATTATGACTATGGGACGAGTGCAGCAGCGACGAGCCAAAAGGTAGAGCCATGAGGAAAGGTCCGCGGACCCAAAGCTGAGAACCCTCCCAAAACTCTCAACGCTGCCCACCTCCTGTGCAGACTCGTTGCTGCAACTGTTCCAACCTCGCTTCATGTTAGGCTGCGCTGCTGCGCGCGACGTTGAGGCCTGCGCCTGGTCGCCCACTATCCCGTCTCCCGGCATCGACAAAAGAACGGCTGCTGTCGTCAATGGCAATGGCACAACAACAAGTGTGTGAGGAAAAAACGACATGGGCTCGAGCTAGCAAGCCAAGGAATTCCGAAACAAACGTGCCTCAACTGCTCAGGTCAATTATAATTTTTCGTTGGTAGGCATCCGTCGATTTGGGTTGGAAATTGGCTATGTGATGTTGCATTACGAATGCCGGTTTGCTGCCTGCCTGAAAACGCCGATACTGTACGGATATGCCGCATCGCACACCTGGAGACCTGGTAAAATGGACAACAGGTAACGGGAAGTACCAAGGTAATTCAGGCTCAGAGTCGGCTTTATATGTCGTGCGGAAAAAAAGACGCGACAGGTACGCCCGGGTTTCGTGGCGCAGCATCGGAAATGTATACCCTCCATTGGCTGTTCCGCCCTTTCCGCCCTGCATCCGCTCTTCACGCGTTATGCCCACCCGTCAGCTTCCGTGGTGTTACCCCTTGGATAAACTGCGATCAAGAGTGTACTTACTTCAGCATGGCGTGCACACGCCAACCATCGACAACCATCGTCCTAAATGGGCCGCACTTGGCAAGCATGGAAAGATACCCGACGGCGTATCTAAGCACGAGAACTATCACAACATGCAGGAGGCTTGACTTTACGTATGCGTGTTTTATGCTTTGTGCTGTGTATGTTGGTGTGTACTCGTTGGTTTAAAACCGCCCCCGACAACTTGTCACGTCGAGGGTGAGAGCAATTCCGTACGGCGCATGCCGATAGCTTTTATGAGGTTCATTGGGGCTGCAAGTCCCAACCCGTAGCATCAACTGCTTCAGCCAACTAACAATGAGAGCAACCGCCCAATCGTCCGCCCTCAACCCTTTCCCAATGCCAACAACTCTCTTTATATTCTCGCCCAGTTTGGGACAACTGATCCCATGCCATACCCATGCCACTACCTTAATACAAATAATGTCACCCCCTTCCACACCTTCTGACAAGGCCGCAGTCCAGCTGCCCTACATGCCCTGCTTGGAGCCTTTCTCGGTGTTTCCGCGCCTCAGTTGTGTACCCAACACCCCCTTAAAGGGTTGGTTTCCCTTTGCCCCCCCTCTCCAGCGATTGCAACAACATCCTTCACGCCCAACTCGAGCAATGTTCTCCTCCATGCAGCTGTCCCATGCAGCAACGCAACCGCAACCGCAACCCCCCCCTCCCCCCATTCGGGATTGGGACTCCGTTGATGCATGTCTCTATATCCCCCCGAGCAGCGCCTCCCCATAACGACATACCCCGGCAGTCGGACGTCAGCTGTGGTGAGGCTGGTAACAGCACACGCCTACGTAAAGGCACACACCCCACCCTCTGCCCAAAGCTGCTGCACCCCACCCCGCGCCGCCAGCCTCCGATCCGTACCCCACATCCAGCGACCACCAGTACAGTACTCGCACCAATGCCGCCCGATGCCCCAATGTCCCTTCATGGCTTTAACCTAACAACCACAGGACCACATGGACCACCTACCCGAATTCGAAGGCATCCGCCCATGAGCCCCCCTAGCCCCTTCCTGAAGCTGTGCCGTCCACACCCGCCACCCGCCACCCGCCATTCCACACCTCACACCACCCGCCTCGACCCCCTCGGCCACCGTCACGCACAGCTCGTGCCCTGCGCGTAACGCCCACCCGCCTGACCCCCTTTCATCCTGGGCCTTGGGATTCGCGCATCTTCTTCTCCTCTTTGCCCCCCTTCCCCCTTAGCGCGCCTCTCCCTCCAACGGCAGCGGCGAGCGGCCCGCGTGCAGCCGCCCCAGCTCCTCCGCTCCTTGCGCCTTGGCGGCAGCCGCATGCTGAGCGTCGTGGAAGTGCGTCACCGGCACGCGGCCCAGACCGGCGGCCTGCGGAGAGGAAGGAGGGTGGGGCCGGAGTGGGAGGTGATGAGCGGCCACCCGGGCCCAACTTACTGCGGCATTGAAGCAGCAAGGATGGCAGGCATGCCAAGCACTTCGCTGTGCAGCAAAAAAACTATGCGCGCTTCGCTTGTGTGACCTTTCATGTTACAGTCATACTACTGTCTGTATTGGGGTACATGTGTCATTTGCATTCCGTATGGAGGGCATTGTATTGTACGGTGCACATGTGTCTGTACGGTGCCGTACCGTGGTGGCGCTGTCCAGTACGGCACGTGTCGCATCGTACAGCTGCTTGCACTCGTCCGCGTCCTTGGCAGCCCAGTTGACGGGCTGCCGGGCCACGGTGTTGAAGCCGCCCCAGCCGAACAGCTGCAAGCCAAAGGTGTTGGGGCCGATATAGGTGCCCCCGCGACCTGCGTGGCGGAGCGGGGACGGAGCAGGGACGGAGCGGGGACGGAGCGGGGACGGAGGGGCGGTTTCGGAGCTTGAAGGGTAAGTCTGCAGCCCGGCACGACAACGTACGGGACATCTACCAGTAACCAAAACAATCGGCAACAAAACTGCGGCCCACAGACATCCACGGTTCCACGCGCCTTCCTGCCACGGTAGCCCCGGCATGCCCATCCGCGCTCCCTCGCCGCCTGCCCGCCCCGACCCCGTCTTCTTGTGTGCCACTCTCATGCAACACATTGGGTTTGCTTTTGTTTCCCCGCCCCCCGCCCCCACCCCGCCCCCACCCTGCAGTCGCGGCTCCGTTGCCGCGAACAGCGGCGCCAGCGCGCCCCGCAGCTCCGACTGGCCGTGCAGGCGGCTGTTGACGAAGGCGGCCACCGAGGCCACGTAACTCTTGTCGGACTTGGACTCGCCGGGGGTGGATACAATGCCTGGGGGGTGGGGGGCGGGGGCGGGGGCGGGCATGAAGCTCCCGTTGGTTGGTTGGGTGGGTGGTTGGGTGCATGCGCGCGACGTGGGCCGTGCGGCTTTGCCAGCGGTTGCCCGGCGGCCCCACCCCGTCCCATCCGTCGTGACGCCTCCTAGGGGTTCCTACCCCCATTGCGTTGCCCTAACCCGTGGCTTCCTATGGTTTGGCATGGTCTTTGACCCCATGCCACTCATTTGCCGGACCCACCAGGATGCACGGGGAACACGTCCACTCCGGTGCCCCGCAGCCGGCGGTTGAGGTCGCGTGAGGCCATGATGAGGTAGAGCTTGGAGGCGGCGTAGGGCTTGAGGCCGCTTGTGGACATGTCCACACCCCTGCGGGAGCAGGGGAACAGGAGAAGGGAGGAGAAGAAGCCATACGTTGATGGATGACTGTGGCAAGATAGGTGACAAGCTCCAACAGGAGGAGGAGGAGAGGGGGAGAGGGGGAGAGGGGAAAATTACAGGTAAGTGCAATTACGGTACGCCCCCTGCCCTACCCCTACTCTATCCCAGCCTTGAAGCCTTGCAAACAATCAGTCACTCGGTGGTCACCGCTTCACAAGCCTCACGCACGCAGTGATGCATACCATGCCATGAATCCCTACCAGGAACAGTGCACCCATTACTGAACAACAACCTTCACGACACATCCCCCTCCATTCACCCCCACCGTAGGTCGCCCCAGTGCACGCGGCCAAACATCTCGCCGAACGACGCCACGTTGACAATGCGCGCGGGTGCGGAGGCGCGCAGCCGCGGCAGCAGCAGCAGCGTCAGATACAGCGGTCCGTAGTAGTTGGTGGCGAGGGTGCTGTAGGAGGGAGGGAGGGAGGGAGGGAGAAGAGCAGGCGGGGGGAGGGTATGAATCATGGGAAGGGGAGCCGTAGGGCTGTGCAGGGGGCTAAGCATGGTGGTGGCTAAGCGGGAGGAGGTTGAAGCCACAGGCGCGCAGGAGTAGGCGGCAGAACCCGGGGGGGGTGCCGGTCCCTAACTTACAGCTCGAATCCATCCTCTGTGACGGTGAAGGGCCCGGGCGCCAGCACCCCCGCGTTGTTTATTAGCACGTGCAGCGGTGAGCCGGTGGCCAGGAAGTCGTCAGCCAGCTTGCGGACAGACCTGGTGGCAAGATAGGAGTGTGCGACATGCCGGTAAGGGAGAAAGCAGGATGAGGCAGAAATTATAGGGGTGACCCGTGGGTCAGGTCAGGTTTCTGACCCCACGCACCTCAGGGACGCCATGTCGGCCTGCAGCAGTGTAAGCTTGGCGTAGCTGAACTCCTGACGGATGTCATCGGAAGCCCTGGCGGGGGGCGGGGGGCGTGCAAGGGTAGGGGGCAGCATAAGGTGGGGTGCAACATGACTACATGAGGGATGCACAGAAAAGGCATGCAGCCGCATGGCGATGCAGAGCACGTCAAGCAAGCGGCCAGCCGCAATCAACATCAACCCAAAACAAGAACCGGCGAAGCGGCAGTGCAACACAGCGCCGTACGCTGCGGTATTCACAGTTGCCAACGCACCCCTTTGAACCGTTCGAAGGCCTTACCACATGCACTCCTCCCTGTCCTGCACTTCCCTGCATCCCCTATCCCCGCCCTCACTTCTTGCCCTTGTCGATGTCCCGCACCACCATCACCACGTGCGCGTTGTTGCGGGCCAGCAGCCGGGACGTCTGGAAGCCGATGCCGCTGTTAGCGCCCGTCACCAACACCACCTGGGTGGGTGACATTCATGCATGTGAGTGCATGTACGGCATGGTGGTTGTGGTGGTGGTGGTTGTGATGGTGGTGGTTGCTAAGGATTGCATGGGCGTGTGCGATTTGCTGAAGAGCCTTCAACAGCAGCCCGCCACTCGGCACCGCCACAGCTTGGACGACAGATTCTCAGCTCGTGCTAGTGTCGTGCACCCGTGACCACAAACTGCACGAGCCAACGATGGGGCACGACACTAGGCTCGTGTGCTTGGACACGGCACACAGGACAGTGAACACTGAAAACGAGCAACAGCGACAGGGACTGTACAGCTTGTACGACAATTTACACGGCAGTTCACAACCAACAACAACGAAATCACCAAGGCTGTCCAACCTTGCCAAACATGTCCGGCATGTCGCGATCCGTGTCCCAACCGGGCAACACATCCCGCACGACGCCGGGCAGTAGCGACAGCAGCCCCTCGCCACTGCCGGGTGCTAGCAGCGCATGGGCCACTCGCACGGGCAAGTGCAGCAGGGAGGTAGCGGCGGAGGAGGCGGAGCCGGGCTTTTGCTGTGAGGAGAGCGTGAAGGAGCCGGGCGGAGAAGCAGCGGTGGACATTTCTGTGTGCTTGTTGGAGTTGTTACGAACAGCGACTCGGCGAATGAAGAATGGCAGGGTGCTGCGAAAGCAAAGGTTTTGCCGGATCGTTGGCAAGAACGGTAGTCGAGATGTTGTGGCGCTTAGTAAAGAAGCTTAGGTTTAGATGTAAGTATGCTGGAAAGTAGTAGTAATTGCTTGGGCGTGCGTGGCCTTGTCTGGCGCTTAAGGATCTCCACACATGTCCTTCATGCGGCACTGGCCGTTGACGTCACAATTGCATCGGAGCGTAACTGACAAACTGCTGCCGCTCCTCACGTCTAGCCCAGCCGCCACAGGCACCAGCCCAAGCTGCTGCAATACTGCAGCACAGCAATGACTACATTGCTCTAGTAATAATGGATTAGGGGCCAACCAGGAAGCTGCCGATGTGTCGTCCTGGGGACAACATGTCGATGTCTACGGGCCCGTATGTCTGGCATCCTTTGGAGGGATCATTTTGGTGGTCAACAACCAGCAACATATACGCGCGAAGCACTTCACAAGTAGAGGATCCCAGTAGTTGATTTTTCGTGCGACAACAGCTAGCTGCCCTCGCTCGGCGCGTTGCTTCGGGGCTTGAGAAACTTCATCAGTGCTGCGCCAGCACTGCGTGATCAGTAGTTTGTAAGTTTAAAGTATGGGCTGGAAAGGCATAAAGAAGAGCATAAGAGATGGCGACACAGGCCCTCTCGTGGCCCATGGGTCGACGAACTCCATTCTTATGCCCCTGAGATGCCCACAAACTGTTCTTCTTATAGACAGGGATTGAGCGATGTCTTCGACAACATCGAGGCCCTTGGTTTGACACTTTCTTGCATACCCTTGCAAGGAGGCTGTAGATGCACAACCAACACGGTAAGGATTGTATCCAATCCTTGCCAAGGAACGTTGTGCCACTAGACGTGACCAAGCCTTAGAAGTAATCCGAGAAGCCATAGATAGAGGGTGCCAAGTACTGACGCCCATGTGGGCATGCGCCAGCCTGCCTAACCAATACACACAGCATCCCCACCCTGCCCAAAGCCCATAATAACAGGCATGCAGGCATTTATCGCCTACCGCAGCACCCCAAGAACCAGGCCGAACTCCAACCAAAGACCATAGTAACCAACCAAGTGCCCTTCCGCATCTAAGCTAATATGCAGCACCATTCCCTGCTATCGCCAGCAACGCCATGCCAGACCAATGAGCTGTTAGTAGTAGCGAACTAGTACAGTAGTAGGACAATCGGCAAGACAGATAACGTGCTTCACACAAAGAGACCTTGTGCGGGGATTCACACGGAGCTCGGTTTAACGCCCCGCATTCACAAATCCGCGTCCATTATCATAAAAACAATGTGAACAACAAACCGCAGCCGCATGCCAAGGAAGGAAGCAAACTGACAGCAGGAAACTCTGAAGGGTGCCAAAACAGCGTGGGGGGTTGGGGCATGGGGCGAGACATAGAAGGCAGACAATGGCAGTGCACATGGCAAACTCCTAGAAGCAGCGGCAAGCAACAGGCCGCAGGTGCTAATCAGTGCCAAACAGTACTACACCCCAGGAAGAAACGCACAAGGTAGCCAGTAGCTACAACAAAAACTGTCATCCAAACTGTCATCAACACGGCTCAGGGCTTTCACTCATCCCCAAGTTATGGCATCCTCCAACTGCACTGCCAGTGTTGGGACGGTAACTGTAACATAGCAAGAGAACTAACACGACCGCCGACATACACAATGCCTCCAGCCAACCTAAGCATATCAAGGGCTGACGTTGCAAGGGTGAAGTCAATACAAACATCTGGGCATAGCATCGTCCGCCCTGCTAGAGTGACCTATATCACAATCCCAAGTCCCAAGCAAGTGCCCGCTCACAATGGTGGTATCCAAAAGCGCCTCCAATCCCAACAGTGCACACCCGTAACGCCCGCTGGCTGTAAGTGAACATTTCGAACACGGCGGCTATCCTAACTCCGCTCATCCGCCTTCCCTCAACCCTGTGCAGCACCCTGCCGCCGCACGCACGCCTCCTTATGCCCCGCCCGCCAATGCGCCGTCTGGCACTCCCGGCAGCAGTACCACGCCCCTCCACACCGCGCGCACGCCTTCAGCGGCAACTCCGCCTCGCTGTCCCCCTCCAGGTTGACACAGGCGGGGTTGCTGCAGGTGCGCAGCAGGCGGCGTGCCTCCGCCGGCGGCACCAGGAACCGCCGCATGACCCCCACCACGTCCGGCACCGACATGCCCCGCTCACTGGCCCGCTGCCGCAGCCGCTCCGGCACACACCTGAAGCTCAAAGCACTGCTCCCGGCACCTCCTTCAGAACCCCAGGCCTCCAGCCGGGCTGCCAGCGCCAAAGCAGCGTCTGCCGCTTCCCCATGCCCGCTCTCCCGCAGCTTCGGCGCCAAGCCGCGCACCTGTGCTGGCGGCCAGGCGAACACCGGTGGCGCAATGGTTGCCTGCTCGGCTTCCCGCACTGCCGCCTGCACCTCCTGCGGAAAGGCACTCGCCACCACGCCGCAGCAGTCCAGGAGTTCTGCTAGGTCCGCCCCCTTGTCCGACTCAACGCTGCGGCAGAGGTGCAGCAGTGAGCCCAGCAGCGGCACCACCGCCACCTCGTGAAGCAGGAAGGGAACCCAGCTGCCGCCGCCGCTGCTGCTGCCCCCGCAGTCTGCATCGCCGCTGCGGCCCTTGCAGGACAGCACCAGCCCAGATAACCAGCGCGCCAATGGAGCTATGTACGCGTGCCAATACATGTTGATGCCTCGCCTGTGAGGGGCCTCAGCAATGGCACACTGCCAGGCCAGATGCCGGAGGAGGAGTGAGGCGGTTGGCAGCCACTCGCAGACCGCAAAGGAAACCAACCGACCCAGATGCTGAAGCCCCGCTGGCTGCCCGATATCATCACCAGCAGGGTCGCCCTCGGGCACCAGGGTTTCAGCCAGCGGCCCGGACGCCAACTCCTCCATGTGATTGAGGAAGACGGCCGTGCAGCGCTTGGCGCATTCAGCCAGATACCCTTTCTCAAGCCGCAGCCATTTGGCGTGTGTCACCACCCACGATGCCGCCTGGCGCGGATCAGAATATGTGAAGAGGGCGAGCCAGGTCTCGACTTCTCTGCCGCGGGTTCCATCCAAGAAACCCATAAGGAAATGTAACATGCGTTGTTCCAAGTCATCGTTTGTGATAAAAGACCGCTGCAAACCCTCCAGCCAGGGCAGCAGGCCAGCTGCGATTGCTGCGGCCACAGACGGGCGGGGCAGCGGTGACGGCGCCCAGCTGGATAAGGCCTCGCCTGGAAAGGATGTGTAATGGAATGTAGGGTACGATGAGCGGACCAGACCGAATGGACCAGAGGAAAGGCCGACATGGCTCATGAACAGATAGGAAAAGCCAAGTGAAGACCAGAAGTGCGCGCCTTGGGATGACAGGCGCATCCCTTTACCACAACCTACCATGTAAATCTCTTGGGCTCAGCGCCTCTTGTAGCACTCTCCCCAGTCTTTCGCAGGTCCATCGATCAGCATGCAGGCAGGCGTGCCGACCTACATCCACTGCCGAACACCACAACTCCGCCATAAGCTCCTCCACATGCCCGCTTCTGCTGGGGATTGTTGCCCAGGCAAGCTCCAGAGCTTGAACCGCAATATCCAAGACATGCTCCTGGCGCAGCACTAGGCGGCTGGTTCGCGACACAGCATGGGCAGCCAGCGGTGCCGGCAATGCGCCAATGTCAGTTGCAGCAGTGCTGGAAAGCGGAGCAGGCACTGCGCCAATGTCAGTTGCAGCAGTGCTGGAAAGCGGAGCAGCAGCCGCCGCACCAGCAGCAAGCTCGGCGGCAGCTGGCCCATCAGGCTGCAAGTTGCCGCGTCGCAGCATAAGGCGCAGGAGGCGAAGTGCCAGCATGTGGGGTGCCCTGCGGTGCAATGGCTGCTTTGACTGCCTGCGCAAAGCGGCTAACATCGCCTTGAAGCAGACCGGGTGCAGCTGCGGCTCTTGGCCTGGAGCCGGTGCGGGAGTTGACGCCAGGGCCCCTAAGGGCTCGGTCAGAACGGGCAGCACCCCAAGCAGGTCCGGCTGCAAGCCATAGGCGGGGCCACCATCATCCTCGCATAAGAGCGTTAAGCCGTGGGCCACTGCCACGTGCTGAGCACAAAAGCCCTCAGCTGCGGCGGACAACTCATAATCATCTGCTTCGACCAAAGCAGTTAAGAACAGGAACGATGCCTCTTCTGCTTTCTTGGTTAGGCCGCCTTCAGCTGCAGCCGATGTATAATAAACAAGCAGGGCTCGCGCCGCATGCTCCATGGGGCAGCTGTCCCTAAGCACAGAGCCGAGCGGGTTGGAATACTGTTGCAGCCGTTCGCAAACTGGAACCGCTTCCCAACACGACATCCGGCGGGAGATGCATACCATGCCAGCAAGCAGCGTTAAGGCAGGCAACACCGCCTGGCTGAACACTGTATCCAGTGCCAGGTGCTGAATGCCCTCCTTGCGCGCATTTTGCAGCCACTCTGCCACGGCAGCTAGCTGACGGCTACAAGCTTGCACTGTTTGCATGCTGATGAGCTTCCGCACGAAATCGAGCGGCCCTAGGCTTTTTGCTTTCGAAACGTAGTATGGCAGGCGCGTCATGAACATGAGCAGGTTGCCGGCCAGCATAGCGCCCTCCACCACAACTTCGCCCACTAAGCCATCGCCATGATGTGTGGTCGGCAGTATTCGCACCGCCTCCGCCGTAAGCCTTAACAAGAATGAACGGACTCCGGTTAATGTTACTATGGCTGCGGAGGCGGATGCCCTGCGCTCCGTAGACAGTGACCACATATATGCACTGATCTCCGCAAGCTGCTTTCTAGCATTCCCCAGATCTCCATTGGAAATACAATTTATGGTGAATCCCGTCGGCAATTTATTTGCTATGTCTGAAAGCGCCTGTAGGGCGGCCTTCACCGTGTGAGGGACTTTTAAGTTATCCATATTCCGTATGACCTGTTAGCCTTTGAAAACATTCCTATCCTCTGACCATGCGAAATCTGCAGATGTCGTGCGAAATGTTCAGATTTCGAAGGCACGCCTTTAACGTTTCGCCCACAGGGAAATGGTGTACGACAACAAAACCTGGGGCTCCCGAACCGCTCTGGAAGGGTTGCTGCGAAGGACGCAGGAAGAACCGCGTTGTACGCTCTGACGTTAGCTGTAAAAGCGTATGTAAGAAGCTCCTTCGCGTCGGGCGACGTTCAGACTTCTGGGCCAAGCTTCGGACGTTAAAGCGTCAAAGCTAAGGCTACAATGTACTAGCTTATAGTTACTGGTTATGGACAAAAGCGGTGTAGGCGAAAAGCGTCCGCCGAAAGTGCAAAGGGGCGAGAGAGACGTTCTGTGAGCGTGTGAAGCGCTCAGATGCATTAAGCTAGAATTTAACATTTTGAGTATGTTTCCTTGAAGAGGACGGCGATGGCCTGTCATTTGAGTAGTGCATGTGTTCTGCATTTCCATGCCAGACTCATACTCGCCGCCTGCAATGCTTGCTAACGCGTTACTAGGATGATAGAGAAGCAGAGCGGTGAGCCCAGGTGTGCACGTGCGGGCTGCACATGCGCCAAGCAGCTTCACGAACATGAAGGTCAGCACGTGCCCCGGTAAAACCCGCGAGCGGCAGTGCAAGTCGTGTCACGCTCGATCCCAGCATCTCCACCCTGCTCGGCAAACATCCATGTCTTCCCTGACATGCCAAGTACTGACGCCCATGTGGGCATGCGCCAGCCTGCCTAACCAATACGCACACAGCATCCCCACCCTGCCCAAAGCCCAATGCAGGCATCCATGCTGTGCGCGTGCGTCCCCATGCGTGCTTGAGCTGCCAAGTGCAGGCATCATCGCCCCCCTTTGACCTGCTGCATCCCGCCATCACTGCTTTACAAGCCAACCCGCATGTGGTGGCTTGAGGTGACGTACGCAGACGTACGCGAGCAAGGCGCACAGGCGCCGCATGCCACACGCCACAGGCAACTCCATGAACGGGTAGGTCAGCAGGTGGCCTAGCAAGCGGGGGCCCTGACTCTCGCTCCCAGTACGGCTTCCAAACGCGCAGGCATTCTGCCCACACCACAGCGCCCATGCGTGCTGCCTCCCCTCTCTACCCAACCACTGGCGTGCATGCATCTCCACCCTGCTGGAGTACGTACACCCAAGTCACCCATGCATGCAGCGTTCCCCGCATAGCCTGACAGCTGGCGCCCATACATACCCACATGCACGCAGGCAATCAGTGCACCTACCCTGCCGGGGTCGGGAAGGGGTGCAGTGCATCTCGGGATGGTGCGTACTACGGCAGCGCCTGTTTGGGCAAACATCACCACCCTGTTCACTGGCGCCCGTGCATGCAACGCATTCATCCTGCATGCAGGCATCCCTGCTGAGTGCATCCCTGCCTGTGCCCAAACTGCATCCCCCCTGCCCAAATGCTGTGCGCCTGCATCCTCGTGCGTGCTCAAGCTGCGAAGGGGCTAGCTTTCATTCGTGGAGGAACCTCTATACTTCATAAATACGGGTGTCCATGTGTGGCATCTACGCCTTGCCCGAGCACAGCACCCAAGCGTGCAAGCATCCCTTCTCCCCAAATCACAGCACTCATGCCTGCAGGGCAATCTCCCCTTTGCCCAAGTACCAAGCATTTGTGCAGGCAGGCATCCCGGCGGTGCCCTGCTGTTCGTGCAGGTTACTCAACCCTTCCTTAATGGCCGAAATCCATACATACGTTTAGGCAACTACTGGTGCCAAGCACCCATGCGTGCCGGCATGCTCGCACAGTTTAAGGTTTGCCAATAAGATAACTGCCGCAAACACAAGTTGAGTGCAGCAAGAACAAGCAAAAAGACAGCATCGAGTTAACGCATACGTATGCGCGTAAGCAGCACAGATGTGGCATGCCGAAGGCATCCCATGAATCGGCATGGGTGCTCCAGCAAGACGGACCCCTGACGCTCTCCCACTATGGCTCCCAAACGCACAGCGGCACAGGTATCCCGCCCATACCACAGCGCCCACGCGTGCTGGCTCCCTGCTCTTCCCAACCAATGGCTTGCATGCATCTCCACCTTGTATGGGCCGCCTGGGCCTCGCCGGTGAGTTAGTATCTCTTCGGTCTGCAGTGTAATGGCCCTTGGCAGCTGTCCCAACCGTCCCGCTTTTGGCACGTCCCGCTTGGCACTAGTCAGCAACTGTTACAGCCTAAACAGAGAGCCTCTCGAGATAGGTAACGGGAGACAGGAGCACAGAATCCACCTTGTATGGGCTGCAGTATGTACAGCCGTGCGTGCAGCCTTCCCCGCTTTGCCTGACAGCTGGGGCCATGTACCGGTATGTAGACATCCCTGCACCCCCATGCACGCAGGCAAGCAAGTATGCGGAGTACCCCGTAGTGCCAGAGTTATTCTGGCACCCATGCAAGCATGCACCCCTGCCCTGCCAAGTGCTGGTGTTCATGCGGCCCCAACCCACGGTATCAGCGCCCGTGTGCGCACGCATCACCGCCCTGCTCACTGGCCCCCGAACACGCAGCATGCGCACCCTTCCTAGACGCCAGCGGGGACGGTGTCCCCACACTGGCCAACTGTGAATGCGCTTGCATGCAGGCAATCCCACCCTGCCCGAGCTCAGGCGTCACGAGGGTAAGCGGCACGTTTGCAACAATAGCCCGTTGTTCCTGCGCTCCCCTTGCACATGCTGCCACCATTCACATCAATTGCAATCTGTGCCAACCATACATCCAGACAACACCGCTTTGCCTCACTGCTGGCTCCCACACATGCAGGCATTCCCACACCCATGCACCCCAGCCGGGGTCGGGGGGAAAAAAAGGAGGGGGGAGGCAGTATATCTCGCCCAGGCGGGGCGGTGTGTGATACAGCTGAAGCGGGATGCAATATAACTCGCCCGGCCAGGGCGCTTCGCAGCCATGCACCAAGGCATTATTAGGCGGAGCCCCCGTCGTGGTGCCCCCGTCGTGGTGCCCCCGTCGCGGTGCCCCCGTCGTGAACAGGCTTCGGGGGGGGGGGATGCCCACGTCCATGTGCCCGTAAGTCCGTCGGAGTGTCAGGAACGGCAAAATACATAAACCGAACAAATCTAATTCACCTTCCTTGTCTGCACATAATCGGGCTTAGCGCCCTGGTACCTTTGTTTGACCCATCCATTTACTTTTCACTGTCCTGCTTTCGCAACCACACAAAATTATGCCATGCTTGCCCAGCAGTTTTCGCCTTCTCACCCGACCGAAGGGAGGCTTGATTACTATTCGGGTGAACGAACAGATGCCGGACAGGACTGTGAACAAGTCAACCTTTTCGCAACACTGTTCGCTCTGAAAGAAACCAGTTTCGGAGCGTATCTCCAACGCTTTGGGGAACGGGGATTGCGGTTTGGGCGCTTTCCCTAGTCGCTAAGCGAAATACCTTGAAATTTATGCTACTTTGAAACGAGTAATAGCTTACTACCTACCCTCGTTCTGAACCATAAGCCAGCTGCGTCACCAACTACTTGCACTATACGGCCTGCTGGCAAACACGTCGCAGGCGCTGAAGCCCATTATCCTCTTTCACCCAGTTTATCTCTTCTTGCCTCGGTAAGCACTGTATGAGAGCTTGCAGCTTCTGGACTTCAAGCGGTCGCAATCGTCTTGGAAGCGATACCGAGATTTGCCTTGAGCATAAGGGTTAGTATGTAGTTATTGATAGTTACACAAGGCTGCCTCGTTCCAGCTTCATGACCGTGTGCCACGATGGCGGCGGTTCATGAAATAGAGTATTTCCTTGACCCGAAAGCTTACGGTTAATGTCTGCTGTTAGCTGCATTGTACTGTAACGCTTACAAGGTAAGGTGTGGAGAAATAATGGAGGAACTGTCCTTCGATGCCAGGCTTGTAACATGATGAACTAGGGCAAGCGTTTGGACAATACTCACCTCTTAATACCACAGACTACACTCTCCTATAAATACCTATTTTGTGCGCTTCTTCTGTATGTACAGGGCATGTCAGCAAGTTGGCGTGAGCAGTCCGCTGCAGTCAACTCAGACGGCGTATCCACAGTTCTAGGCAACCTGGAAGCACGGGCGCTTCAATCCTCTACCTCATGTACCCCCAGCGATGGCTCCGCTGAAACACACGTCGTAAGCGAGACAGCCGCGCCGTGCGAAGCTCGGGTGCACGGGGTTACTCAGGAGGGCCACGACCATTGGGAGGAGAATACGGCGGAGGCCTACAGCCCTTGCAGCTTCGAGTTTGTGCGGTCTCGCTGTGAGGCAGCAGCACAGACGTGGATGCCATACCACGAATGGGCAACGCAGCGACGACCCTTCAAGCTGCCCCCCGGCCTTCCCAGGGCCCCTCGGCAAGCTGACATGGAATCCTTGCTTTCCCCTGAGGCATCGCTCGGCGTTGGTTGTACGACAATTGGGTGCAGCGACGACGATCTCGATGAGGAGTGGGACGCCTGGTTCAGCCGCAACGTCGAGAACGGGAACTTCTCAGCATCTTGGCTTGGTACAACTACCCCCAAAACGACGAGCCCGTCCACAGACGCTGCATGCATACCAGCAGGCGCGCCACTGACTGACAAGGACGAGTCCTCCTCTGATGCAAGCTCTGAAGGCGACGCAGAGGATGACTGCGTGCCCGTTACAGCACCTTCATCACCACCACGAGCAGCAGCAGTAACAGCAGTAGCCGTGCCCACAGGCATGACTAGTGCTTTCGCGCAGGGCTGCCCGCGCTCCTGCTTCGCAGATGCCGCACCCCTGTCGCCGCCAAGTTACAGCCGCTTTGCTGTAGCCCTTGTCCACAGCAGCGCAGCAGCCAGCGACGACGATGGCAGCAGCAGCGAGCCTTCAAGCCCGTTAAGTCCCGCTGACTCGGATTGTCGTACAGATATGGAGGAATGCAGCCGTTACAGCAGCAGCCGCAGCAGCAGCAGCTCCAGTCTGACGACCATGGGCAGCGGCGGTTGCTGCTGCGGCGACGATGCCATGCAGGAGGGAGGGGAGGATGCCGAGAACCTTTTTGGGTCAGGACCAGGGGCCATGGACGCTGGTGAGGATCCTGTTTGTGGCTACCTTTCTGCCTGTTGTAGCTCGGGATCCGGCTCCGACGCAGCGGCGCAGGCTGCTGTGGCACCGTCGCTGCTGCCAACGGTGACGCGCTGTGCTGCGGCTTCGGCGCCGGTGGAGGTTATGGATTGCGGCGACTGGGAACGGCAGGTGGAGGTCAAGCTCACGTGCGCTGCGCCTGCGTTTGTTGGGGCGTTTGCCAGCGAGGCCTTGTGTCCCCCTTGGCTGGCGCCTCGCCTGGAGAGGATGCTGCTTGAGGTGGTTGTGGAGGCGCTCTGGGGGCCGGATGCATGCTGAGGGTTGCTGCGGTTGGCCATGGGTTGGTTGCTTAGCTTATCACGGATTTAATTTAGAGGAGGATTTGCGGGTTCTACGCCCTGCCGCCGGTTTTAATCGCTGCCCTTGCTGCCGGTTTTTGTTAGTTTGCTAAGAATCGTTGCATTATAGCTTTGTAGGTGCTAGGTAGCTAGCTGCATATCGGCCAAATAAAGTAGACCGTTAAGGAGCATGTTAGGAGACCGTCATACACAGGAAAGTGCCTAACCTTGACTGTGTGGCCCTGAATCCTTGACCTTTACGTTTGAATATAGGGTGACAGGCCCGACGGCTATGCTAGGTGGCTTACCTGTTTGCAACAGTTTTGACTATGCTGTCCAATATGGCGGCATTGGTTGCATTGACAGTACGATGACAAGCTGGCTGTTCAGGATCTTTTGAACGCTTTCGTGCTTCAGTGGGGCATTCAAACCATGTGGCTGTGTTGCTTGTCAGTCAGTTTTATGCTTTGGTGTTTCACATTTTACATCAGCTGCCTTTCATGCTATCCCTGCTGTGGATAGGGAAAGTTGGTCCTTAACGCCCATAGTATGCAAGTTAAGGTTGAAAAAACGGCAAGAGTTTTGGTCGTGTGGCGAGCTGTGGAGTTAACTGTCGGTGTTTCGGTCTGCAATGCTGACGAGTGGGCCTTTGCATCTGCCAAGCCCTATGCATTCCTTCCGGACGCCGTAAGGCGAATGACACGGTTTTGTGGTCGTGCATTGAGTGGCTTATAGAGGGGTGCAGGTGTACTGCAAGCTTTATCACACATCGCTTTGCATGCGCTGGCTTTATTTCTAGTAGGAGATGTGCGTTTCAGCCGAGCTTTCGCTGACAGGATGAATGCCGGTGGTGAGGAGGGAGGCAGGGAGGGACGGAGGGAGGGGAGTGAAAACATACGTGAAAAGTGCAGCAACTGGAGTTCCAATCCCATACATGCAGGAGCTACCGTTACTACTACACGCGCTTCTTTTCCACTCGACACCCCAATTTGGCGCATTGCGTGGGGAAAGCGCTGCTTTCACTACTGGTGGCGCGAGGCATGGAAGAGGGTATGACAGATACGTCCATGTTACATGCGCTGCAAATATGATATTTGAAGCTGTTCAACCCTCAATCGTACATAGCAAAGGGTCCTCTCATAGCAGACTGTTGTCATGTATCACCTGTCCTTTTACAGCGGAGTAAACGCCCGTCTATGTCTTCCGCTTGTACGCCGGATTAGAGGAGTAAAGCTACTGGTACGAATGGCAGTTATGGTCGCCCAAAGCAACAATAGATTTAAGGGGCCAGGGGCGAGCTTAAGGGAACGGTTATTAAAGGGACCTAAAGACTCGAGGACAATCTGTCTGTTCGAATTGGCCATGCACTTGTACTCCTAACCTTAGCTAGCCTTAGTAGCTAGGTCAGCCCTGGGGGTCACGCGAGCAAGGCAGGGTGTGTAAGGACAAACGAAAAGGTGCAAAGGCAAGCCCCTGCACCTTGCTAAAACACTGTTGCTTAGCTACACGGTCCTGCAGTTGACTTAGTGAAATGCATTAGAGGCAAGCTGGAAGTTGTGCGGACGCGCAATATCCAAGTTGACGATACGTTGAGGCGTTTCAAGGACGATACACTTTTGTAAGCTGATTAGCATGCAAAGTGGATGAATGCCGGATTTCGGCACGCTTTCTATCCCTGCTGCAAGGACAGCAACAACAGCATTGCCGTACTGTTAGCGTCGCTTTCCTAGCGAGTCGCCAAAGCGTCGTCGAGGCCAGGCTCTAGAATCCATTTAAACAGGAACGTAACATTGGTCTAACCTTGTGCTTTATTCACGCTACCACACGTTTACAAGGCCATACTATAGCTTTGCTCATGCGTACATGCTCTTGAAGGGGTCGCGTCATACGCATAGATACCGCCTTTGGTCTACACATTGCCATATATTTATTTTAACCAAGTATCCTTTAATTGCACGAAGTATGGAAGATGATGCCTGACGGCTTGCTGGTATCTGAGGAGGTAATTTCCGCAAGTCCCGTCAGAGAACCTGCCTTCCCCTTTTCAATAGTTATCATCGGATGCCGTATAGCTGCTACTTGCTCAATTGCCTTTGTTGTGGCACTGCTTGACTAGGCCACCCTCATCGCCCTTGGAACGCATGGAGGCATGCATTAGCTTCAACGCGTAGGGACGGTCTTGACTCTGTTGCCTTGATTCCGCCAGACATGCCCGTTCCTCCTCAAATCCTCACCCATCAGGAATGCCTAGCATCCCTCGTGTTGCGCATACACGACAACGATGAGGAGCGGTGCTTTCGCACCTATGGTTTGAACCCTGATCCAAAGCCCCTTCGGACATCCATTTCAGCCTTAGTGATGGCCACCAGCCTTATGGATTTGTCCCAGGACCCAGTTGTGGCGTCGCGTGCACAAGAACGAGCCGCGGATGTCCGGACCTGCAGTTCTAAGGCCACCACAGCCGGTCCTCCTTCCTACAAGAGTCTAAGCCCATCACGCTTCCACAAGTGGATGACGCTGCCTCCCGGCTTACCTCGTGCGCCACCCTGCTCCGCGCTCAAACCAGCCTTCTCCTGCATCCCTGCTTTCAGCAGCGGCAGCGACGCCGATGGCGCGGAACAGGACAGACGGGACGATAAGTGGGACGCTTGGTCCGACAGAAGGCTGGTGGGTGGCATCTCTGCGTCGCCAGGAACCCACCTGCTGCTGACGGTCCGCAGCCAGGACAGCATCCAGCCAACGTCAATTTCGTCGCCGATAAACAAGCCGTGTAGCAGTGTACGGCGGGATCCTTACATGGAGGTCACCGCTGACGTACCCGGCGAGTCCAACCGAAGCGGCTTTGGCAACGATGTTGACGACACAGATGATTTTGATGATAACGATGACCTGGAGGGAGCGTGGGTTGCTTGGTGCAGTCGTAGCCTTTCTGGCAGGCAGGACGTGTCTTCCCCTTCGGCCTGTCCGGGGTCCGACTACAAAAGGCGCGCAGCAGGGGAAGGTCTGGCCGCCGTGACGCAGCCGCCAAGTCCGGATGCGGTGCTGCTGGCTGCGAATGGCTCCCCCATCGCAACGCCGCTGCCGTCTGTCAGCTCAGCGCTGGTGGTTGAAGGTCCTGCGGAGGGTTTCGAATACAGCCGCTTTCTGACATGTAGTGACATTGATGAAATGGGGGAGCCAGCGATGTTGACGTCATGCGTGACGTCATCAATTTCATCACCTCTTGGCTCGCCTGCCAGGGGTAATGGCCTGGCGGTGGCGGCGGCCTGTGGGGCGTTAGGCTCCATAGATGGGAAACAGCATCACCCGGGGTTGCGTTGGGGTGTACATGTGGCTCCAGCAGTAGAGTCTGTGACCATGTCGCTGCCGCTGTCGCTGTCTGTTGCTGACCATGTCGTGTTGTCGTGTCGAAACCCGGTGGAGGAGGATGAGGAGGGGGAGCCGGTGTGTCCCGCCTGGCTGGTGCCCCATCTGGAGGCCATGTTGCATGATGTGGTTTCGGAGGCGCTGTGGGGAGAAGAAGATGCATGTACAGAGCTAGAGGGTTGGTGAGGGAGCGAGTTTGATTGTAGGAGGGGAAGTGAAGGGAGCAGGTGAGGAGAAGGTCTTAGTCCCGCAGGCTTTTTGACGGTGGGCAGTTGGACGAGTTGAGTCCACTGCGGTTGCATGCTGGAAGCGAGCGAAAGCCCTGGAACGCGGGTCTGCGCACTCGAAATGGAGTTGTCGTCTGGTGTGGTCATTCAGTTCTCGATGCAGTGGAAGGTATATTAGTTTACATTTATTGTCTTCGCCATTCTTTTGTTTGCGATGCCTTGTCAGAGGAAATCCCAGGAAGAGAACGCGGGTCTGAACCCAACCCTTTGCCACAAGGAACAGCGGCGGTAGCGCACGTCACCCGCAATATCCCCCGCTGCGTGATGCGGTGCTCATGCGCGCACTTTTCCGGAGCTGCAGTGACTTGTTAGAGCACGTATTTGTTTCCGTTTTCGCAGGGGCAGACTTAGGGGAAGGGGGATTGTATGTTGCGCAGTTTGGGACCTTGTGGTGTGGTGTTCGATCAACTGGTATCGCTGTGTCGGTGTGTGTACATGCCTGCGCACCCTCCAATCCAGGATGATTGGAAGGCTGGTTCGGCTTACTGCAGCCCTCGAGTATGCCGTAACTGCTTTACTGTAGCTGTGAAGGAAACGGAATGGATAGGCCTTCGTGCGCATGGCCTATTTTGCACCCTGAACGGGCTTCATCTTATGCCTGAACCACAGCAAGATGTTAACACCAGTGTACCGTATACCGGCGTGCAAGCTCAGCCCCAGCTTTGCACAGCCGTCTTTAGCTATTCGTGGAGTCAGGAGTGGAGGTCAGTGGCTTAGCTTATTGGGTGTCATCCGTATCCGTTCTCCCGTGGTCGGGGTTTGCTTAAGCTTACCAATCCAGGCAGTACCGGTAATTGCAGTACAGAGGAGCAGCAGAGCGCACAGCTGGCGCGCAAGGGGACAGCTGCAACGCATTTGTCGATAAGGCAAGACGACATGTGGACATAGCATAGCCTTGAGCATCGAAGAGTGCCTCGGCAGTCGGCACGGGGTCGAGGCGAAAAGGCAACATACTGCAAGCATCTGGCATAAACAGATTGCCAATATTTTCATGCGAAATCTGCAGATTTCGAAGGCACGCCTTTAACGTTTCGCCCGCAGGGGACTGGTGTACGACAACAAAACCTGGGGCTCCAGAACCGCTCTGGAAGGGTTGCAGTGAAGGGGGCAGGACCAACCGCGATGCACGCTCTGACATTAGCTGTGAAAGCGTATGAAAGAAGCTATGTAAATAAAGGCTTCTTCGCGTCGGGCGACGTTCAGACTTCTGGGCCGAGCTTCGGACGTGAAAATGTCAAAGCTAAGGCTGCAATGTGCTAGCTTATAGTTACTGGTTATGGACAAAAGCGGTGTAAGCGAAAAGCGTCCGCCGAAAGCGCAAAGGGGCGACGAATTCTAGTTGCCCTCTTAGAGACGTTCTGTGAGCGCGTGAAGCGCTTAGATGCATTAAGCTAGAATTTAACAATTTGAGTGTGTTTCCTTGAAGAGGACGGCGATGGCCTGTCACTTGAGTAGTGCATGCGTTCTGCATTTCCACGCCAAACTCATACTCGCCGCCTGCAATGCTTGCTAACGCGTTGCTAGGATGATAGACAAGCAGAGCGGTGAGCCCAGGTATGCACGTGCGGGCTGCACATGCGCCAAGCAGCTTCACGAACGTGAAGGTCAGCACGTGCCCTGGCAAAACCCGCGAGCGGCAGTGCAAGTCGTGTCACGCCCGATCCCAGCGTCCCCACCTTGCCCAGCAAACATCCATGTCTTCCCTGGCCTGCCAAGTACTGACGCTCATGTGGGCATGCGCCAGCCTGCCCAACCAATACACACAGCATTCCCGCCCTGCCCAAAGCCCATAATAACAGGCATGCAGGCATCCATGCTGTGCGCGCGCGTCCCCATGCGTGCTTGAGCTGCCATGTGCAGGCATCATCGCCCCCCTTTGACCTGCTGCATCCCGCCATCACTGTTTTACAAGCCAACCGCATGTTGGTGGCTTGAGGTGACGTACGCAGACGTACGCGAGCAAGGAGCACAGATGCCGCATGCCACAGGCAGCTCCATGAACGGGCAGGTCAGCAGGTGGCCTAGCAAGCGGGGGCCCTGACTCTCTCTCCCAGTACGGCTTCCAAACGCGCAGGCATTCTGCCCACACCACAGCGCCCATGAGTGCTGCCTCCCCCTCTCTACCCAACCTCTGGCGTGCATGCATCTCCACCCTGCTGAAGTACGTACACCCGTGCATGCAGCGTTCCCCGCTGTGCCTGACAGCTGGCGCCCATACATACCCCCATGCACGCAGGCAATCAGTGCACCTACCCTGCCGGGGTCGGGAAGGGGTGCAGTGTATCTCGGGATGGTGCATGCTACGGCAGCGCACACACCACCACCCTGTTCACTGGCCCCCGTGCATGCAACGCATTCACCCTGCATCCAGGCATCCCTGCTGAGTGCATCCCCGCCTGTGCCCAAACTGTGAAAGCGCTCATGGATGCAGGCATCACAGTGGTTTCCGAAGACTCGAGCCCATGCGTGCCAGAAGGTGCATGCTGACATCCCCCCTGCCCAAATGCTGTGCGCCTGCATCCTCGTGCGTGCCCAAGCTGCCAAGGGGCTAGCTTTCATTCGTGGAGGAACCTCTATAATTTATAAATACGGGTGTCCATGTGTGGCATCTACGCCTTGCCCGAGCTCAGCACCCTAGCGTGCAAGCGTCCCTTCTCCCCAACTCACAGCGCTCATGCCTGCAGGGCAATCTCCACTTTGCACGCCACCAAGCACGTGTGCAGGCAGGCATCCCCGTCGTGCCCTGCTGTTCGTGCAGGCTACCCAACCCTTCCTTAACGGCCGAAACCCATACATACGTGTAGGCAACTACCGGTACCAAGCACCCATGCGTGCCGGCATGCTCGCACAGTTCAAGGCTTGCCAATAAGATGCTTGCCGCAAACACAAGTTAAGTGCAGCAAGAACAAGCAAAAGACAGCATCGAGTGAACGCATACGTATGCGCGTAAGCAGCAAAGATGTGGCATGCCGAAGGCATCCCATGAATGGGCATATCAACAGGTGCCCTAGCAAGACGGACCCCTGACGCTCTCCCACTACGGCTCCCAAACGCACAGGTATCCTGCCCATACCACAGCGCCCACGCGTGCTGGCTCCCTGCTCTTCCCAACCACTGGCTTGCATGCATCTCCACCTTGTATGGGCTGCAGTATGTACACCCGTGCGTGCAGCCTTCCCCGCTTTGCCTGACAGCTGGGCCCATGTATCGATATGCAGAAATCCCTGCACCCCCATGCACGCAGGCAAGCAAGTATGCGGAGTGCCCCGTCCTGCCAGAGTTATCCTGGCACCCATGCAAGCATGCATCCCTGCCCTGCCAGGTGCTGGTGTTCATGCGGCCCCAACCCACGGTATCAGCGCCCGTGTGCGCACACATCACCGCCCTGCTCACTGGCCCCTGAACACGCAGCATGCGCACCCTTCCTAGACGCCACCGGGACGGTGTCCCCACACTGGTCAACTGCGAATGCGCTGGCATGCAGGCAATCCCACCCTGCCCGAGCTCAGGCGTCACAAGAGTAAGCGGCACGTTCCTGCTCTCCCCTTGCACATGCTGCCACCATTCACATCAACTGCAATCTGTGCCACCCATACATGCACACATCACCGCTGTACCTCACTGCTGGCTCTCACACATGCAGGCATTCCCACACCCATGCACCCCAGCCGGGGCCGGGGAGGGGTGCAGTATATCTCGCCCAGGCGGGGCGGTGTGTGATACAGCTGAAGCGGGATGCAATATGACTCGCCCACCCAGGGCGCTTCGCAGCCATGCAACAAGGCATTTTTAGGCGGAGCCCCCGTCGTGGTGCCCCCGTCGCGAAGTGGCTTCGGGGGGGGGGGGGCGATGCCCACGTCCGTGTGTCTGCCCGTCCGTCCGAGTGTCAGGAACGGCAAAATGAACAAACTAACAAATCTAATTCGCCTTACTTGCCTGCACATAGTCGGGCTTAGCGCCCTGGTGCCTTTGTTTGACTCATCCATTTACCTTTCACTGTCCTGCTTTTGCAACCACACTAAATTATGCCATGCGTGCCCAGCAGATTTCGCCTTCTCACCCGACCGAAGGGAGGCTTGATTACACATTATGGTCAGACGAGACATGGCTTCGGGTTATCGGCTTTGGAACGAAACGTGTCCTTTAAGCGGTTGAGCGATGCGAGGAGCTCCGAAACCGTATTGGCCCGCCCAAAGTATGGAAAACATACTTGCCCCTTTCCCCAGAATCCTGACATATGTAGCCTTACCAGATCACGTCTACTGCTGCTTCAGAGCGGTTACTAGGGCACCAGCTTAGGCAGTGTCTCGGCCCCTTGAGCTTGCTGCGACATACATACATATCACAGTTAGTCTCGTCTTATATAGGCGAAACGTGTTGACGGCTCACCGGCGCGTCGTGGCCTACGGTAACCTCGGTACGCTTGCATGCGCAGCTGTCAAAGATGTCATTTCATTACCAACGCATGGAACGCCTACACCATACTTCTCGCGTATATACTACCTATTTCTCATTACCGCAGGTGAGCGTGGTTAGACGTTGTGCTGGAAACGGCTTTGAAGTTTGGAGAATCTGGGCGCTTCCCTGCATCTTCAGCTTGACTGGCGCTGGCTGTGCACGCGTCATCTTCTTGAGGTACTTAGGTGGCCAGGCGTGACTGCAAGCAGCGTTTTCGCGACTTTCCTGGACGTGCACTGTTGCACCCTCTTAGGGATCAAGAGTGTTTGGCAGCGCTTTCTGTCAATTGCGTATACCTTTAAACTTCATACTTCTTGCTACTCACTCTTGGCTAGGATTTTATCCCTGCTCCCAAGAGTGTGATGCCGCACCCTTCCGCTTACGCTCTCGTTGTTGCGCATATTCTCTATGATGCAAATGTAAATCCATACCTTGCCTGTTTTATAAGGCTTTATGTTTGAACTTTGGATAGGGCAAGGCATGGATGGATCATGGATGGGTTGCCCTGTTGTTTCTCCCGGCACCTACCGTGTACATGCTCCGCTCCTCCCCATCAGGTCGCCTCTCCTTCTGCCTCAGCGCTTGCTTCAAGTGTTCCATTGACAAAGGAGCTCCGCGAAGAACCCTTCCGGGTCACCAGCCGTCCATGTCCCTGGACTCGAATCCTGGTAGCAACACCGCGACTACTGCCTTGCTGTCCTCACTCCAGGAACTTAGAAGCACTAACAGCGGAGTTCTTGGGCTTGCTATCGGCAGCAACGACGGGTTTGGGGCCAAGAGCGTTGCTGCCTGCGCCGGCTTGGCTACGGATCTTGCCCTTCAGTTTGGCAGTTGGGGTCCTGAGGAACTCCAAACCTTTGGACTTTCATCCTTCGGCGCCTCCATGCCGCAGCACTTTCAGGGCTTTCCATGTCACGGATATATCGAGGCGCAGCCCTTTACCGCGACGACTGGTACAGAGTTGGGCTACGTCTGCGCGCCGGCGATGGTGGGTGGTTTCCAGCCGCCGTCAATTGACAACATCTGCAGCGCCATGAGCAAGTCTACCAGCTGTTCAGCCTCACAGTTTTCACTGTCGTTGTGTTCAGCAGCAGCAGCCGCAGCCAATACTGCGACGCAGCCTACGTTCCTCGGAAGCAACCCAGATGACAACGCGAGCAACGCCTCCTTTCAGATACAGCAGCAACAGGGCTTAGCTGAAGGACAGCTAGGGGCTGTTCACTGGAGCCTGTTAGCCACAGCCGCGGAGGCCATGGCCATGTACCTGGCAGGTAGCATTAGCAGCAACAGCTTTGCCAACACCAAGCCATCGCCTCCCGCCGCCGCTTACAACGACCTCGTAGGCAGCAGCAGTTGCACCCAACAACAACTGTTGTTTCCAGCGCCCGCGGAGGCAGCAGCTGCATCACCACCAGCACAACTGGACTCGCAGCCGCAAGCGTTCTCCGCATACACTTCCTCCGACGGGGGCGACATGGCCAGCAGAACCAACGGGCCTACGTCTGCTAGCGCATTGGTGGGCGGTGACGTCAACAGCTTTGCCTCCCATGCATGCAGTGCGGGACTCGCATCATCCGGCGGAATTCCTGACCAACCTACCTCTGGATGCGCCTATGAAGCAGCCAGTACCACCACTTTGCCAGCACCTACCATCAACAACTCAGGTGCGGCTGCCACAGCTGCACCGTTCCACGCCGAGCAGCAACAACCGCAACAGCAGCAACCTGCTTTCGAACCCGTCGGTGCTGACACTAACGCCTCCGTGCTTGCTAGCAACCTATCGTCGCAGCCCTGCAACCAGCCTGACATCTCGTACAACTGCAACACAGGCTTCTGGTGGCAGGGCTTTTACTTCATCAACTACGACCACCTACTTGCATACCGCCGTTGCGCCATCGCTTACAACTTCCACTTCTTTGGCATCCGACCCAACTTCAAGCCGCCCTCCAACCTCCCACGGCCACGGCGCCGTGCCTCCTCGGCACCGCAACCCCGCCCGCCTACTTCTCGCCTTGCCGCCGCCGCTGCTGCTGTCAGTACTCTTGTAGCGCCTGCAGCGCCCACTGGATCTGCCGCCACCCAAGCTGAGCTCTTACCGACAGACTCAAAAGCAGTGCCCCTACACCCTTCAGAGGCCGCTCCTGTGAGCCCTGGTGACGGCTCCGGCGTCCGCGGCCCTAGCAGCCCTGACGAGGATGATGAGGCATCGTCATCTTGCTGTGGATCTCCGGGCGATAGCAGCAACAGCACCAGTAGCATCGCTAGCGGTGTGGATGATAGCAGCGACGACACGTCTAGTCATGACGGACGCCGCGGTGAGAGTGCTGACTCGAACCGATCCTCGCCCTGCTCCACATCGAGCCCTGATCAGCAGCAACGGGCTAAGGCTGCCGCATTTGCGGGGCAGGAGAAGCAGGAAGTGCTGCGACCACCCTGCTGGGGACAGTGTGCGTCCGTTTCCTGCCCAGCTGCCGTTGTCCTCCCACAGCAACCGGAGTCAACCGCCTCCACGACCTCTCTCCCTGCTAAGGCCGTGGTGAAAACGCAGGAGTCAGCCGGCGTGATCGCTTCCGCCGCAGCAACGACACGCAGCAACGTGATGACGAACGCCTCGCCCACCAGCAGCCCTTCGTCGCCATTCAGCTATGTCTCCAGTTGCGCGAGTCCTATTTTGATGCCGCCACTGCCATCGCTGCGCTGCCGTACGGCGAACACCGGAGGGGCTGGAAGCCCTGTTGCTAACACAGCAGGCGATGCACTTTCCCCAGGTTACCCCGCGTCTTGCTCTCCGCCTCCCTTCTCCTTTGCGCCTGCTGCTGCCGGGAGCGGCAGCCCCACGGCCTGCGTGTCTCCCCTCTGGATGGAACGGCATCTGGGAGGCATACTGGAGCGGGTAGTTGGGGATGCGTTTTGGGGCAGCGAGGATGAGACGGCGTGAGGGATTCACGTGGAGGAACTGGGTAGTGAAAACAGTAGGGGGTCGTGGGCACAATAGAGCAATACGCGATCGGACTCGAAAGAGAAAATGCAAGTACCGCAAGCTGGGTACTGCATGCGTGATGTCTTAGCAGGGCAGGTTGATGCTGGCTGAGCGAAGCAGGTAGCCGTTACATAAATTCGTTAGGTAGGTTGGGTAAGGTTGGCCTGGCACGCGTTTATGTGGTGTATTTGGAGGTAGACCTGGGGTCGAGGCGTGATAACTCGAGTGCGGGGGCTTCGTAGGAACTGCAGGATGGCTGGGGTGAATACTTTGGCTGCGAGCAAGGTGTTATCTGTAGGTATGGTATCCTGAAGTGATCTTCCATGACAAGCTGCTGCGCTGGGCCGTGTGGGGCCGGCGTGCTCTGGATGTGTGTTGGCTTGAGATGGGTTTCCAAATGAATTCATGCATTGTTACACTTACAATGTGGATTTGAGTACAATTATGTTTACCAGCTCGTTAAGCCGCAAGCAAGGTGTTCAATGGTATCTTTGGAAGCCCCCCATGTGCAGCAATCTGCTTACCAGGATGTACATGCCTTGACATTTCAACCTGCTTCTTTATCATGGTGGTTGGGTTATCCCATAAGTTATTACCCGTTGTTAGTACGCACACGGCCCGCAACTGCAACGTATCCAGCAAAGGTGCAACCCACTGGCATGGGATGAAGACCCGCCACTGGTTGGTGCCAGATCGGTTTCAGGTGGAAGCTCATTTACTAGGTTCTTCTGTCTGAAAGGTCTGCTTTCTTCATTCTTCGTCACGCACATGCGAACGTTGATGACATGATGAGGTTGGATTTCATAGCTAATCTTCTGGACGCAGCCAATTGAACAGTGAGCTGCGTGATTCGGCATGAACGATGGTGACTCATGCATCGCAGATATGCTGCGTACTGGAACCCGGGCTTCCAGCATGCGCGTATTTGAACGGATGTGAGGGGCACAGCGGAGGTAGACTACATGTAGCCCTGGCGAATAATGAGGGCCAGTAAATTTATGCCGCCGGCAATGCAGATGCCTAACCACGAAGTGAAACTGTAACGCCCCCAATTGTCCCCAGATGTGGAATGCATAGACACAGGGCCGACAGGGCAATGCACTTGACATGTTTGTGGCAAAGCCAGACAACGTTCTGGTCATGAATGGAGGACTCTTTTGTAATAAACCTTTGAAAACTAAATCGTTGGTGAGTCGGTGCAAGCCAAGTCAGAGTGGTGCCAACCGACAGGCTTATCGGCGGCCCCATTCAATCAAAAGGTGTTCGATATAATAACAGGGTTATCTTCAAGATACACGCCTTTTGCTAGAACTGTCAAACTTGATCGGAGCACGTCCTTGGAATGCTTGGCGGTTAGAGCCGTTACCCAGGGCCCACCTAGCGACCTAGGCACTGTCGGGCCCATTGTTATTCGGTATACAAAGCGCTGGTGTTTTAATCGAGGGTAAACTTATCCTTGTCTGCAAGTATTACGGAGACAGTACTAGAGGAACGTGTCCTGGTCAAATTCCTTGCTCGCTTCTTGACGAACGATCACCCTTACGGGTCCTCAACTCTGGCCAGCACTCTGGCTTCCTACTATAACTAGAGAATACGTAGCATCGATAACTCGATCACTGTTGTTAACTTTGTCGCAGACATGGGCAATTTCTCTGGGAAGGTGAGAGCACCCTTTGGCACGGTCTTTGGGTGAATGGATTTTGTATATGAGCATCATTCTTGGAGTAGCATGGCCCGCGATAGTGAGGAAGCTGGTCTCGCGGTCAAAGCTGTCGGTGCAAGTCCAATGCGCTTTGTTCACGTTTTGCACAATGACTTGCACAAGCTTATGGTCTCATACATGACCCGGTATTGCTCCCTGAACGCAGGCATTCAGTGTTGCTGAGCCCCAACCGATTGTTGCCACTCCAGAGGTCCAAGCTGCACAGTGCGAAGTGAAGCCCTGCCCCAGCCCCGCAGCGCTTCCTTCAGATGAAGCGTGCCTACGTAACGAAAACCACGGGAGTAGACCTCGCGCCTGCGACAGGCTTCTGGGGTTACAGTCTGCTTTCCCCATTTGCCATGTTCCCCGAGATGGCGTGGACTGCAGCAGTAGTGGAGCCAGCAGCGCCAGCAGCAGCAGCTCCTGTGAAGAGACACCAGAAAGCCTCAGCTGTGGGAGCAGCGAGGCCGGCAGCGACGGTGCATACACACTATCATGTCCATGGAATGCTCTCTCAGAACTATCCGATGACGACGCAGCCGCAGCAGAAGGATCATCTCGGCTTCCTGCTGGGACATCTGCTGGGACAAGTAGCGAAGCTGCTGGCGTGCGTTCACCCGCAGCTCTCCCGGCCTGCTCTGAACCGCTGAGCGAGGAGGATAGAATTCCTTCTTCTCCCGCTAGGTGCTCCCCCTCAGATTCGATCCTACATGATGACGCTAAGACCCCTGTTGGCAAGCTTTTAGAGGGTCTGGCGCCTCTGGCGCTGCCACGCAGGCCCTCGTCCCTGTGCGTAGAAGTATCAAGCCCCAAGGTCAAATACGGCCTGCTGGGTGTGCAAGACAGAGTCGGCACGCCCTTCCTCTCGGCTGATGTTGACCGCTTGGTTGGGTTGGTTGTGTCGAGTGCACTATGGGAGGATGATGAGTGAAGGGATTGCGCGCCGCAGTATTAGATAGCGTACAGGGGTGGGCGCCGCCAGGCATGCCGCGTGGAAGTGCTGCGTGCCGAGCATGCACGCGCATGGTGCGGAGCTCTGGTTCATCGACAGAGCAAAGTACGCCACTTGTTTCGATGTAGCTTTTAGGCAGGCTGAACCGCTTTCAGCGCCGCATCCTCAAGCCTCTTTGTTGCTATGCCATTCGCTGGCAGTTGAGGCGAGAGTCGCTGTTGTTGCCTTCCGCCGACATTGGGCGGAGGTTTGCTAGCTCCTTGCTGGCGTGCAATGTTGCCGCCGTATGTATCACCACGTACCCTGGCCATTTCATCGTTGGGAATGCAGTGTACCGTGGGCCGTAGGTGAGCGGCTGACTAAAGCGGCTTGCCAGTTTTCCAATTCATCCCATCGTTAAGTTTTTGTGCTATGACATGACAATCAGTGGCTTGATGTGACTGCGCGTTCCTGTTGCATTGTTGCTGACGCAGTTGGAGACATTCACCTTGTCTGCGGTGGACTTAACGCGGCAAGCTATTGACCTGACATGGATGGCATTCCCAGCATTGTTGCAACACATGTACTCAATGGTACTCAGCCCAATGGCTGTATTACAATAAACCAATCTGAAGTCGGTCTGTTGTAACAGTTGCATGGTTGCGCTGTTGGAATACAGTTGCACATCACGCGCTACGACGACCCGGCGGGTCATCAACTCGACAGTTAACTGCAATCGGATAGCGCCTCTTCCCTATTAAACAATTTAGATGATACAAAGATCGGCCTTTAACGTATTTACTCTCACAGCCCGGCACTTACGGTAGCAGCTGGTAACACATCCATTACTCATGTGGACTGTCTTGAGGCTTTGAAACTTCAATCTTATATATAATTCATGCAGTCAAGTATATGTGCTAGAAATCGGCGCAAGTTGCCTTCTCTGCTGAACATGGTTATGACGAGCATCCTCCAATCAAGAGATGCAGGTGTAGCCGCCGAAGCAGAAGGAGAAATATTTGAAACCTACAACGAGGATGGCACACCTCTCGGTCGGGAGCTTAGGTCGGTATGCCATGCACATGGCATCTGGCATCGCGCGGTCTATGGCTACCTTTTTAACGCGAACGGAGAGCTGCTCATACAAAAACGTTCATCTGACAAAAAGGTCGCGCCTAGCCAGTGGGACCTGAGCGTTGCCGAGCACTTGTCGCCCGGAGAATCTTTCCGCGATGGAGTGGTCCGCGGCCTGGCCGAGGAGCTGGGCGTCGTGCTCACGCCAGACCACCTGGCCTCGCTTCAAGGTCCGCTGTCGCCCATGCATCAGCGGCGGCTGCTAATACCGGAGCGGGGCATTAAGGTGGGCAGGGTTAGGGGTACATATCGGGTCATGCAACACGCCATGGGTCTGTGGCCTAATGACCGTGCGGAACCAAGGAGTGGAGGCCCTCACACAGCCATCTCCATGGCTACGTCAACACGACCTCCTCCCTCCTTTCATTCCTTCCTCGCCGACTTCCTTGCAATGGCTGCGGATGCCGGCGCACGCAAACCACGCCGACTTTCGTCCCCTCCCCACACCAAACTCCTTAACTCCTCAGGATTTTGAGTTCGTCGAGGCTTACCGGCTCGATGGGTATTCAGAACCCATCTCCTTCAATCACCAGGTGTGCGGGGCATGCCCCCTTGGAGATTAGGCCATCTTGGCTCTTTTTGAGACCTATAGGGCCCTGCCAAGAAGAACCGGCAGTAGACGTCAAGGACACATCCCTGTCCTCCGCATGACACATTCCTGTCCTCCGCATTGCAGGAGGTTTCGGAGTGCAGGTGGGTGTCGCTGCAGCAGCTGCGGGCCGACATGGCGTCGCGACCCTCCGACTTCACCATCTGGTTCCGAGAGGAAATCGCCTCGCTGGGTTTCTTCGGGGCCGCTGACGCTGCTGCTGCTGCCAGTACGGCTCCGGCTTCGGAGCAACCGTGATCCCGGCAGTGCAAGACGAGGTCTGTGCTACATGACGTCGTATGAGGGAGCGCTAGGTCTGTGATGTGTGTTCCATGCTGACGTGTAATATGTGTGATTGGAATTGCAACTACCGGTACGAGGAAACTCTTGGATTACGGTACCTGCACTGCGAGGCGGTGTGATGCAGCGAAGCGCACGGTGTGGTTGAGGCTTGTGGGGTGTGCCCACGCGGCGGGGGCGGCGGGGCCTGCTGCAGCTCGCTCGCTGGGGGAGCTGGCTTGGGTGGTGGTTACGGTTGGTTGGGCCACTGGTTTGAGGCTGACTTATGATGCCGCCATGAGGTGTGAGAGGCCCAGGTGCTAGGTAATGTACGGTAGGCGATGTGCATCTGTTAAGCCTTGGGAAGTGACTACTATACGGTATTGCTGGGATCAGGTGTGAAGGGGTCTCCCAGTGTGACCGGCGGCGCGCCGACAAAGGTGGCGGGTAATGCCGAAGACACACAAGGTATCAGACCTGGGGCGCCACAACTCGAGCCCCGCGAGTAGCGTGTTTGGCGCAAACCCCGTGCGATGCAACCTGAATGTAAGCACGTGAGATGCCCGAATCGCGGTGTCCCGGACAACTCCTTTCTCGTGCGTTGCAACCTTCCTTTCCGACAACTTGTCTGCAACTCATGAACACAACAAGGCAACATGCATCAACCCCACAAACCTGCGCGCGTTTACCCTGCGCTTTCTTCCTGTACTCCGCCCATGCACCGTCCGCTGTCCGCAATTCAACCCAACCCTGTCGTCCATCGTTCCTCTTGTCCTCCTCGCCTTCTCCCCTACCCAAACCTCAAACGGTTCGCCCCTACCCGAACCTGAAGCGGTTCATGCAGCCGGACCTCTCCAGCGGGGCGTCTAGGAAGGCCTTATGCACGTGGTCTAGAAGCACCTGCGGGACGGGGGCGGTTTGAAGAAGGATGACACGTGACGGAGAGGGTTAATGCCCGGTTGCATACCAGGCGGGCTGGAGGGTACCGGTACGACCCCGAACAACCTACCACACTCCTGACCTGTATGGCGGGTCCGTAGAAGTCCGGCTCCCGCTGCTGCACCCGGGACGCCAGCCGAACCACATCTAGCAGCACCGCCTGCTGACCGAACAGAGCGGGTCGGTACTGCGCGGATGACACTAGGTACCTGCCGGGGGGGAGCAGCCAGCTAGAAAGCAGGTGGGGGGCACCTGGGGGCGAGAGCCAGGTCCTGGGCATAGCTGTCGTACTCTTTTTACCCCTACCCATTGTACGGCAGCATGCGAGAGGCCATGTCCTCTTCCTTGCTTCCGATGTTCCGCTCCCACATCACCCAATACCCGCCTCCTGACCCCTACGCCCTTCCATGCAGCTCCTTCCTGACGTCCAGCCTCCAGCGTAAACACCAGGTGTCACCAACCACCACCTTCATGGTTGCACCCGCAGCCCCGCAGCCCCGCAGCCCCTGCCTCGCTCCTCACATGTTTTCCGATGCGGAATGTTACAGAGAGAGAACGGGAAGATGGAAACCACACTCACTTGAAGAACGGCTCGCTGTACACCCGGGCTGCAGGGAAGGCCATGCCGATGGCCGTCAGCTCCTCGCCCCCCAGCTGCCCCCGCCGGGCCGCCAGCAGCGCCGCCTCTCCCAGTGCGCGGAAGAGGCCCTCATGCGTGTGAGCCACCCGCGTAACCGACACGGCAATGGCGACCAGGTCCGAGGGATACAAGGCTTCCTCGACCCGGTGCTGGGGCTGCCGCTGCGGAGGCCTCTGAGGGCAAGCAGCATCGAGTGGTGGTGAGGGGAGCGGGTCTTGGGGTGAGGGCGGCGGTGAGAGGTGAGGGACGAGTGCTGCCGCGATCGCATCGAAGAGGGGCGCATGGGGTTGCGGGAGGGCGGCGAAGGACCAGAGCAGCGCTACCAGCGCTCGGGGAGGGAAGCGGGGGAGCTGCGGGGGGGAGGGGTGATGGGCGGGTGGTATTGGTAGGCGGAAAGAAGCTGGTAGGTAAGGACTACACAGAAAACACACTCTGGCACCCTCCCGCACCCCCCGTGTCGCCCCTCGCACCTCCTCCTGCTGCAAGCACGCTGCCGCCACTTGCGTGAAGAGCTTTCGGTCGAGCTGAGCTCGGTGGCCCTCATCCGCTTGACGAACCTACGCAGCAGGCGTACGGCAGGGCAGTCGGAGAGACGGAGGGGAGGCTGAGATGGGCGAGGAGGGGCAGCTGAGGGCCACAGCAGGAGGGGAGAGGTTGCAAGAAGGGAAGGGGGAGGGCCGGGAGGACGCACCGAGGCATACGCCCAGGCGAGCTTAGCGAGGGAGGCGCCATCGAGCCCTCCCAGCCTCTGCATGAGGAAAGCACCTGCGGGGCCGAGGTGTACCGGGGGTGTACGAGACGGGAGGTGCACGGGAGGTGTACGGGTAGTCAACAGGAGGGGGCAGGAAGAGGAGGAGTCGGGGTTGTGGTTGGGTTTGGCATACGGGGATACTTAGGAGGAGATTGGACTGGTCATACCGGTAGTATATGGTGAGTTGTCCTATTCAGCCGATGGGCTAGAAACACCTCAATAGACACGCACAAACACCCATGCATTAAAACTGTAAGAAACATGTGCACCTAGCATAAAGCCGCCTCTCCAGATTGCGAGACCCCACCAGCTGCATCGAACAGTTGCCGGTGGTAGAGTCCCTCCGCCGCCAGCGCCCACACCGCCGCCACCGCCGCCCCGGGGCCCTCCTCGCCCTCCCAGCTGCCCTCCTCCTCCTTCCGCGCCTGCTGCTGCTGCTGCTGCCGCTGCTGTAGCTGTGTCGCCAGCCGCTCTGCAGCGTCCGCGAAGAGGGCTGGGCAGCGGTAGTGCAGGCTGGCGAGGGCGGCGAGCAGTGCGGCCAGGCGGTGGCCGGGGAGGCGCGGCAACACGGCGGGATCGCTGGCCTGGCGAGAATGAGAGAGAAGAGAGGCGGGGAGGCGGAAGCGGAGATGGCAGGACGGACTGTGATGAAGAAGCTCAGGCTCTTGCACATAGCCCGCCCTCTCAATGCACGTCACCCCACCCACCACCCACCCTGCTGCACAGGGCTGCAAGCAGCTGCGTTGGCTGCTGCTGCTGCTGCTGCTGGCCCCGCTGCTGCGGGGCTGCTGCTGCTGCCGATTGCAGCCGGTGGAGCCGCAGCGCCGCCAGCACCTCCGCCAGCCGAGTCAGGTCGGGGGGCGGCAGCGAGGACACCTGCAGGTGGAGCGGGCGGGCGGGGGCGGGCAGCCTCAGCTAGCGACAGCCTTGCCGCGCGGACAAGGTAGCCGCAGTCGGGGTTGGAAGGGTGTTGGAAGTGTCAAGTATGGGGTGGGTGTGGCTGGGGCACGACGCCATCCCGGCCATGTTAGCCCAGGAGACACCAGCAGCCGTGCTGCACTACTATCCCTCCGGACACCATGATTCCAGCGTTAAGCCAAGGGTAAGGAACTTAGGCCCCCGCACATGGGAGGGTACCCGAATACCCGAATACCCGACTATCCGCACCTTTGGTGTGAGGGCATCGCAGCAGGCAGCCAGGAAGCTCTGATAGCGCTGCGGTCCGGGCGGCAGTGCTGTAGCCACTCCACCGCCACCACAATCACCGCCACCACAATCACCACCACCACCACCACCATCACCGCTACAGCCGCTGCTGGTACTGCTGTCCTCGTCATCATGACGAGGACCACCATCATCAAGACCACCGCCAGCACCGGCATCCTGCCTGGAGCCTTCTGTTGCTGTGGTCATTGTCACAGACCCATGGGTCGGGCAGAGCCATGCAGGCGTCATGAGCAGGCTGCTGAATGCTGCCAGTAGGTCTACCAGGGAGGAGGCATCCAACTGGTGCAGGCTGCCGGCCAGCCGCTGTGACACCGCTTCCAATACGGCAGTATGCGGGTTTGCAGCAGCATCTGCAGCAGCAGTGGCCTCAGCTTGGTCCTTTTTCGCTGGCATTGCTGGATCCGCTGCTTCGCCTGCTTCCCATGCCACGCTGCTGCTGCTGCCGCTACTGATGCTGCTGCTGAAGTTGTTGTCGTGTTGCAGGGCTTTGGAGCTGCTGCCGCGGATTCCGTCGTAGGCATGGGGGTTGCTGCTGCCAAGTAGGTCGCATCGCGGCTGCTGTTGGTGCAGTTCCTCCTCCTGCTGAGCGTATTGTGCTAGGACAGCGACCAGGCTGGTGGGCTGGAGAGCGGCTATGCGGTCCGGGCTTAGCTGTGTTGGTGAGATGGTAGCAGGGGCAGTGGTGAAAGATGGAGGGCCTTTGGGCGAAGATGCAGCGGAGGATGTTGGAGGCTGTGATGAGATCGGCGGCACGCTTTGTCGGGATTTCGCGGGCTGGAGAGCGGACTTGATAGGACGCCCAGCGTGTGAGAAGGCTAGCACCTTGCAGCATGGAATGCGGGGAATACGTTACGAATGGACAGGGAAACAACGTAATTATTGGAATCCTAGAAGGCAGCTGGCGGCAACGTGCCTTGGAAGAGGTATTGGAAGGGGGCACGGGCTGTCCTCCTGAACGGAGCGCATTCGGATGGGTTTGGATACCGTAAGGGACTGCGAGAGCGTAACTCACTTTCACGGTACAACATCGCTGAAAGGATCCCGGTTTTTGTGCTGCTCGCCACATCCTGCACGTCCAAGGTTGATTCCAGCGTGGCGCAGGGTGTTGCATTACTCATCCATGCATGGTTGCCTGTGACTCTTGCGTCATCGGAGGATAGCACCCACCATCAGTTGAGCAGGCGTTATAAATGTGGAATATATGATTTTGAGAGGACGAGTAAAAACTACACTGGACGACTGACACTGGACGAGAGGAAGTCCAAATCGCATGGGCGCAATACCGGTAGTCAAGGCTGCCCCCGCCTGCAGCGCTTAGCATACCTTTACGGAGACGAACAGTGTTAAGTAAAATGCGTTGTCTTATGCCTAAGATTTGGCTACGCACGATGAAGAGTCAACGGCCGTAGACAAACGGTAAAACTAGGAATTCCGGTGTTGCGATGCCTATTCCACTAGGTTTGGTTCTGTACACGGCTTGTTGGAATGAGCGAAATAGTTCATGCGCATCTACGCCGTCGTTGCCGTCGATCGCTTGCCGGCACTTGCACGGCAAGAGGGTGTAACGACGTCACGGCCGACGTTCAACCGGGGCAGCAACCATCGGGGGACAGTAAAAGCTGTTAAAGTCTTCCTTTGCGACACTTCCTACGAGCGTATTTGTTCTATTGCTCTTTAACAACACAGTAAGCTGTTTTTTGTTACCAAGCCCGCAAAATCCAGAATGCCCGGACCGGGCAATTCACGAACCGTTGAAGAACGGCTTGAGAAAGCGCGGCTAATACCTCGGCTCAGCACGGAGGTGCTGAATATGTGCAAGTCCGTCGACCAGCTGCTACGCTCACAGCATACCTCCAACCTGTCTCAAGCTATTGTATGTGTAAGTAAACTTGCAGTCCGCGACTAACGAGACGACACTAGACTATGGCCGGGTATGTCTATCATGTGCATTCGCTGTCGTCGCTTTCGCTATTATTGTGACGGTGCAGCGGTCACTTTCTGCAACTGCCAAAGCATATGGGAAATGGGGTAACTGTTACAGACGCCCTGCCTAAGCACCGCTTCGTTTGCTGTCGTTACCTGACAACAACACCTTTATCATCGGTGTTTTCCATCTTATCAAACGCACATACTATACTGGTACTCACACATCAGCTTGTTATGCATCTGACTTGCCCTGGCAGGGGAAGCGGCACTGGTGTTCGCATCGCCTTCAGGGCATCGTCCCTAGGCCTACCGCAAACCCTGGCCCCAAGCGTCCTTCATACAGAACACCCCAGACTATCCGCCTTGGCATACATACACTAGTCGTGCATCCATTCAGCTCCCTGCCTGTCCAACCGTCTATGCAATTCCTCCTCCTGCCATCCTGCCTGCCCGCTCAGGTTCACGAGATCGCCCGGCAGCACTTCGCGGTGGTTGTGGCGCTCAAGTGGGCGGTGCTGCTGGTGGACCTGCTGGAGGCAGACAATCCGTGAGACAGAGAGCGGGGGAAAGAAAGGAGGGGTACATTAGGATTAGGAGTGAAGCACTGGAAGCGCTGGAGGGCAGCCGTCGCCAACCAGCCTGCTGACCTCTCCACACTCCCCTGCTCTTCTTCCTTCTCTTCCTGGCGGCTCTTCCCTCCACCTCTTCCCCCTTCCCCCTTCCTCTCACACTCCACGCGCTTCTCACACTTCACCCTCTCTTCCCCTCCCCCCCCCCAGCGACGTGCGTCTGTCCGCATGCAATGCCCTGGCAGCGGTGTGTGTGGCGCAGGAGGGGCGCGACGCGGTGCGCAGCGCGGGCGGGCTGCGGCCGCTGGTGATGCTGCTGGCGGAGGGCTCGCGCAGCCCGCTGGCGGCGGCGGCAGCGGCGGCACTCATGAACTGCAGCGCATGCGACGTGTGCAAGGTGGGGGCTAGGGGGGTCAATTTTTGGACCAATTAAAACCAAAGAAAAACCAAAAAAGAAAAAAGCAGGTGGGGGCTAGGGGGGTGGGGAGGGGCTAGGGCGGGGTAGAAAGAGGAAACTGACGAGGTGGGGAGGGAGGCGAGACAGGGGGGGTGGGGGTGCCGAGGCGAGGCGGGGCGGGGCTAGGAAGTGTGCTTCCCGTCTTCTCCCACACCTGCCTTCCCCTTGAACCATCCTAGCCTGTCGTTACAGGTAGCCGTCCCAACATGTGCCCCACCCACCCCCGGCACCCCCCTCCCGCCTCCCAGGAGGCCATAGCGGACTGCCGCGGGGTGCCGCAGCTGCTGGGCCTCATCCGAGACGCACTGGCCAGGTGCATACCGCCCCCGCCGGGATCCAGCCAAGCAGCCGCACCCGCAGCAGCAGCAGCAGCGGCATCGGGTTCAGCAGCAGCAGCGGAGGCCGCCGCCAAGGCACCGCCACCCGCCTCACCGCCGCCAGCCGGCCGGAGTGGCAGCGGCAGCGGCGCAACGGAGGGCGTCGAGGGCAGCGGAGGCAGCAGCAGCAGTGCTGGCGCCGATGGTGACGGAGGCAGCAAGGCGGATCTGCGCACCCCCGGCGAGTGCAAGGCGGCGGCCTACGCGGCGGGGGCGCTGATGAACATGGGCGGACTGATCAGCGTGCAGGAGAAGATGCTGCAGGTACGGCAGGGTGAGGGGTTACCCTGCCGTAGAACTTGGTTGCCAGCATCATCATCCCATCAGTTTGCTTAGCCTATTGGTCTGTGTATTTCTCCTCATGCCCCACCCCGCCTTAACCCACCCCTGCCCCACCCTTCCACCCCTCCATCCCTCCCTGCCTCAGGCGGGCGCCGTGTCCGTGCTGCAGGAGGTATGTCGGGTGGCGGCCCCGGACGACCCCATCGGCACGCGTGCGGGTTTCGTGCTCTCCTGGCTGGCGGTGGGCAGCGGCGCGTTGGATGCGGAGCTGCAGCAGCTGCTGGCGGCGGCGGGGGCCGAGGCGGGGGAGGCAGGGGCAGGCAGCAGGCCGGAGTCACGAGTGGTTGGGCCGGGGGCGGCAACAGGGGGAGCGGGAGCGGGGGCAGGAGGAGCAGCGGGCAACAAACATGGGCATCCGAATGGCGTGTTGGGGGCGGTGGGACTGGTGTCGTCGTCGTCGCAGGCGGCGGGTGCTTCCTCGGGAGGCGCGCACGCTACCTCGCCTCGCTCGCGTCACCGCCAGCAGCAGCACCAGCACCAGCAGCAGCCGCAATTCAGGACGGGACTGGGGACGTCAGGAACGACGGCAGCGGGCAAGCATGTTAAGAGTGTGGCGCCCGGCGGCGGCGGTGGCGGTGCTGGTGGTGGTGGTGGTGGTGGGAAGCATGCAGCAGCAGCGGGCTCTAAATCGGCTGCAGGTACTGCTGCTGGTGCTACTACAACAGTAAAGGCTACGACGGTTGTAGCGCGCGCGTAAGGGTTGGGTAGGCCGCCCCTGTCGGCTCTGCTGCTGCATCTGGCTAGCGGAGGGACAGTGGACCAGCGGCGGCGCTGGAGGGAGGGGAGACCTCCTTGCCTCAACGTGGCGTGTGTGCAGCAGACATCGTACGGGAAAACAAGAGTCCGAAGCCCACCCTTTAGTTGGCGATTACGTGCCAGAGTTGGCGGAAGGGAAAAAGGTTAGGATGGAGTGTATTATTGTGTGTTGCTTACGGCCGGTGCGAAGGTCGAGCTCCTTTGCTGTGTGCTTTATTCATACGCGGCATGCATGCAAAGTGCGATTGCATCCTGTCGCGGCTTGTATGTATGAATGTATCCTGTACAGCCGTTGCGCGTGCGGATTGCTTTCCCTGCGTATGTTCGCAAGGGGCATGGAGGGGGGGCATGGAAGGCGTAAGAGGAGGGGAGGGGAGGGGGTGCGAGCGCGCGAGATGGCTTGAACGCACGTCATATACCATAACAGCACGCATTGCGTAAGGAGATGTGTTTTACAGGAAAGAAGGACATGGCTGCGAAGAAGTGTTTAGGTTATTGAGCTGGGGCTCCTCTTGTCACACCCACGCATGCTCGCAGCAGTTGATTCCGGAGGGGGGATTCACCGGATGGGCGGCGCAGTGCAGGGCATGAAAGCGGTTTTGTTGCAGGGGTTCTGGTACGGCAGGTGGGTATGCGGCAAAGAGGCAGGCTGCTTGGCTAGCAAGTATGAAAGTATGCTTGGCGCGTTGGCTTGGAGAATAATGGATGGCCCAACAACCTAGCAGCAATTGTCGCTGCGTAGAAGGGCTTGCGGCGTGCATACGGTACTTGCAGGCAGGTGTTTTGTGGGACACACAGTGCTACATTTGGGTAGAAGCAGTGAGGACGTGCGTGCTTTCTATAGGATATGCCTCTTTTTGAAATTCTCGTAGATCTTGGAAAGGCGTGTCAGTATTTGGGTGTTCATGTTAAACTGTCTTGCGTGACTAGGGTTGCCATGCGTGTGCCGGGACCGCATGCAATGTGGTGAACTGGAAACACTGGGCTAGAAATGATCAACATTGCACTACTGCGCACACGGGCTGAACTTTCCGCGGTACCGGTATGTATGTACTACCTCGCGTTGCCATCTGGTAATGTGTCTGACTTTAATGGTGGTGGTGGTTGGTGTGTGCGGCAAGCTGCCCTATCCCTTTTTATGCCAGCGTATTTTGGCCGCGGACGTGAGATAAACTTGTGCATACGGTGTGCTGTACGACACCATGACAACTTTTCTCTTGCATGTTGGCCTCATCTGCTTAGTTGCTAGTATGCGCTACACGTGCAGGCGCTGCTCTGATTGTATGATTCGGATGGCCTTGCTTGGTTGCCATCCCGCACTGCGGCGCAGTCCAGGCACGGGTCCAAGTGCGATTGTGTTCCCGAGGAACTAGCTGGTTCCTCGCTGGCTGGCTGGTTTCTTTCTGTGGCTCCATTTACCGGGATATTCCAGTCAGAAAAGGATGTAGGTGTGGCGGTTATGTTTTATTGCGGGGAGTACTGCTCTCCCCTTTGATTAGAGGGCATGGGTATTGGCTATGGATAGGGTAGCCAACGCGGATGGCTGGCCGTACTACCGGTAGAGTAGTAATAACTTGGCCGGATGAGGGATGCTGGTGGAATGCCAGGGGATAACGTAACCAAGTGAGACATGCGCTGGAATTCCCGGACGTGCCCCCCAAGGGTGTTGCCTGACTGGCTCGGCCACGGTAAGTGCCGGTAAGAGCGTGTCTTAGCAACGTTTAAACCTTGATATTCAATACAAGCAATGGCATCCGCGTGTACGCCGCATAGGCCAGCATGCACGGTCTGACGATCAGATTGCGCCAACCGAGTTGGACGATGTCGTAGGCCAAGCTGTACCGACTACCGGTGCGCGTCTTCACTGCACTGTTGGATCACCTTAATGTCTTGGAAAGCAACTTTGCACTGTGTATAGAATAGGGAGAACTGTGACAGGTTTCGTAGCTTGACAGGTGGTGCCATTATACAGCTTTGCTAAGCTACGTACTCTGTCACTGTGGTTCATAGCTCTACTCCCGCCATTGCGTGCTGTTGGGTAGCAAGTCGGAGCAGCCGGTCCCGATCGCCGAGCCGCGACAAATGTCCTCTTACAAAGATCAAGGCAATGAGGAGTTTAAGAAGGAGAACTACCTAAAGGCGGCGGCGCTTTACACTAAAGCCATTAAAGAGGACCCACAGAATGCCGTGCTCTTCAGGTAGTGACATGGATGTCATGGAGGGCGGGAGACGGCTGCGTAGATGCACCTAATCGCGGGTTGGGAACGGTCCCGATCGGGGATGCCAAAAGCACCTGAGGCGGCGACCACATACCCACTTTATGCCAATCCCTTCCTTCTGCGGGCTGCAAGGATGCCACGCCATGTCGCACACGGGACGCGTGAACATGTTCGTGATCAAAGGCAACCGGTGTCGGCTATCGTCCAGTGCAAATCTCCCCATTCCTTCATGCTTCGTACACTCCTCCGTACATTGCATCATGCCCGACACCCTGCGACCAGGAAGTTTTCCCGCCTTCCCTTCCCTGTCACTCCCGCTCGCAGCAACCGCTCTGCTGCGCTGCTCAAACTGAACAAGGTCACCAAGGCCTTGGAGGACGCGGAGGCCTGCATCTCCCTCAAGCCCGACTGGGAGAAGGGCTACTTCCGGAAAGGTGCCGTACTGGAGGCCCTCGATAAGCTGCAGGAGGTACGTACGGCATGGGGCTTGTCATGACTTAGGACGTCATGCGGGGCGCCGATCCGCATGACGTTCATGGTCGTCGTGGGGCGCCAGCGGTTCTCCCCGGCATGACGCCAGCTGTTCTCGTGCGGTTTTTCTCACATCACAGATAGATGTCATACGCAGCCTACCCAACCAACCTCACACACGCCTCATACACGCCTCACTCCTCACTCCTCACTTCCGCCACCGCCGCACCCCACTCCCTCACCCCGCTGCCGCCCACCCGCATCCCCACTCCACACACACACGGTCAAACAGTTCGTCAGTTTCCTTATTTTTACCCCCCTCCCCCCAAACACACACGCTGCTCCCCACCGCACCCAAGGCTCTGGATGTGTACCAGGCTGCTGCCCGGCTGGGTGGCGGCGAGGGAGCCAACAAGGAGCTCGCCGTCAAGATCCGCAACCTGGCAAAGCTGCTCAAGTTTAAGACCACACACAAGGAGGTACGGCGGTACGGCAGGGGCGGATGGATCTCCGTGCATTGGAGCTGCATGGGCAGCCGATGCCATTCACACCGCCTGCATCCCCTCTTGACTTCCTCGACCGTTGCCTGCCCCTTTGGTGCCTTTTGCAGGAAACGCTCGAGTCGCTGCTGCTGGCTGCGGTCGCACCCGCCGCCTCCGCAGCAGCAGCAGCCAACGGAGCCTCACAGCCGGGCGGAGGGCGGTTGGCGGGCTTCTGTCGCGACATGGCGGCCCATGCACTGGAGCGAGTGGCGGAGTCGGGAGCCACCTTCCCGCCCTCGGTGCACTTCCTGCCGGGTGGGGCAGAGAGGGGGGGTTTAGGAGCAGCGGGCAGCGGGCAGGGGGGGGGTAGGAGCAGGGGTTGGGAAGGCGTCGGGACGGTGTGCGTGGGTGGACGGGGAGGGGACGGGCATGAGCGTACGACAGCTAAGAACACACAAGGACGTTCGGTAACAAGAGCAACCAGGGCCCAAACGCGTAAGGGTAAAGGAACGTGCTGGGCCATCGCCTGGGGTGTCTCATGTCCTTCTCCTTCCTTACCCCTCCTCATCCCCTTCCTCTTCATCCCCCGCTCCGCAACCACTCCTCAGGCCCCGGCTCCGCCCCTCACGAGGAGCGCGAGGAGCACGTGTCCGCTGCCGCCGCGTTCGGCTCCCCGGAGCTGCTGGGGGGCTTCGTGAGCGGCATGCGGGCGGAGGCGGCGCGGCTGGCGGCGGAGGCGGTGGTGGCGGTGGTGCCCAAGGCGGCGGTAGCGTACCCGCAGGTGGGCGTGTGTGTGAAGGAAGACTGGCTGCGGGCATGTGTGTTAAGAAAACTGGCCGCGAGTAGGAACATGTGTGTGTGGGAGGCGGGAGGTGCGTAGGAGGGGTGGTGTAAGGGGGGGGTGTACCCGCAGGTGGTCGCGTGTGTTAAGGAAATTGGTCGCGTGTGTGTGTTTGAAGGATGATTTGTGGAGACAAAGACTGGCTGCGAGCGTGCCCGATCCTCAAGCCTCAACTCTCCCCCTATCCAACTCTGCTAGCCCCCCCTCCCCGGCCGCCTCCCTCCCTCCCTACGCAGCTCTGGACGCGCAAGGGCTGGCCGGCTGCTGCGGGGCCCAAGCAGCAGCCCGGGCTCTTCGTGCAGCTGGAGGTGCGGGGCGGGGCGGGCCGCCGACACGCCTGGTTCCTGCCTGTGCGACCGGACAAGACGACAGAGTGAGTGCAGAGGGAGGGAGGGAGAGAGGGGATCTGCATGGGGGCTGCATGGGAGGCCTGCCTGATCCAGCATTGGGGGTGTGTTCCTGACCTTTGGGAGTGAGTGGGTTGTGCGTGCATGGGGTGTCTGTGTGCATGGGGTGTCTGTGTGCACGGGGTGTGGTTGTGGCTTGCGGGTGTGGGTCGTTTCAGTTGGCACTCGGCCGTTCCTGCCAGATATGCTGCTGCTGTAGATCATTAGGCGCATCTGTATGTAATGAAAACTGGTGTGTGTTTGGCGACCCGCTGAGCCGCCAGTTACGGCAGCCATGCCACCAAACGCCCCGAACCCCTACTCATGACGTGCTCCATGCATCCGGTGCATTTCGCCCGCCGCGCCCCACCACTGCAGGACGCCTGTAGCGCTTAACGTGGAGGACTTTGGGCTGCTGCCGACGCTGCTGGGCTAATGGGCTGGGAAGGGCGTGGGAAGGAGTGAATAACCTTGTTAGCCGGGTGCAGTATGGGAAGGAGAGGAGCGGAATTGTAGTCAAGGGGTGAGGACGTGATGGAAAAGCGTGACAGGAGTAGGGTAGGGGCCTGGGGTCTGGTTGCCGGAGCTGTATTCGGGGACGGGGTTGAATACAGATCAATATCTTTGGTGACCCGTGGGTCTTTCCTGCATGTGGCGTTGCGCTGGGGTGCTTGCAGAAGCCGGGAGGGGGCAGCCACAGCACTGAGAGTGCAATGCGATGCGACGCACTTCATGCATCATGTGAAGAGGTGGTGTGTACCGGTACTGGAGCGGGAGGTTGAGGCGCAGCAAGGGGCGCACAAGGAGGGTTCCTCCGGGCTGAAGTGCGGGGTATCGTTGCTGCGGTGTGACAGGAAACATTCCGGTAGTACCAGCAGTCGGGCAGCCCACATGCGCGCACGCTCTTTGAAGAGTGATGATGATAGGGCAACGCCGCCACTGAATCCTGCTATAAACACCCGAGTGCGGGCACGCGAGATGATCTGTCATTGCTGGGGTTCAAGGTGCGCAAGGCTCCCAGGGACGTCGAGTTCAGTCTGGTCCCACCCAACTCGGGCAGGGGACCTCGACAGACCTCTAGCTACTGACACCAGCCAACTCGGCGCCCCTTTGAGCCCTGCACAATTGGACTCCAGGTGCAACGGCTCCGCACCCTCGGGAGAGGGAAGCACACAGCTGCCCTAGGAGCAGCCGCTCACTGCTATTGGCCGCCCAGTGCAACCCCGGTGCAGCATGTGAGCTTCAATGCAGTACCGGATCCAGTTATCGTAACCCGCAGCACGCAGCTCAGCATCACTGCCGTGCTGCTCTGGAATAGGTTTACCAGGCAAGCTCCGCCTGTACGCTTGGTATCCTTCCGCTGACAATCCGCTGTCCGCTGGGGATGTCGCAGGGAAGTGCTCCTCGCTGAATACGGCGGCTTGGCAACTGGTGCTCGGCAACTGGCGCCTGCTGCACGTCAGAACCATAGTACATCCCGTAATGGGGTCACTGTGTAGCGGTTCCACGGCACTCATCACGATCGCATGGAGTGAAAGAGACAGGGGACGACCCCTAGCCAAGTACCCCTCACAAGTAATTATCCGTCAGGAACATATGTCGGCCGTCGGTATCCCCCGGAACGCCGACGAGTACGGCCCGGAGCTCCGACGCCTGTACGTCCGGACGTCGGGGTCGTCAGGGTTCCGGACCTAATATTGTAGGTGAAGACAATGACAGTAACTCTTTTAAACAATCCTCCACCTAGTCCTTTTACAAATATAACCGGGCTGCGTAGGGAACGTTGACTTTGGGGCACTTAAAGCTAACTAACCGCGCGACCGGCACAACTAAAGATCCCCTGATGAGAACAAGGACAGCTGAAGTTCCTGTTTGTAATTTATAGGAATCCACGTGTTTTGGGTAAAATGCGCAGTTCTAGGCCATCTCCTTAGGGCTCCCTCTGTCGGCTTGCATATCTTCAAGCATGGGCTTCCTGCGGAACGCCAGTTTCTTGATATATGGCTCCAAACACTTTGGCAGAAGGGGCTATGAGCGCGCTACGGCGACTTGGGATAACAGGTAAGCGACTGGTTCGCGTCAACGAGTGGTTGCAAATTATGCCTTGCCGCTTCCAACAACTTTGTAGCCCGCGTGGTATGCATTTAGCTGTACGCACACCTTTTATGTCCCATCCTCATTTTCCGCTGTCATCGGCTCGGCTGTACCACTCATCGCTATAGGGTGCCCCCTTCTCTCAACACTTCCCCCCCTCTCAAAATCGACTATTGCCTATCCGTATCTATATCTTCCTACCTACCCCGGCGTCTACTGTAAACTTCCACCGCTCATGCTCTTAAACCCGCAGCATCATGGAACGGCGGTTAGATGGTCAGGTGGCAATGGTGACGGGCGCCAACCAAGGACTGGGCTTCCAGGTTTCCCAGGTGCGGTGAAAGGCATGTAATCCAAGCAATATAGATTCCAATACCAGGACCACCGGTGGGCAAGCCAACATAGCTCAATGGGTGCTCATAGAGTGGATGCCATGGGGCGCCCAGACTGCGGTCTACCCACTGCGGTCCCCAGATTGCGACACGAAAGCGGCGTGGTTGGGTCCAGTTGGGCCAGGGAGCAGCACACGTCATGGTTACAGACGGATGATATGGCCCATGTTGCCTTGTACCCGTCACCCACATCCTCCCGCCTTCCTTGCTTGCCCTGACCCACACCGTACATATCCCCTGCGCTGCCCCCGCCCTGCACTGCGCTGTGCCGCAGGAGCTCGCTCGCCGCGGCTGCACCCTGTTCATGGTGTGTCGCAACGCGCAGCGGGGGGAGGAGGCGGTGCAGCATGTACGGCAGGCCTCCGGGAACCAGGACGTGCACCTGCAGGTACCGGTATGCATGCGCGGGTGGGGCCCTGCCGGGGGTTCCACCTGGTGCCTGCCCCCCCTCTCTCTCTCCCTTGTGCCGCCTTGTTCTTCTCCGTGCGTGTGCCTGTCACCATCTCTCCCATGCTGCTCCCATTGTTCTCCTCCCACACCATATCCCCACCATATCTGCACCCCATGTTAAGTCCGTGTCGTACAGCTTGTCAGTCCCCCCCTCCCCCACCATGCACACCCCGCCCTCTTCCCTCCCTGCACTGCCCTACCCCCGCGCGCAGCTGTGTGACGTGTCCAGCCTGGCCTCCGTCAACCAGCTGGTGCGGCAGTGGGAGGCGGCGGGGCGCCCGCTGCACCTGCTCGTCAACAACGCGGGCATACTGGTGTGTGGGGTTCGTGTGTACTGGTAGACACCGTACTTCATGGATATCATCGCGCAAATGGATTAAATAATTGTTTGGGACAGTGTGCATACATACTGGTGCGCGGGTCCGGGTACTGGTAAATAGGCAGCCGAGCGATCTGGGTAAACCTGATAACCAACATACCGGTATCGACTGCATTGCACGACATGCGGGGGTTATGACTTGATCCCCTTGTTCCTGTTCGGCCACCCGGCCCTGTTTCCCCCCCAAACAAAAAGGTCCACGATTACGCCCCCAGCGCTGACGGCTACGAGAGCTGCTTTGCGACCCACACGCTGGGCGCCTGGGCACTCACCTGGGCGCTGGGACCGCTGCTGCGCGGCAGTGCGCCGGCGCGGGTGGTGTTCGTGTCGAGTGGGGGCATGTACACGGCACCGCTGGAGGTGAGAGGCGGGGCGGGGAGGCGAGCAGCGGGGGCGGGGCCGGGATGTGCTTGTGGTGGAAGAGCTCGAGAGCGGCAGGGTTCAGGGTTCAGATTGCATGACGCATGAGGCGGGGTGGGGTGGGGATTTAACAAGGATGTGGGAAGAAGCGGCAGGGGTAAGCGTGTATGTTAAAAGAACTGGCCGTGTCCCATGAACGGACGTCGAGTTCCGCTGTGGGTAACAAGCACCCGCACGAAGCGCCTTCGGTCCTCCGCGCCCCCTTCCCCCTTCCGCTCGGTCCTCCTCCGGGGTGTGGCAGGTGAAGCACCTAGCCAATGACGACATGGCGCCTCCGGCAGCACCCAACGGAGCAGACGGCGCGGGTCATGCTGCTGCGGCGGGCCGCGGCAAGTACGACGGCATGTTGTGTTACTCGCGGGACAAGCGGCGGCAGGTGGCGCTGGCGGAGCGGTTCGCGGAGCTGTGGGGGCCGCAAGGTGGGAGCTGCGAGGGGAGGGAAGGGGCTGGTGGGGGAGGGAGCGGGGGGGTGGGAGGGGAACTTGCCTGGTGGATGGTGTTGCTGTTGATGGGAGATCATGGGTCCTGTTGTTTCTGGGAGTAGTAAGGAAGGGCGTAGGTGAGGATACGAGGCAGCAGTGCGACATGCTGGGGCAGCAGCAACGGGAATGCGGCTGTGCGGCCCTCTAGGGGTGCTCGGAATGCTGCGTCCAGTTAACCGCCCTTCAACCCTGGCTTGCTTTACCTCGCCTGCAGCTTAGCCTTCCCTGCACATTGCATGGCGCCTCCCTCCCTGTCCTCTGCCGCAACCGCCCCCTGCCCCACATCCCCAAATCCCCCAATCCCCACGTCCCCAGGCGTGTTGGTGGCGTCCATGCACCCCGGCTGGGCCACCACGGAGGGAGTGAAGCGCTCCATACCCGACTTCTACTCCTTCTTCAGGAATAGCTTCAGGGATGTGGCGCAGGGGGCGGACACCGTTGTGTGGCTGGCGCTGCAGGTGGGGCTGCGGGCTGCGATGGGTTAGGGTTGGCCAGCATGCATGCACGTCCGCTACATGTGTAGTACCGGTATCATCGCACTCCCCCACCCGCACATCATGGAGGATGGGGCCTCAATCCTGCCCTATACCGGTATCATCATCCGCTTAACCCAGCTAAACCCTCCTATTTAAATACGTTTAGAGCAGCCAGGAGCAGCAGCTTGTTTCCTCTTCGTGCTTGCTACCGGTATCTCCGTGGCTTTGGCTCCATCCTGTACCCAAACCGATTCCCCGCAGGACGCCTCCCGCCTGCAGCCGGGCGCCTTCTACCTGGACCGCGCCCCGCAGCCGCTGCACCTGCCGCTGGCGGGCACGCAGTACGGCAGGCAGCAGGTGGACGCCATGTGGGCGCAGCTGCAGGGCATGTGCGCGGGCAAGCTACAGCCGCTGCGGGTGGGGCAGGAGGAACAAAGGGAAGGGGAGGGGGCGAAGACGGGAGGGTGACAGAGGCTTGAGGCTGCTGCTGGGGAACCAGTGCTGGGATAAATGGGTGCTGAAGACGGTGGTGAGGCGCTTGCCAGTGGCTGCTGTGTTGGGTCGGCGGTAAAGAGGATCGGGTTGGGAGGGGGAGCAGACGCACGAGCTTGATGCCTTAAGAGGTACAGCAGAAATGTAGCGATGCAGGCGACTTACCTGGGGTAAAAGGGTGGGCAGTCAGTGCGCGCATGGTACTCCTCAGTGACAACTGCGGCTTGCTGTAGCTCAGCAAGGCAGCACACGTGCAGCACTCGTCCCTAGTGAAGGCCTGCGTGCAGCATATGGGGGATGTGAACTGCTGAATGAGTTGGCTCCAGTGGCTTCGCAAGTGGGGTGGATAAGTAGAGCAAGAGCCTAGGGCATGGTCGGCAGTTTTACAATGGACTTGGGGTTCCCTGACGGGGGCTTACATTGAGTACCTGAGGGACAAGGTATGTAAGAACTTCAAGGTGGACCACCAGCTATGGTGGATAAGATGCCGCCGTGGAAGGTTTGCCACACACGCAGGTACGGCGTGCTGTGGAGCCGAATACAGGCAGCTATGGATTTGACATAAAACACCTAACTTAGCTCGGGATTTTTCTATATCTAAGAGACTATTGCCCCTTTGCTAGCTTTGCCGTAAACGAGGTGCACTAGCACAGGACGGCACGTTGCACGGCAGTCGCATAGGGCCCATCGCCATGTTCCACAAAAGAGTTTGCAAACTCTCCTGTTTACTCTCATCTATGGATGGGAGCAACATGGCAGGATATGTCGTTATAGACGTGCACAATTGTCTTTTTCTCTCTTTTGGTTTCGCTTTGTGCTCGCGATCTATGAGCCGTCTGGCTCGGACGGATCTTACAAGCTCGGTACGAAGCTTTTAACACATACATACATACATTGCAAACTCTTGCTTTAACCTGCTTTGTTTCCCCGTGTTTCATGGCACCTCTTCTGCCATATGACAGCGTCATTCTAGTTACAAACTTACAATCCAAGGGAGTTGTGACAGTCATAAGGACAGACTCTCCTTATACCCGCTAGTCATTACATTGTAGCCCACAGTTGTAAATTGCGCAAACATATTTCTTTGAGGCGTTCGGTTTATCAATCACCATGGAAGTGTCTCTTGTGAACCCCTACGTTGCGGCCGCTATATCTGCGCTTTTTAATAACACGAAGGACTCAGACTGTGTTATTGTACTCTACAAAGAGGCAGAAGGTTCGGAACCTTCTTTGAAGCAACGCCGCCTGGAGGATGGCGATGTTGAACCGGGCGCAAGCAATGGCTTTGGTGACCCGCTGCCCGGTCATCAATTTGTGCTGCGCCATGCCTCAGATTGGTTCGAGGCACAGGTGAGACACCTCTGCACTAGACGTCTACCTTCGCTTGCTCGACAGCGAGGAAAAGCTGGAATGGACATTCTTAGTCATTGCAAGTTATTGATTGGTAGGCAGAGTGGGTGCTCCGGTGTTGTCCAGTCCGGCACCTCAGGGTTTATATGAAGTAGTTGAATGAACCAAAGTCCACCGAAAATAAACTGGATCACAGGTCTGCTCGCCACATGCATCTCTCTAGTGTGCTCCTACGATGGGTTGTGCAGTTGAGATGGAACACCAGTGGCGGAAAGCGAATGGTTCAACTTGACATCTACACGTTTCCTATCCCTCTATTTCTGGTGCAGTTAGAACGCTGGAACAGCAGTGAGGGCCAGGTGCATAGCAAGGATGTCTCACCTGCAGCAGATGGATCCAAGTCCGATGCTGATAGCCGCCCCGTGCTGCGCATTCCGCTTGGCAGCGAGGAGGAGGTGCCTAGCACCCATGCGGCCATCCAGTTCGCCTACACGGGAAGGGTGCAAGCGAGCACCGTGCGTCAAATGCTTGAAGTACGGCGACAGGGGGCATATTTGCAGGTTAAGGGATGCGCTGACGCGTGCGATGCCAAGCTGAAGGCTGCCGTGGAGGGCAGTGGTGGAAATGGTGTTGACCTGAACCACCCTCCAGCAGCCCTGCAACTGTACGCATGCTCAGCGCTCTGGCCTGACCTAACAGATCCAAGCTTCACCGCTGTCATGGCATCTGCCAAGCCACAGCTTGTGTCGTACTTTGGCGACGCGCTGCGCGTCCTCAACACGCCCTCCCTCCGCCAGCAGCTGCTGGATCTGCCGGCGGTGGCGGTGGAGGCGCTGCTCGAGTCGGACAGCTTCGGCACCGACAGCGAGTCCAGCGTGCTGCTGCTTCTGGCCGCCTGGATGAAGGTCAACTACGACAAGACGGACAAAGCTGCGCGTGGGAGGTTGTGCCAGCGAGTGCGGCGGTTGCACCTAAGCAAGTCATACGTGTACGATATACTCCCCGCTCTGGCACAAGGCTACGAGGTGTCACCGAACAAGCCAGCTGGCTGGTTTCAAATGACGTTCACGACGGCTGCTTTCCTTGGCCGCCTGTACGGATCCACGGAGGAAGAACATGAGCGTCTGCTGGAGGAAAAGAAGGAGCGAGTGTCAGGCTTTCCAAGGTCGAAGGCGTACAGCGCAGTGTCTCGCCGACAGTGCCTGCCGGAGGAGGGCCTTACGTATGACTGGTTTGTAACTCAGGAGCAGCTAGAAGAGAAACTGGGTCAGCTCAACCCGGGCAGTCACGAAAATGTACGGGTTACACTCGTTAACGGCATGAAAGCCGTTACTGCTCACGGCTTCGAATGGCAGGTGACCCTCAGTTACTCACCTGGCAGTGAGGCTGCGGGATTGAACCTGTCTTGCCAGATCCCGGCAGCTTACACGCCACATAAGTCCCTATACGTCCGCCAACGCATTCCACCTATGCCCAGCATTTCAGCAATGCTGGAGGTGGACCGCTGGCGCAACGGTGAGCGCACGGAGGGAGTGGCTTCATCCTTCGACGTAGAAGAGCTCCTGACTGTTGGGAACTACTGGGGCAATGATGACGGGTTGCCCCTGCAGCGACCGCCACAGCATGGGGCTGCTAGGGCCGGGGGCGACGCCGGCGGCAACGCGCGAGGCGGTCAAGGCAGCACCCTTGCGGCTGCGTGGTCGGAGTATCTGCACGATGGGAAGATTACCGGCAGGATAGTGCTGCTGCGGCCGGACACGAACTGAAGAGCCTGGGCTGGAGGGCTAGTCGTCAATTTATGTGACGCTTACCTTGCATACCTTGCAAGATGTTGCGGTTTTCACACGCTAGCATTGCAGCGGTGTCCTTGAAGCTACATTCTGGCGTTAGCTGAGGGCGGCGCTGTGGATTCGGCCTGTGACGAAGACAAGGCGTTCACTGTGCATTGGATTTCATTAGCTACTAGGAGAGGCCGGGGGGATATCGGTACTGGAAGCGCGAGTGAAAGGTTGTAGAGTGATGAGTACAGGCTGCCCATCGGTGCATAATGCTATACCGGTACGATGAGCGCACCACAGCGCATGGGCTGGACACACCGCAAACGTGTGTAGCCCGACTTGCAAAACTGCCTAAAGATTGTATATATTTTTTGTTTTGATTGACATGTAAGGGTTGGCGCCGGTAGCTTGCTTCAAGGTTACCGGTAAAATCGTGTGCGGTTATCGTCCGACCCCGGGGACACTTCCAACGGATAAGATTGGGCCGATTATAATAGCACAAGACATAAGCTAAACTTCCCACAGGAGCTAAACTGTGCAGATAACCGCTCTGCATGGACCGAAATGGCTGCAGCCGGAAACAGATACGTTACAGCCGCGCTTCCATCGTTGTTTGCAAGCGATCGGAGCTCGGACTGCGTTATTCGCTTTTGTCAGGAAGCAGATGTGGAAGAGCCAGCAGCAAAGCAGCGGCGGCTGGAGCGCGGGACGGCTGCTGCTGACAGGGCGTACAGTCTACCTGAAGCCTTAGCTTTCCTCGGCGAGCCGCTCCCTGCGCATCAGCTGGTGCTAAGCAATGCATCCGAGTGGCTGGCATCGCAGGTGGGTGTTGCAACTTTACCTGCTGTAAACGACCGCGACGAAGCTGACTTGTTTTTTCGACTGCTGCTGTCGCCGTTACTCCTGCCGGCTCGTGGCACATCATTCCCAAGACTCATTACCGTTTAGTGCTCTTAACTCCCATACGCCCATAACGGCACCGGCACTGACACAACGTGTTCGGCTTGGCCTCGCTTCCTCCTTTCCCGCTTCCCCGACACGCAGCTAGAGCGGTGCAGCAGCAGCACCGGCGCCTCAGAGCTCGGCTGCGGCGGCTTGGCAGCAGCATCAACCTCCGATCGCCGCCCCGTGCTGCGCATCCCCCTTCCCAGCGAGGCTGAGGTCCCCAGCGCTCGCTCCGCCATCCGCTTCGCCTACACCGGCGATGTAGACGCCGCCAGCATTCGGGAGGCCCTGCAGGTGCAGCGGCAGGCGGTGCGCCTGCAGATCAAGGGTTGCACCGCCGCCTGTGATGACATCATCAAGGCAAAGCTAAGTGCCGCTGCCACTGGTACTGCCGGCGCTGTTTTCGAAGCCAGCAGCAGCCAAAAGGCAGGCGGTAGCAGTAGCAATGCCGCCGCTGGCGGCGGCGGCGGGGGAGGCAGTAGCAGCCGCGGGATCTCGGCCCAGCAGCTTCCGGCGGTGCTAGAGCTCTATGCGTGTGAGGCGCTGTGGCCTGATTCCTGCAAGAACAACGGCGGCGGAGCAGACGCTGACGACGGCCCTAGCTTCGCCGCCATTCTAGAGGCCGCCAAGCCGCAGCTTGTGTCGTACTTTGGCGACGCGCTGCGGGTCCTCAACGCGCCCGCCCTCCGTCAGCAGCTGCTGGCTCTGCCGGCGGTGGCGGTGGAGGCGCTGCTCGAGTCGGACAGCTTCGGCACCGACAGCGAGTCCAGCGTGCTGCTGCTGCTGGCCGCTTGGATGAAGGTCAACTACGGCAAGACGGACACGGCAACCCGCAAGCGGCTGTGCCGGCAGGTGCGCCTCGTGCAGCTCAGCAGGCCCTACCTGGGCTTCATCCTACCCGCGCTCGCCCGGGACCACGAGCTCAGCCCGCAGCTGCCCGCCGGCTGGTTCCCCATCAGCGTCACCGAAGCCGCCTTCATCGCCCATGTTGCTGGCGCACCTTCGGAGCATGAACGCACGGAGCTCCTGAAGGGAGCTCAGGACTTTTACGACGTCTTCCAACCTTCGTACAATACGACAGCGCGCACGCAGAGCCTGCCGCCCCGCGGCCTAACCTCCTGTTGGCATGTTCCGCAACGGCTGCTGGAGCAAGCGTTAGCCGGGCTGCATCCCGGCGGTACCGTGAGCATGCTAGGCGTCTTTGACCAGGACCTGGAAGCCATTACTGCGCAAGGGTTTGAGTGGCAGCCCAAGATCACGTACAAGTACGGCGCTGCGGCTGCTGGGAGGTTCCTGAACTGTCTGACGCCGGAGGCACTCAAGGTGGATGGGGTGCGGCCCGGGGGTCAGGGCTGCATGCCAGCGATGGTAAATGTACGGCTGCAGCTGACGGTTGACCGTTGGCGTGACGGTGTGGCTGTGGAGCCGTTGGTGCGAGTGTACGGCGGGGAGTTGTTTCTGTGTGCGGGCATGTCGTGGGGCTCTCGTGACGCGCTGGCGTTACACCCGCAACAGCGGCTCGAGGGGGCCCAGCAGCTGCAAGCGCAGGCATCACAGCAGGTGCCGCAGGAGTCAGGCGGGGGTGGTGGTGACGCGGAATGCGGGGATGCGGGTGGGCAAGCAGCGGGCGGGGTAGAGGTTGGGCAGGTGGGCAGGGATGGAGGTGGCGCTGCCGACGACGGTAGCGGCGGTGGTGCGGGGCTGGCTGCATGGTCGGAGTACTTGCACGGGGCCCGGATCAGCGGCGCTGTGACGCTGCTCCGGCCGGATGTAGTGGATGATGACAGGCATATGGCGGTACGGCATGCGGCCTAGGTGTGGTCCATGTGATGTCGGTCCCAGGGCGAGAAATGCGAAGGATGAAGAGGGCCGGCCGCGCATCCTGCGGTGCTGTTTGTCACGGTACTGCCTGTGTGCCGGGGAGATGGGGACGTGCTGGAATCGCTAAGGGCTGTACGGCTGCTATCCATGCGTGGGGGTCATGAACTCATGCTGCTGCGGGTCGAAGGGAAACCACCAGCCCGTTGTAAATCGGCGGGGCTGAGTGATGGGTTTAGTACAAATGCAATGCCACAAATTGAACAACCAAGCCAAGCTTGAACCAGTACTGTTTACAGCTTTCACCATGACATTAGTAGACCTCACGTTACCACAACAGTACCGGTACCGCTTTCCTCATCAGTCCGCTAGTCAATATTCCTCTATCCGTGCCGCTGGTACAATTACAACTACAGCTTAGCTCCAACTCCACCTCACACAACTGCCCCGCAGCACCCCACCTCACACGTAGCCATGCTTCTTATTCCTCTGGCACCAACACCTGCACGCTTGCCAATGCTTGCACCCGCACCCCACCCCGTCGTGCACGTCCTGCACCCCGCAAGTCCCTTCTCCCCTTTCCCTTTGCTTCCTCTCCCTTTTTTATCCTCCTCCTTAATAGTAAGCGCGCCGAGGGTTCCCAAGCGGGTTTGGTCGGTACTTATACCCCAGCATCATGCGCTTGCGGTAGGCCTCGTAGATGTCGTCTTCCGCGCTCACCTCCCCATGAGCTGCGGCGCCCAAACCGCGCGCCTCGCCCGCCGCAGGAGCGGCCGCTGCCGCTGCTCGGATGGGGGCGGTGATGCCCTTCTGCGAGCCGCCCAGCCCCTCGCCCTCCTTCCAGCCCATCTTCTGCAGCAGCTTGTGGCCGATGTTGTCAGAGCCGATGGCGTTCTTGTTGGCGAGCTGCTCGGCCTGGGTTGGGAGGAAGCAGGGAAGGGGCCAGGCACCCAGGAGGGTTACAGTTCCCATGCTAACACAAGTGACGGTGATGCACAACGACAATTCCTAACCCGTCTGATATCCAACCATCTTTGGATGTGAATTGGGGGAAAACTACCATACGCAGCCATACAAATCGTGAAGAGGGAATGCACCCGGCCTGCTTCCGGCAGGCAGGAGGAAGGCGCAAGGCAGCCCAAGCTGCATGTCTGCTTGCGTTTGCGCACCTGCACGGCGGCGACCTTGTCTCCTGTCTTGGCCATGAACTCAGTGAGCACCTCCTTGGGAATGTAGTCCTGCGGACAGGGGGGGGGTAGGAAGCGCAAAAATAGACCCCAACCCTCAAATTGAAGGCGCTTTGCGTCGGGACTCCAAATCTGCTTTCAGATTTCTTTTTGGAGTTGTACGGAAAAAGTTATGGGCTTGCAAAGTTGGTTGTACGGCAGGGGTGGGTGGGTGGGTTCAGGGCCCCAACGACTTTTTTACTTGAACCTCCTGAAAAATTTTTCCAGGCCCCATGTTAGGGTTTTGAAAGCTGTATTGCCATCCTTTCTTCGTTTCCTATACGTAGAATTAGTTCTATCAACAAAATGGTCACTTCTCGGCTTCCGATGTTCCAATGACACTTCACCTCTGAACCATGGTAGCCGAACGGAACTGCCCAATCCCCAAACGTACAAGAAACAACTTATGTAGAAAGCATACATTGCGAACGCGGCTAGTCGGCCCTTTGTAAAGGCCTGGCATAGCAGCATGTCGCATGTGCCCATGGATGTGGAACACGACTGAGGAGGCGGGATGGGAGTAGACAGACTAAGCTGCGAGGAAGCACTCACAGTGACCACGAATGGGGTGGGGATGCAGAGCACACAAACAAGAAGGCGTGGCAATTGGTGCCAGGGTCTATGGTCGAGGGCCCAGGGGGAAGAAGAGGCAGGAGCAGGGACCTGGAACGTGGTGGCGCCGTTGTCTCGGTTGGTGAATACAGAACTGGCGGTGGTATGGCGCAAAAGGAAGGGCCGTGGTGCTTCCTAGGCGCCAAATACATAACATCAGTCAAGCCGGGGCCAAGAACAGGGTTACCTTAGCCGTCCATAGTGCAACGCTGTGACATTAACTTCCCAGGGGGTTTGGGGTTTTTCGACTGCATTTAATAGAGCTTGCGCAGAGGAACCTAGACGTTATTTTCCCGGGCGTTTTGGCATAGTTTACAGGTTGTACGACACGCTTGGCGGTGGGTGGGTGGCTCCGAGGCCTTCTCTTTGGAAATTTCGGGTTGGGGTTTATAAGAAAAATTTTTACCCCCCCCCTGCTGCGGACCGGAGATTCCGGACGTGTGCGAGTTGTGAGCAGGGGGATAAATAGGAATGGGGGCCCAAGCGGGGTAATCGCACAATTCTAATATCCCTCATTTCCGTGTCTCCTTTCTACCCGGTCTACCCAAACACCAACTCCGTGTAACTGTGTACACCTGCTAGGAGGCATGGCGCCACATGCCTTTCGTTTCGGCCGCCCCTACGTTGCTGCACACCTCCCTCCATCCGCCCGCACCTCCCCCCCACCTGCATGTGGTGGCCCCGCGAGCCATCATCCTTGTACACAGCCACCACCTTGCGCCGCTCGAACGCCGTCTTGTTCAGCAATGGCTCCGCGCGCCGCCGCCGCCCCTCCTCATCCTCGTCACCATCTGGGTCATCTGGGTCAGCGCTGCGGGACCGCCCGCGCTCCTTTTTCGCAGCCAGGGCTGCAAAAGCCTCCATGGCAGCCACGGAATCGCCCTTGGCCATGGCAATTTGCGCACGGCGGCGTGCCTCGGCCTCCTGTTCGGCGGTTAGCGGGACCTGGGGCGGGGGACTGCCTCGCTGGAGCCGGCCGGCAGCAGCGGCGGCAGCAGCCGCTGCAGCTGCCGCGGCCACAGCGGCGGCAGCTTCGGGTGGGAGCGTGGATGAGGATGGGGGCCGGCCATAGGGAGCGGAGGGGGAAGGGGCTTGGGGTGCTGGAGCAGAGGTGCTGGGCTGGCCTGGGTTGCGTGCGTGGGAGTGGTAGTGTGCGGGCATGGGAGGCGGAGGAGGCGGGGCCAGAGCGGAGGCTGGCGCTGGGGGGGCTGCGCCAGAGGGACCTGCATGTAGTCCAAGTCGGGGTTAGGTACTACCAAGGAGGGCGTCAGCATCGGAAGGCGCGCCTCGATGAACCAGGTTACCTTTTGCTGCGGCCTCAAACTCCCGAAGCTTTGCTGCGTAAAATTGATAGCCTGGTGATGACTTGTCATGCAGGAACCTGCAGGTAGTAAGGGCTTAGGACTTTGTAGAGCAAACACGCGCGATGCAGAGGGGACCCACTTGAAGGGCGACTCCCCGGCATTACGTTCACGGGTCATGTCCTCAAATTGCTTTCCATTCTTTGCGACAAAGTCCGCCAGCTTCGTCGCAACGCTGACGACCTCGGCATCCAGTCGGGTCGCCAGCTGAGCAGCTGGAGGTCAGAGAGCGTAACGAGGGACTAGCCCACAATGTCAGCTTTGCCGCCTTTATCCCTATACGACCAAGAGATGCCATAGTATTTATGACCTGAGGCAGTTGAGGTCTCCATGCGGGGCTTCTTCGCCTGGGCGTTGTCCTCCTCATCATCTGAGCCAGCACCTCCAAATATATCCTGGACTGTAGCTGGCTTTTTAGGCATAGCTATCTTTGCCCCAGCCAAGGGCCGCTTAACATCTGGCCGTTTCTGTAAGGCGAACCCTAGACCCGACATGTTCGTGGCCTAAATGTAAACACCGATTGGGTAACTAATGAGGCGTGATACGTTACCCTTCCGCGTTATGGAAGCAATGCCATATCTCCGTACGGTACGCCATGCACACGTTTGCGGGTTCGCCTGAAGACATGTTCAGCCCGGGTGCTTTGTTCCCTGCTGGGTACCTGCGGTTATACCTGCGGGTCGGAACAGCCCTTTACATCAAATGCCGGTACCCCAAACCTCGGGGCATTGTTGAGTAACGCAAACGCCATGGGGCTTGTCCATAGGATTCCGTCATAACGCGGATGAACCATCGCATTGGACCCCAACCCCTTTACACGGACGTTCCAAGCCAGCAACTGCAATCCCTGCAGCTGTAAGCGACCTGAAACGGCACAGAGACAAAGGCGCCAAACATAGGCGACTGCACAACACCGCCTCGGAAAGCAACACAGCGGTCCCAGGCGGCTTCGAATTAACAACGCACACCCAACTGGTATATGACGCCCCCTTTCCAGCGCCGCAAGTGTCAGCTCCTCCTGCAAGTACTGCATCCGCCGCACAGCAATCTGAGCAACCCGGCTTATTTGCCGTACACCATCCCAAGAGTCCATCCTTTGCCATTTTCAACGCCACCCTCCCCTCATGTATGCCGAGAAGACCCTATCAATACCGGTAACCGACGATAACAGAACTCCCTCGCCCTCCTTTTACCCGAAATTCCCATCTGTTTCCAGGATACCCTTGAGCCCCTGCCACGCCCAACCAGCAGATCCAACGTTTCAGCAGTGGGATATCAGTTGCAAGTTCCTAGCAAGGCCATGGCATATGACAGTGCAACACAATACGGTACTACCTAAGGAATAGCAGGCCTTAACAATGTCGTGTCACAAATCAGCATTGACTGGCGCAATTGTGATGCAAGCGCCGTGTCGTTATATTGAATATGGTACATCCACGGAGCAGGCACAACCACGTCCGTACCAACAACCCGCCCACCTCATATTATCCGCGAGCAACCTATAAATGCGGCAGCAATCGCATCGTCAAAGGACATACAAGCTCGGTTACGGCAGACACGGTCAACACGCGCTTGGTTTTAACACAAAACACCTGCTACAAAGTCCTGTTCCCTTGCAAATTTACCCATCCCCGTCCTCATCAGCCATAACAAAGCAACTATCGGCCAAGATACTTATACGGCTAAAGAACCTTCCCCAATTACCACATCATCGTCAAGAATGGTGGACGCAGCTTTTTGGAAGAATCAACAACAACAACCGTACGAACGGAATCAAAGGAATACCGGTAGTAGCCGAAGCCACCCGACAGGCCCGGTGCGACATGGCACGGGAAACAGCTGACGCCCCTCAGTGTCACCGCGCAACACATCGCAGGTCATTGCGGCAGACAGGTCGTCACATACATGTACGGCACGGCATCCTTGCTACGTTGCTAGAACCCACCCAAAAGGGCTAGCATCGCCCTTTTCCGCTCGACACCCAAAAGGGAAGTCACATGCCCCGAATGACCCATACCGCCACATGCTAAGTGATGGGAGGGAGTTGGTCGAGACCCCACACACAGAGCGCAAACACAAACGCATGCACAGACTTTGACGAGAGCCAACAGTAACACCCGGACAGCCCGACCGCATCCAGACCTGGCCAACCGAAGAACACCCCAACCATGTAAACAATTCAGCGGCCACTGCCACCACCACTTACACGGAGGTGCATCCAGAGACCATGCGATGACATCGCAGCCACGACAATACCACGCCACGCCATGTTTCAAACCCCATCAACGCCGAGACGGCGGCGGTGCACCTCTTTCAAGGCAACAACAGCAGCGCGGGTAGCGGCCACCTCTCCACACTCGGCAGCACGTCAAACCACCGCAGCTGCGTAGAGTAAAGGTTGAGTGTGTTTATGTGGGTCGTGTCCGTAGGTCAGTGTTTCTTTTCCTTCTTGCCGTCATCCCCCTTTTAGGGTCTATGTCAATGGCAGGGTCCAATGTCAATGTGCTGCGCAGGCGCAAGCCTCCTCTAGGGTTTTCTGGAAACCCATGGACAGGAAGGTCGCAGGACGCCGATGCTGCATTACCCTTCCAAAACGGCAGCGCAGCCGCTCGTGCTAGGCAGCAGTACGCGGGAGGTAAACGGTCGCACAGGCCGTTAAGCGCTGCCCCGCATGGCCAGGAGAAAGAATGAGAAAATGCAAGCGAGGAGACGGGGGAACATGGGCGCTATCAAAGCAACCAGTTCCGCCAATTCACCCCTTCCTTAAGGTATATGCCGTCGTTGTCATGTTGCTGCTTCCGGTGCATAGGCATCGGAACCCGCTTATGAAACCGTCCAGGGGCAACTGGTGATGATGCTGGTGATGGGGCCGGCGCGAGCTACGGCAGACTAGCAAGGATAGTGCAGAAGAAGACGGTACTCTTGACGGCAGGCGCGGCCCACGGGTCACCTCAAATGCACTCCGCGTTCCCCGCATGCTGGCTAGCAACCCATCCCCCTTCTTGGCGGGCTACCGCCCGTGTGTCGACGTGTCAAGTCGCGCCGCTACAACTTCCAACCTTCCGCCATGAGGATGGGTCGCTCCAGAGGCACTGCATGCGGGGCAGCGACAGAGCAGCAAGGCAGCGGTGCAGGGAAGCCATGAGTGTGAAGTCAAGAGCCAACTGCAGGAGATAGCTTCCGTACCGGCACCCTTACCCCATTGGCCCCAAAGCTACCATATGGTAACCATTCCTCCACTTCCTCAACCCACCGTCCCTTCGATTTCACACTTCCACGCCATCAGCATGCAGCACTGTTCAGGCCGAGCCATACACTTTGAACTGTATACTCAACAGCCCCGAAGCCTCACCTTTCTCCACCATCTTTTCACGCCAGGCTTTGTCCTCCAGATAAGAGAGCTGCTCCTGCACCTGCACCAGCTTCCGCGCCGTCTTGAACATGGGGTTGTTTGGGTCCATGAGCGCTTGCTGCGTGAAGCTGCGGCCTCTGTCCCTGCGCTCCATCCCTATCTGCTGGCAGAGGAGCAAGCGGGCAGCGCGGAAGGCGGGCAGAGAGGGAGGAGCGGGGAGTTCAGCTCAGCTACGTAGGAATGTGGGTGGGATGCTATGCTTCATTCCCAGTGCCTACCGCGGCATGGGTTGTAACTTACAAGCCGTATGCAAGGAAGCCCCTGAAGCCCTGCGCGGTTTTGTGCCTCACCTCAAGAACCATGGGTGCGTTGTGCGCCGCAACCACAGTCGCCGGAGTAGGTGAGGCTGCCTGGGGAGGAGCCGCAGCCACGGGCGGAGCCTCCCCGCCCTTGCGGGGCCCTGCGCCGCCGCCGTCGCCGCCGCCGCCGCCAGCCCCATCTTCTGCCGCACCAACCTCATCGTCATCCCCAAGCGGGTCGAACCCTATGCCGTCTTCAGCGGCATCAGCATCTGCGCTGCCGCCGCCGCCTGCCGACGGGCTGCCGCTGCCAGCAGCCCCGCCCTTGGAAGCGCCGCCAGTGCTGGCCTTGGCGTCGCCTAGGCTGCCCTTGGATCTGAGGCCGCTGGTGGCGCTCGACCTCGCGGTGGAGGCGTCAGCAGCCCCAGGCCCTGCTCCAAAACCACTGTTTCCGCCGCCGCCGCCACCACCGTGAACGGCCGGGACGTTCCCCGCGCCGAGGACAAACACAGAATTGGCGGCCGCCGTCGCCGCCGCACGCATGTTTGCATCCGCCAGCAGCGAAGACCGAACCCTATTGACTCGCTCCAGCTCGTGCAAGTGCTTCGTTGTCAGCAGCGCGACGCTGCCGGGCGACGGAAGCACCAGCGGCTCCTCCGCCGCCGCCGCGGCGGCCTCGCTGGCGGCAGCGGCTGCTGCATGGGCTGCATGGGCGGCCGCCGCCGCCGCCGCGGCGGAACTGTCCAGACCAAAGAACCGCCGGATGCCTCGGAGGAAGCCGCTGCTTTCCGCCGCCAAGCTGGTGCCGCTGGGCTCCGCCGACAGGTCACCGCCGGCGCTGACGCTGCCGAGTGTACGACGGCTGCGGTTGTTGGCGCCGCGAAGGCCTCCCTTGTTGGGCGGCAACATCTGACGGGCGGAGGCGTAGCTTACGACGATCGGGGCATCGCTCGAGGCAGCGGCGGCGGCGGCAGCCGCAGCTGCTCCGCCAAAGCTGATCGACGGCAACGGTACAGTGCCGCCACCGCCGCCGCCGCCGCCACCGCTGTTGCCAGTGAAGCCGCCTCCGCCGCCGCTGCTGCCATAGGACGGGATCAGCGGCGTGGCGGGAGAGGATGCATGGTTGTTGTGGCTCAACGCCATACCACGTGAGCCAATCGCCGGTAGCCTCCCCCCTTCACTCCCCATGCCCGAGGCGCCACCCCCCGTGAAGCCGGCATGCGGGCCGTGACCGGACGCCTCCGCCGCAATGCTGCCCGTTTTCCGTACGAAATGTACATTACTAAGCCCGCCAGCGCCGCCGCCGCCAGAGCCGGCGCGGCTGAGCCCGCCGCCGCCGCTGGTCCCCCCAGGGGCAGTCCTGCCTGCTGCAGCGTGTACTGTGAAACGGGAGGGGGCGCCGACGGGGAGATGTGTGAATGAGGGGGCGCTACTCCATCCCGGACCGCTGCGCTCGTGGGCTGGGCCCAACCCCGTAGGGTGCAGCTGGCCTGCTGAGCTGTTTAGGCTAACAGGCACGTAAGGGTAGGGTGGACCGGTGGGGCCGATGGCCGGGGTGGCTTCAGCATTGGAGTCGTAGTTGACTCGATCCCTAAGCAGATCGGGGCCGGAGAGGGGATGGGAGGGAGAGGAAGGGAGGAAGCGGAAGGGAGGGAGGGAGAGGAAGGGAGGAAGAGGGAGCAAGAAGGGTGTTGTCAGGGTGGCGAGAATGTTAAGCTTGGTGGGATAACATGGAGATCGGGACGTATTAGGCAAACCTGCACCCCATGCGTGATGCCGCCTGTGGCTTCTAGGGGATTTGCAAGATCTAGGTTGACAGCAAAGCGTAAAGAAGTAAGTTCGCGAGGATGACTAGACAGGTGACTTACCAACGCCCGCTTTGCTCCGCTGTAACAAGCCCAAACGCTGCTATTGATGCTGATGACTTCGCCCGAGGTATAGGCGCCTTAAGGATTGTCGTCGCTCCCGTATCGAGCTTAATTCGGTCGGTGCGTGACGATGACATGGCAGACGGAGGTCGAATAGGCTGACGCCAGGACCAGCACTGTACAATGCCGACAGCATCACTATGCGCACTAGAAGCAAATGGCGCAGCACCCTGCCAGTGCGCTGAGCTACGTGTGGGCCTCGAAGGCGTCGAGCACCTCACAGCCCTTGCACACGGTAACTTCCCAGTCGAGTGGATGCTGCTTGCGTATCAAGTGATTTAGAAACTATGAATCAGAGGAGCGTAGTGTAAGAAAACGCAGCAGCGCTTCCGCGCCCCAGCTCGCTCCAGTCCTCAGCCAGCACTCATCATTATTTCATGCACTTGTTGAGGCGCAACTATTATGGTAGTAAGACGCGTTTGATTCGGTTGCAGGAGCTAGGTTCGTAGGTGGGGTACGTCCAATTCAGAAACTACTGAACATAGTGCTGTCAATCAGCAGTGTACATATTGTAGCATTATGTATCAAATGCATTGCTCTCCAATTGTCTTCCACAGAGATGTTCGTCCAGAATTGTAACCTGTTGTAATTGCTGTGCACGAACAGGTTGCTGAGCACGTGCACCAGTAAAGTGTGTTAATCTAATGGCATGCCCCTATTTATACAATTCAGTGTTGTTGTATACACAATCTTGGAACCGGAGAAGGCAACGAGTATGGGGCGGGCGTGCTACAAGGCGTGCGGCTACGACATGGACACTCACGCAAGGATGGTTTGATCCCATTTAAGAAACACGTTGCTCCAAACCTATGTTGCCACTCCTCGTCCACCAATGGCCCGTGCACAAAACACATGGGCATCCAAGGCAGCGTGTGTGCCTTATTCCTTCCATAGCCACGCTGTGCTTCAAAACATCTATGCGGCAGCGATCGAAGTGGGGAGCTTGCGCCAGCTACTGGTGGCCCTCCCACACTCCTTCTCCTAAGGATCTGGGGCAGCGGTACGGCATTGCAATTAAGCGTACGACGCTAACCCTACACACGCCTACCTCCATTCCTACGTCCGAGTCCGAAACAAAATGTCTGTACGTCTCACTACCGGTACGCTTTTTCCAAATTTCGTCTTCATCGCATTTCGCTTTTGTAACTACCCGCATATAGGAACTCTCCCCCCCTCGGGCCTCCCCGCAACCCACAGCAGCGTCACAGCGCCACGTCATGCAACAAGGCACGCACGCATCGGCTACTCCACCGCCTCCCTAACCTCCGCCGTCCGCGTTAAAGCCCCCGTCGTCGCCCCTTCTTCCGCCGCCTCCACCGCCGCCGCCATGCGTCTGACCACCTCTCCAGCAAACCGCTTGACTGCCGCCCTATCGCCCTCAAAGAACACAGGTATCGGATGAATGCGCCAAATGGGCTGCGAGCAGTAATGCGACAGCGGGGAACGTCGAGGCTCCTCAGCCGCCGCCGCCGCCGGAGCAGCAGCAGCAGCAGCAGCAGGAGCGGCTGTCGTAGCAATCGAGGTTGCTGGAGTGAACGTTCCAGCAGTTGCTGTAGCAGTAGGAGTAGTTGATACCGTTAGTGTTGCGGTTGACATGGTGGTTTTGTAACCGCTGACGGAAGGCTGCGTAATCTGTGTAACAAGCATTTGGGCCTGCTGCGTTGTTCGTGCTGCTGTTGACACCGCGCGCTCATGTCCTTCTGCTTCTGCTCCGGGAGAACATGATGGCGCACCAGTTGCTGCCGTTATCATCAGCGACTCGGCAGTTGAAGCGCCGGTGGGTGGCGCTGTCCAATGTACGACAGTACCTGCCGTGACAGCAGCTGTCGTGCTGCTGTTGGCAGCAGTAGTACTGGCAGCACCGCTGCTGCCTCTGCTTGGCTCTTCACCGCCGCCTGCTTCAGCACAGCTTACAAGCTTGCACGGACTGGGCAGATCTTCAACCTTACAACCTCCCTCCTCTTGCTCCGCAAGGTGCCGCCGCTGCTGCTGCGCCTGCTCCTGCGCCTCCTCACCTTCCGGGAACAAGATCTTCTCCTCACTGCCCTCCTCCTCCAACAATGAAAGCGGCAGGAAGTTGAAGGGCACTGCGTCCGCTGGGCGTTCCGAGTACGGCACGTGTCGTACACCGACCTCCGCCGCCAGTGCCATTACCAGGGCTTCGAGCTGTACGGCAAAGTGGGGAGGGGTTGCGGCGGGGGAAGGGGAGTGACGAGGCATCGTATAGCGCAGCAGTAATAGTAGCCTCAACTCCCGTGGCTCTCCTAACCCTAGGCGCCGCCCTCATTGCCTTCGCCGTCATAGTCCCCATGGTTGGTCCTCATGATTGGTCCTCATGTTAGGACCGAGAGGATCGGGCTGTGTGTCTTCTTCAGACCCCAGCCCCAGCCCGCCCGCTCACGCCAGGAAGCGGCGCCCCTCATGCAGCGCTCCATCCCTCCCCTCCTCTCTCAAACCATGCTCCCAACCCAAACATGTGCCTACCCAGCCGCTCGCCCGCCCACCCACCTACCTACCTGTTGCACCCTCCGGCAATCACAGTACGCTCCAACTCCCGGCCAGTTTCCTTAACCCACCCACCTGTCGCGTGTCCTCCCGCCGCAGCGGTGCCAGGTCCACCACCGCCCGGTCCCTCCCTCCGCTGCCGCCCCCGCTGCCGCCCCCGCTGCCGCCCGCCCGCTCCTGCTCCACCACCACACACACCTGCGCCCGGGCATCACACCACTGCCGCCGGACAGGGGTGTGTGCGGCAGGCGGCGTCGGGGGGTACGAGGGGGCGGTACAAGAGGAGAATCTTGGTGCAAAAAGGACGCATGCCGGTGCAACCTCTGTAAACCGTTCACGAGGTGTTGCACAGCCGTGCTTCATTTTCCATGTGTTGCTGCTGTTGCTACGGCCGCGATGAAGCTGGGATACCGGTACTGATTGCGATGACGCATGAGAAAATAACTAGCACAACCCTTACGTTTCCCCTTCCACCCCTTCATCCCTCATCCAGCAGCCCAGGCGCCTTGGCGGCGTTGCCCCCGCACCCTCCCTTGCCACCCCGCTGCCAGGTTGCTTCCCCGCCCCGCCCCGCCCCGCCCCGCCCCGCCCCGCACCCCGCCCCGCCCCGCACCCCGCCCCGCACCCCGCCCCGCACCCCGCCCCGCCCCGCCCCGCACCCCGCCCCGCCCCGCCCCGCCCCGCACCCCGCCCCGCCCCGCCCCGCACCCCGCCCCGCCCCCCGCCCCGCCCCGCCCCGCACCCCGCCCCGCACCCCGCACCCCGCACCCCGCACCCCGCACTCCGCACTCCGCACTCCGCACCTGCCGGAAGATGTTGGGCAGCGGGTTGCCGTGACGGAAGCGCCGGTAGCCCGTGCCGCGCACCGCCAGGAAGCCCTGGGCGTGGGGGAAGGGAGGGTTGGGCGGGCGGACGGGGAAAGGAGCAAGGGACGGTGCCGTACACAGAACGCAGGTGAGGACAGGGCATGGCATGGTATGGCATTGGTGTGGAGCTGTGAGGAGGGATGCGACCCTGGGGCCTGGAGCCTGTAGGGCGAGAAACTGGACATTGCAAGGCGGGTATGCTTGTGCTGCGATTGGGTGTAACACGTGAATGTCGTTGCAGCGGCTACGCTAGCCTGGCATGGGCTGCACATTCCCCGCCTAGCTTGGATGGTGTAGGCCGACGCTGGCCGACTGATGCCGTAGTGTGGACGGACGGTCAGGTACCGGATGTCAACGCTAGTAATCCGGATCGCTTGAAATATGGTTGACATGCAGGGAAGACGTGGCGCACCTTCTTCTTAGCGAGGTCATACAAGGTGCGCTCCTCAGCGTTCAGTCGATGGGGAATGTTGCGACTGCCTGTTCCACGCACTTTCGCGGCGCCGCCTCGGGAAATGCTGTCCACATCATCTAGGGTGGGTCGCCAGGGCTTTATTGTGCTTCTTGTGTGCCCAGGCGCATGCTTCAAGCCCACGTTTGATGTTGATCGATGCGCTCGGACAATCAGCTTAGGCCATTCCGTAGAAAGCGGCGTCGAAAACCTCGGAGACGTGAGCATAGAACGTTACGTATCGCAAAGCGTCCCTAGGATAAGTGGTGTAAAGTTCGGCGAGTGGTCAGCATGCGTGGTCAGCGCAAGTGCTGGAACTCAGTCTAAAGGTAGCCAAAGCAAATCTTCACCTGATTCCCTAGTAGTGTAACGTACTGCAAGCTGTTGGAGGAGATGCTTGTGCGACGCACTCTGCCAACGGCGACGGTTGGCCACACGAACTAGTGGAGTCGTCATGTCGTGATGTCGACATGTCCCCGTATTACGCCAGTGCCTGTATGCCCATATCTTCCCCATCCCTGCTTTTGTTTTGCAACTCTTTTTTCACTTGGCGAACAGTAACAAGACTAACAACCAATCCGAAGTCGATGTGGCGTCAACAATTTATCCCAGCTAAATTTTGAAGGATCATCTGCCTCCTTACAAGATCAAGCATATAAGCGTGCTTCATCAGCTGGATGCAAATCCTCGATGGTTGGAGGAGCCCTAATTGCGACCACTAGCTAGCCATCCGACAATCCGAGCGGCGACCAGCGCTCGACCAGCGCCTTCGCGCAATATGGACCACTCACACGCAAAGCCACAACCAAAGAAGCGCGTTCTGGTGGTCGGAGCAGGGGCAGCAGGTGCCGGCAGTCTGCCTTGCTCCGCATTCATGGCAACCGCGATTCCTCTTTCCTTCCCATCCTGGCTCCTGAAGATTGCTTGTCCACCTTGCCCTTACCCGACGAGGCTGCTATGTGCCACTTAGTTTACTGTTTGTTTGCATAAGGCTGTTATGTGCGTAATACATATGCAGGGATCTCTTGCGCATGGAGTCTGTCGCGCCATCCGGATCGCTTTGAGGTCGAGGTCTGGGAGGCACTGCCGGTGCCAGGAGGGGTGGCATCGTCGTGCACAGTCAAAGATGGTGCGCTGGGGCTGAGGGTTGTCAAAGAAATTGTAATGGACGTCCCATGACTGGCCCAAGCAGCCTTGCCTTTCGCTTCCTCCTGCATTCCTTTTGCCCCTGCCAACGCCAACCACCAACCGCCAACCGCCAGGTAAGTGCGTCATTAACGACCAGGTGCAAGGCGGCGCCCCTTCCTACCGCCACAACCTCCGGCTGCTCGAGCTGTTCGGGTTCAAACCCTCGCGAGTGCACATGCGCATCGCCTTTGGGGTGGGCGACGAACAATGGACCAACCACAGGTGGGCGGCTCAGACTTTGAAGCATGTCATGTCTGACGACCGAGACCCATGGGTCACGAAGTCATGGCAATATGACTCGGACGGATCCTGCACGCACAGCCGCAACCAAGGTACAAAGCCCCACACAGCGACGTTTACATCCAGGGGTTTGCCAAACCCAGTTTCCCACACCACATACTCTTCATCGCATCTTCACATGCTTCACCGTGCACGTAATGCCAAATCGCCCGCTTGCACCGTCCGCCTTTCCGCCGCTCCGCAGCCCAAGCGCGCTGACCGCCCGCCTGCAACCCGAGATCGCCCGCTTCGGCCGCGTGCTGAGGTGGATACACCGGTTGGAGCCCATCTTCGTGTTCGTACCCATAGACCGGGTAGGCCTGGGTAGCTAGCCGTGCTTAGATTGTTGGATATACATACACTCCTCACCTTCCCGTGTTCCCCGATAAGGTACCTCGCCGCCGTTGCTGCTCCTGACTCCCCCACGCACCGCTGACCGCCTGCTGCTGTCTGTTGCCTGCTCTTCTCAGGGCGAGCTACATCACCATATACCGGTTTCTTCAATCACCTATGATTGCAACGGGGCCAATTCATCCAACCCTAACCGCATCTCTGTCCCTGCCTGCCGCACCCCCGACAGCTGCTGCGCCTGCTGCGCTTCAGCGCCCGCTTCCGCCACGCCATGGTCTTCCCGCTGGTGGCGCTGTTCTTCGGCACAGGCAACCAGACGCCGCACGTGAGCGCCGCGGTGGTGGCGCGCGTGTTTCTGGACCCGCAGCTGCGCCTCTTCGAGTACTGCCCGCAGCGACTGCTCAACAGGTTGGGTGGGTGGGTGTGAGGGCGCTGAGGGGGGTGGGTGGTTCGGGCCGCCACGAACCGTTGCAGGGTGCCGCAGCCGATGCTGTGCCGGTGTCGCGGCTCAATGTCTCAACCATCCAATCACCACCGACGTTTCTCCTTGCGCCGCTGTTGTCTACTCATGACTGCGGCTTGCGTGCCTGCCCGTGCCCGTGCCTGCTGCCTCTCGCTACCTGCTGCCCCAACCCACCCGCCAGCGTACCGGAGATGTTCGCATTCCCGGTTCTGGAGGAGGTGTGGGGCACCATTGCGCGGCAGTCGGGATTTAAGATGTGCTGCAGCAGGTGAGGTGCCGGGTGGTGGGTGGAGGTGGGTGAGGGGCAGTCAGATGCCAGGGTGCAGAGCACTTGCGTGCAGGCCCTTCGGGTGCGTTGGCTAGCCTAGGCCTAGCGCGACTTCCTTCTTCCACGGCTTTCCACTACCGTCCTTCACCGCCCAGAGGCCCCAGACCCTCCTGCCCGCCCGCCTGCCCACAGGCCTTTGGCCCGGCTGGTCCGCACCCCTGCGGGCGGTGCTGGTGGTGCTGGCGGTGCTGGCGGTGCTGCTGGCGGCGGTGCTGGTGGTGGTGGGGGCTGCATCCAGGCCACGGACGCGGCGGGGGCGACCGCTGTGTTTGATGAGGTGGTGTTCGCTTGCGATGCGGAGACGGTTCTGCGCACGCTGCACAACCCCTCCTGGTGAGCAAGGGCAGTGAGGCCGGTCCTTTGGTTTTGGCTTAGACCTGCAAGGATGTCGATGACGTAGACCGCTCCACATAGTACGGTTTGAATAAGACGATAATAGCGGAGATCTGTCTGGTTGGCCTTGACCTGCATGTCCTCCCTTGTCCCCTTCATCCATCCCCCTTTCCAACTCCGCCCAATGCACCAGTTCCTGAAGCTCTCACTGCTCCTTCCACTTCAGCTGGCGACCGACATGAAGTTCTCTCAGCTCCTCCCGGCATGCGTAATCCCTTAACCTCCACCCTTAACCCCCACCCACCCCCAGGCTAGAGCGGCTGCTGCTGCGCAACGTGCGCTACTACACCGACTACTGCCTCACCCACCAGGACGCAGCCTACATGGCCGACATGTACGACATACGGCCCGAGCAGCGGGACAACTACTTTGTACGGACGTACCCGGGGCGCGATGCCGACAAGATCGAGATGAGCTTCAACCTCTGCACCTACCAGCCACACCTTAAAGTGAGAGGGCTGCAGGGTGGGGTCCCCCTTGTCTTCGCTCCAATCCTCATTCCTCCTCTCGCTACTCCCCTCACCCCCACCCTAAACATCTCTTTAGTGGCGAGCTCCAACTGAAACCTCCCAACCCTGTGAACGAAGTGTACTTTAACCTCCCCCCCCCAACCCGCTTGCGCAATCCCTTTTACCCCTTACCCCCACCAACCCGCACGATTAGCTAGCTCCTTCCTCTCTACCCCACCGGGAACCCTCTTCCCTCTCCTCCAGGCGTCCGGCGTGTCCGACATCTTCCAGACCTACTTCCTGGACGCCTCGCAGCGGCGGCTGTGGAGCGACGCGCAGGTGGCCCCCGACAAGGTGCTGGCGGGCCGCTGGATGCGGCAGTTCGCGCACACCTGGACGCACTTTGCGCTCTGGGTGCCCTGGGTGCGTGGGTTGGGGGCCGGGAGTGGATTGGTAGTGGTGGTGGCGGTGCTGGCTGCTGGTTTGGATCGTGATGCTGGTGCTGGTATCGTTGGCCTGGGCACTGCTTGGTGGCGCTGGCGAAGGTACTGCACTGCAGAGGCCCCCGCACAGTGAGGTGCGGGAGTTATTGCTGCATGTCTGCTTCCTAGATCCTATTTCCAACCCCATCGCCGATGTGGCCCCCGAACCAGATCACGCCTCCCAACACGGCCCCCTTCCTCCTCTGCCCCCTGCCTCCTCTTCCCTCCCCCACCACACTTTGAAATTTCTTTTTCCCCACCAGGTCCGCTTCATCCAGGGCACACGCCACACCTGGTACTGCGGCTCCTACACCCTGGTCAACACGCAGGTGGGAAGGAGGAAAAAACAATTGAAAGGTGAAGCAACGAAAGTCCCAATCCCGTATCCCGGCTCATGGGGAGGCGGAGGTGGGGGGAAACGACGGTTGGGCTATAAGCAGAGCGGCCTTTCACCTCTTATCGTCGGGGGTAACTCCACTCCGCTCTCACATGCTGCCATCCATGGTATCTGCCGTGCATTTCCCCTGACAGGAGATCGCGGTGATTTCGGGTCTGGCGGCGGCAGAGCGGCTGGGTGCGGACTACCCCTTCCCAGATGACCCGCTAGCAGCCCGGCAGTTCGACAACTACCTGGCCGTGGTTCATGGGGCGCGCAGGCGGGGCAGCAAGGGGAGCAGCAGCCGGGAGCAGGGGAGTAGCAGCCGGGGTTGGTGGGGCTGGTGGGCTGGGTGGTGGGGGCTGGGGCGGGAGAAGACGGCTGCGTGAGGCGCCGGTGAGAGAGAAAGCGCGGTAGGAGCGTAACTGCGGGCGAAGGGGGAGATTCCTAGGCAGCTTCTTTTGGGGTGCGTGTCGGTGCAGGGCTTCCAGGAGTTTAACGGATGTGGGCTCAGAGGACGGGGACCTTTCACCGGCATGTGACGCGTGTGGGTTGGCCTACACGCAGGAGGCCCTTGTTGACACCGGGGGCAAAGGGCGTCTCGTAACCATACCTTACACACGGTCAGCGGAGGCGGACCAGGGTAGCAACTGGTTGTGGTAGCCGGGGGGCTGGCGTAAGCCAGCAAGTACCTTCTGGCCTCAGGGCAGCTTGCGGAAAGGGAGGAAGCGAGGAAGGGTGACAGGGAAGCATCGGGAGCGCGAAGTCGTCCAAGATGTTGACTTGACGACTCCGACCGTTATGCCTACCTTGACGACGCTACACAAAGCTCGACATATCCGCGCAAGGAGTGCATTGCTGTGTAAAGGATATTTGGATGGTGGTGACGTAAGTGGTGGCTGATCATCTTAGCGTCGCATGTCGGGCCCACTAAGCCAGTGGATCCTATGTCCACTGGGATAGTGGAACGTTGCCCACTAAATTAGTGACCTGCAATACATTTTCCTTTTGCTGTATTATAATTTGTAATAATGGGACTTATATAGAATGGTTCCTCAGCCTACACGCTGCGAAACCACTGCATGCAAGGCCACTAGATAGCCTACTCCCCTGCAGCATTGCGTATAGCTAGGATGGACAGCAACCTCTGGCGGCCTTGCTAACACCATGACCCACTAATTTAGTGGGCACCCGTCCACTAGTTTAGTGGGCAACCCGTCCACTAGTTTAGTGGGCAACCCGTCCACTAGTTTAGTGGGCACCCGTCCACTAGTTTAGTGGGCAACCCGTCCACTAGTTTAGTGGGCACCTGTCACCGGATCCCTGCGTCACTGCTACTAGGCCCCGCTACATGAGCGCAACATCAAACCATGCTGACGGCCGTTCTGGAGGGCATCGACACCGGGAGCCATACAGTCTCTTCGATGGTGGCGATGGATGCACATCAGTGGCATGAGCTTCGAAGGCTACGAGCTGCACGGTCAGCAAACTGCTGACGGAGCTGGCCTGCAAGCTCGGACGCTGCTGCTTCCGCTCCTGTTGCAGCCCACATGTAGCTGTCTAGGCCAAGCGCTGGATAGGCTGCCTGCCAAGCTACATGTTGTCACGTGTTCCTTGTCTCCCTGTTGCACTGCACAGGTTGCTTGCGTAATGAAGGAATGGGTTCTCCCAGAGCCTCTTCGAACACGTCCGAGGCGTGGGCAGGTTCAAGGTTTCAAGGCCGCCTGTTGCCGTAGCCTCTAAAGTGTCCCTTCTGCATGGCTTCTTTGGAGGAGGCTCTAGTTCGGGGAAAGACGAGTTGGAGTCCATAAACCGCAACCCCGTTAGCCTGATACCACCACGGAGTGGTGGCATGGAGTGGAGTGGTGGAGTGGTGGCTATAAACAGTTTTAGGAAGCACCATATTCAACCAATCATCCGAGACACCCCTACCGCCCCAATCAAGCACCCCTACTGCCCCTTCCACCCCTACCACCCCTACCGCCCCAAATACCCCTACCGCCCCTAGCACCCCTACCGCCCCCAGCACCCCTACCGCCCCTAGCACCCCTACCACTACTAGCACCCCTACCGCCCCTAGCACCCCTACCGCCCCTAGCACCCCTTGCACCCCTACCGCCCCAATCAAGCACCCCTACCGCCCCTTCCACCCCTACCGCCCCTACAACCCCTACCGCCCCTACAACCCCTACCGCCCCTAGCACCCCTACCACTACTAGCACCCCTACCGCCCCTAGCACCCCTACCACTACTAGCACCCCTACCGCCCCTAGCACCCCTACCACTACTAGCACCCCCTCCGCCCCTAGCACCCCTACCGCTCCTAGCACCCCTACCGCCCCTAGCACCCCTACCGCTCCTAGCACCCCTACCGCCCCTAGCACCACTAATGCCCCTAGCACCCCTACCGCCCCAATCAAGCACCCATACCGCCCCTTGTACCAGTATGTATGGGGCAGTAGGGGCGGTAGGGGTGCTAGGGGCATTAGTGGTGCTAGGGGCGGTAGGGGTGCTATAAGCGGTAGGGGTGCTAGGGGCGGTAGGGGTGCTAAGGGCGGTAGGGTAGCGGAAGATTGGTAGTGGGGGTACTAGGAGAGTTCGGGGTGGTGGTAGGAGGTGGTAGTAGGACATGTAATCGATGGGGGTACTGGGGGTACTGGGGGTTCTGGGGCCTTATAACCCTTATCGTCCATTTGTGCACATGTGAGTAGCTCTAGGCCGCAAGCGAACACAATTATGTCTACTTTAGTACTAATAGAAGCACCGTTAGACTATACTGAAGCGGATGCGGGTTGGCGTCACGGCCGTCAGGCTGGCTCACGGCTCTGAATACCGCACTCGTGGACTGCTTTAGGATGTTGGAACTGTGGATTAAACAAATTTATTTCCGAACATAGTTTCAATTCTTTAACACTAATTAGTGAGCAACGTTCCACTATATTAGTGGACTTACGATCCACTGGCTTAGTGGGCCCCCCTGTGACAGTGAGCTGCCTGATGGGCATTGCAGCAGCTTGGGGTGGCTTCATAGTTCATGTTTGGCATTATGTTTCTAACACAAGGTTGCCTATCATCTTCATGACTGGTTACTAATTGATTTTACCTACGTCGTGTTCCCGCGCTATCCTTAGTCATGCAGGCAAGGGACTCCCGGCCTTGGTGTCATTGCTTCGGCACGCTTAGGCACAGGAATTATTACCGTGTAATACATGTGCCTTTATACATAAAATCAATTTATGGGAGCCCTTGCCGCCCAGTTGGAGACACCAATGGACGCGGCTCGGCGGTCATGGCTTTGAGCCTTGGGGATTTCGTAGGGAATTACATTTGGCTTTACGTCCTCTTGGGAGCTGTGATTGCCCTTATTCGCTGCTATGCTTGGGCTGGAACGGGATAACGAACAGCACTAACGACAGGGCCAGCAGCACGCCTCTACCCGTCCGCCGACAAAGTCGACATTACCACGCTGCAATTGCTTTATACCCATATGACAGACCGTGATTCGCCAAACCCTTGCAAAAACCTAGGGCACGTTTCCATGCTGCCGATTTTAGATACGACGGCGTACGGTCATGACGAGGCCTGGCCCTGCCAGCCCTACAAGAACGCAGCGCTCTTTATAAATACCGAAAGTGAGCACAACGCCGAAGGCTTCTTTAGCACACTTGTGATCTGCGGTGGCTGCGACCCTAATCTATTTGGTCTTGCTTTATTTTATCCGCCACCCGTCTGCCAGCGCTAGCCCTCCTTACTGGCCCTCTTCTTATCGCGACAACCTCACGCTTCTTCCTTAAGAATCTTGCGCCTTCGTCAATACCTGTCGAGCGACAGAACAGGTAAGACGGCGAGCGCGTCGGGCCTAAGCGAGCAGCGTCGGCGAGGCCGCGACTGCGAGACCACTGCGCCAAAAGATGCAGTCATCCTGTGATACTTTTATGCATTGCCGTCGGTGCTCGCTGCGGATTAGCCAGTTTAGTTCAGGCCGTGGACTTTATAGCTGCATAATTATAAGCGTTCCCTGGCAAATAGTTGCCTTATAGTTTGTGCTGGTCCTTACAAAATCCATCCATGCCGCGTTCCTGCCCCCCTCTGTGCAGATCGCCAAGTAAAGTAGTAGTCGCGTTGCGGCTCCTCGATCTCATTCAAGCAACGCCAAGCAAGCAATTTAAGTCTCATCCCAAGATGGCAGCAGCTTACCTGGCCTGCGTCTTCTCGCGCACCGCCGAGACCGCTGCTGACAACGTCAAGGCCGACTCTTCCTCTTCGCGTCGCGCCTCGCTGTCTTCCTCTCCCCGCTCCTCCGCCCTGCACACGCTGTCCTGCGTGCTGCTGCTGTCCTCCCTGTCCCCGCTCTCCGTGCGCGCCTGGGGCGACGACGGCGGCGGCTGGCGCACCGGCCGCGCCACCTTTTACGGCAACGACGGCGGCGCCACCATTGACCAGGGCTCCTGCATGTACGGCAGTCTGCCCAACGGCCTCGTCAGCACCGGAACCAACATTGCGGCGCTCTCCGACACGGATGGTGACTTTGCGGGGAGCTGCGGGTGAGTCCATTTCGGAGTTGCGCCGCAGCCATGTTGCGATGTGGGTCGGCTATTTGTCATGCAAAAGCTCATTACTTTCCTGTTCGTGATCTGGGTTTGTGATGTGGGTGATCTGGGTGTGTGATGTGGGTTCTGTCTGAGCATAGTAGTTGCCCTCGTCGATAGCCGGGTGGCTGATCTGGGTCAATCCGTATTTCCGCGGTACTCGGCGAAAGTGCTTGCTTGCAACTCACCTCCCCCTCATTTCCCCGTCCCCTCCACATCCCTCAGTCGCTGCTACGAGGTGCAGTGCAATCCCTCCGCCTTCACTGATGGCTACGGCAACCAGCTGGACCGCAGCGGCAGCTGCTACGGGGAAGGGCGCTCGGTCATCGTAACCATCACCGACAGCTGGTGAGAGGAAGGGGGAAGGGGCCGGGTGGGAAGGTTGCGAGTGAACAAGCTAAATGGGTGTGAGGCCATGGAGGAAGACGATCTGGGTCACCTTTCCATCATGATATTCCATACGACGTGTCGTTGGTTTGGATGTATGTCCTGCATTGGGTGTGACATCCATCTTGGTAGAGCTGTCATGCTCGGTGCGATTATGCGTCTTGGGCATAAACCTGATCCCCGTTCCTCCTCCCTCTCCGCCCTTGCCCACACAGCCCCTGCAACTACCCCGGCAACGCCTACTCCAACCGGCGCTGGTGCTGCGGCGACATGTATCACATGGACCTCTCCACTCAGGCCTTCTCGCAGCTCGCGGACATCGGTCAAGGGGTCATGGGCATCAAGTTCCGGCAAGTCTCCTGCCCGGGTGGCTTCAAGGCCTCGCCACGCGCCGCCACCTCCGACTACCCACAGGGTTCGAGTCGGTGAAGCGGGAAGAGGAAGGTTGAGAAACGAGGTTTAAACGGTCATGTAGGTTGCGCTACCGCTTTGAGGAGTTGGTGAAGAATTAAGGGAAGAACATTAACGTCAGTTAGCAAACGACACGGTATAACTTAACGATGAATAAGGTTGACCCTTTACAGTCGTGAGGCCATCGCCCCGGCAAAGGGTTTGGTTTGCTAGGAAGTGTAGCTGGGTGCACTTGCCTTTGGTGGTATCCCTGGTAGGATGTGATTGCATGCAGATGGTGCCAGCGTGCGAGCCAGTAGCGCAGTGCTTCGGCCATGAAAGTGCCGTCCTGCGGTGGCGCTAGTTATGCCTGGTTAGGGTAATGAATGTCCATGTTGTACGCATGCTAGATACATAGGAAGGCATAGCTTGTCATGAAGAGCGGACAAACACTTATAAGTTGGCAGGATGCTGGCAGCTTGCATGTACCGGTACGTAGGCAGTTGCATGTTGGCATAAATATCTTTGGCAGATAAGAGATAACCTTCGATACTCAAGAAGGAAAACATTCGTCAACCCTTTCCTTGGAAGGGTTCTGTAAAGCACATCCATGTCTTTTTGCCAAAACTCATGCACATCGTGACACGAGCATTGCGCAGCCTGACAACCTAAACTGTGCACCGTGACATAGGACGTCGGTGAAGTTTGCCCCAACCGGTATAAACACAACCCCACGCCACCAGCAATTACATCACAAGTAAAGCCGCAACGGATAAGCACGACTCCTGCACAGTGTACACCCTTCGCATTATAAACGAGCCATTCTAACGGTTATTCAATCATGACCAACAGCACCATATAGCCCGGTTGTGTCAGGCAATTGACATCGTAAGCCCTTCTCCTCGCTCGCTCCCCTCACAGCCAGCGTGCATGCATGCAAAACAAGTTACATCCTTTGCCATTTTACAGCCCTACATCTTACCATGCATGCCCCATCCGTGGCTCCACCCTTTTCCTTGCTCATGTTACTGTGCACTAAGCATGCAATGCGGGCAAATTCTTCAGTACAGTGATCCATGTCACAAAGTAACGCTACTCTATTACGACTCTCCCACCTCAACAAAGTCAACACATCTCCTTACGATTCTTGTCCGGCTATATGCAACCTAAGACTGCTCTTCCCTCTCTTCCTCTAGCACTGCCTTGGCTTGCCTCCCCTAGTTCCATAACCCCACCGGTGCTGCTGCTGCCGATGCAATACCACAGCAGCGAAGCATACCAGTAGCAACTACACATGGTAGGAGCCGCTTATGACATACTTGTTGTGCGCTGAGGCCCGGATGCGGTCAATGAGCGGGAAGAGGTCCGGATCCGTAACGGGAGCCACCAGCAGCAGCGGGCAGGTCAGCACCAGCCTGCAGGGAGGAGGCCAGAAGGAAAGACGGAGGCAAGAGGGGAGGGGTGTCAAAAGGGTGGAGAGTTGCAGGGGCAGTGGGGGCATGGAAGATTTGGGGCTTGGGAAAAGTGGCTGAGGTGAAGGTGCGAGCGCAGAGGATCACAGGACCACAGCGGGTGTGGCTCGTTGCTCACTTGAGGCCCCTGCAAGGTCCGTACCCGCACTCACCTCCGAATGGCTGCCTCGTCGAAACTTCGAGAGCGCAGGAAGTCCACAGATGCCTGTCACCACCGGCCAGAGGCAAGTCAGCGACGAGGTTCAGCAGATCAGTGCCATCCATGGGAGGCGCGTTTCGCTGTGACGCCATCCCAACCATGAGTTCAGGCTTTTGGGTGAGGCGAACGAAACACAGCAAAGCCAGCAAGGCCGTGACCCAAGCCGCCCGACAACCCGTGGTTCGACCTAAGGGTCTTTAACCGTCAGCTCCCAAACACCCCAGGCCTCGCTTGCCTGCAGCTCCTCGGGTGTCGCCGTGAGGACCTCTGGGTAGCAGGCAAGCACCCGCTGTGTGATGTCCTCGTCAGTCCAGCCGTACGACTTCAGGAACATGATGGCAGCGCCGGCATTGTACGGCGTGTTGGCAACAGCAGTGCTGGCAGGAGTTTCCTGGGTGGGGTTGCTGTTGTATCCTTCCTTGCCGCTAGTGGCATTGCTGGTGCCAAGACCGCTGGCGTCCCCGCCCGGGCCACGCCGCAGCAGCTGAGGGCTGTATCGAAGGATTTTCCAGATATCCTCATCGGTTAGACCATAGCCTGTAGGAAGCGGGTTGCAGGGGCCGGGATAGGGAGACCGATAGTGTACAGGATAGGGGCGCCAGTAGAAAACAGAGGTTGCGGGGTGAAGTGGTAGGGTTGATTGGGTATCAGCACTGCATGCACTCGCTTGTCATGGCAGCAGCGCATGAGACGCGGCGATTGAAGTTGCTGGTCAATGTGCATTCCAGGCATAGGCAGCGAGGCCTCCTGGCCAGATGGATTGCCAACCATGCGGAGGCGCCGTACAACTCTCTAACCCAGTGCTTTGGAGATATTGACCAGCCAGAGTGTGACAGGAATGTGATAGGCCCAGGATCTGGGCTCCTCCCGCAGGTACGCACCGGTCAAAAACAAATGCCATTCTGTGAGGCCAGCCGTAAGCACCTCCGGCTGGACACGGAGAAGCTCCTCTACTAAATGAGCTTTGAAAGTCCTCCTCAAAAAGTTGACATTGCAGGCAGTTAGTTCCTGGTTCCCTAGGTCTGTAAGTAAGGCATTAGGAGGCGACCGTTCTACAGTATCACTTGGTGTAAGCTTCGCTTTTGGGAGGCCTGCCTTATGGAAGCGGAAGCGTGGCGCAGCTTTGCGGGTAACAACGGCAGTGCAAGTATTGACACGCGCCATGAGCTCCTGCACAATACATTTGTATATCCCAAAGGCACCGTTGGTGAACGTCTATCCTCTGGCGTCGGTCAACCAGCTGGCGACCGTCTTCCTGACGGACATATAACTCTCTGTACGATGGATGCTACACCCTGCAAAGTGCATCGTGCTTCGGGTGGCCTTTCTGCAAATCGGTTAGAAGAGTAAGCTTAAGGGACACATAGCGTGCAATATCAGAAGGCCAGTAACAAATTACTTAGTCCCTAGGGCCGCGCAGTGACCAATGCCATGGATTTTGCAACGCCACAATTGTTTCACGTTACGCTTGTAATACTAACGAGTCTACTTCTAGCTGCTCCTGGCGGAGCGGACAAGGTAACTTTGCTACGTCCGGCGACATGCCCTCATAATAGTTACTATTTTCACGCAACGCGTTAAGCTTAGTAGAATTATATCAAAACGTGATCCGTGCGTGGCGCTGCAGGCCTGGGCCTCGCGGCCGCTCTTAACAGGACAGCGCTCGCTCGTCGTAAGCAAAGCTGTGGGCACACTTAAGTCAATATCCCCCGGCGGTGCTGGCGCGCAGCTTGACGGTCCAGGATCTGCGTTGCAGGCGACGTCGACCAGCAGCGGCGACAGTCCTCGCGGCCCCTCCAAATGCCCAGGGGAATGCACCAAGTACGGCACTTGCAATGAAGAACTTGGAAGGTGCGTGAGAGGCCTGTAGATTTGTGTATGGAGTTAGCATGCACAGATACTGCCTTGTCCAGGCGTGACAACTCCTCTCCCCGGCGCCACCCGGGGATCTCTCATGCCATGGGCTCCAGGCGCTCCCGTACACATCATCCCGCATCATCACATGGCCCCGCGTCATTACAGGTCTCCCACACGCCTCGTGCCCCCCATCTTACCCCTGCATCCACTCCCACCTCCGCCTATTCCTCTATCGCCCCACCCACCCACGCCCCACGCCCTGTCAGGTGCGACTGCCCGCTGGGTCGCACCGGCACTGACTGCTCGCAGCTGGCGCCGGAAGCCGAGCTGCTGAGCCTCTGCGCACGACACGGCCACACAGCCAGCACCTGCGGCATCGAGCTGGACCTCACCTCCTGCCTCAACGCTTGTAACTACCGCGGGCGCTGCATTGCGGGTTTCTGCCACTGCTCGCCAGGTTTCTTCGGTGCGGACTGCGCACTGTCACTGGCGCCGGAGGCGGCAGGCGGCAGCGGCAGCGGCTTTACCGCCGCCGCCGCCGTCGAAATTCTTGCGGGTCAAAACTACACGCTGCGGGCCTCCGGCCCGAGGATTTACGTGTACGAGCTGCCGCCGGAGATCAACATCCACTCAAACCTGGATCGACTGGATCGGCCGCTCATGTACATGATCTGGCAGCGGCTGCTATCGGGGGGGCTGCGCGTCGCGGACCCAGCGCAAGCGGACTTTTTCTTCGTACCCGTGCGCGCTAGGCTGTCGTATGACAGCACCCGCGTTGCGCAAGCGGTGTCGTACATCCAGTCCACGTGGCCGTACTGGAACGCGACGGGCGGCGGCGAGCGGCACCTCTTCATCCACACGGGCGACTGGGGCCGCGACGAGCTGTCAGAGGACGTGCAGCTACTCACTCGCAACGCCTCCTGGCTGACCCACTGGGGCCTGGCGCGAAACCACGATTTCGCGGGCTGGCTGCAGTCCCACCGGCCGGGTCGCGACATCGTGCTCCCCATGATGCTGCAAGCTAGCTTGCTGGCCTCATACCGCCTGACGAAGTCCAGTCCGCTGCATCCTAGAGGTCCGCGGCGGACACGGTCCCGGACGTTGTTCTTTGCAGGGCGGGTGTGCGGCTCCCGAGTGCCACCCACCACCAACGGCACCTTCCCCAACTGCCCGGACGTGCTCGCCAAGGAGGATTCTTACTCCGCCGCAACACGCCAGCGCGCCTTCTTTCATCACCACAACCGCACGAACTGGAAGGTCGTGACCAGCACTCGAACGCAGGTCATTGACATGCTGAGCTCGAAGTTTTGTCTGGCTCCGAGCGGCAGCGGCATGGGCAAGCGCAGCGTGGTTTCGGTGCTCATGGGTTGCGTGCCCGTAACGCTCACAGACGGGCTGATGCAGCCCTTTGAGCCGGAGCTGCGTTGGGATCGCTTTGCAATCGACGTTCGCGAGCGCGACATCCCCATCATGCACCAAATCCTGGAGGCCCTGCGAGCCGACCAGGTCGCGGAGTTCCAGTCCAACCTGCGCTGCGCCGCGCAGCACCTGTTCTGGTCGTCCCTGTACGGCAGCGTGTTTGGCGAGGACGGACGGTACGACGCCTTCGAGACGCTGGTGCAGGTGCTGCGCATGCGCGCGGTGTACCCCAGCCTTGCGCCCGAGGAGTACGGATACGTGGATCCGGCTTTTGCGGCGTTCATGAACTGTCAGGAGCCGCCGCTACCCGGGGATGTTGCCTCTGCTCGCGCTGGCGCTGCTGCTGCTGCGGGTGCAAGTGGGAGAGCGAATGCCAGGGCGGAGGCATCAGGTGCATCAGCAGCGGCAGCAGCAGCATTGGATGTGGGCAAGCCGGCGCTGCAGCAGGTGCTGGCGGGAAGCGACCGGCCTGCTCCTCGGCCGCGGGGGCTCCCACAGGACGGCCGGCAGCCGCTTTGCTCGCACTCGGAGCTCTCCTTGCTGGCGGGCGAGTCCGTGTCATCGTCGTCCGGTGCTGATGCGTCTGATCGCCGCTCGCTGGTTGCCGGCGATGCGAGCGGTGGAGGGGTGGAGGGTGTGTTTAGCAGTTGTGGCAGGTGCATGAAGCGGAGAGGGAGGTTGCTAAACCCTGGGGGCACCATTTGTTGTAATACCCGGGACTTGGCCAGCTGTCCGCGGCTTTGGGATTGATGTCAACATGGAGAAAAGAGAAGGGGGGAGGAGCGGAATGGGACATTGGGAAAGCCATGCCAATGGAAGGTTGAAGGGTGGTCGGCGGTGACCGTTGATCTTTGGTGAAGGGGCCCCGCTGGAAGGGGCAGCTGCGTGAGGCATGTGCTGATTCATACTATCCGCGAGCTGGTTCTAACCAGTGATGCCCTACGACGCATGCGTGCGTGCTTGTGAAGTGCAGAGCACAATACAGGAGGACGTTGAGCGGGTGAAAGAGCAACGTGCATACCGCTAGGTAGCTGCCGCGTCGAGCTGCACTTCTTGTCTCTTACGGGCATCTTTGCTTATTGGAGGGCATCGTGCGGGGTTGGGCCATTCCACTAATTCTTGTGATTGTCAGCTGGAAAGGCTGCGGCTGAGCTAGGCATGGAGGTTGTTGAGGCGTGCGTATTAATGGAGGAGGCTTGCAAAGCATAGCAAGGAATGAATGGATAAATGCTGGCGGAGGGAACGTATGAGGCTTCTTGTCATGCAACATGTGATAGTTTACACATGACGGTGAAGTGCTTATGTGCAATGTTAGGACAGTAGATGTTTGGTCTCAAACTGTGACGTAACCCAAATCGACTTAGGTGCGTGTACGTGATCAAGATAGAGGAGCATGGGTGCAGGTCAGATAGGCGAATAGATATCAGGAGTTATGTTTTCGCTGCCCGTTAGCTGCCAAGCAGCACGCTTCGGCTGCGGGTGTGTTGCGTGCCAAGTGCCAAAGCCTGCACCTGTGTTTGCTAGGACGCATGGGACGTACGCATGTGGAGGTTGCGTGCTCAATTCTTCCAACGAAGCTGCTCCGCATGAAGCTCGTAAGCAGCGCTGGAGGGCGCCATTGTGCTAGTGTTGCCAAAGCATGGGGCTTGCCGTATGTGGCAGGCTACTTGGTGTGACTCTCCTCCCCGGGATGTGTAATGGATGGGGGCTGAGTGCGGAGCATACCTGTAACCCAAAATTTGTATGCCATACGAAGCTGCGAGCAGGTTAAGGGAAACGGAATACAATAATAAACCAGGCGAGTGAAAAAGTGGCTAAGCTGGCACTTGCATGCGGATCAGAAAGCAAGGGGTCACGTGGCGATGGGCTCGGACGGTTGGCCCTTTACCGTACAATTACCAAGGGTCCATTACTAGACGGCTGGTGTTCTCCAGCAACGTACTAAGAAGTTATTGCAACATAAACCTTCATTACAGCACGCACGTAAAGGAGGGTACAAGCTGACTCAAGGGCCGCAAACGAGTGAGGACTATAGCGTGAGGTTCATGCGTATTAAAGTTCTTTATTTCGCTAAGAGTCGGGAGGTGGCGGGTACAAGTGAGCAAGCGTTCGAATTGGACGATGGCGCGGATACTGAGGCCCTGCTGCAGCGCATCTTAGCAAGCCACCCAGCGCTGGACAGCGTGATGAAGACGTGTGTCTTTGCACTGAACCAAGAGTATGTGCGGCCTCAGGATAAAGAGATGCTTAAGGATGGAGATGAAGTTGCCGTTATTCCTCCACTCAGTGGCGGGTAACAGGCGTGATGGGATGTTAGCTTGTAATGTATATATTGATTCTGTCGAAAGGGGGATCAAGCGTGAAGCAGTGGAGGTCGCTATAGTTTTCGGATTGACAGGGTGTACGATACATGTTGTGCCATATGGCATGAGCAAGGGGGCGCCTCTCCTTGCCAGCCAGCTGTAGTCCCCGATGGATTTGGAGGCGCAGGGTGCAAGGGCTAGCTCAAACAATATTATTGGTTACAAAGTGTGTTCACCTGCTGCAGTAACCTGGCCCGTATGTGGGTTGTACGGCCTATACGTTTACAGCGTCCCAAGAACTGTAATGTTTGCAGTGTATCAATTAGCACAAGCCCCACTCCTCCCTCATATACGATGCAACAGTTCGTCAACATCCAATATCCAACAGACCCCAACTTCAACGGTAGTACATGCGCCGTTTTGGCCGCCACCCAATTCCTTAGTGTACATGCCAACTGCAGCATAATCCGGTATCCAGCTCTTGTTACGGTACCTGCCCCGCACGCGCTTCATAACAACCGCTGAACCGCTTGCTCGTGCATCAGCGCCCAGACTCAAAGCACCTTTCCGTCCTTTCCCCAGTGTCAAAGACGTCGAGGGGAACGGTTTACCAATACTAAGTGAAAGTTTAAGTTAAACAAAGGCATTACAATCTAGAAGAACCTTAAGAGCTGAATGGGAGACATATGAAAACATGAGAGGTGTGCCTTGACACATCCTAAACAACTTACATGGCGTGCCGTACATAGCACCGCCGTACATACGCGGAACATAAGACATACTGCTGTAGATGCGTTAGCAATCCTTCATGGAGATCCGGCCCCATGCCTCTCTACATGGATATAATGCAAAATGCCCACACTTACACATGCAAGCTCCAGCTTACGAAGGGAGCAGCGGCCTTATAACAGACACCTCAACAGTCGTGGCTATTGTACAACAACAATGTGGAAATGAAAGGAATTCTTCGTTGGCTTGAGTACCACATCACAACCACTCGCAACCGAAGCTTCAAAAACCAGAAGGTTTTCTACATGTCGTATCTACTCGTGTTGGCGCCATGTTGGAGCCAGCTTCACCCTGCAACATCCAGCACCATCCCGCTTTAACCAAATACCAAATACATCTTGTCCTTCTAAACAGAAAGCATATAACTGTGAGGGCAACGCTACAACACAGACTCCAAAAATGGACAGAAGAAGAGCACAAAAGTGCACACACGCGGCTCCTTTGCCTAGTCTACAGAACGTAATACCGTTACCCGATTGCCTTGACAGGTTGCATTTAGGTTGCATTTTCCGGGCAATGTGCCCCTGTCGTCACACACCCATGCGCCTCCCATTTCCTCCCTCCCTTCTTTCTCACACCCTTCTTCCTAATCAGTCCACACCTGAGTACGGACCGTACAGTAGCCGCGTCTTCTTATCCGGATGCGCCCGCCGGCTCATCCCCATACCCGCGGCCCTTGTTCCAAAACCCGCACTCTGCACCCCTGTACCCGCACCGCTCGCCTTGCTGTCATCGGGCTTGCCAGCTGCAGCGGCGACGGCGGCGCCTGCGCTACCGGCGGCGGCCGTCATTCCGTCATTCGTACCTCCGCCAGCGCTCGTACCGCCGGTGGCGGTGGCGGCGGTGCCAGTATCCACCTCCATTTGTGCTCCTCCTTCGCCGATATCGTCCCCGCCGCCGCCGCCATCAATGCACATCGCCTCCATCTGACATTTGGGGAAGTTGTCGCCGCCGCCGTCGCCGCGGGGTAGCCCAGCTAGCAGAGTGCCGCCGCCGCTGCCGCCGCCGCCGCCACCCTCGCGGCCGTGCTCACCGCTGACATCCGTCACGGCCGACGCGCCGCCGCCGCTGCCGTCCTCCCTGGGCCGCTTGACGGCGACATTAGCCGCCGCCGGCGTCGGCGTCGGCAACGACAGCGGTGCGGCAAGCATCAGCGGTGGCGACTGTGATGTCGGCAGCGGCGCCGTCAGCCAGCGGCGTACGAGTCCAGACGCTGTGTTGTCGCTGCCTCCGCCGCCGCCGCCGCCGCCACATTCTTTGAGCCACTGCGCCAGCTGTGCGCTGCGCAAAAATGAAGTCGCGGCGACAGTAGCTGACACCGACGTCGTACGATTTACGGCTGTCGCAGCGTCAGCGGCGCCGTCGATTGCCCTCGAGTCTGCGTCAACGCCGCTCTCAGGATCGATAGCCGCACCGCCTGCTCTGGCGGCGGCGGCGGTGGCGGTGGGGGCAACATCGCCATTGTCAGCGGCTGCAGGTGACGCCTCCGCGTCATCGTCAAGCAAACCAGCTCCATCATTGTACGGCACCGTTAACGCCTCGGCCGTGACTACCTGTGTTGGCTTATGCTGGCCGCCGCCGCCGTCAATACCCTGGCCGCCGCTGCCGCCGTCAATCGCAGCGTCGCCGCAGTCCTGATCCTTCAACGCGGCGAGCGCTGCCTTTGCAGGAAACCCGGGTGCTGCCGCCGTCGTTACAGGGTTGCCGTTGTCGCCGGTTGTTGCTGTGGTTACACCCGACTCTTTCAGTTCACCACCGTTGGCGGCTTCTTCCGTTTGAGGATCGCCGTACGAACCGGTGCCCTCAGCAACCGGCGCCGTCTTGCAGTGCATGTGGTGCGAGAGCAGCAGGTTCCGGATGGCCGAGGGAGTTACGGCTGGCGGCGGCGGCGGCTGAGTGCCCGTGACACCGCCACTTCCGCCGCCTCCGCCGCCGTTGCCGTCACGGCCACCCAAATACAGATCGCCAAAGCTCCCGCCAAGCCCATGAAGCTGACCGCCGATCCAGAATAACCGGCCGTCACCGCTGCCCCCGCCGCGGCCTCCGCTAGTCGCCGCGGACTTGGAGGCTTGCGCTGCCGCTGGCACTGCTGCCGCGACTGGCAGTGGCGGCGGCGCCTTAGCTCCAGCATTAAGGGATACCGCAGGATCGACTTGCGGTGATGGAGGTGGCGGCGGTGGCGGCGAGGGTGACGCTACGACCGACGAAGGCGATACGGACGGCGGTTGCGAGGGCGCCGGCAGATCAGCGGCGGTGGGAGCACGCAGCATTCCAGGCGCGCTGGCGGCGACACGGCTGCCCTCAGGGTCCTCGTCGGCTGCGGCGGCCGCCAAAGCCCGAGGAGGATGCGCGGGCGGCGATGGCAGAGCGGCAAGAGACGGCGACGCCGACGGTTTGTAAAGGTTCCGAAGGATTGTTGCCACCGCCGCATCCTTGGGCGGCGGTACGACGGAAGGTACGGACGGTGGTACGGCAGATGGGCTCGTCGTTGACTGATGTCGCACAAAGGACGCATTGTTGTTGAGGCTGGTTCCCTGGTTCCAGTTAGGGTGGCTGCTTAGCAGCTGCTCGGGTTGCTCATGGGAGGTGAATGCGTAGGTGCTGCTGGGGTTGTGTTGCGGTTGGAAGCTGCCGTACGATGCCTGAGTCCCAACGGCACCGCAACCGCCGCTGCTGCCGTACATTCCCGCCGCCCTGGTCGCTGCTGCGTGCTGCTGCTGCTGTCCCAGCGCAGCCTGCATCTGCCGCATCTGCTGCTGCTGCCGCTGCAGGGCATCGGCCGCCGCCGTTGCAAACAATGACCCATGGGTCATTGATGCATTAGCAGCAGAGGCAGGCACTTGCTCAGTGCCCCTTGCAGAGCCGTAGCTTGGCCCTAAGCAACCCGTCGCCTGTGCCATGGGCTTTGGTGAGAGCTCCAGCCCCTGCGGTTGCGGCTGCGGCGATTGCAGCTGTCGCGACTGTGACTGCAGCTGTGACGGAGGTTGTGACGGCGGCGGCGGTGGTAATGCGTTGGCGGCCGCGGCCGCCTGCTCCAGCAACGCTCGCAGCACCTCTGGGGGCACACCAGCGGACAACAGCTCTTGAAGCGCAGCGGATCTGGCACTGCGACGCGCGGCGGCGGCGGCGGCCTGGGCTGGGGGCTGCTCAGGCTGCTGGGGCTGTTGAGGCTGCTGCTGCTGGGGCTGCAGTGAGCACGCAGCTGTCTGAGGCTGAGCTGCAGGTGCGGGGTGACCTCGGGGTTGCGGTTGGGGCTGAGCGGCAGGAGGGTAGCAGCGAGGGTACGGCGGCTGCGGAGTCGGCTGTGGTGAGGGTGGCAGAGGCGAAGGGTGTTGTGGTGGGTACCGGTAGCGGCTGCTGCCCTCGCGCAACGTAGCGTCACCAACCTTTGCTGGAATCACCTGCCTGGCGGCGGGGCCGGCGGCGGCAGCGGCGGCTAATGCCCTTCTGTCAGGGAAGGAGTCTGTTGTTTTTGAGAGGTCGGCTGGCGCGTTGACAGTTACGGGCGGCCGGGGAACTGCGAACTTGTGGTCTGCCGCACCCAGGCTGGCGAAGGCAGCGGCGGCGCGACGAAGGATGCCCTCCTGAGCCGCAACGGCAGCGGCGGTGTCGCGGGCAATCTCGAATGTATCTCCGGCGGCGGCAGCAGCGGTTGACGTAGGCGTGAAGGCGGCGCCGCCGGCGGCTGCGGTGACGGCGAGGGTGACGGCGGGACCCACCGAGCTTGTCCTGGGTACCGTTTGTTGCTGCATCCTGAATACTTCCTGACCCGCCGACGGCGGAGCACCAGCCATTGATGTGTTGTGCGGTTGTTGCATCACAGCGGCGGCGGCGGCTGCCGCCACAACCTCACCTGTACGAGCACTGCTGCCGGCGGCGCTGCCCGAGCTTCCCGCCGCCGCGCCGCTACGGCTGTCACGGTCAGGAACCCCCCCGCCGCCGCCGCCGCTGCTGCCGTCGCTAGCACCTACGCCACCGCTGCCGCCGCCAGGAGGGTCCCGCTCCCAGCGAGGAGTTGACTCAGCTGAGAACCCGGGCCTGGCTGCCCCGCTCCAGCCGCCGCCATGGGGTACCGCCAGCGGCTGCCCTGGCGGCAACGGCAGCGGCAGCAGCGGCGTCGCCAGCTCCAGAACCCCTCCCGGCAGCATCCGCGGCGCAGTCGAACCCAGGCTGCCGCACGTCCAGGCAACGTTTTGGGCGATGACGCCGCCGCCGCTTAGCGTCGCCGCCGCCGCGGCGCGTGACACCTCAGCCCCAGCGCCGCCGCTGCGGCCTACGAGTCGAGCCTCTTGTTGCCGCTGCTGGCCATGATCCTGGCTGCAACTGTAGCTGCTGCTGCCGCCGCTGCGGTCACGGTCCAAAGTAGAAGCCTGCGGTTGCGGCTCCATGGGCTGCTGCTGTTGCTGCCGCTGTCGTACCGGCGGCATGTCAGCACCAGCGGCCTGCTGCCAATTAATCCAAGACGTCGTCCGCAGTACAGCAGCACTGCTAGCGTCCATGCCTTCTGCGGCCTTCGGCGCGGCAGCGCTGACGGTACGACAAGCACCGTTGCCGTACGGCGCAGTCTCTGCAAGGGGCTGGCCGCGGGGCATGCCGCCGCCGTCGCCGAAGTCTACCGTGGCACTGCTGCTAGCGGGGCTCGGAAGGCCGCGGCCGCCGCGACCGCCGCCGCCAGCCCCCGCTGACGTCGCCGCTAGTGCCGCCATCGTCGCCGACGACGGAGGCGACGCCTCCGCGGAACCGCCCGTGCCTCGCAGGTTGTGAGTGCTGGAGGCGCGCCAGAGCGTCGACGGCGGCAGCGTTAGCAACGGCGTCGATGAGGGCTCGACGGCTGAGATCCGACGCCGTACCGACCTAGGAGCTGACGCCGTCGCAGCGGCGGCGGCGGCGGCGGTGTCAGCCGCAGATCCGGCGCCTCCGTCGCCGCCGCCGTTGGCGCCACGGCTGCCGGCGGCTCCAAGGCCGCTACGCGCGAGGGAGCTCGGCCAGGGCTTGAACGGCGCTACGAGGCCGCGACCGACGCCGCCGCCACCCATGCATGCGCCGCCAACCGTGTCACCAGCGGCGGCGGCGGCGGCGGCTACGTCGCCGCTAGCTACGTCCTGGTCGGCGGCGCTGGGCCCACCGGCTGCTGGGCTGCCCCCCCCGGGCCGCTTTGATCCTGCGTTGAAGCAGACAGGAAGGCAGGGGGAAGCACGCGGAACGTTGCTAGCGGGAATGTGGAGCATCGGACTGAACGGCGAGAGTGCAGCAGACATGGTAGAGGTGATGGTAGCGGTGAATCCAAGTATGGGTGATGGTAGAGGAGATGAATGCAGCGAGCCCGCCAGCGGGTCTGCGCTAAGGCGGATCAAAAAGCCCTTTCACCCCCTGACGCTGGCACGGAGGCGACCCAGCAGTGGCCTCTTTCCATCAGTCAGGACAGCCACCCATCATCCCGACTCCATTCCTGCCCAATGGAGCACTACACAATCCCACTCCATAACCCTCCGGTACGTTGCGACTCGAGACAAGCAGCCAGCACAAGCAGCCCGCTCCCTCACCTTCGCCTTGCGGGCCGGCAAGGAGGCGTCCGTCGGCGCTGTCGCGACGAGGCACGGGAGGCATTCCAGCCGCCGTCAGCGACGCAGCGCATGCCTTGCCGCCGCCGCCCCCGCTGGCGGCAGCGTCACCACTCGCCGCGGCCTTGCGGCTGGCGGCGGCGGCGGCTGCCGCTGCAGCAGCGGCCGCGGAGGCAGCGGCGGTAGCAGCCTCGGTTGGGAAGTTGAGTACGGCAGAGGGCCCTCGGAGGTAGCGGGACACCCTGTCGTAGGCCTGTACGGTAACGGGGCCAGCGCGGCGTACGGAAACGAGTGCGGTACGTAATATTGTGTTAAAGAGGACGGAGCAAAAGAGCAGTAAGCTGGTACCAGCGGGCGAGTCATGCGAGGGTGGACCCCCGGGCGCGTAAAGATTGGGTGTCGGCTGTGCGAATCTCTCAACCTCTCATCCATGCTCCCAGTCCCAACACCTGCGTACCAACCCGCCCGCCACCCACCAGGGCTGCCTCCAAGTCCGTTCCGTACGTGCCGATGTGCAGTTGCCGACCTGGGGACGCAAGAAGGGGGGAGCGAATGGGCCGTGTAAATGCAGTGTCGGCAACTCCGATAATACCCAACATCCCAACACTCGCACGTTACCGATACGCAGCAGCCTCCGCCCTGCCCCGATGATAGCATCCCTCACCCTCGTGCCAAATGTGCGCCTCGTATCGCCCAGTCCGCCGATACAACGACACCCCCTTGTAGCGGCTGCTTCGATTGCGCGGCCCGCGACAGATGGTGGTCGTAGCCGCCGCCGCCGCCACCGCCGCCGCAAAACCGCCAGCGGCAGCGCCGTCAGCGCCGCCCCCGCTGCCAGCGGTGCCGTCAGCACCCGCTGTCATGTACATTCCCGGCGTGCTCGCGCATGTACGTCGTACTATACGTCGTTGCTGTTGCGCTGGCGGCTGTTGCTGCGGTGGCAGGGATTGCGGCGGAGCCGCCGCCGCCGCCGCCGCTGCTGAGGCTGCTGCTACCGCTGCCGCCACCTCCGCCGCCGTCGGAGTTTCCAGGTGCCATCCTTCCATCAGGGTTGGCAGGCTCCTAGCGCTTGTGGTAGCGGCGGTGGCGGCGGTAGCAGCGGTAGCAGCTCCGCCGCTGCCGTCGATTCCGCAGCCTTGGGTAGTACCGGTGTGGGCGAGATGAAGGGCAAAGTAAGGGGCGCTTGGGGGCTTTTCGCTTGCGCCTGCGGTGTTGGCATCACCGTTGTCGCAGCGACTGCTGAGCCGTTGCGGCTGGGGCTGCGGCGGCGGCAGAGCGTTATGAACCGTCGCCGTCGTCATGTCCCGTGTCAGGGGCAGCTGTTGCGGCGCCGTGAGGGTGCATGACGAATGTACGGCAGGGCGACTCCCCGCCGCGACGGCCTCCGACGCGGCGGCGTCGGCGGTACCCTCGACGCCGTCGACGTCCAGCATCTCAGCAGATGGACATGTTGGGATGTCGACTTGTTCCCTCACCACACCGCCTTGAGCGGCGCCAGCCTCGAAAACACCCTCCGCGACCATCATGCCGGCTGTTGTTGCTTCTGTAGGAGCATCCGTCGCTGCTTGCCCACTGGGCCCCGCCGCCCCCGCCTCCAAACCCGTGGGGTGCACCTCCAAGCCGGGGGCTAGCGACTCATCTGCTTGCACCACCCCGCCGTTCGATGCTGCTGCTTTCGCAGCCGGGCGGGGAGGCGAGGGCGGCGGGGATGGTTGTGGCGACGGAAGGGAACCGACGGCGGAGGCGGAGGCCTTGAGGGGTGTTCGGCTGACGGCAGTGGCTCGACTGGGCGTCGGCGGCAGGGGAACTGGCCTGGCGGAGGCGGGCGCTAGGCGGCCGATTGGACGTTGCTGTGCCGCCGCGGCGGCGGCCGCTGCTGCTGTCGCCGCGGCTGCCGCTGAAGCCGCCGATCCAGCTGGCCCCCCAGTGAGACTGGCAGCGGCGGCAGCGGCAGCGGCAGCGGCGGAAGCAGCATCCGGCCTGCCGAGAGATGGTGACTTTGATGCGATCGACCGCGGCTTCAATGGAGGTGTTACTGTTGTTGCAGCACCGTCGCTGGGCTTTGGCAGTCTCCGCAATGGCGACTGTAGCGCCGCTGGCGCAAGCATCGACGCTAACGGCATCGGGGCTGAGGCAGTTCGTTGGGGCTTTGAGCTGCTTGGAGACAAGGCGGCGGCCTTGGCGGCGGCGGCCGCGGCAGCGGCGGCGGCGGCCTTGGCGGCAGCGACGTCCCCGCTAGCGACGGCGGCGGCGATGGTGCCGCCGCCGCTGTCACTGACGCGTGCCGTCACACCTTGACGTGCTCGCAGACGCCCCTGACTGCTGCTGCCTGGCAATGGCGATTGCGGTGCTGCCGCCGTTGCATCTTTTGCAAAGGGGTCGGTGAGTAACATGTACGGAGAAAGGCCGCCACCGCCGCCACCGTTGTGACATTGGCTGCTGCCACCGCCACCGGTTTGGGAGGCTCGTTGGACGGTTGCAACTGCCGCTGCAGTAGCCGTTGACGGTTGCGGCGCCGCTGACGTCAGCATGGAGCCTCCGGCGCTGCTACTGCCTCCGGCGCCACCGCCGCTACTGCGGTTGGCGGCGGTGCTTGTGGAGTCATGTGCCATGGGGTACCGGCTTACTACTGCCGCTTGTGTTCGTTGTACGGTATGTGGCCTGCCGACAGGAGGTCGCAATAAAGGAAGGTTGGAGCGGGCGTTACATGTTACCCGTGCCTGCCAACAAACTTGAGGCTTGCCAGGAATTCCTTGCTACCTCCTTCATTCATATTTGGGTATTTCGAACCGCATTGCTGCTAGCGGAAAGAGGATACCGTACCCACTGCTGTCATACCTTCGGTAGCGGTTTGCCGTAGCTGCTTAGCTGCAGGAAGGAGGGAGGAACGGCGTTGACAGCTTAAGAGATGATGCCAGCTAGACCGTGTAATGTTTTCTTGGTTGATACGACAATAGTGAATTGTGTAGTGAAGTATGGACTAGGGTATGTCGGGTCAGAGGGACCTCTTATGTAACATCTATCTAGCTGGGGTGAGGGCGCGTATAACACCTTGTAGGAGGCCTATGGAGGCCTAGGCAGCGAAGGTTGTTGGTGGCTCATACTGCTAGTTGCGCAGTGCTGGAGGGTCCCACGCGGACTTGGGAATGTAGGAATGGCTGGAGCCTATAGGAATGCGACAGAAACGGGCAGCGATGAGCAAGAAACCGCAACCTCGCAGCTGTTGGGTTTTCCAGTGCAAAGTGAGGAATGGTGGATCATGGTAACAATCTAAAAGATGTATGGTATAGTAGACGGTGGAATAAATCTTTTCACCTGCTTGTCGGGGAAGCCGAGTCTAGACAGACACCTAGAATTTAGTGGACGGTTCAATAATTGCGGCGTCAGCAAATTCCTATGCCAAGGAACGACATCGATGCTAGCCTAGGACACAGTTATTGCAGATGACTACAAATCTATTCCACATGCAGCCATACGCAGTTGGCATTTCCATCAGTTAGTTCGCACTGCCTCGGGAGCCTCGCTGCTTCGAACCCCTCCCAGGATCCTGGCGAGAAGAAGCTTTTATGCACAGTCCGACAGTCGTGCCGATCGATACCTTTCGTACCTTAGCGAGCAGCCCAAGGTACTACAATAGCTAGTACCCGATTTGTGTCGATCCTATGGCGTGACGGCAGTTTCAAAACCTGCTTGACGATGAGCCAGGATGAGGGCTAACGGTACATGACACTCTTGTGTAAGCGCCGAGACCATGAGGCACTCGCCTGGACACCGATCAGCGAGAAGCAGTTGCAATCGACCGGTTCGTCTTTTAAGCGTTTCGCTGTATGATGTAGCCCTTTTAAGCTACGGCTTTGTACAGAGCCAGTCACAAAAATGCTCTGCTCTTTGACAAATTTACCGTACAATTCTGACGGCACCAACCGTTCGCGCCACCACGTGCAACCATAGCCAATTCCTCGGTACGATCGAGTGCAAAGTTAGGCTACTACATGCGAACAGACGCGGTCATAGCGCAGCTTCATCTAACACTCTCATCGCATGGAAGCTGCTGCTTAGGAGGCGAGGTTCAAAATCCCGGTCAGGCAGCTTCCTCTCGCTCTTCTAGGACCTTCCTAGAGGTGTAGGATTGGGGCTGACCACTACTAGCCTGTCATAGCCAGTCGCGACTCCGCCGTTGACCACATGTTACGCCATACACAGAACCATGTGACGCCAAAGTGCATGCATGTTGGCAGTTTGCCGAGGTCCCACAGCCCCTCACAACCCGCCTCGCCCTTCCAGACTGGAAGCAAACAACCCGCCTCCCCCACCCGGCACATGCACCGTTGGTAATCCCCTTCCTAGAATTGAAGCACAAAGTAGCGAGCGAACGAGGAAGTCGATGTTGGCCGGTTCGATTACCAGCACCTGTAAATAGATCCAGCAGCAGCCCCACTGTTGACCTCCAACATCTCAGGCGGAAGCTCCAAGACTCCGATTAATCCTCCCGGGTGCTACACACCTTTCTAGGACTCCTCCCCTTCGTCCTGTACATCATCGGAGGGATCACCTCAACCAGATACTGTCCGGAAGAGGTTGAATCCTCCGCACATGTATCCTACATGCTGTGCGCTGTACGACAGCCCATGTAGCTCATACCAGATCAGAGATCAGGTCAACGACACAGATCACGTCACAGATGCCGTAGGCGCCTCTGCCGGGGGTCTCTGACAGCTCCTGCCCTTGCCTCCTCCGTGTTCCTGCCCTTGCCTCCTCCGCCTTCTCTGCCTGCCTGCCTCGTCTGCCTGCCTGCCTGCCTCACGCGTACTGCCTGGTTGCCGCCCAGCTGCCGCTCTCCTCGTACTGCGCCTTAGTCACCGCAACCCTGCCGTACAGGTGGGACGAGCCGAACGCAGACATGCCCTCCCACGCGAATGTCGTGGGGTCCTGCAGCAGTACGGCAAGGGTGCGGTCGTACGGCACGGTGCAACATGTTGTACGGCAATCGTCAGGCAACCATCACGCAGCCATCACGTAATGCAGTGCACACCGGACTGTGAGGAGGGCACGCTACGTGCAAATCACCATGATTAGCACCCCACACAGCTCTAATTACCCCATGCTGCTGCGCTCCCTTTAAACCGTACGGCGTACTGCTGTGCGTTGCAAAACTGCAATGTCGTCGTACGGCAATTTCGTCGTACGCACCTGCGGCTGGAACACGTGCATGCTGCAGTCGTCGGGCACCAGCGCCCGCAGCTCGGCACTGAAGCGGTCCTTGAAGCCCGGACAGCTGGTCACACCGCCTGGGGGGAAAGAAGGAGAAGAAGGATAAGAAGAAGAGGACCCAGTGTGTTGAATACCGGTAGTGCACTGGTAAAGTGCTGGCAAACGAGGTGACCTGGTGCCCACGCCCACCCGTCCCCACCCGTCCCCACCCGCCCCCACCCGTCCCCACCCGCCCCCACCCGCCCCCCCACCTGTGAGTATCACATTGGAGTAGAGCAGCGGTGCCAGCGCGGGGTGTGTGGCGGTGACCGCCTGCACCACCGCCTCCGCCACGCCCGCCTGCTGCAGCCCGATGTCGTCCGGGTGGAAGAGCAGCTCGGGAACCATGAAGCGCTCGTTGTTGAGGACGAGCACCTGGTCGGCCTGGGGGGAGGAGGGAGGGAGGGGCGGGAGGGGGGGATGGAATTAGGCTGCGAATACCGTATCCGTAGGGGGCTAGGGGTGGGAGGCGCGGGACAAGGCGTTGTGAAGAGGGTCCAGTGACGTGAGCCCTCCCCCCCATCCTCCCCTCACAACCTAGCAGTTTTACACCCACCGCTCTCCACCTCTTCCCTCCCCTCTCCCCCTCTGTCGTCTTGTTTGCCACTCTCATTTAATGCATTGGGTATGTTTTTTCTACCCCCCCCCTGTGGCTTCCTATGCTTCGGTATGGTCTTTGACCCCCCTCCCCACCTCCAGCTGCGCCGCCAGCCTCTTCTTCTCCTCCAGCGACTCCGCCCCCCGCACCGCCTGCTTGACGGACTCGACCTGGCAGGGGAGGGGAGGGGAGGGGAGGGGAGGGGGGAGGAGCGACCCAGCATGTGCTAAGCAGGAGACAATCAGGCTAGCGTAAACAGCGGTTGGGCACTCCAACCCCCCTCCCCCTCCCCCACACGGTCAGTTAGTTGGTTTTTCTTCCCTCCCCCCCCACCTTGCGCGCCCACTCCTCCGGGTCCCGAACGTAGCCCTTCAGGTTGTGAACCCCGTCCGGCAGCACGAACTCGCGCCGGTGGGGGGAGCGGGCGGCAACCTGGGGAGGGGGGGGGCAGCAGCAGGGATCAGTTACTGGAATCCTACAACTCCGATCGACAGCAGCAGGTGGTGGCGGCATCATGCGTTACTAAGACCGTAAGACGATAACCTCTTCCGACCGTACTTGCTGAAACAGCAGCTAGAGGACCCCCCCCAAGAACACCTCCCCCCTTATACACCCCCTCCCCCCCCCGCCCCCCACCTGCGCCGCCCGCAGGTCCGCCCGCACGTCCTGGCTCACGAAGCACAGCTGCTCCTTCACCAGGTCCATCAGGTACGTCTCGTCCATCATGTTCAGGCTCCTGGGGGGCGGAAGAGGGGGGGAAGGGGGGGAGGAGGGGCAACAGAGGGGTAAGGGAGGGTATAGTTGCGGCACATACCGCCGTCCCCTCTTCAATGGCAGCGGCCATCCTCCTACCTTCCTCCTTGTGTGGCGGCCTCCCTTGCCCCAGGGTGTGCGTGCAGCAGAGGTTAACCCCAACAACTACTTGTTCCTTGACAAACCGCCAACCAACCAACCACCACCCACCCCCGGCGCGTACCTGTACGACACCAGCTCCTTGAGGTAGTTGGTCATGGCCTTGCCGCCCAGGTTGATCCGCCGTACACCGCCCTCCAGGATCTGCGCGTGTGGTGTGTATGCATGCATGTGGATGTGGGGGCAGCCATGGGCCCATGGCAGGAGGATTGCGTGAGCGGGCAGCCATGCAACCTTCCAGAGCAGCAGGCCTGCAGCAAGGCACAGCCAGCCTCTCCCCGACCCTTCGCTCTCTCCCAATCCTCTCCCAAAACAAAACAAGCGCGTCTCCCCTCCCCTCCCCGCCCGCCCTCCCCTCCCCCACCTGTCCCTTGAAGAATGGCACCACATGCGTGAAGGAGAAGCCCGCGTCCACCACCACCCCCGCACCGCTGCGCGCGGCGGTCAGCGAGGCACCCAGCAGGCCCGCCGCGCGGTGCATGGAGAAGAGCGGCGCGGGGGCGGCGTACAGGGAGCGGAAGCCCAGCTCCTCAAACACAAGCTGGCAGGGGGGGAGGCAAAAGAAACAGTTCCCAAAGTGGGGCAGGGAGGGCGCGACGGGGAAGGGAGGGGAGGGAGGGTGTGTTAGGGGTGGCTGCTATCGTGATGCGGGCATCAAAGATCAAATGCGCCGGGCTGGGATCGGGAGGTAGACGGGCGCCTCCCTGTGCCTCCCTGCGCCACCCCCTCCACACACACACCCTGCTGCGTGACATGCGGGGACTTGCATGGGAGTGGGACTCTGTGTGTCTTCGTAACTCACACACACCCGCCCACCTGCTGTGTGCCCGCGCGAATCTCCTCCAAGTTGAACAGCGGCTCGCTGATCAGCAGCCCGCACTCGCCCGGCGTGCGGCGCAGCACCGACCGCACCCCGCGCATCCAGATCTCCCGCTGCAGGTCCAGGTGGCACAGGTAGCCCTGCAGGGGGGCGGGGGAGAGAGGGAGTGATTGGGTTTACTGTCCACCGCCCTCTCCCCGCCGGCAACCCCCACCCTGCCTTACACATACCCTCCTCCCTCACCCTGTCGTACACAATTACGAATTACCCCCCCGCCCCCCCTCCTCCCTCACCCTGTCGAAGGGCCTCCTCAGTGTGAGCTGCGACACCTCCCGCGTGTCTGCTAGCAGGTCTGCCAGCAGCGTCTGGCGCTCGCCCTTGGCCTTGGCGGAGGCGTTGGGGAACACCCTTGGGGGGGAGGGGGGGATGAGAAGGGGGGATGGGAAGGGGGGATGGGAGGATGGGAGGGGAGGAGGGGAGGGGAGAAGGGGGGATGGGAGGCGGGGGCGAGGGGGTGTATGCGGCTTTTGCGCTGAGGACAGGATATGGATGGGCTGGCTGGGTGGTGCGAGTTGAGGTTTCGGGCTGGAGGTCGTACCTGGTTGGCGCGGCCTGGCCGGCCATGCCGATTTTACAGCTGCCGCCTCCATTGTCGAGGGCAATGACGGGCGGAAGCGACATTGCCCAGGCTACACTTTACGCCGGCTTGTCTCACACCGAACAGCAAACGCGTCAGTGTAGTTAGGCCCAGGGCATAGCTTGACTACGCCGACGGTACTAAAAATCACTCCTTCAGGCAAGCCCGCGGTCGTGCGTAATCTGTTTTCGCGTCTACCCGCCCCAGGCACAGCGAGGCGTAGTTAAGCTGTGTTACACAGCACACAGGTGTAGGAAGCCTTGTGTACAGCGCCGCTATGAAGGCTTTGGTAAAGCTGGCAGTGTGCTTTTAATTAAAGACGTTTGGCAAGCGTAGCATACAAATCTTCGTTGCGTTGCAACCCTATGACTTTCCAACCTATATTAACAAGCATTGTAAGTTGTTCGCAGGAACGAAGGGTGCCCGGCAATGGGCTCCTACTACGGTTGGTTCGTTGCAACCTGCCCCTGCCTTCAAGTTATCGCGTGCTATAGACATACCAATCTCACTCCTTATAATGCTTCCTTTTAGTGCTTCCTTTTAGAAAACATGGCTGATAGTAAAGAGACTGCCAAGCTGCTTACGGCTCCTGAGAAGCTGGAGGTCAAGAGTGCCTACAGATGCCTCGGCGAATGCGCCCTAAGCGCGATATGGATACTATTAATACTCCTGGCGTATGTAACCTGGGGCTTACCATCGCCTGACACCGAACCTGAATACAGCCCCATTTGCATGCACGCAACTGGAGGCGGACCAATTGGAGAGCGTGGGAGCTTGTTACACTACAAGGAGTCCTGTACTAAGCAGCTCAAGGTAGTATGCCTTGCTCCTAGTTGACGCCGCAGCTCGGTTTAAACCCGTTTCTTTCCTGTCGCCTGCAGGATTACTTTGGCAAAGGGGCTTACCTAGCCGAGGTGCGCCGTGTTGCGAATGACGCTATAGCCTACTACCGCCAGCAAGTCGAGGAGCGCCGCTTCGGGGAGGCTGCCGGCAGCAATACTACCAGCACCCCTGGGATTGTCATCTTTGACATCGGCAAGTACTTATAAACCTGTGCTCACAAATGCTTTTCCCTTCCTACCCGCTCCCTGCAACCCGACCTTACTTGCTGCCATGCCCCTCCGCTCCCCACCTCTCCCATCACCTCTCCCTTCCCCCTTACCTCTCCACCCCTCACCTGCAGACGAGACCGCCCTCTCCAATGCGGACGGCTTCTTCCCGCCCTCAGTCACCTCCTCACTGGTCGCCATGTGGCGCTTTCTCACCGGCCAGCCGCAACAACACCGGGTGAGCCGCTCTGGCAGCACTGGCGGAGGGGGAGGGCAGATGGAGACACGGTTCGCAGGATGAGAGGGGGGCCAGTGGCCAGGGGCCCCCTGCCGTGGGGGACCTAGGGGGTGCAGGGGGCGTAGGTGGGGCCTCGGCAGCAGGGCGGGGTCGTGGGCTGTCTCGACCCCCAGCGGAGTGAGAGGTCAAAACCTGTGCGCACCCACATCATGTGCCCGCATGCGCCGGCATGTCCCCTCCCTGCCCTGCCCTGCCCACCCTGCCCTGCCCTGCCCTGCCCTGCCCTCCCTGCCCTGCCCTGCCCTGCCCTGCCCTCCCTGCCCTGCCCTGCCCTGCCCTGCCCGCCCGCCCCGCCAGGTGTGCTCGCGGCCGCATTTGGAGTTCGTCGCGAAGGGGCGCAGCGGTCACCACTGCGGCCGGGGGCAGCGGCAGCAGCAGCTGGCAGGGCGGGCGGGGAGGGCCATGAAGTTGGGGCTGCAGCAGGAGATGCAGCTGCAGCAGCTGGGGCAGCAGATAGGGCGGGTGCAGGCGGCGCCCCCGCTGTGTTCCGCGCCGGCGTTGGCGCCGGTTCGGGAGCTTTACTACTTCCTGTTGGATAACGGTTATGAGGTGGTGAGCGTTGGGGGGCCCCGGGGGATGTGTGTGTGAGGGGGGGGAGTGTCCGGATGTGGGTTATAGCTTATGAAGGGCGGGGGGGCGGCGGTTGACGTACAGGGTTACGGACGACTAGTGGTATCCCTGCCCCACCCATCCTCTCCCTAGGAACGCCCCGTCCTCCTCCTCTCCACCCTCCTCCCTCGCCTCCCCATCTCCTCCTCTTCACCCTCCCTCCCCTTCCCTCCCCCTCCTCCCCTCCCCTTCCCCTCCTCCCTCCCACTCACTGCATGAGTCGGGATATGGGATTGGGACTTAGTTGTTTGCATTTCTTATATAATTTTTCCTCCCTCCCCTTCCCCTCCTCCCCTTCCCTTCCCCCTCCCAGGTCTTCCTGACGGGACGCAGTGAGGACGTGCGACACGACACGGAGGCCAACCTGGAGGCGGAGGGGTACGGCAGGCCGTGCGGCGCCCCGGCCTCTGTCCCCACTGTTTCCGCCACCTCCACCTCCACCCCTGACGGCTCCGCTCAGCAGCAGCCCCGCCGCCTGCTTTGGTGGGGCCCGCACTCCTCCTCCTCCGCTGCCGCTGCCGCCGCCAGCACTGCCGCCGGGCCGGCCTCCCGCGGTCGCTGCTACTCCGCCCTGCTGATGCGCTCCGTGGGCGACCAGCGGGCGGCATCCGTGTTCAAGTCCGAGGCCCGACAGGGGCTTCTGGCGGAGGCAGCCGCTGCCGGGGCGGGTGGTGGTGGTGGTGGTGGTGGTGGGGATGTGGTGCTGGCGGGCAGCATCGGGGACCAGTTCAGTGACCTGACGGGCAGCCCCGAGGCGGAGGCCAACTGGAAGCTGCCCAACCCGGTAGGGAGGGGGGGTGTGGGGTGGGGTGCAGCTCGTGTAGGGTCTGGCAACTGATCTTGCGGTCGTCGGCTTCCCGCGGCTCCGAAACGTCCGCGTCCATTATCCAGCGCCTCAGCATCCCAAAGCTTGCACCCTATGGTGACGTCCCCCCGCCTCCTGCTCGCAGGTGTACACCCTGCTGTAGAGCGGCCTAGCCCTAGGACACCGCCGCCTCGGCAGCAGCTGATGACGCCTCGGCAGCAGCAGCTGGCTTATGGCGCCGCAGCTGCTCCCAACGTCCTGCTGCGCCGCCCGAGCCCTTCTGTCGCTCTGTACCCTAGCAAAGGGTGCACCCTAGCATCTCAGCCGGGAGGATCAGGAGCAGGAAACGGGGCAGACGGGTTGGCATGCCGGCACGGGTCTGGGTCTTGAGGGGAGGAGGTTGGCCCGGTGCTGCTCCTCGGTTGGAGCAAGAGGGGGGAGCAAGGGGGGGTGAGCGTTTGGGTTGGCGCGAGTGGGGGGTCGTGAGGACCACAGGGGGGTGATGTGGACGGGAGCCCCTGTGGGGCCCCGGTGTTGCGGTGGGGCCGCACGTCATGTGATCCGTCAGGGTTGCCCTGCTGATCTGTGTGACATGGCAGACATGTGCTGGCTGCTAACTTGACGTTTGTGAGCGGCGCGTGTCTTCTTGCAATTGGCAGTCATGTGCCCCCGAGGGTTGGGGAGGGGGCTGTGCACCGCGCTCCGCGCACGTGATATGCCAGGACAGCAGGGGGGGTGGCAGGGGGGTGGCAGATTGTATACTAGTAGTATGGGAGGTTTGTAAATTGCTGAAGTGCAAGAGGCGGTGGCAGGGTGCAATCTGCCTCGAGGAGGTTGCACCCTTACATACGGTACGGTTGCTGTTGTCGCACCATTAGCAGTATTGTGAGTTTGTGACACAGGATTTTCCTGTTGAGATTGCTTGACGTGGCCTGAACATACGCGCACGCTTGTGGTGGCCAGTTTGATTAAGGACGCCAGTTTGGAGTCCTCAGACATTTTATCTGGCTCCCTGGAGTCATCGGACAACCCTCCTAAAATGACTAGTTATCGCAATTGCAAATACACCGAGGAGTATGTTATAACGTTATATAATAGTATCAATTGTCCTCTGCCTTCAAATTGGTGTGGTCGACATACTTACCGCATGCACAATGTGCCCAAGCAAACCTAAACGCTGTGCCTTTGTTACGCGCTAGCTGTTGTGGAATAAGGAGCTAGGCATATGAGATTTGTTGCTTTAGTATGTTGGCAAGTCACTGCTGAGCCAGTCGTAACTGGTTGCGATGGTTAGTTGTAGGTGGCCGCGGAAGCACCTTCCGGCGCTCACAAGGCACCTATTAGGAAGTTATTATCAATAACTATTGTTCTGTAGTTTGCCTGGCTGGTGGCTGTGTCGTGCGGCGAAGTTGTGAGTTGACTCCAGGGACCCTAATAAAATGTCTGAGGAGTCCCGTACGGAGTCCTTTGATTAACACACGGTCGTGGCATTCTCGGTGGGAATTTTGCCTTCCGACAAGTACAGTATGTTCCTCATCGCGGCCAGTTTGCTTAACACATACTGCTTGCTCTTGTTTCTAGAATCACAGTACTTTCAACTTGCGGCCAGTTTTCTGTAAGCAAGTTGTTTATGGTCCGTGTTTATATCATTGCGATGTCTGAGGTGTACCTTATTTGTGTTAGGCGCTTGTACTGTATCCCTCCTGCCGTACTGGCGCGGCTAAATTTCATAACTGGATCACTCACGATGTAAATCCAAGACATGGACCGTTGACAAAACCGTCAAGAAAACCGGTACAAAGCCGCTGTCCTCCATCTCTCTCTCCTTCTCCTCTTTCCCTCCCTCCCCCTGGTCCCTGGACATGGCGGCACCTAGGCACACACCTCTCTTTGTGTGCCTAGGTACGTGCCTGATCGTGTGTCAGTCCATGTTTTTGCGTGCTCGTGTTGTGCTGTTCCTGTTGATTGCCTATGCCCGACGGCGCGGTGGGTCTCCAGCTCACCTTCAGCCGCCTCCACACATGCCCAAGGCTACGGTAAGGTTCTCCATAAATGGTAAGTTCGGTAAGTTTAGCTCGCATTGCTTTAACCACCATTTCAGCTCGACTCACGGTTGTTTTCACCAGGGATTGTCAGCAATTTGTACCATTATCACACCACACATTGGAATTTCTTTCCCCCCTGGCGCACACCAACACGCACACACTCGCATTGTCATGCACATACAACGGTACCTTGCGCCCGCTCCGCACGGCAGCACCGGCGTTTTGGCGCCCTCAAAACAGCAGCGGGCTACCCGCCGATGGACCAAACAATTAAGCCTTTATAACCCAAGCCCACCCCTGAAAGCGTGTCTCTACCCTCTATGCCTCTCAGCACTCAATCCTTCAACCCACGACAATCACCGTCCTTTACCCGTGTGCCAGCAACTAGCACCACACCAGACACTCCCCAGCAACAGCTCCAACCACCCCTGCGTGTCGTAAACCACATCCTTCACCACATACCCCAAACCACCTCCTCCCATCCACACCCCGAACCACCGCCGCCACCTTCTCCTCCCCTACCTCCTCCTCCCTCCCCCCGCTGCCCCTCCAAACCCCACCCCCGGCTGCGGCAGCGCCCCCGCCGCCCCCTCCCCCAGCTCCACCTCCAGCTTGTCCGCCAGCGCCGCCAACCACGCCTGGTCCAGGCTGCTGAAGCCCCGCACCGTGTCCGTACCCGCCACCAGCACGCCGTGCGGCCCCAGCGGCTGCAGCGCCACCCCCGCCGTGGAGGCCGGTAGGAAGGCTGTGAACTCGGGGCGGCCGGGGTAGAGGGGCAGGTTGGGCAGGTAGGTGCCCTGGCCCTCACGCATGGCCTGAGGGAGGGAGGGAGAGGGGTGGGGTGGGGTGGGGTTTGTCGCGAAGGCGTTTTGGGCTTTGTGTACACAGGGTAACGAAGGTCGTCGCAGTGTTACAGTATCTGTACTTCAAATGCTGCTAGTGTCATGGCTCATGGGGCGGGGTTTGGCCAGATGTGAAGACGGAAGCCCTCGCCTGCTCACATCAACCCCGCAATGGAGCTCACTCTTACCTGGTTGCATATGTCGCCGGCGGTTGCCTCGCCGGGTTTATGGCCGCGTAGGCTATAGCCGAAGTGGAAAAGGTTACGCCCCTTGTAAATAAGGACCAGCGACTTGCAGCGCGTCGCCTTGAACATGGCATCTCGCACCCAACGGAATTCACGGACCAGCGCCGTGTTCGGTTTCAGTCCCGGATCGACATAATCGATTACTGTCCCATCCAGTTCGACCACATCTAACGTTTTGGGTTTGAGCGATAGCCATTGAAGCCCGGTCAGCAGCAGCACGGCCGATAGAACAATTCCAAGGACGTCTGCGCGGCTTTGACTGCTGCTGGCGTCGACGATAGGCGCAATTCCTGAAAGTGTTCGATTTAATAGTAAGGACGCGACTCCAAGGCCTCCAGCATACAGCGGCAACCCGCGAAAGAGCTCCGCATTCCTCGCCACAAGCCCAAATGACTGGTCTGGGACCGGAGCTTCTGCGGGTTTCCTAACGGAAGCACGCGCTTTAGTGTTCCTAGATAGCTTAGCAGGAAGGAATGGTCTGGCTCTAAAGCAACCACCACCATGCAGCGTTCCTTGCGGTTTGCAGTCCAACTTTGGCATGCTTGGTAAACACTAAAAGGCACACGACGCGTTGTCCAAACAAACAATGGCACAAGGCTCCAATATGCGTTCCGGACCGTTGCCGGCCCTCTGTTCGAGTAACGACCAGTCGCGCTCTGTCGTACAGCCAATGTGCACATCAGCAAATGCACCCCAGCCCCTTGCTGCCCCTTTCTGTTACTCGTTCATGCTGTGTCCGGCATCTCCGCCCGTGGAGCTTCTCTTCCTCTTTACTCTCCGTCCATAACCCATGCCCTTGTACCTTGCTTTGCCCATGCCCCCAGCTTGCACCCGTATTGGGATGGATCTGTGATCCTGCATGCCTAGTGCCTGAGGCACCCTAATCCCATCTCTGCCCCTCTGACTGTGTAAGCATACGTGTAAGCGTATGACATCTACGCGGCATGGAATAACATATTATGATATTAAGGATATGGGTGGGACTCCTGGCATCGCTGTTACACGCAGCTGTTGTCGAGTGCGTTACAACAAGAAGCATGCAATGTGATGGGCGTACGGCAGCCTCGGTGCTTGACCCACCGCCTATGACAGTCCCCAAGCATCCAGTTGCAGCAGTTTACTACGTGGCGAGCTGCATGCACTGCCCGCTACGCCCTGGATCATGCAACTCGAGGTCTCCATGTTGTGCTTTGCCCAACCACTCTCCAACATCAAAAGACATGCTGAAAACAATGTCATGGCAAGGGAGGGCTGCACCTCGGCCCTAACAGTATATACACCGGTAGAAGCTACCTTAACCGGTAACAATGAATAGAGGAATACAACGCATCCTTGCTCGAGCCTTGCGACGACGGCATCAGGTGCAAATCCCATGCCACTGCAGGGGCGACGCCTGAACCTAGCTCAACACAGCAGCACTGGGAACTGTGCACGTGCGCCGACGACACGCAGCCCACCCTATGTAACGAGAGCGACGCATGCCGGTAGCTGACATCCATGAATGCCCCTTACCTAAATGTCGTCGTCCACCGTATTCCTGCCCACAGCCCCGACCTTCACAGCAGTGGCACTGTACCAACTCTTCCATTAATACCTCAATAGTGTCATCATCAATCCCCATGCCCAATGCTGCAGAGCCCCTGTGTGCTGCACCCCCCTTACAACATGCTGTCCCTGCACACAGCAAAAGGGAAGAGTGATCACCGCTGCTTCGTACACCCACACCGCACCTCACAAGCAAGCAAGCAACCGGGGCACCCCACACGCGGAGCAGTACCTCAGTAATTAATCAGTAATCTGCCTCGTCCAACGAAACCTGCATTGTTTATATAGTAAACCCACGTGTGTTGGAAAGGGCCCACATACGTTCACGAGAGGGTTCTCCGTACGTACGTTTGCAGACATCACTGCATGCAACAACATGCCGAACTAACACGCCTCGACACGCACAGCACCAGCACTTTAGCAGCAGCAGCAGCCAGCATTTTAACAGCAGCAGCAGCAGTAGTGCTACATGGCCGCCCTTGCCCAACCAAGAAACAACATATACACATACACCACAGCTACCACCAAATGCTATGACACACGAATGCTAAAGCCATCATCTCCACACCGTACCATCTCAGTACGGCGAAAAGAGAGACGCGCAAGTCTCAATACATCATTCCGAATCGAGCCGTCCAAACAAATCCGTTGCGTTGCAACAAGCGCGAGGCACCAGCCGCACCACAAACGCACGAGTGGAACCCCACGTTGCTGCTGCCAGGCGTGTCGCAAGCCCAACGGTCTTCCTACCATATCTGATACCGGTAACCGACTGAAATGCTTGTGGGAAACTAAACCGCCACAAAACCCAACTGTCTGCAAACGCCTGGAGGGTCACATTGTGTGGTGGGGCTGGCGGCAGCGGTGATCCCAACGCCCCTACACCTTCCCACGTCCTCCCACTTTCGGCACTGCAGTGCAAAAGACGACAGCGAAGAACCACATCCCATGATCCACAACCCCCGCCACCACAACAGCTACCAACATCCCGTTAGTGTCGCGGTGAGGACACCCACGTCAACAAGTGCGCCAATCCAACCTTGCGAACCTCGCCCGATAACCCGACGAGTGCACGTCTGTGGTCCGGATTTAAATGCTTTAGGTTTGGCACATTGGTTACTACGGAATTTGAAACCCAGCAGAAGAGGAGGAGACAAAAGACATAGGAAAAGGGAACTGAGAATGGGAGCGACAAACACGCATACACGCACGAACGCCACGGTGCTCAGTCAGTGATAGAGCACACGAAAGCACACGCAAAATGGTAAATGACTTGCGGCTTTCGTTCAACTAACTCTTCATTTGACCCTTTGTGGCACGCAAACCACACCACCTCGCACCCTCGCAGCGCATGTAACATGTTGCATGGCAGACAACGTCACGTCACCTCACGTTACGTTCGCAACCTCACGCTCCTTGAGCACCGTGCGCTTCAGTCCGCCTTCCGTCCTGACAACGCACATACGCACACACAGTCGCAGCACCCGTGCCCTCACGAGACATGCGGCGGCACGCAAGCATGCGACAGTGGGAGTTAGTTACCGGACCTAGGGAGAGGCTCGGAGAAGGACCTCCTTAGAGACACACACAACACCGGCCAAGCCGCACGGGGTCACAGGGGGAGGAGGGAGCTCCTGTCCGCCTCCCTCCTCCCAACGTGTGAGGGGCTGTGTTGTCTTAGTGGTAGGTAGGTGAGAAGTGCACGACACGCACATACACATGCCGTACTGCGCACATGCAGAGGCATGTGCCGTACCGCACATCAAAACACACACCTACACGCACATGCCCAGAAAGATCGAACAACGTGCCATCGTACATACACCGTACAATAAGCACAAATACCCCAAAAGCCCGGGCTCAACCGCTATCTACCTCCACAGCTAGTAGATATGCGCGGTGCACTCACGGCCTCGTATTATTACTGCGCTTCAGTAATACATATCTTTCTTTCAGTGCCAATAAACGGCACGCACACACGCATACGTACATATATCCTGTAAGCCAGCGAGCCAGCCAACGCCATCCCGCCAGCCGACGTCAGCTGGGCCACTTCGCAGCCACCGCCTCCCTCCACATGGAGCCGTTGGCCGCTTGGTGACCCACGGGTCACTCGTGGCAAAGGTACAAAGATACACGCACGCACATCCACACGCCGGCGAACACAAAGCAAAACTAGTGCCTCATAATGCTACTATGAACATACGTATACGGCAACACGAGGTCTAGCCCACGCACTTGCGAAAGCACCCTGCCTCGGCCCTCTCCCACACCCATCCATGCACTCATCAACCCCGTTCCTCTCCTCCCTCCGCATCTTTGCAGCGGCGGCTTCTCACCCCCACCCCCACCCCCACCTCCATCCTCCTCCTCTTTCCTCTCCCCTTTTCCCTCAATCCGCCGCTCCAAAAACGAGTCGGCAAACAACCATGACGCCCTCCATGCCGCACCCCTTGCCCCCTACCCCATCTCAATCCCCCCCGACAGGTATGTCGCCATGCGCGCCACCTTGTTGGCCACGTCCTTGGCGTCCCGCCCGCCCCACGCCTCCTTGAGGCTGGTGGTCAGGTACTCAAGCAGCAGCCGCAGCTTCACGGCCAGCGGGCGGGTGGGGCCGCCGGGGGGGATGAGCTCCGCGGAGGGGCGCTTCAGGGAGGTGCCGGCGTCGCCAACCTGGGAGGGAGGGAGGGGGGCGGGGCGGGGCGGGGGATTAGGTAAACTCAGGGGCGGGGGAGCAGGAGAGTCAGGGGCGGGAAGGGAGGGAGGCAAGGAGGGGCGCGTATGCATGCTTGAGCAAGGCTGTGGGCAGGGGATTAAGGGATCTCTCAGTACTTTTACATAAGGTATCCCTCACTCGTGTTAACAACTATTGTAGTAGCAGTTCTCGCTGCAGCTGCCGTCCCTGCTGCTCCCCTCCCCTCCCCTCCCCTCGTGCCCCCAACGTACCGTGCGGTAGTAGTCGTACACCAGTCGGTCCAGGTCGGGCGGCTCCAGGTCGCGTTCCATGTAGTACTCGATGATGTCCTGGAGGGGGGGGGAGGCAGGGGGGGAGGCAGGGGGGGAGGATAAAGAAAGGAAGGCCGGTAGCACACGAATATGAGGACGCGGGGGTAGCTGGGAAAGCTAGGGGCACCAGGGTCTGCCCTGCCCTCCCTGCCCAGTCCTTCTCTCCCCTTCTCCCTCTCCCCCTCCCGCCTTCCCTCCCCTGCGCTCACCTCGTGGTCGGGTGGGGAGATGAGGTCCGCCAGGCGGGCTACAGCCTGCACCGGTGGGTGGGGTGGGGGGGTGGGGGGAGCGAGGGGAGCACATGACGGAGGAGGAACGAGGACAAGAAGAGACGGACTAACCGTGTGGCATGTGTATAGGCTCCACTGTGGGGGAAGGGCTGCATGCAGCGGGTGCCTACTAGGGCGGCCAGCGGTGCACAGCGCCCCCCGCCCCCTCACCCAGCAGCAGCCACATGGGCCCCCCTCCCTCCGCAACCCAACCTCGCCAGTTTCTCCTCATGTTAACACACCTCGATGAAGTCCCACAGTGTGAGCGACACCGCCCGCTGCCGCCTCCTCAGCTCGTCCGTCACCAGCGCCTGGCTCCACGCGAACACCAGTTTGGCCTCGTGCCGCTCCACCCCCGTGGCCAGCCCCAGCAGCTGGTTGGAGTCCAGGAAGGCCATGAAGTGCTCCGGCCAAAAGTACTTGGCCCTGGGGGGAGGGGGAGGCGGGGGGGAAGGGAGGGAGGGGAGGAGGGGGGGAGGGAGGAGGCGGGGGTCAGAGATATAGCAAAACCACAGGTTCGGGCAAAGCAAGGAGGCGGGGGGAGGCGGGGGGGGGGGGGGAGATGGTAAAGAGGAAGCAGCTAAGGAGCTGTGCGACATGGCGATGCCCACATGCGGCCTCCTCAACCCCACCTATCCCGCGGTCAGTTACTTGGTTCCTCGTTATCCCCACCCTCGCCCCGCGGCCCCCCCACCTGTCCCGCGCCTTGTACAGCTTGAAGGCCGCCACCAGCAGGTCCATGTACTCCTTCACCACCTCCTCCACCTCCTGCGTGTAGAACCGGGTGCGCCTGGGGGGGGAGGGAGGGTTCGGGTGTGTTTACGGTTCATGAGGCACGCAATCATGCGAACTGACGCTACCCATTCGCCAGTCCAGCTGTCTTGCTCCCCTCTCTACGCCCTCCCCCTCCCCCTCCCCCCCCTACCTGAACTCATTGGGATCCACCCTCGCCTCCTCCGGCAGCTCGGGCGCCGCGGATATCTCCTCCAGCAGTGCACCCACCGCATCGCTGGCGTCAGTCATGCGTCTTTGGAAGGGGGGGGAGGGGGGAGGAAGGAAGCGGGAGGGGATAGAGGGGGCAGAGGGGGAGGGTTGGAGCGGGGGAACAGAGGGGCTGGCGGGGGGTGTTGCGGAGGGTGGAGGGCCCGGGTGCAGCGCTCCTCCCTGCAGGGAGGCGGGAAGGGGCGTATCACCGCCAGCAACCGCTTCGCTGGGGCCCAGCCCACCAACCCAGCCCTCCTCGGTAAGCCCCCCCTCCTCCCCCTCCCTACAAGCAAATTCCGGTAATCTACGGTCAGGGTCAGTGTTTCCGCGGCTCAGTTTATCTAATCCCCCTCCCTACTATATTTCCCCTCCTCCCCCTCCCTAATATATCCCCCCCTCCTCCCCCTCCCTAATATATCCCCCCCCTCCTCCCCCCCCCACCCTCTTCCCCCCCCTCCCCCCCTGCTCACTTGCTGGTGATGTACTTCCCGAACGCCACCCGCACCAGCCCCTCCAGGAACTCGAAGCGCACCATGGCGTCGTCGTCATTGGCGTCCGCCTCCACCGTCTGCGACTCCTCCTCGAAGTTGACAGCCACGAAGATGGTCTGGCGGGTCAAGAGGAGACGGTGGGATTAGATAAACTGAGCCGCGAGAAACCACTGACTGAGACGGTGGGAGTGCGGGCGGGGAGGAGACAGTGGGGGGTCAATGATACATACCAAAACACAGGAAAACCACACAAGGTAGGGCAAAACAACGTGTGGCGGTGGGGGTTGTAGGTAGGACGGGGTGCGCATGCGGGTCGGCTGCAGCGGAGGATGTGTGTTGAGGTGAGGTGCGATGAGGTGAGGTGGGGTGAGGGGGCCAAGCGGCATTGGGTTGACCCCGCCACCCCGCCAACTCCCTCCCTCCCTCACCCCGCACCCCTCTTCCTCTGTACCCCGCCAACTACCTCTCCCGCTCCCGCCAATGCGGAATGTTCATCCCTAGTACCCCCCCTGCCCCCTCCCCCCGCCCCACCCACCTGCATGTCCTGCAGCGTGCACCCCCGCTGCGCCGGCTGCACCACCCCCGCGTCGTTGCAGAAGGCCAGCCACGCGCCCGCACCCATCTGAAGCACCTCGGAGGAGGCTGGGGGGGGGGAGGGGGGGAAAAAGAAATTCCAAAGTGTGGTGTGATGATGATACAAGTTGTTGGGGGTGAGCGAAATGGATGGGGAGGAGAAAGGGGTTATGGGGTTAGGAGTCACAGGGAGGCAGGGGAAGGGAGGACAAGGGCTCGTCGAACAGGCGCCAGGGACTGGGTTTTACGACGGTGTTTAGCATGCGGTAAGCAACAACAAACAACAGAGGTGTTGTGCCTCTGTGCGCGCACACGCAAACGCAATCAGCTAGCCCTTCCCCAGCTCCCTTCCCCCTCCCTGGGCCTACGACTCGACCCCCCCCCCTACGCTACATTCCCCCATCACTCTCCCCCCTCCCCTCTCCCCTCCCCCCCCCCTCACTCACTCGCCCCGCCGAACATCATGCTGTAGTAGGTAAAGCAGGAGCGGATGAAGTTGGCCTGCCGCTCCAGCTCCTCACGCACCTCGCCCAACTCGATCTCCAGAGGCTGCGCGTCGTTTTTCACCTGGGGGGGAAGGGAGGGAGGGAAGCAAGGAAAAGACGACCCGGTGTGTTGAAGGGTGACGGCAGATTAGGTGACAGGTCCGGGGCCGAGCGTGAAGGGTGAGGGGGAGGTCAGAAAAACGAAAGAAAACAAAGGGGGTAAAGAAGGAAGGTGTGAATAGTGCTATACTCCGCGGCTCCGCGCGGCTCACTGCACTTCACTGCATGTCCCTTCCCCTCCTTTCCTCCCCCCCCCTCTCCTCTCTCGCTCCTCTCCCTCCCCCAAGCCGCTGCCCCCAGTCACTCACCCCCGCATCCCCGCGCGCCACCATGCGTCGGAACCTCGTCTTGCCCACCACCCGCTTCCAGTCCAGGGCAAGCTGCTGGGCACGGATCTGGAGTGGGGGGAGGGGAGGGGAGTGGGGGGAGGGAGGGGGGTTTAGGAAAGGGAGGGAAGGAGGGAGGGAAGGAGGGAGGGAAGGTGGGAGGGAGAGAGGTGTGTGGAGGGGAGGAGTGGGAGGGAGGTGGAGGCTGGGGTGTGTATATGCACGGAGGTGGCCTCGAGGTGATGTGGCGAAGAGGCGACGATGACGGCGGATGCTGATGACGGCAGTCGCCCCCCTCCCTCCCGGCGACCCTGCCCTGCCTCTTACATGCATCACTACATACCCCTGCATGCCCCATCCACCCAAAACACACACACACACATATACACGCGCCGGTTTTCTCTACACACACGCGCGCACCCCCCCACCTTATCCGTGTCGTACAGGTCCCTCGCCTCGTTCTCCTTCTTGCGCTGTGCGAATATGGAGTCGTCAGCCGTCCAGGAGGACTGCTTCACCACCTTGTGCTCCTGGGGGGGGGAGGGAGGGAGGGAGGAGGGGGAGGAGAGGGAGGGAGGAGGGAGGGGTGTAGGCGGAGGCGGAGGACTTATTCTAGGGTGGGGGGGTTGGAGGCTGGGGCTCGTGAGTCTTCCCAAGCTAATGAACGTGACCCACGAGCCGGCAGTGAAGGCGACCCATGGGTCACTCCCTACAACTTGCACTCGCATCCCCCTCCTCCTCCCCCTTCTTCTCCCCTCCCCACTCACCACCTCCACGTAGGGGCGCTCCACCTTGGGTTTGGGTATGACGGGCGGCAGGAAGAAGGGACGCTGGCTATTGAGCTCCTGGGGAGAGAAGGGGGAGAGAGGGGCAGGGAAAGGGAGGGGGGTGGAGAGGTGAGCGGTCGGGGAGGGAAGAGGCGGACAGGAGACACGCAGTAGAAGGCACCTGGACCCCAACCCACTTCACCACTCTACAGTCCTCTGTTCTCCTTCTCCCTTTTCCCTTTCCTGCATACCCCCTGCCCCTCCCGTTCCACCCCGCCCGCTCCTTCTGCCTCCTAACCGTGCCTTATGGGGTGGGCCGGGTCCAGTGTAGCAACCCATGGTGAAGCCCCTCGTGATACAGCTCGTCCGTTTCCTCTCTTCAGCCCCCCCTGCCCCTCCCCCACCTTCATGGCCATCTCCAGCTGCCGTGCCGGCGCCTCCTCCGTGCTCGCCACCTCCAGCAGCCTCCGCAGCCGGAACTTGGCGCGCTCGGAGAGGGCGCGGTAGGCCGCCTCCGCCGCCTCCGCGGCCTCCTCTTGGAAGGCGGCGGGGTTGGCGGCCTGGAGAGCCTGGTGGGCAGGGGGGAAGAGGAGGAGGAGAAGGAGGAAAAGGGGAGGGAGAGGGGGGTTCGGAGGAGAGGAGGAGGAAGGAGGTCAGAAGCACAGTGCGCGCGCCACCAACCCTAAATCACTCGCGGCCAGCTTTCTTAACACACAAACACCCCACCACCATCACCGCCAGCACCTCACATGCCCCCACCCAGACATGCCGTACACCCCGTACTCCCCGTACACGGCACCACCCACCTCCAGCAGCTTTCGCCGCCGCTCCCGCAGCACCGCCTCCCGCTCGTCGTACCCCATGCCCTCAGGCAGGGGCGACACCGTGCCGAAGCGAGCGATCAGCGCGCGCACCGCCGCCGCCGCAGCCTCGCTCTCCGCCGCCACCGCAGCGGCGGCCGCTGCCGCCGCCGTCGCCGCAGCCGCGGACCCCGGCCCCCCGCCGTACTCCGACGTCGCCATGCGCCCTGGCGCTCGTACGGCGCCCACGACAATGGGCCCGCTACGACTGCCTCCGCCACCGCCACCGCCGCCGCCGTGGTCTCGTCCTCGCAGCGACGGCAGCACGGTAACCGTACCCCCCTCGCCGGCGGCGACGCCGGAGGCGGCGGTGTCAACGGGGGCTGAAGCCCACGCTGCATGGTGCACGACGTGTGCTGGCGAGGTGGATGAGGACGGCGAGTGGGGCTGCTGCTGCTGCTGATGCGGGTGAGGGTGACCCCCCATGAGGCTTGCATGGCTGCCGGCGGCGGAGGCGGCGGCGACGGCGGCGACGCTGAGGAGTCGGGGTGTGCTGGCGGAGGCGGCGTGTACGAGTGGGGAGTTGGGGCTGCTGACGGAGGTGGTTGCTGGTGCTGCTGCCCCCGCCGCGTCCCCTGAGGCTGCTGCTGCTGCCGCCGTGTTGTGGGGGTCGGTGACGCTGCCGGCGAGGGGCGCCAGCAGCGGCAGGGAGCTCATGGAGCGGGTGGCTTGCAGGGGCGGCACGTCCACGGATTGCTGCGTGCGCAAGGGGGTGGGGGGTGGAGACGGTGACGGGAGGGCGAGGGCGTGAGCGGACGAGTTCTGGGGCCCACGGCTCACAGGGCTGGAACCTAATGGCCTTGTGTCAAGCCTTGTGGCGCCGTGCCTCCCACCGCAGTTGTTGTTGACTTCCCAGTCCCCAACCATCGACCCAACCCGCCCCCCCGCCCAACCCACTCACCCCCGCCATGAGCGCCTTCAACGACGCCACCCCCGCCGCCACGCCGCCCTTCTTCATGGCCCCATTGGACATCAGCTGGTGGGTGCTCATGCTGCGCGTGCGGCGCTGCCGCTGCCGCGCCGCCGCCACCAGGCTGTACTCGTCCATCTCCTGCATCTCCGCCACCGCGCGCATCACGTTGGCGGCGGCGAGGGGCGCCACGGTGTTGTTGTTGTTGCCGCCGCCCAGGGCAGCGGCGGCGGCGGAGGCGCTGTCGGAGGCGGTCTGACGGCCGGCGGCTAGGATGGCCCAGCCGCCGCCTGGAGGGAGTGCGGAGCAGAAGGGACACGGGGAGCCCGGCGGTAGGTGTGCTGCGTACGGATACGATCGCCCCGCCCCCCAGCCCGCATACGGATAGGCTAGCCTGGCTACGGTACACACCAGCACCCCCCCTCGCCAGCTACCCGGCTGCCTTTCCTGCCCTTCACCTCAACCCCAGCACCCCCAACACGCACCTGTTCTGTGCGTCCCCGTCTTGGCCGCCGCTCCGCCCCGCTGCCCCCCTGGAGTCTTCCTGCCCGACCCGCCCCCGCCGTGCACATCCGCCAGCACCACTCGCCGCTCAGCGGGGTGCAGCGGCAGCGGCAGCTGCTGCTGCTGCGACCCTACTGGCGCCCCGGACCCGGCCCCTGCCCCCGATCCGGCCGCACCAGCTACGCCCCTGCCCGAAGCTGCCTCCCCACTCGTGTCCACTCTATCCAGCGGAGCCGGCGCCAGCAGCTGCCGATGGAAGATGAGTGACGCAAGCGACGCGCCGCCTTTACCTCCGCTGCGGCCCCCGGCCTGGTTAGGCTGCTGAGCGGGTTGCGATGCCGGCAGGGGTGCTGCCGCCGAGGCAAGCGGCGGCACCGGCCGGCGCAGCGGTGGCCCCGTCAGCTGCGCCGCCACTGCGGAATCTGACGCCGCCGCCGCTGCGGAACCCTCCGCCGCCGCCGCCGAGGACCCCGACGCAGCCGCGTCAAGTGCGGCCGGCGGGATCTCCGCTGCAAAGGCTCGGAGCTGCTCCTCCGCATCGCAGCAGGTGCTCAGCGCCACACGCGCCAGCTCCATGCCCGATAGCACGTGGCTGCTGCTGGCCTCCGCTGCCGCAGCCTCCGCGGCGGCCGCCGCCTCCGCCGCCACCGCTTGCGAGGGCGGCAGGCCGCCGAACACGAATGGCGCGCGTTGGTGTACACGTGCCAGCAGGGGCGCTGCGCCGCTGATGCTGGTTGCTGTGCTGGCTGTTGTTGTTGCTGTTGCTGTGGCGGCGGTGGTGGCGGCGTCAGTTGCGGCACCCGGAGAGGTGATCAGGCCCCCCACCGCGGAGCTCCGATAGGACCGCAGCGGCAGCGGCGTCACGCCGTTCATGCTGAGGCGTCCTGGTGCAGCCGCAGCGGGGGCGCTGCCGGAGACGGTGGCGGAGGCGGTTGCTGCGGGCTGCGCGCCGCCGGGTACGCCGAAGTGCATGGCACCCATGCTGGAGCTGCGGTAGGCTTGTGGCGGCAGCGGGGATATGCTGGCTGCGTTGGCGTTGGCGCCGCTGCTGGTTGAAACGGCAGCGGCATGGACGGCATGGTCGGCGCCAACGGCAAAGACGGGTGACAGCGGCTCCACAACACAGCGCCGGGACTGCTGCGCTGCCAGCGGTGCGCTGCCGCCGCTGCCGCCGCCGCCCATGGTGCCCTGCGCTGCACCCGAGGTGGAGCTAGGAGCGCCGTACGTGCTGCCCATAAGGGATCCCCGATAGGACCGAGCAGGGAGGGGCGCTACGCCTGGCAGGGTGGTGACACCGGGGGAGGCGATGGGTCCAGGGGAAGGCGACGTCGGTCCGCCTCCTGCGATGGATACTCGGCGGGATTGAGAGGGCTGGGTAGCGGTGGTGGTTGTGGTGGTGCTGGAGCCGCCGATGCCGACGTCACCACGGCCGGCGGGATCGGGGCTGCTGTGCCTGCTGTTGGCTGTGGTTTGGTAGGCGCTGCCGCTGCTTTGGCCGCTGCTGTTGCTGCCATGGCTGACGATGTTGCTGCTGCAGCTTGCGGCTGAGGAGGAGTAGGTGATTGGGCTGGACTCTGCAGCGGGGGCTGAGGTGTGCAGAGCCCCCACAGTTACAGCGACATGCGAGGGCGCATCCCCGATCACCGAGAACCGGTACACGCCATGGCTACCGAGGACCTGATGCTGGGAACCCCTGTGGCGGAGGCGTCGCGTTGTGAAGAACGGGACATGTAAGCACATGGAGCATGCACAGCTTGACCGGTCCTAAGGTTAACCGGTAACCCCAGCAAGCGCGTGAGGCACGTCAGGTGGATTCCCTAGCTCCTTTAAAAAGCTTCGATTTCCTTAGGTCGGCTACAACTACCAAGTCGCACTCGACATATACTAGCAAAATATACACTATATTGTGGTTGTCAGTGCTCCTTTGTGTTTAACTGAAGCAGAACGTGCTAGACATCCCCGTCAGCCGACGCTCCTTCCCAACCGTAATGATGCAGATACAATAAGCCCGATAAACACTGAGGCCAAACTGGCTTACCACACGTCTCCGCCACTTAATATGCTGCCGCGCCTCGCATTTCCCACAGCCTTAGGGTGCGCCCCAGGGTCATGCTTCGTAGGAGGTTCAGGGGGCTTAACTTCTAAGGGCAGAAGCAACGGAATGCGCCCCATCTACATCAGCTGGGGCATCTATCGTTTGGGCACCAATTGACCTCTGGCCATTTAGGAAATGGTTATAGTCGTCCTAATTCATATAGTCAAGCTTATGTGTGCACAAGTGCTCCATGGCAAACTCGTGCAAGTTGCAGGGTTTGTGGATGGAATGTTGAGGTATACGGTAGCTAGTGCTTGGTGTATTAGTCCTTAATAAACGTCATGATACTCCGCGCTCGCCTTGGCAGGTAATCTAAGCTTTGTGCAGTCGGACTCGTCAGTTAGTGATGCCTAACATCTACACAGTGTACGGCAGCGTTGTATCTGTTATGGCCTCTGGACTCCCCCAGCCCCAAAGCAATTGCTTTCGCCTTATGCACATCCAGGACACTTCCGTCTGATCGAAAGCTCTATGTAAGCTTTATGATTTAGTACTCTTGTTTTGGAACCAAGTTTATGCGCACATGTAACGGGTCGTTGTGCGAGGTGCTTAGCTGCGACGGAATCGCTTCAACCTTTTCGGCGGCCAACTACCTTACGGTCACCAATGGTTATAGTATTCAAGGCTGTGGAACTGGGTATCGGACTGGACAGACGCAGGAACTGTTGCAAGCAAAGCCCAAGCGCTCCGCCGGCTTGGCGGCTGCATCCTAAACAAAATGACAGCATATTATAAGCAAGTTCGATAAGCTTCCAGCTGCCATAGACGTATGTCAGTGTCAACAAGCCGACTACACGTAAGCGTTACTTAGCGGTTATATTCCTCAAAGATACAACGGAGACCAACTTCATGCAGAAGAAGCGTATGCAATCCTTTACCATCAATGCGACTCCCCCAAAACCTAGGCACGACCCTGTTGAACACTCGGTTGTGCTTCCTTGAGCGTAGCCCCTATTACCAGGAACCTTGCTATGACGAGCATCGGTTATGCCCCAACAAGCCAACTAACACATGCATGCAATGCTAAGCAGCCTACTAACCAGGGTTCCGGAACTCCAACAAAAGGCCCAGCGCTTACCCAAACCACCACGCAGCCATGCATAGCCTCCTCGGCAGCAACACCAACAGGCAAGGTAACAGTAACCCCCATACACTCTGAACCCAAGCCGCTACCCTCACTACTCCTGCCATTGTTTTGCCCCAACCTGTGGTTTCCCGTGGTCTTTGACCCCCCTAATCCAGCGCATACAGATCGAACTGGCACGTACCCTCCTCCCCCGCCGTTGCCATCACCGTGCATGGGTGGCTCTCGCTCTTCCCATCGCTGCTTACGCGGCGACCCACGCCAACATCACCAGCCGCAACGGCACCTAAGCCGCACCCGCCGTCACCCTCAACACCGTTCAGGTGGCTACCATCATCAGCCACCCAGGACCCACTACCGCGATTCACACCGCTGCTACCGTCGTACATCGCCGTACCAGCAGCCACGGCGGTAGCGCCGCCATTGCGGTTGTCCTCGGTGCCGTACGCCACCTCAACCGCCAAACTAGCTGCCTGCAGTACCAGCTGCCGCCGTCCCGTTATCCCCACCCCCGCTCCTGCATCCTCCCATTCCCGCCCCTGCCCCTGCCCCTCCTCCTGCTCGTCCCCCCGCTCCAGCTGCCGCTGTCGCAGCTGCAGTGTGGTGAGGGCCCGCTGCAAGCACCTGCGTGCCGCCAGCTGGCTGCCTGGCCCCACCAGCGGATTGCGCACCCGCTCCCTGACCTCCTCCTCCACCTCCGCCTCCACCCTTCCTGCCGCCCCCGCCTCCACCGCCACCACCAGCTGATTAGTCCCCCCACTCGCGTCACCGGCAGCACTGGGTCCGACCGCCAGACTCATCCCACCACCCAGCCGCTCTGCTACCTCCGACTCGCCGCCGCCATCCACCAAGCCGGCATCGCTGCCGGAGGGACCGTCCAACAACCCCCCCGCAGCAGCAACACCACCACCGCCGAGACGCCTGTTATGACCGCTGCCGCAGGTGCCGCTGCCGCTGCCGCAGGTGCCTCCGCTGCTCTCGTAGTGCAGCGGCGCGTGCTGTTCCGCGTTGTAGCCCGCAGGCAGCCCCACCAGTCCGCCGCCCGCCACCGCCTGCACCTCCTCCCAGGCCAGCGGCTCCGGGCTGTACGACAGCAGCCCCTCGCTGCCGTACAGCTGCAGCACCTGGCAGTACTCCTCCGCCTGGGGGTGGGGGCGGGGAAGATGGCTTTCGCGCCGGAATAGACGATCCAGTACCCTCTCTCCTTACTCCCCTACTCTCCTTCCTGACCCAGATCATCTTAACCTCCTTACCTCCCCACCTCCCGACTTCCACGCACCCACCCGGCCCTCCCTCACCTGCGCCAACAGCATCAGCGGGTGCTGCAGCATTAGGTCCAGGTCGTTGGCGTCGGTTGCCTCCAGCAACTTCGCAACCACCGGCTCAGGCAGGCCGGGCGCAACCTCCCCTATGCGCTGCCGCATCCAGCTGGTGTAGTAGTGCCAGCGGGGCCGCGGGCGCAGGAAGTCGGGCAGCCGCTCCTCCGCACGACGGGCGAGCAGCGACCGGAGGCCCTGCGCGGGGACAAATTAGGGAGGGGGGCGGCGTGGCGGTGGTGGCGTGTGGAGGCGTGTGGCGGTGATAGCGGTCCAAGAGGAGGATAGGTGGATAGGGTGGGCAAGAGGGGCCCCTCTTTTCCCAACCCTCGAACTTACTCAACCCCTCCTTCCCCATCTCTCCCCCCCAAGGCCTCCTGCCCCTCCCTACCTGCTCCCCTCCCTCCCGCACCGCCTCCCACGCCTCCTCCGGCAGCCTCTCAACCGCCGCCTCTAGCGCCACCTCCACCGCCCGATCCAGCTCCCCATGAAGCTCCCACACCCTCTGCTGTCCCTCCTCCTTCCCCTCCTCCAGGGCAGCACCACCAGCACCAGCACCGCTAACACCAGCAGGAGCAGCGGAGGCACTACCCGCCGCCACCACTGCGGCCCTTTGCTGCTGCTGCTGCTGCAGGAGCTGCCTGGCTCGCAGCAGGGCGAGCACTGGCTGCTCTGGAGCCGCCTCAGGAGCAGTCGCTGTGACAGCACTGGCACCAGCAGTAGCAGCAGCAGTGACAGCTCCAGAAGCAGCAGCAGCAGCAGCAGCCGTCTGGGCTTCCGCTAGCAACAGGTAGGCTGCGGGCCAGGAGCCACTGCTGCTGCCGCCGCCCACTGCTGCTGGTGCTACAGCTGCAGATGCTGCTGGCCCACTGCCGTTACAGCCGCTTTCGGTACTGCTGGCGGCGATGCCACTACTGGAATCTGCGGTTTCCTTGTTGTTCGTGGCTTTAGTGGCGGTGGCGGTGGTGGTGGTGTTGACGGAGGAGTTGTCATTGGCGGGTGACGGAGTGGTGTAGGCCACCGCGACCCTGGCGTCCTGCGGAGGGTGGCGGACGGCAGCACCGGTGGGCGGATCAGCAGACACACCTACTCATTTGGGAGCAGCTGCGGCTGGCGGCTACAGCTGCCGGTAGGCACATCCTCCTGCTCCTACCCAACCCCAGCGCGCAGCAGCAGCACTACACGTCCCCTCCCAAGGCGCCTCCTTCCCTATTCCTCCCGGTGCGCTGTTATCCTAGCCCGGCACCCACTGCCGCCCCTGCTTCAGCAGCAAAATTACCGGTATGTTCATCCTGCCTCGCCCGCCCTACCTTCACTGCCTGCGCCGGCGCGCCGGCCTCCAGGTACGCCCAGCCGCGCAGCCATGCAAGCAGCGCGCGCTGCGGCACAGCCGCCACCAGGCCTCCTCCTCCTCCACCTCCAACTCCTCCATGTTCCACACCATGCCGTCCACTGCCGCTGCCGTCGCCGCCGCTGCTGCTCCCGGACGCGCTGGAACTGCTGCGGCTGCTAGCTGCGCCGCCGCTGCCGACCCGCCGGCCCGCCGCCAGCCTCATCCGTACCTCCAGCAGCACATCCCGCCTGCGTCCCAGCACCCGCTGCAGGGCCGCAGCCACCTCCCGCTCACCGAGCCGCTGCCCAGGCGGCACCAGTCGCAGCGCGCGGCCGTCTCGACGGCTGCAAAAGGGCGCGGGGGCCTCACCGCGTGCAATGAGGCGGGCGGCGGTGGAAGACAGGGTGGCGGCAGCATCGCTGGGTGCGGGCTGGGGCTGGGAGTGATGTGGGTCGGTGGGATGCGTTGGGATGGGGCTGGAGCTGGAGAGGGGGAGGATGGTGGAGGAGGGAGTCGGTGGGGGTGTGGTGGAGGGGGTTTGGGAGCGGTGGAGGTGGAGGTGGGAGGGAGGGGATGGCGTGGAGGGTGCATGGATGGGGCCTGGTGAGGCGGAGGGAGTCTCGAGGCACATGTGCAGGGTGTGTTTAGAGGTGAAGAGGTGGGGTTTAGGCGGTGTGACGTTGGCGGCAGAAGGAGGAGTGATTGGAATGGGAGGCTGGTGTGAGGCGGGCGCTGGACTGGGCAGGTGGGCACGGTGCCTGTACGGCGCACGGTGGTCGTAGAGCGCAATATTGAAGAGAACAATATAACGGCTAGGGAGCCCAGTGGTAGCGTGCCGGTCGGGGCGGTAAGCTATGGAGGGAAGAAGTGGCAGGGGTGGAATGGTTGCACAGGTACGGGTCTATATGCTTGCAAGGCGGGTTACACGCGGTAGTTACCGAGGTTAGCACCGGGCAACCCTTTTGCGCAGGTCATAAATGTATGAGCTGAAGGAGTGTTCTTGGTTCAGATGGCTTCTTGGGCCAGCTGTGGGCTTCTTGGGCCGACCGATGCCGGTCGTACCTCGCCAGTTGCATATACCGGTTGCCACACTCTTATTTTGGTCTGCTGCCAGCCGTGTTATATACCGGTGATCTCACACTAATATATGAAGTATTTACTAGTCCATGCTGCCTAGCTAGACAGTTCGCTACTGTTTAGGTGTCGATCCTTGGGAACTACTCTACCACCTGCTGCGGTTTCCTGCGTTACCTGTCAGGGCATGATCAGGAGTCAAGTTTAAGCATCTAAGCTTTCCTGAAAAGTATCGCGCGGGCGCGAGCCGCACAGCTACATCAACCCTCGAAACTCGGCTCGCCGCAACTCCGCAACCATGCTGCCAAAGGACCCGGCCGCTCAGGCCAAGGTTATCAAGGAGGTCATCCGGTCTTACTCCTATGTGGTCACTTGGATGGGCATCTCCATTGCCGTCATTTTGTTCAACAAGTGGTTGCTGGCGTACTCGGGATTCCCTTTCCCAATTGCCTTGACATTATGGCACATGTTCTTCTGCTCTTTCGTGGGCGTGCTGGCTGTCCGGGTGTTCAAGGTCGTCAAGTCCCACAACATGACGCCGCGGGAATACTACACGCGCGTAATGCCTATTGGTGAGGATCACACGGCCTTTCATGAAGACGGCTGGGTCTCGGAATACCTTTCCCTGGGACTTGCATTGGGAGGATTGCAACGGGTCTCCACCGACAGATAGCGCATGGAGCCCAAATTCGGCTAATAGTGTTAAGTCACAGTATATTATCACGTACTTTTGCTACTTGTCAGGCTGGTGTGGGTCGCTCAAGTTTGAACCCTCCCGTTGGTGGGACAGCTCTGCCTACTTCGCAGCTAGGGGGCATCTTAGACTCCAATCCACTACCCCGTAGTAACCCACCCTTATTCCGCATACGATTGTCCCCGGGCAGGCCACGGTCCCCTTCTCTCCCACTCAACTCTTATCCCTTCTTTTAACCCCATCAACTGCATTCCTTTCTCCCCTACAGGTCTGCTTTACGCCGGTAGCCTATGGCTATCCAACTCGGCCTACCTGTACCTCTCCGTATCCTTCATCCAGATGACTAAGTCGCTGATGCCAGGCCTGGTGTACGCGTCGGGCGTCATGCTGGGCACGGAGAAGTACTCGCGGGGCGTGACGCTCAACATGTTGCTTATTGCATTCGGCGTGCTGGTTTGCGCGTACGGCGAGCTGAACCTTGTCCTGAAGGGTGTGGTGCAGCAGCTGACGGCCCTGGGCTTTGAGGTACGTGGGGTGATGGTGGTGTGGCGTGGCGTGGCGTGACATAAGTGGGTTGGGTGCGAGCCGGAGGACGCTCACGTATGCGACCCACATCGTTTGTGGAAAGTGCGCGTACCTCCGGCGCTTGCTCGGTTGCAAATGACACCATCCTTGTTATCCCACCTCTGCTCCGCCACACCCTTGCATACAGGCCATGCGACTGACGATGGTTCAGGTTCTCATCAACAGCAAGGGCTACAACATGAACCCCATCCAGTCGCTCTACTACGTCTCGCCCGCGTGCTTCATGTGCCTGCTGTTGCCCTTCGGTAAGTGGGCGTGGAGCGTGGGCTGGACTAATGGTCTGCATGGCCAATGCGGTAACGCTCTATGCGTGTATGCGTCGCGCACTGCAATTAGGTACCATGCAGGGACATAGCGACTTCGTACGAGGGACGGCACTACCCCCTTGCGCCTAGCAGAGCCCCCTGGTTTTGTTGGTGCTCGTCTGCGCTGAGGCTGGCCCTCATGTCCAGGTACAGCATCCCATTATTATGTGTCCCCTCACCCTCGTCGCGCAGTGAGCGTTGAGATGCCGCGCATCCGCACCACCCACGACTGGACCTTCAACCCCTCCGTCATGCTGGCCAACGCCCTGACCGCCTTCATCCTGAACCTGGTGCGTAGAAAGGGGGCGGCCGCAGGAAAGGGAGGCAGCAGCAAAGTGGACAGCAATAACAGAAGAGACAGCAACAAGCCGAAATAGGCCACCCTTTGCAGCCGGTTTCCTAATGTCCAGTTTCCTAACGCTTTCTTCGCCCTGTGTGTCCCTTCCCCAGGCGGTGTTCCTGCTGATTGGCAAGACCTCGGCCCTGACCATGAACATTGCCGGTGTGATCAAGGACTGGATGCTCATCTTCTTCTCGTTCTACCTCTTCAAGGCGCCCGTGACCACCCTCAACCTGCTGGGATACGCCTTCTGCTGCAGGTACGGGTACGGGGTGCGGATGTCTGGAGGTTGCGCTGGTGGTGGGGTTCTGGGCGTCATTACCAAGCGAGGGCGTCGTTGACAGCGCTGGTCACGTATTGCTTTTTCTTGAGGGCTTGAGGATGTCCAGCTGTGCCCAAGCTGCTGCTTACCTCGCCCTTCCCCATGTGTCATGCAGCGGTGTGGTGGTGTACAACCACATGAAGCTGCAAATGATTAAATCCAAGGTCGCGGCCAGCAGCGGTGGCAAGCCCGACGAAGAGAAGCCCAAGGACGGCGAGAGGTACGGAACAAGGGGAAAGTAGTTAGCATCCTTTTGCAGACCAGGAAACCTTGAAAGCCTGCTCTGCCAAGCCACGCACGCCCGTGTCTCCCCAAGTCCTTCCACCACACCACCTTCAATCATCGTTTTGCCCCCCGCACCCACCCCAATTTCCCCCTCTTACACCTCAGGTCCAAGGAGGACATTCTGACTGAGATCCGGCGGCTACAGGCGCAGATGGCGGAGCTGGAGGACCGGGTGAGCAGCTCGGCCAAGGTGATGAACAGCGTGAGCGGCATGGGCCTGGCGGGCGCTGCCAGCGGGCCCTCGGAGCGCAGCAACGACATGGTGGTCAGCGCAGCCGTGGTGGCCAGCACCGAGCAGACGGAGAAGGAGAACAAGGACAAGTAATGTGGAGAAGGAGAGGGAGGGCTAGGAGGAGGGGGCGGTTCGTGGGGTTCTGTATTGTAGCAGGGTAGGAATGGTGGAGGAGAGGTTTAGGAGGATGGATGTGTGCGTGTGACACGCGGGTGCGTGACTGGCTCGGGGCAGCGTGCGCACAGGTAAAGAACTCCGGTCTATGCATTTGGGATTTTGGAATAGGGTGTGTGACACTTCCGCGCTGCTTTGCTGGCAGAATAGTTCGAAACTCAGCGCTTTGGACACGTATATGGTGCTCATGTAGTTATATGAGATCGTGTGACTTGATTATCAAAACTCGGAACAGCGGGTAAAGCTGCATCCCGCTGCGTGTATGATAGTGAGTAGCTGTGAGTGCGCCATGCGGTGCGGCAAAAGGGCCCCGTGTGGGTTAGGGGGTGGCGTGCGCAGTTGAAGGAAGCTGAAGAGCCAAACGAAGAGCCGGAGTCAACCTCTCGGCAGAGCAGTGCTGCTTATTGAGTGGCTTGGTCTTGGCGGAACGTGATTCGTGTCAGTTAACGTTGGCAACGAACAGCCTTGGACGATGCTTACCGGGGTTTTCGCCGGGTTACAACCGTAACAAGGTCTTATGGGGTTTATGGTGTCACAACACGAGACATGGGGGGACGTGGTGGCAACATGGCATGCTTGACAGAAATGTTTGGAAGGCCTGACTAGCGAAGTCCACTGGTTACTTGGCCGGTCTGACTTAGTAGCCAAGAGGCACGGTTTGGATAGCAGACCTAACAACTATTCCCATCTCTGGACTTAGCCTAATAGTATGAAACGTATACACGCCAACCATTTCACCGGTTAACACAGTATTTTTGGATTACGCATGGCTGTTTGTGTACAAAATTGTGCCGTCGACGCAGGTCGATGCCTAACGCTCAGGCGGAGTGCTTAAGTTACCGGTGAAGATTCCATGCGGCTAAGCCGGTGGTATAAATACATATATATGGCATGAAGGCCATCATCGGTGGCCATAACCAAACCACGTACACAGTACAAGTATGACGAATCTTCTCCTTTATACAACGCTTCTTGCTATGTACACAGCGGCAAGAGCCGCTCTCATACCCCCTTCCCAGCCCCACACCCATAGCCCCTCACACTCCCACTCAAGCCCGCATCAAGGCGACGGCAAGGGGCGACGGCACGTTGGGCAGTCCATCTTGATTGCCATCCACCTCGTCAGACAAGGCTCGTGGAAGAAGTGCCCACACGGCGTCACCATGCGTGCTGTCACCGGCAGCAGCGGTACCGGGTTCATGCAAATCACGCACTCCTTGCTGCCATGCCCCGTCTCCACATCGCCCCCGCCGCTAGCGCGCCGTTGCCCAACAGCCGCCACCGGTCCCGCAGCAGCAGCGGCGGCGGAGCTCCGGAACCAGTCTCTAGACGGCAGCCACGCCGCTAACCGTCGCAGCGCCGCCCGGCCACCTAGGGGAGAGAGGGCGAACGTGCCTAGGAAGGAACCGCTCATCGCCGCCGCCGCCGCTGCTCCTGGGGCGGTTGCGGTTGCCGGCGACGGAGGTGTGGCCACGTCGTCGCAGCCCATTTCGCGTCTGCTGGCCGGTCGGTAGTAGTCGTAGCGGCGCGGCAGGAATGCACGCGGGATGAAAACCCTGCCGCAAGCCCCGAGAGCGGCCGGGCGGGGGGCAACACGCCGGAGGGTATCCTAAAAATGATGGGAAACGTTGCCGATCGCACCCTACAACCCATACCGGTAACAAGCGTGTCAAGCCTGCCCAGCCCTCGCCCTCAATGCCTCACCTCCGCAAACCCCATTACACGCTCCTGACCCCCCCGCCCCTAAACCCCGCCCCACCCACCTGGGTCCCGAGCGCATCTGCCACGCCAGCAGTGCCGCCTGCAGCGCCACCCAGCCCGCCAGCGCCGCACACAGCCCCGGCCGCGACCCCGAGCCCATCAGGCTGTGCGGACAGCCCAGGAAGTACAGCGGAACAACAAGCCTGCGAGCAGGAGGAGCGCGGGCAGGAGGGCGGTCGGGAGGAGGGCTTTTAGAAGGTGGGTCTAAGAGGACCCTTGCACGCGCCCACATAGGCCGGAGTGGCCACAGCCCATCTCAAAGCACCCTACAAGCACCCACCCACCAACCCACCCACCCACCTCAGTCCCGACATGCCCCACACGTAGCTGTGCAGCAGCGGCGGCCGCGTGTCGCTGCGCGCGCTGTGCAGCAGCTGCGGCAGCCACCAGGAGTGCAGCGCCAGCAGCAGCGGACCCGGGTGCGACTGCAGCTGGAAGCCCAGCAGCAGACCTGCATGGGCGGCGGAGGCGGCGGGTGGTGGGAGGCGAACAGGGTGGGGACGGGTGAGGGGGGTGATGTGGTTGACTGGTTGCGGCTGTCATGCGGTTGTTATGTGGGAGACCGGCATCGCACTACAATTGCGGCCCCCATTGCAAGCACCCACCAAGCACCAGCAGCCCATAGAACCGCGAGTAGACCGCCGACATGTCGCGCCGTACACTCCAGAAGCCGCCGCCGTCGCCCGCTCCGGAACCGTTGGTCCGCTGCGCGCGCCACACCAGCAGCGTGAGCCGCATCTCAAACACCGCGAACAGCAGGAACTGCAGGAAGGCCGCCGCGAAGAGGGCGACGGAGGGGGTGTCCGGCAGCAGACCTGCGGGGTAGTGCCGTAGAAGTTGTACGACAGCATGGGCCATACAGAGATGCACATACGCATGAGGGCTTGCGTTCATAAAGAGTTGCGGTAAAACAATTAACGGCCGTTCACGGTAACCCCCATCACCTCTGAACGACTGTAACCCGCCCCGCCCCGCCCCGCCCCTTACCCGTCATGAGGTTGAGCAGGCACTGGTATGCGTCCAGAATGGACTGCAGGGTGTTGCCGTACAGCGACATGCGTGCGGCGGCGGAGGGGCTGGCGGCGGGCTCCATCTGGAGGGCCACCAGCACCAGCTGGGGAGGAGGGGAGGAGGAGGGGAAGTAAAGAGGAAACAACTAACTGACTGAGGGGAAGGGTGGATTGAGGACCAGGGGTGTGTTTAGGAAACTGGCCGCGAGTCGGAACGTACTGTAATTGCCGGAAGTCCCCATAGACACGGCACAAGTGTGTGTTTGTGTGTAGTTAAGGGATGATGAGAAGGCTTTCATTGAAGTGCAGAGGGGAGGACAAGCACTACCGTAGAAGCCGGGCAAGCAGGGATGGCGGAGGAACATGACAAAGGGCGTGATGGTGCAACAGGTGCGACCGAGCAGTAGCCACCGCAGCAACCGTCACCGTCCACCTCCCACCTGCGCAATCGCCACGGCCGCCACCACGCCGCTGTACCGCAGCAGCTGCCGGTACCTGCGCTCCGGGTGCAGCGAGCTCGCGTTCCAGTGCAGCACCAGACCGCAGTTGGGGGACTCGATCACGCCCACGAACACTAGATCCGGATCCGAGGGATCCATGCCGACCGGAATGCCGTACACTGCACCGCCGCTGCCGTCAGCCCCCCCGTCAGCAACACCGCCGTCATCATCCCACTCGTTCATGCGACCGGCATCCCCTGGTCTACCGGTAGCTACCGGCAGCACACCACCGCCACCACCCGCCTCGGTGTCGCCCGCAACGATGGTGGCGGACGCGGAGGAGAAGGCCCTGCTCATGCTGCCATTCCGCTCGCTGCCGCCACTGCTAAGCTCACCATGCAGCTGCATCTGCGTCGCGTGGTACATCTCGGTGTCAGCAGCCAGACCCCGCCGCGGCCGCTCTGAGTGGCGGTGGTGGTGGTGGTGCCTCCCGAGTCGGGGGTGGCGGGGCGGCGCAGTGGAAGAGCGACTCGTGGTCTGGTTGGTGAGGGGGTCCGGGGCGGGGGACGACGTCGCCGCTGCTGCCGCCGCAGCTGCGGCCGCTGCGGCGACATGGGTTGCAGCGGCGACAGCGCTACCCGCCATGACGGCAGCGGCGGTGCTGCCGGCATCGTCCTTGCGCCCTGTACTCCCATTCGCCACACTGGACATTGCAGTTCCCGCCGCCGTCGCTGCCTCAGCAGTACTAGCAGCAGCAGCAGTTGCAGCAGCACTGCTGCTAGCCTGCTCTTGCTCCTGCTGTTCCCGCAGCTGGTCTGGCGGGTGCGGATGCAGGTGCTGCGGGGGAGGCGGCGGAGACCGGTACAGCCGCAGCTGCTGGCCGTGCGCTGCGGCCTCGGGATCACCTGGGCGAAAGAGAGTGGGGCCAAAATAGACCGAACCATAGGGAAGAGAGTGGGGCGGATGGGGCTTGCATGCAGTGACGCTCTACCCGCCCTGCGATCTCGCAGGCAGCCCCACCCAGCCCCCGGTTCCCCACTCACCCTTGTAGTACACTCGAAAGTGGGCTCGGAACTCGCACGTCTTGCGCAACGGCAGGTCCGAACGGGGAGGCCAGGGGGGCCACGGAGGAGGTGGAGACGGCGCCACCGCCGCTGCCGCTGCCGCCTCACCTAATGCTCGCTGCTGCGACGACCGAGCCTGAGCGCTACTGCTACTGCTACTGCTGCTGCTGCCTCCTCCTCGTTTGTCGTCCCGAGTAGCACGCAGCAACGCGGCGAAGAGGCGGGGGTTGTTGAAGGCTAGGTGGTGGGCCGCGGCGGCACGCAGCGCGGTCCTGCGGCAGCGGTGGTAGGACGCAAGCGGCAGCAGCGTGCGGTGGGGTGCAGTGGGGTGCGCCCCCAAGCTAGCAGCAGGAGCAGCAGCAGCGGAGGGCCACAGGAATCAGCACCTCCTTCCTTCACTACCTTTTCCCTCTCCGTCACCAACTCGCACCCTCACCTGTAGCTGCTGCCGCTGCCCTCGCCGCCACCGCCACTTCCTCCTCCACCTCCAACGCTGCTCCAACTACCATCACCACTACCACCACCACCACCGCTGCCGCCTCGCCGCCCAAGCACCTCCAAGCTGCTCCCCGCCGGCACCACCCGCGACCCAGGCGGTGGCCGCAACCCTAACCCCAGCCCGGGCCCCAGCCCCAGAGCTGCCTGCACGTCCCCCGGTTCCACGTCGGCCCCCTGCGGCAGCTGCGGCTCCAGAACCGCGTGTACGGCAGCTGCCGCCGCCACGTAGACACCCCGCAGCCGGAAGCGCAGGCCGCGCTCCCGCAGCCCGGAGCCGTCTCGGAGCAGCAGCTCGCCCTGTTTAGGGGAGGGTGAGAGTGAGGGTGAGGGTGGGATTGGTGGGCATGGAGAAAAGGTGGTTGGCGTGAGGAGAGAGGATCTGGGCTGGGAATGGTGGAGTGCGGGGAACGGGGTGAGCAGAGGAGGTGGTGGTGGTGGTGTCGTGGCAGGAATGGTGGCATTGTGATTGAAGGAAAGAGGCTATCGAACGGTAGCGGCAGAGGAAGGGAAAGGGCATTGTGTTTTGGGCAGGTTGCGACGTGAAAAGGAAGGCACTGAGGAGCAGGTTGTGGTGCGGTACGCCGAGGAAGTACGCTGAGGAGGAGACGCGGAAGTCGCCTCTGCCTCCGGCCCCCATGCGCGCGGCAAAACTATCACAGCATCGTCTCACCCCGATGGCATATCACCAACAGAGCAATGCCTCGGAGGCAATGCCATCGGCACCCGTCACTACACGCCACCACACCACACGCCAAGGTTACGCGACGACCCTTAACGGCGGCACACCTCGATGTCCTGGATACCTCCGGGCAGCAGTTCGGACGTCCAGCCGTCGGCTCTGCTGCTGCTGGTGCTGGTGCTGCCCGCATGCGTCATGCCGCGTGGCAGCTGCTGCCCCGGCTCTGCCCTCCCATTGCCGGCGGCACCCGCGGCATGGGCCCCTGCTGCTGCTGCGGGCGAGGGTTCTGGGTTGTCCTCCTCTGGCAGGTGCAAGATGATCCTCCCCGCGTCAGCGGTCAGGAAGTCAGACCGCCGTAATGCATCCCCATATGAGGACTTGAGCCATGAGCCTATGTACCGGAAAGCCATGGTCATGTCGTAAGCGGTTGCGTGTATGTGCGAGGATATGTATAGGGATACAGTAACGGGGATAACGGCATAGGCAGATGTTGCTCACCTTGATAAATGCCCGTCAGCCGTGGTGGGCCTCTGATGGCAGTGCCATTGACGTCATGTGGTGGGTACAGCCGGCGAAGAAATGGTGCTAGCTCTAGCTCCCAGAGCGCTGGTGGCGAATTTGCGTACTCTGAAACAGCGACGTTCGGTGTTGATCTGTCTCCGGTGGCAATCGTGGATCCGGCAGAGGATACGGTGGATGTGGCATCCACGGAAATGTTGTCGGTTGGTAGCTTTGCGTTTGCGAACGAGCCTGACGCTTCCGTCGCACCGTTGGAGCTAGAGGCGTCGTGACCTGATTCAGTGATGGAGTGAAGAGACGGGGCTGTCCGACTAGAGCGCAAAGCTAGCAGCAGTATAAGTGCATGCAGCAGCTGTCGTGCCAGTTTCGAGTTTCGGCCAACGCGCGTAGGTTGCCTGACGAAAAGCATGCTATAAACCTAAGGACTAAACCCCCATCCCTTTTGCGTCTGTGTATGATACTCGGCAAGTACCATTCTTGCTCGCTAGTCCTTGCCCAATGCTATGCCACACCAATCTGCGATCCAGGGAAAAAAGAGCATACTTCGTAGAATGGCATGAAAAATTTAACGCAGCAACACGTGTAGGCAACGCATGGATACTGCAGTATCAGGGACCCCCATGAGCCGTACTTCGCGCAACGCGAGCGCTGCTCAACTCGCTTTGTACAGGTCTTGCAGTAATTGCGAAGAGGGTTGGATGACGCTACTTTCCTGACGGTTTCGCGCAACTAGACTATTGACTCACTTCCACGCCACGTCCACGCTTTGGTGCCACCTAGAGCTCGACTGCTGGTAGATTCTATAGCTGATCGTCAGGAGGCCGGTAAGTGGGGAGCATAGCGTTGTATCAAGACGGTGTAGGCGCGCTAGACTTTAACTTGCTGCGTGTTGCAGCTTCTCTGTCTTAGCTTATCGCGTTCCCGTATGGAACATGGTGTACCGGTGTTCGTGACGTAGTCACGGCCTTCACAAGCTCGCCTTTGCCTATTAGCAATTACCTGTCATCAGTGAGCTTTGTCCATAAGTGTCCAGTTGCAACCTAAAGGCGCGAATCTAGGCTCTTTAACTTGTGATCATGTTATGCCAAATTCCTTCGGCTTTTCCTGGAATCGTCTTGGACATATTCTTCGCTAGAGGCCATGTTACCCGTGCCTTTGGAGCCCTGTAACCCCGTAACCGTTTGCTACATTTATAGCCAAACTTCCAATTTAGTAGGCCTCGTGGCCTGGCGGGAGCGTGGCTCTGTAAGAGCGGAAGCTACCCTCCGGCGGGGCAACAGCGCGCCTTTGGAAGGCTTCGGCTACCTTGTCCAATGAACAACCAATTTCGGCTTCGCTGCTATCGCCCCTTCACCCCAACCACCGTCCCTCTTCCCCTTTCCCCTTGCTCCAGAGCGTCGTCGTCATACAACAGCCCAGTAAGCTTCGGCACGACTGGCTTACCCTTCCGGCAACCCTATTCTAGGGGACCGCAACCCACCCACTTCAAGCGGAGCTTCAAGAAGCAGCCTGCCCGGAGCGCGGCGTTCCCTCGGGCGTACAGTACCATCTGCGGCACTGCCTTCAGCAGCGGCAGCGGCGGGCGTGCTGGCTGCCCCCAATGCTGTCGCCGGCGCACTCGCCGTTCGCATTGAGTGAGCCCGTCAGCCCACTTTGCGCCCACAAGCGCTCAGGCCCCTTGGTGGCAGCAACCTTTAGTGCAGAGTCGCCTGGGCGCACCCCCAGCCCAGGCGGCTTCATCCCCTCCCCCGCGGCTGGCCGGAGGTAGTACTAGCTGACCAGCACGCCACGAACACGCCAGCCTTACGAACGTCGTGCTGAGAGAACAGAGCAACAGATCAGTAGTTTAGCATTGGCAACGGCTCCCTGCCCCTCGGCTTCCTAGCAGCTACAACAACAGCAGGCACTGTAGTAAGAGCTGTGCCCAGCGGAAGGATGGCGGTATCCACCTCGTGGACTCACTACCCGACGGCGGCAGGCCAGGCAAGCAGCATCCTTGCAGACGGTGCCAACGGGGCCAACGCGGCACACGAGCTGCACGTGCGTGATGCCGTCACCGCGGCAGCCGCCGGCGCAATGGCCATGATCGCCAACGGCAGCACCGCCGGCGCCGGCGGCGGCGGCAGCCGCGGGGAGCTCAGTGGGGGCAGCATGGATGCGGACGAGCCTGCCATGATGCGGCCTCAACACGACGGAGGAGGAGGCGGCGGGGCTGCTGCTGCTGTGGCCGGGGCTCCCTCTTGGTCCGGCAGACAGCACATGAGCGGGGCCGGAGGCGCGCGGCATCACCTCACCAGCCATCCGTTGCAACATGAGCAACCCCAGGGCTTTGATGCCTCTCCTGGAGGCGAGCATGGCGGAGGCAGCAGCCAGGCGGGCATGAACGCGGAGGGCGGTTGTTATGCTGGGGCTTACAGCCAAGGCACGGAGGGCTTTGGCGCAGGGAACCCGGCCGCGGACGTGCTGATGAGGGGCGGGCTGGCGGCTGAGGGAGGAGCAGGTGCCGGGTTTGGAGCGGGGCTGCAGGCGGCTGCAGGTGCGGGACCAGGCCCGCCGTCCACCCAGGCGAGGAGGTCGGCCGGCGGCGCAGCAGCGCCGCGCGGCGGCAGCAGCATGATGAGTGCTGCCGCGTCTCCGGTTGCTACCACCGCAGCAGCCGCTGACGCCGGCGGCGGTAGCGACGGCAGCAGCGCTGTGTTTGCAAGCTCCGGCGCTGCTAAGAGAAAATCGTGCATCAGCGTCAGCGCCTTCCGGCCCTACCATATGGTCTGCGCTGCCGCGTCTGCCGGCAGCGGCAGCAACCACAGCGGCCACCACCACCAGCAGCAGCAGCTCTCCAGCAACAGCAACAACCGCCGGCCCAGGTCCTGCGCGCTGCTGGTACGGGCCACGTCAGGCCTGGTGGCCGTGTACCGTGCCTGCCGGCCTGACACCTACCGCTACAGCCACAACGCTAACCCGCGCCGCGTGCTGACGAAGCCCTCGGCGGGCGTCAAGAACGATGGGTACGACAATGAAAACGCGGATCTGATCCTGCATGTGAATGACGTGCTGATCAACGGTCAGCCGGGTGCCGTACTTCGGCGCTATGTCGTACATGAGATGCTGGGTCAGGGCACGTTTGGGCAAGTGGTGTCGTGCTGGTGCGAGGAGCTGGGGTCAAGTGTGGCGGTGAAGGTGATCAAGAACCAGCCCGCGTACTATCACCAGGTGAGGCAGGGGAGCAGCTATCAGTAGGGGAAAGGGAGGGGAAGGTGGACGTGTGGACGGGTGGGTATTTGGGGAGTGGGTAAGGTCGTGCATCTGAGCAGCACGATGGTCCATGCCAGAGAAAGGGACATCCGTTCTGTGAGGCATGAAGGGATGGAGAGGGATTATGGGGTGCGTGCGTCGGCTGTCGTACGGCCCGAGGACTTCTCGGCTATGTTATAGGCGTACCCTGCTCAAGCTTTGCGCCCAAGCAGTGTGCTACCGAAGCGCGTGAGCAAAGCGAAAATCGTCGCGCCTTAAGGACGTTGCCAGCACTTTTGTTAACAGACAGACGGACGGACAGACGAAGCGATCTGTCCTCCAATCCTCCCCTTCACTTCGTATTTCTTATTGCTTATTTTCTTCCTGCTCACGTCGCCTTCCTGCCCTCCTTGCCGCATGCGTGCTCCCCCCCAGGCCCGTGTGGAGATCGGGTTGCTGCAGCTGCTCAACACGCGGTGTGACCCGGGGGACCAGGTGGGGGTGGGGTGGGGCTTTGCGGTGAGGGAGGTGCATGGCAGGATGAAGCTACGTCGGGGCGGGTTACGTTGAGAAGAGGCGGGACTACAGGCAGGGATGGGGAGTAGGCGCATACGTGGCAGCAGCCATTACCCCCCTCCTCTTCCCACCCTCCTCTCTGAACCCCCCTGCCCTCCCCCTGCCCCCTGCACCCTCCCTCCCCCTCCCGTCCAGCACCACGTGGTCCGCATGGTGGACTTCTTCCTGTTCCGCAAGCACCTGTGCCTGGTGTTCGAGAAGCTGGACGTCAACCTGTTCGAGCTGCTGAGGAGGAACGGGTTCAGGTGGGAGGCAGGGAGGCATGGGAGGGGATGGGATGAGGTGAGGGGGTTGGGGGAGATGAGCAGTGAGGTACAAACACACGGCGTGCGGGTTGGGAGATTGTAACCTCACAGTGCGCCTCCTCTTTCCTCTCCTGCCGCCGCTCCACACCCCCTCACCCTTCCCCTTTCCCAGTGTCCTCCTCCTCCATGCTGACCATGCATGCATGCCCTGCATGCCTGCCCCCCCCCAGGGGTCTGAGTCTCAGCCTGGTCCAGCTCTTCCTGCGGCAGCTGCTGGACGCGCTGGTGGTGCTGCGCGACGCGGCCATCATCCACTGCGACATCAAGCCGGAGAACATCCTGCTCAAGAGCCCGCACAGCGGCGACCTGAAGCTCATCGACTTTGGTTCCGCGTGCTTCGAGAACCGCACCGTGTACAGCTACATTCAGAGCCGCTTCTACAGGTGGGGGCAGGGAAGGGGAGGGAGGGGGGAAGATCTAATGCGTTAATTGTAATGGCAAGTTAGATGACAAGGCCTCGGGGAATGGGTTGGGAGTAACCGAGGAAGGGTGGAGGGAGAGGGAGGGAGGGGAGGGTATATGTTGAAGAGAGCCGCTACGGGGCCGTGTGTACAGGTAGTGGGGGGGGAGGTAGAAGAGGGAAGGGTGCACGGGTGCTTCGCTGTACACGGCGCGCGAGGAAGACAGGAAACACGGGTCGTGGCTGGCTGATACCCTTCGGCGCTGTTGGGGGGATCGTGGGCGGGTTGTCGCGGTGCTGAAACGGGAGCAGCACTAACATGCCGCAGCGGTCGGGAATGTCCTCCGGTCCGCCCTTCCGGTCCTCCGGCCCTCCTCCTTCCTCCGCTGACGCCATCCCTTCCTCTCTTTCCCTCCCCTGCCCGCCCCGTCCTCCTACCTCCCACCCGCCCCCAGGTCTCCCGAGGTGGTCCTGGGTTGCGGCTACACAGTGGCAATCGACGTGTGGAGTCTGGGCTGTGTGGCTGCGGAGCTCTTCCTGGGCCTGCCGCTGTTCCCGGGCGCCTCCGAGCACGACCTGCTCGCGCGCATCGTGCAGACGTTCGGTCTGCCGCCGCGGTGGCTGCTGGAGAGCGCCAAACACGCGGACAAGTTCTTCAACAAGAGGCTGGCGGCGGTGAGGAGGAGCAGAGGCGGGGGAGGGGCGGGGGGGGGGGGCGAGGGGTTGGGTTAAGAGCGAACCCCGTCCTCCAGTTCTGAACCTTGCACCCCCGTGCCTAAAGCACCCCCTACCCTCTATCCCCCTCCTCTGTTTCGTGTTCTGTTTCTGCTTCCCTCTATCCCCACTGCTTTGCCCTGACCTATGGTTTTGTTATATCTCCCCTTGCCCTGCCCCCTGCCCCCTCTTCTGCCTCCCCAGGACGCCTCGGGCCAGCTGACGCTGCAGTACGAGCTGACCAGCCAGGCGGAGTTCGAGGCCAAGAACGGCTGCAAGGCGCCCGCCGGCAAGCGCTACTTTACCCACACCAGCCTGCACGACATTGTGCTGGTCTACCCCTTCAAGCAGGTGGGGAGAGGGCGGGGAGGTGGGGGGGGCCGCTTGGGAGCAGGGGGGGAGCGGCATGGGGCTGGTGTTGGTTGGCTGTTACGGAGGAGTGAAGCTGCCCCCATTGCTGCTACGTCCCGGCCCTGACATCTCCCCCTCCCCCTGCCGTTCCTTATGAATCATGCTGTGATCATCAGAGCCTGTGCAGCGAGGAGGTGGAGCGGGAGCGGCGGCTGCGGGAGTGCTTCGTGGACTTCCTGTTGGGGGTGCTGGAGCTGGACCCGCGGAAGAGGTGGGGGGGGGGGGGTAAACAGGAAACAACTAACTGACTGAGAGATAAGGCGTCAACATGGGTTGCAGCATGGTGGGGATGGTGGGGGGCACATGTAGGGTGGTTGGAGATGGGGTGGTGTGAGGAAATATGGTGCGGGCGTGGAGTAGGGCGTGACGATACCGGGACAACGATGCCGTGTGTTGGTATCAACCGATGTCTGAAGGAAGCTAGTTGTACCCCTCTCTCTCCACTAGCAGCCTCTGCCCTGCTAGCCCCCTTCCCTACTCCCATTGTGCTTCCTTACTAGTATCTCCTTGTCTCCCACCCGTCTCCCTCCTCGGACCACATGCCGTCCTCGCCGCCCTCGCCCCCAGGTGGACGCCCCGCCAAGCCGCCGCGCACCCCTTCGTCACCGGGGAGCCCTTCACCGGGCCCTTCACGCCGCAGCCCGACCCGCCCCGTGGCCCCGTGCCGCACTTGCACAACGACCCCACCCCGCCCATGGCAGTACGCTCCGCGCATGGTTATCACCAGCAGCAGCAACAGCAATATGCGCATCAGCAGCAACAGCAGCAGGCCATGGGTAATGGCACGGTGCCGTCATCTGCAGCTGCAGCGGCGGCGGCGGCCGCTGCTGCCGCAGCCGCTGCAGCGGCAGCGCAACAGGTGGGTTCTCTTGGCATCTACGGCGGGGCAGGCGCAGCAGCTGCAAAGGCGCTGGGCGGAAATAACAGCGGCGGGGGCGTATTGTACGGCAGTAGCCTGCCGACCCATGGGTCAGATCCGTCCCTACAAGCTCACCTACAGCAACAACAGCAACAATCCGGTTTCGCGCCTGGCTCCCTCACCGCTGCTCCTGCGGGAGGCGGCCTGGCGGCGGCGATGGCGATGCTGCAGTACAGCCCCGCACACCATGCGCAGGCACACGCGCAGGCGCATGCAATTGCCATGGCAGCACTGCAACACCTCAGCAGTCCCAACTTTGGGGGCGTGCTGCAGCCGGGCAGTAGTTACGCAGGTGGTGCAGGGGGTGGTGCTGCCGGTAGCGGTCTAGCAGCGGTGCCGCTGGGCTCCTCGATGCAGCACGGCTCCTCGATATTGCTTGGCAGCTCATTCCAGGTGCGGTGGCGGGCGGTTGCGTTGGGTGGAGGTTTCTTGTTTGCTTCTTGAAAGTGTACCGTATCGTGTTCGGCGTGGCATCATGTCATCGCCTGTGTCGTGACGTTCGATACCGGCACGCGCCTTGACGGGCCCCCGGTCCTGCTGCCCTTCAGCTCCAACACCCCCCCCCCCCGCGCTCACTGCATGAGTCGGGAGGTGGGATTGGGATTCGTTGTTTCACTTTTATATAATTTCCCCCCCCCGCTGCCCCTGTCCGCCCCGCTTGCCCCTTTCCTTCCCCACAGCCCACTGGCTTGACGGGATCCATGTCGCACACCTTCCTGCCCGGCCTGGGTACCAGCTACAACCCCAACGCAGCCGTCGTCGGCAGCATGGCCGCCGCCTCGCAGCCTTTCGGACAGCACCAACTGGCCAGTGGGGGCGGCGGGGGCGGGGGCGGGGGGCAGCACGCCTCCGGCCAGCATCCGCACATACAGCTGGGTGCCACACCCTCTGCCTCGTCTTTCCTGCACCAGCACATGCTTTCTTTGGCAGCCCGAGCCCAGCAGCAACAGCAACAGCAGCAACAAGGCATGCTTGCGAGCGGCATCGGCGGTAGTACGGGGACAGCAGGGGAGCTATGTCCGAACGCGGTGGCGGCGGCAGCCGCTGCTGCTGCTGCTGCGGTTCAACAGCAGCAGCAGCAACAGCAGCAACAACATGCGCAGCTGCAGGTAGGGTCACTGCCGCACCGACTGTCTGGGATGCTGCAGCTAGCTTCTCCGCACCACCACCACCAACAACAGGCCGGCGACGGGACATCCATGGTGACGGCGGCAGCGGCGGCTGCACGGCAGCAGGCTCAGGTGCAGGCAGCAGCAGCCGCAGCGGCTGCAGCTGCTGTATTCGGCGGTGGCGGCGGTAGCACTGCGGGAGTTGCGACTCCGCCGCAACCGCATTCGCTGCTGTCGTCGTCCGTTCCCCATGGCCAGGCAAGCTTAGATCCCATGCTCATGGGCGCGTTGCTATTGCAGCAGCAGCAGCAAAAGCAGCAGCAGGACCAGGCAGTAGCGACTGCTGCTGCCGCAGCAGCGGCCGCCGCGGCTGCTGCTGCCGCCTCGCGCACCGGTGCCGGGGCCGCCAGTGGCTCTCTCCACGCCGATTCCGCAGCCATGCTTGCCCTCCAACAGCAGCAGCAACAACAACAGGAGCAGCTGCTGCAGCAGCAGCAGCGTCTGTACGGCAGCCATGCTGACGCCCTCTCCGCTCAGTCACTGCGGCACTGCTCCTCGCACACGGCGCTGCCACTGCTGGGCAGCCTGGGTCTCCCCCAGGCGCCCACGATAACACTGGGTCAAAGCCTGGGGCACGGCCACTTTACACCTGGCGGTGGCGGCGGCGGTGGTGGCAGTTCCCTACTACAGCCCTACGTAACCGCTGCGGCGGCAGCCGCCGCTGGCATGGGCGGCTACGGCACGCCCACGACGGGCGGCGGTGTGTTTGGCGCCGGCGGAGCCGCCGCCGTGGCGGCTGCAACAGCCGCTGCTGGCGGCGGATTGTCCGCTGTGGGCCCGGGCGGCGCCAGCGGCGGGCTGCCCCAGGGAGGCAGCTTCACGTCTACGACGGATAACACGGATGTGCTGTTTGAGATGCAGACGGGCGCTACGGAGTCGGGCACCTCGCAGCAATCGCAGCCGGGCCGGGCAGCTCCGTCCACACCAGCTGAGTCGCCGTCCATTAACCAGGTAAGCTAAGACCGGGTTGCTGGGTTCCATGTTTGGCACAAGTTGGTTTACTTGCAAGTTGGCATGGGCGGTGCAGAGTGTTTTTGGCTTTATGAGTTGCTTGATTGGCGGGTGGGTTGCCTCTGATGAGCGCTTGCTCCTCGCTGCTAACACATCGCAATCCCGACCCCACGGCCTCACCTTTCTTGCACCCTCGCATTCCTTTCCTTGTAGGTCGGCAGCCCAGGCGACTGGGACCCGCTCTACTCGGACGAGCAGCTGCTGGGAGAGGACTCGGCCGCAGCAGCACTCGCCCGCGCCGGCCACACGCACGCTCAGGGTCACGCCACCGGCCATGGCATCATATTGCCCGGGACCTTCGGCATGGGCGCAATGGGCACGGAGGGCGCAGCCGATCTCAGGCGCATGGCGGCCCATGTCGACGGGGGCGGACAGGGCAGGCCTGTCAGCGGTGGTCGCCGCCGGGGGAGCGTAACGGTGTACGGTGGCGCTGGCGAGGTTGCGGCTGCTGCTGCGGCGGCGGGTTCGCGGCAGGAGCCTGGCCGCGCCGGCGGGCTGTTGTTCAGTCCCCGTCATACACATCCTTCCGCCGGACCACCGTCGGAGCCGCATGCTGAGGCAGCAGCGGCGGCAGCAGTGGCGTCTTCGCGTGGCTTGCGTGATTCCGACTCCATGCAAACAACACCGCCGCCGGTAGCCCCCCTGCAGCAGCACCACCACCAGCAGCAGCAGCAGCACCTTCCCCACCACAACCCACTCGAGCACCAGCAGCATCAACACCCACATCAGAAACGGTCCGCTGGTGCTGCGATGGCAATGGCGGAGAGCTGCGGCGGGGCCGGGGCCGGCGGCGGGCGGAGGAGCGCCATGGATTGGTCAGCAACAGCAGCAGCTGTGGCTCCCGCGCCGAGTGGAGCCGTGGAGGACGAGGCCATGGGAGCTGCCGGCGAGGAGGTTCCCGGCGCAGCGGCGGCAGCAGCAACAAAGGCGGCGGCGCATGGAGGGGCCTACAGCGGCGTCAGCGTGGGTGGCGGCGGCTTCTCAAGCGGCTTTCCTTCTTTGGAAGGTAACTTGCAGCCGGGTGCACTGTCGGCGCTGAGTTTCTCCTTACAACAGCAGGCGCAGCAACAACAGCAACTCACGATAGCCATGGGCGCCAGAGGTAGCAGCAGCAGTGGTGGTGGCGGTGGTGTTGCTGCGGGGTTTACGATGCAAGTCACGGAGGGTGATGCCGTCGGCGGCGGCGTCGCGGCAACGGCAGCGGCCATGGGCGGACACGTAGCCTCTGGCTCGCTCGGCGGCATCGCACATGCGCTGCTGGCGCAACACCACCAGCAGCAACAACAGGAACCCCTCCCGCATCAACACCACCAGCAGCAGCAGGAGCAGCAGCAGCGTCTGCCTCAGCTGAACCAACCACTTCGTCAACAGCTACACCACCACCACCACCACCAGCAGACGGGATGGAGCAGTGACTTGCACCAGCAGCAGCAGCATCCTTCGTCGGGCCCTCGCATAGCAGTTCCCGGTCAGGCCCATGCGGACACCACCGAAGGCAGCGGCGGCGGTGGCGGTCGTGTTCCCATTCCTGGCGTGGGCTCGAGCCTTCTTGGCTCGGGCGGCTTCGCTCTGGGTGCGAGTCCTGGAGCTCCGTCGTACATGTACGGCACCGGTGGTGTTGGAGGTGGCGGCAGCAGTAGCAGCCTTCAGATGCCGCTGCTGCTGGCGGGTAGCTACCAGCCACTTACCTCACAGTTCCTCATGTCCCCCGCTCAGCATCAGCAACAACAACAACAGCATTACGCGCAGCACCAAAGCGGCAACAACAACAATCACGGCAATCACAGTCGGGCAACGTCTGCTTCGCAACTTCGCCAGTCGCTTTTGCAGCAGCAGGTACAGCAGCTGCAGCAGCAACAACAACAACAGCAGCAACAGCAACAGCACATGCGGTTGCAGCAGCAGCAACACCGCCATGGGCCCCATGGCAGTGGCCGCGGCAGCGGTGGAGGTGGCGCCGCCGGGGGAACGGCGCCTATGTTGGGTTCAGATGACAGCCCGGAGGAAAGCCCCAGCGGCGGCGGAGGGATGAGCATGGGGGCCGCGGCCTCGGGGGCCTGGGGGGCAGCAGCAGCTGATGGCATGTTGGGCTGCTTGCCCTCGGCCTCCGCTTCCTCCTCGTGCAACGACCTGGCAGGTTCGTACGCACATGCACTGGCAGGTGCATCAGGTGCGAGTGCGGGTGCTGCATCTCACACCCAGCAGGCAGTACACTTCCAGGAAGCGCGGCAGCAGCTGCAGAGCCAACAGCACTTGCAACACGTGCAGGGCGGTGGTAGCAGCGGTATGCACATGCCGCAACAGCAATCGGCTTACCACCACATCCTCCAACAACAACACCAACATCAGCACTCGCAGCAACTAGGGTACCTTCATCACCACCACCAACAACAACAACAGCAGCAGCAGCAGCAGTTGCTGCCGTTCGTGGGTAGTTTGCCGTACAGCGGCGTGATGCCGCCCATCATGGCCGCTCTGCGCTCAGGCATGGAGGGGCCGGGGGATGGCGCAGGTGGCTTTGGCAGTGACGCGAGGTGACAGCAACGGGTGTCTATAGCAGCGGCTCAGCAGGGTCTAGGGAGTTTGGTTGGTAAGGGTTGAGGGTTTGTTGTACCTACAATGAAGGATGGTGTGCACCAGTTGGTTTCCGAGACGGATGCCGAGGATGAGCGAGGAGGGGGTCCTGGTGTTTAAGCATGCGGCGGTGGTGGTTGTGGCTGGTGTAATGTGTTTTTAATGAGAGGGCTGGAGAGGCGTCCTCTTTGGTAGGTATGTCTTCACTTCATGCCGTGGTTCGCCGTCCCTCCCTCACCAGGCGTTGAGGAGGGCAGTGTGGGCGGTTGGGAGGAGCATACGGCATGAAATACGGTAGCGGAGGAGGTGCTGTGTGTAAGCCAGGAGCAGTCGCAACCGTGGGCTCTCATAGCCCCATGGCCCTTTTGGCTGGTCTGCCGTGCAAGCCAGAGGCGCACATACATTTGCTGAGGCGGGTGTTTTTTCGCGGCCGTGTGTTATCTCAGGTTCCTCCCGAGATGTGCGTTGTGCACCCTGGAACGGCTGATAAACCTGGTTGGTGTGCTGGGTTGGTTGTTTGCGGTTGGCGGTTGCCGTCGGTGATGTAGTCTTGCAGGACACATGTCGGAGTCCAGCTCCAACGCATTTTGTGTAGCCTCGCCTGCATGGTTGTGCGGTTGGTGTCTGATGATGGATGAGCGCAAATGGTTGATACCTAACCGATGTGGTGTTACGGCGGCGGCCTCAACGGGTTGTTGTCAATCGCAGGCCTGTCGTATGCTAGGCGTCGCCCTGTTGAAGGATGGTAGGATAGGAGGTTGCACATGCGCGATGCAAACAACAAACGTTCTTCCCTGTGCAGCAAAACATACAAACTGGAGTTATACCGGTACCTTTGTTTTAGTTTCATGTAGCGCAACGTGACGAGAGCGCCAGGCGGGTTGCCGAAGGTTGAAACACGTGTGCATTCATGAACACGTGTTTCGGGTGTTATTCCCAAGCCCCAACCACTTTGCCGTGCCAGGTTTGCACTGGATGGCGCAGAACCAACAGACGGCAGGGCGTTTTGCAGTCATGCGGATGTCAGAGGCGCGTGCTTCTGTTGCGTGGTTCGTGGCATGAGTGCCCCTTAGTCGTGCCACAGGGCTGAAGACGATTTCCTTGCTTTCATACTTGGGTAGTAAGGATGGATGGTTTTCATGGTGACTTTCTCATTATGACGTGGTGATGGGGTTCGGGATGCTTCAACAGCAGCAGCAGTAGCTGTGGGGTGCCAGCTGGGAAGCAGCACGGCTGGACGTGGCTGTGTGGTGAAGTGAGGAGGAATGAAGCATGAGGTGACGATACTGCCCTACCTGGGAGGGGACTACAGGCATGGGGATGGGCAAGCCAGGCAAGCCATAATCTATTCGTTATATCCGTTATAACCGTGTCAGGCTAGCTGCTGGGTATGTGCGGCCTGCCAGTTGTGTAGGGGAGCAGCGGGCTAAGGGATGTCGTCTGGAATATTCGTCTGGAGTCTCCGTTCTCCGCACGGCGGACGATGCAGCCGCCGTTTGCCTTCTAAGCACGTAAACGAGAGAGAGAGATCCCGCAGGCCTGGGTGTGAGAAATAGGTAGAACAACGTATTTACAAGGTAGCGAGTGTGTGGGTGCTAGGGCAGCAGCAGTCCATGTTACTGTGTGCTCCGGGGTTTAGAGGGGTAGCACAGCTGGGTTGTTTGGTCCAATACCACATTGTGGGAAGGCGGAGGGAGTCGCGTGTCAGCCTCCCCGGGCACGCACCGTTTGCTCTGGTACGGTTCTTGGTACGGCGGTGTTCTTAATCCTAGAGGGGCGTGAAAGAAAACTGGCCGTGAATAGGAACATACTGAATGGTCGGGGTCCTAGGGTTGTGTGTTTTGGGGTGCAGGGGGCCTGCTCAGACGTCTGCTTGCCTCGACTGCTGCAGTGTCGGGACCAGCAAGGGACGCCGTGAGAGGTAGGCAGGACAGTTAGGAAAACAGGCGAGGTAATGCGTGTGAGCGCAGGGGCTTTGATACACGATATGCACTGAATTGATTGGAGCTGTAGCTCAGGAGGTCAACGTCCTTTATTGCTACCCTTTTGGTTGTGGGTGATAATATATAAAGTGTGCCTTTGTTCCTACTACTAACAATTCCTTAGTTTTGGTGAAAAGGTGGGATAAGGCATTTATCATAGTCTATCCGAGCCACTGCAGTCTCCCCCTCCCATAGTGCCTTCCTGTTTGTAAGGGGCTGTCTACACCGCCCTGCCGTAGCGTTCCTTGCCGCATCACCCAAACACTACAAGCGTGCGTAGATGGCAGCAGATGCTGAGGCCAGCTTCTTCGCCCTCAACCTTTTGCCCAATAAAGATGCTCCAAGTCCCTCCCGGCCCTGTGTGCACCTATGCCTCCCCACCCGGCACGCTCGAACACCAGAACCAAAAGCACCACCTCTATCCCTAGGCGAAATATGTAACGTGAGGTTATGTATTAACACGGTTTTAACTTTAATAAACCAGTCGGCGTATAAGCCTAAAGACATGAGAAGGACGTATGAAATATCCCAAATATGCGTACCAGTCATACAACCCGCACCGGCCGTACGGCACAACGGCAGGTCAACTGCAGGGTCAACTTAACGAGTTCATCACGTACAGCGAGGCAAGGACGCATGCGTAATCAAACGCCCAACACTTGCTTTTACTCGTCTTCAACGTCTACTAGTCACGCTGGCTGTGCAGCAATTCTCAGCACAGGGTTTTGTAAACAGCAAAAAAGGGTTGTCGACGTGGTGTCCAACAAACATGCACAATACTTCATCCGGCAAATAGCTGTGCCAAATTCGTATACAACAAGAACGTCAGCGGGCCAGCCGCTAAAGAATGCGTCAAGAGGGTCGGTGTACCGTACCCCGTACGACACAGCAACGTCCATAAACTTCTTTTCCTGACCTGTTCTTGAATGGAAAAGGCGAGGATGGCAGCGGCAAGGCCGCCATGCAAGAGCGTCGCAGGTCGCATACACCTCATCGGCCTGCAGCAGCAAGCAGCTCAGCGCCTTTCGCACCGCCCGCCCCAGCCATCCCGTTCACCCGCAACCCCTCACCTCTCCTTCCGTATTCCCAAGCACGCACCACTTCCTTCACAACAGCCAACAACTCTTAAATCAGCCCTCAGAACCCCACATGGCTCAACGCTCGCTCTCCCAACGCCGCCACCGCTGCTGCCGACTTGGGCCCGGCGGGCAGCCCTGCCGCCGCCCTCAGAAACGCCGTCGCAGCGCTTTCCCGGAGCCCCTTGGTGCCAGCACCGGAGGCGCCGCCGCAGCTGCCGTACGTCGCTGCCGAACTGCAGATCCACTTGGTTCCGGATCCAGGACTCCAGGACACGCCTGCCGCCGCCGCGGCGGCAGCCGCTGAGGCCGCTGCTGCCGCCGCCACCTGCCAATGGGAGCTGCCGGGCGCCGAAGTACGACAGACGCTGTAGCAGGTGTCGTCGCCGCCGTCACCCTTGCCTGCCATGAGGCGGCTCTTAGCGCCGCTGCTGCCGCCAGCCACAAGCAAGCTGCTGCTAACGCCTCGGGATTGCGCTGCCGCCAGTTGTTGGAGGCTTTTGGAGCCGGGGCGAGATGAGAAGGACTTGTCAAAACTGCTGTCGCCCACATCGCCACCACAACTGCCGCCGTCGCCGTCACCGTCGCAGATAGCGTCGCCGCTAGCTGCGGCCCGGCGGAGGCGTCGCTGCAGTTCTAGAGTGCTGGTCAGCGGGGCTGATTTCACGGCCACCCGAGCGGCAGAGTGGCAATCACTGTCAGCGAGGTGGTGGTGGTGGTGGTTGCCGGTTGCGCTCCTGGCGGCGGCGGCGGCAGCTGCTGCTATGGCAGCAGCTGAGTCCCGACGGAAGGGCGTGTCCAGCACTAGCATGTGCTGCTGCTGCTGATGTGACGCAGGCGGCGGCAGCGGGGGCGCTTGGGTCGTAAGCCGGATGAGCTCTTTTGCCGCCGACGGCGCCGGCGCTGCTGACGGGTGTACGGCACGACGCAGCGACGGCAGCTGCACCCGGAACGGCTCGCCTCCGCCTCCGCCGCCACTGCATGCGCCTCCGTCACCCTCATCTGTTGCCTTCGGCTCCTTAGATGCGCGCATCAGGCTTTGAACGCTGATCAACGGCTCGCGACAAATCAGCCTCGGCCCGGCCTCTGTGACGTCCTTATCGACTGTACGGCAACCAGCAAGTGGATGCACCACAACACCTGCAACGGCAGCATCAGCGGCGACGCCATTCCCACTGCCAGCCTCGACACTGCTGGGGATGCCGCTATCGCTGCTTCTGCTGCTACGGTCCATGCCGGCACCGCCGCCGCTGCTGCTGCTGCTGTTGCCGGCACTACAGTTTGCATCGCAAACTGCCAGCGGATCCGGGATCCAGGACAAGGAGCCGGGGCGGGTGGCTGTTGTGATGCCGGCAGCGCTGTTGGTGGAGGTGGCAGTTGGGATCGGGGTTGGGTTGCTGCTGGGGTTGGTTGTTGCGGTGACGGGAGGCACCCGGGGGCCGGGTCCAGGGAAGGGCGGCCGGTCATGGCCGGTGGTGGCGGGCGCTACCGGAAGCGAGCTGCAGGGTGCAAGGCGGGCACACCTGGTGTCGCCAGCATCCGCGGGACAGGGCAGCTGTTGCTGCTGCGGGGGATGTAGCGGCGGCGCTGATGACGTTGCACCCGTCGTTGTGTTGCCAGTCTTGGCGGCTGGGGCCGATACCACCGCTGGTGCTGGTGTTGGTGCTGCCCCGGTCTTGTGCAGCAGCAGCAGCTGGTCGATTGCCGCGGCCAAGCTGCCAGGGGAAGAGGGCAGAGGCGCTTGGCTGGCTGCTACCGCCGCTCCTGGACCGTCTCCAGCGCTCTGCGGCGGTGGCGGCGGCACCTCAGCCGCCCGTGAGGGCAGTAACCACCTGTGCTGCTGCTGCTGCGGCGGCGGCGGTGCTTCAGCGACGTCGCTGGCAGGTCCGTTGGAAGCCAAAGCTGGCGACCCCTGAGCCGTCCCGCCGCTGCCAGTCCTGCCACTCGCCTCCGCCGGCGCAGCGCCCACGTCAGCGTCGCCGCCCTCACTGCTGACACTGCCGTAATCCTCATCTGCGGCCCCTCTTCCGCGGGCGCTGTCGCTGCCGCCGCGGGCGCTGCTGTCGCCTCCGCTCGCCTCCCGCAGAACAGCCCCGCCACCATCGCAGCTGTTACCCGTCCGCCGCCCAACACCGCTCCCCCCACCGCCGCCGCTGCCGCCAGCTGCCGCCGCCAGCTCCGGCGGCGCCACGCCGCGGCGGCGCAGTGCCTCCGCCAGGGCCGTGTGGGCGGACTCCAGGGCGGATCGCAGCTGTCCGGCAGCCGCGGCGGCGGCGTAGTCACCTGGACCCGCGGTGGTGCATGGGAGGAGCCCCTGCTCTAGGATGGCGGTGGCCTAGGGGGATAAGCAGAAGGGTTTATTGCGGGGGAGGGGGAAGGGGAGGGAATTCACGTTAGACATGAACACCACAGGCTGGGGGACCTGGGCGGTGGTACAACCCAAAGTCCAGGACTGACATGCATTCCACACGCGCACCGTTGGATCCAGATTTCAAGCAGCTTTTGTTGCAAGGATTGCTAAGAGACGTGCTAACGTATGCCAACAAGAGGCTATAGCGGATATCAGCAACCCCACGCGGCGCACCTGCAGGATCACGAGGCCAAAGCTGCTAGGCCCCACGGACGCCAGCAATGGGCTGCTGCTGCTGCTGCTGCAACTGCTGTTGTCGTACAAGGGCGCAGCAGCTGGGTGGCCAAGAGCGACACAACCGTTGTTGATGGTCGGGAGGCTCAGCAGCAGCTCGAAGAGAGATTGTGTGTCTTGGCGACAAGCATCAGGATGTGTCCGCGAAAATTGATGTAAGCAGGCCAGCGTGCAAGCAAGGATGCAGACCACGCAGGTCTGGCATGCATTGTTTTCGCCATCCAGTGACAGCATGGAAGCCACAACAGCGCCGCCAATGTTGCTCAAAGGAAAGTCGGACGCCATGCAAATTGCATGACACAGGCTCCGAAACGCGTCGCACGCAAACGCTGTGGCGTCACGCGCGTCGCTGTGCCCAATGCTCAACATCAGCTGACATGCCGCAACGCCGCATTTCCCGGCAAGTTGGGTCTCTGCAACAGCTGGATTGGTGGAATCGGCAGCTGCCTTTAGTGCGCGCTGGAACAGCGCAAGCGCAGGCAGCACGTCCTGCTGGCATTCTGATAACAACTCTGAAAAGCTCAAGGAGCGCCACGCGGAGCCCTGCGGCCGGCTGTCAAGGCGACGAACAGCATGTTTGGCAAACACGAAGGCCTCCGTGAAAAGCTTAGCGACTGACTGACATATTCCATCCGGGCCACGGGAGTTGTTGCCTGGCCTGCCCGGTTGCCCATTGCTGGCAATACATATGCGACCACGCGCGTGTTGCCCATGCTTCCGAGCTGCAGTTTCCGGGACAGAAAGCAGCCACGCTGCTTGGGAAACTAACGTATTATCCAACATTCACAGCTAGTTTGACTGCCAAACAAATAATAGTAGAAGTAAAGCAGCGATGAGTGAGTTGGGCATGAGGTCGCTTATGCTGTTGAGTTCGCTCAAGCTCATAGGAAGCACAACGTACACTATAGTAACACAAACCCTTCATGCCGGCAAGCAATTTTTACATGCCAACAGACGCCTTAGTCAGTCAACGGGTCTCATGAACACCACCGTACGGCCTTCGTTGAATCTAAAGAAAGCCTGTCCTTTGGAAGCTTCTGTTTCATGGGTTCCTGAGATCGAACCGATCCTAGCCGTTTAGTAGTTTACCAGGCATTTGGGTCTCGAACAGATGGCCACTAGCGACAGCCCATCGGACCTTCAGCAAACCTCAGCACGAGTATGCGTGTCAATGGGTAATCCTGTTTTAGTTGTGCGCACATCACCGGGGCTTGCTTATCTCTGTATCCCTAACTGACACGGCATAGTCACCGGTTAAGCTGCCTCACTCCACACTAGCCCTTTAAATGTCTTGTAATCTGATCTAGGGCTTGAAGGTCACTCATCGCATGCCATAAATGCCCTTAAGTCCGTCGCCAAATGCAGCGCCGCACGAGGAATCGTACCGTACGAGCACACAATGTACGGGACATGCAAATATCTCGCGAAGCAAAATACAACATAAGAGTAGCTCACAGACCTGCATAGCCCTAGCATACGGTGAGCGTCACCCTGCATTTTGGTTCATCCCATCATCGGCTACAACGTCTGCCGATTGCTTGGATAGCCCACCAACGCTGACGCCGCCCTTGCATACCAGTTATAAAGGCTATCAGGTCAAACTGACATATAGCTATTCATGTATGCAACAGACGCTTAACAGCCTTAGGAGGTTCTGAAAACGTTTCAAGTTTCTCCGCTGCCAGGCCAGGCTTACTGAATAACGCGATTAAGTCTGGCTAGCAATTTCATCGCGCCTTCACGCCCTTCGGATTTGTCACCTTAGTCAACGACGGCCCGTTGAGAGTGTGCCAGCGCTTATATCTTCCAGGGCACAATTCTTCAAGGATGACCAAAAGGAACGCTGAAACGTTTGCCAGTCACGAATCAGTTCCGCCTGGCGCTGTCCCCTTCTTTGCGCCCTCTGCGAAGCGCATCTGCGGTCGGGGGGAACTTCGCGGACTGGTGCCTCCGTCACCGTCGGACACCCTCGCCGAACAGCGAACTCTTTCATCATCTTCCGATGAGATGAGTGATGCGTGCGAGGCTGGGGCTTCCGACCCAGCCTTCGTAAACTCTGCACATTGGCTTGCGGCAAGCGCAGCCAGCTGCAGCTATGCTGATAGGACGCAAGCCACCACCCTTCATCCGCTTCCAACGTCACAGCAGCAACTGGCGCTTTTAGGCGTCCTAACGCCACCATCCTGCTTAGACGCACAACGATTTCTGGAGCACCTTGCTGACTGCATGCTCAGCTACCAGCGAAGTTCCAGCAGCTGTGCGGCTGGCGCGGGCGCAGGGGAGAGCTTGGGTACAGCACTTTGGTGAGTCCACTCAACTAGGAAGGACACTTGACTGAAACAGCCGCTAAGCTAGGTGACCTGTTATGGCAGCCCATTGTGCGCTCCCGGAGGACAGTTAATCCTGAAGTGCGGCCTCGCATGCTCAAATCGTGAAGAGCCACAGCCCCTTCCCTGCTTAACAGAAGGTGTTGTACTGTTGTTAGTATCACCATGCTGGGAGGGCATAGTTGGCTGTCACCTCCATTCATTGCCTCCATTCACTCGTCTTCTGTGGCCCCCAACAATGCCCCGCTTATGTATGCCCTTCCCCGCGGATGTACGCAGGCACGCTTTTGCGGAACTCAACGTGGTAATGGCCCGCCACTTTTCGGAGCTTCCCACATCCATGCTGCGCGGGTACCACTCCTTCACCCGGGCCCCGAGAGCGCAGCTGTGGGAGCGAGTAGCAGCGTCGCCTGGTGCACAGGTCAGTGCGCATGCGGGTGGGAGCATGCGGCTGTGCAACCATTAAGCTCTTGCTCCGGAGGTCGCATTCGGGCAGAGTACCAACATGCACGCATGGGGTGGTGCAGCAGCAGCCAAGCCATGGCGTGCCGTGCATCTCACCATCCCTCACCCATCCTCCCTGCTTCTTTTTTTGTTTTCCTATGGTTGTAATTGGTCCGGAAGTTGACCCTCCTGTGGTCTCCCTCCCGCCCCTTCCCGCCACCGCTCCGCAGTCGGGTGCGGAGTGCTACCAGGGGCTGCCCTGGCACCTGGCGCTCATGCGGCACCTGCTGGAGCACGTGCTGGGCGCCTACCCCTCCGCCTCCTGCGTGCTGTACACCATAGAGGTGCCGCAGTGGCTGCGAGGCTGGTGTGCGAGGTGGGGGCACCCGGGCGCGGGACCCATGCGCGTGCTGGCGCTGTTCGCATTTGACGCCAGCGGCTCGCCCTCGCCGCGAGTGCTGTACATTCCCTGTGCGGAGTAGGGTGTGGTGGGAGGGGTGGGGACGGGGCTGGGAGGCTAGGTGAGCAGCATGTGAGCAAGTTTGGGTGGCTGGATGGAGCTGGTGGTTGCCGCAAGGCCGGTAAGGGGCTTGTGTTCTATGATGGCGAGCGGCGTTGTACGTTAACGGGCTGCTGTGTATTAGTAGTTTGGCGTGTGGATACTGTATTCATCTTATGCGTGGGTTAGCTATACGTGCGTATTCTTGGAGAGGGGTGCGGATGCCGTTACGTGGCGTGGGAAGCAAAGGGTGTCTTGCCTCTATTAATGCATGTGCATATGGGTTTTCGCCTTGCGATTGCGACAAACGATCTGCTGGATTGTGGTCGCTGGCATTGTGCTGCAGCCTTTGCTGCACTGTGGTTAGGACTTGTGATTACCTTTGCTTGGTGCCTTCCTAGGCCGTGCAATAAACTTTCGGGAACCGGACTTTTGGGTGCCATGCAAGCACGCCCCCCAACCTGTCGGCAGCTTTGCTGGGGTTTGCGTAGCATCTGGAATCTGACGTTGAGCTGAGGGCGGTCTACCGCGTGACTAATGCCTTTTTCTTTGGGTGCACGAGGTTAAGTCGGCGCTGATGATGCTTGTCACTAAACGTAGTTAATTAGCTGATTGACTGCTATGGTGATGACTGTGGTGATCTTGCCCCCCAGCGGTTTACTTTGCTGCTGTTCATCCTAACCGCCACAGTGAACGACTCCCCATCATGCATCTAAGAAGTTGCGCACTTGCACCAGTTACACCGGTAATCTTTCCTAGGCGGGGACCCCATAGGATAATGTTTCCGGATCCTATCCGGAAACAGCTATCAACTACGCAGACCGGAACTATCCCTGGGACATGCAATGTGCCATCTACGCCGTGGGCCCCAATGAGCAGACTCAAGCTGAAACCACATAAAAGCTTTCCTATAGAGGCTCGCCTGCTGCAGTAGAGGCTGCAGGCTGCAAAGCTATGCCCGGCCCATGGGTCGTCCGTTGCCGCCGGAATAGTGCTGCTGGCCAAAGTCAGACGTTGTCAGATCTGGAGGCTGCACAGCTGGGACAGCAGCACGGAAGTGCCATCGTAACACTCCTCAAGCAGCTGGTTGCTGTGCTGGGGGCGGTCTCCAACTAACCAGGCTAACTAACCCAGGTGACACCCTATGACTAGGAGCATACAGCACGGAGTATTGCCTACATCCCGGTGGTGCTAACCTAAGGGCGGACGCTAAAGGGTCGATGAGCCATGCACATGGCGTGCACAGTGCACCGCGGACGACCGACCGACAAGTAATCCTATCAATGTTGTGAGCCGACTATCATGTAATGATGTCCTACCTAACAGTGCAGCAAACGCCACCCACGATTGCCCAATACTCACCTCGGTTTGCTGCTGAGCTGCTCGTCACCGAGGGAAACAATAATTAGCTGTATCAACTGCTGCTTTGCTATTGTAAGTTTTTGTGCTGTGCTAGTGGGGTCAACAAGAGAGGAGCCGCAAAGGTAGCCGCCACTGTTACACACCAGCGTCCCAAGAACGCTTAAGCGCCGGTAGCGCGGGTGTACACCAGCTGGGAGGAGTGCGCCACGATGGGCTTGATGAGCCCCTTGGTGGCCAGCTCCCGGATAGCAGCGCGCGCCAGGCTGCCATTGATGCGCAGGCGGTCGGCCAGCACCGAGGGAGAGATCATCTTGTACTTGGGCACCTCGTTGAGCATCTTCTCATACACGGCCTTGTCGAAGAGGACGGCGTTGTTGACCTTCTCCTTCATCTTGCCCTTGCTCCACTTCTTCCGCTTGCCCTTGCTGCTGTTGGCCGCAGCCAAGGCCTTAGCCTCCTTAGACTTTTGCTCCTTGGGGGCCATTTTTCCTCTTGGAAGGAAGAGAGCGTCCTCAGCGAAGGAGAGCGTATTTTGTTCGGTGTTCGCTCCAGGGTGACCGCCGACGCTTGGCCTAATGAAACCAAGACCGCCATGCCCATAAAGGTAGACCTGGAAATGGAGCACAGTTTTTGAGAAGTTAAGTTTGTAAAATCCCATTATCACAAAGTTACCCAGCCTAATGGTACCTTGCCTTCATGTGTAATGGTCTTGCTTTCACATCGTAGCCTCTTCACGCAGACCTAGGAGGCCATGTTCTCGCTGTCGCACCCATAGATGGCCCTTCTCTGTCACACCCATAGGTGGCCATTGTCCGATTGCGCCGAGGACCGTCTTGCGTCTCAAGCGCATACCTTTATCCGGACGAATGAAAGTCATGGAATCCTCGTATGGCCGCGGCTTTGGTGGGGGGAAAGCCTGTTGTCATAGTCCTTCTTGCTGTGGTGTGTTGCAAATCTTCACCCCTTGCAGCCCACACTGCTGTCCCTGGGCTCAGCCACCTCCGCTACCACGCTTGCGATGGGTCTCAGATGTCCTTTGGGTCAAGTGTTGAAGCCGAGCTGCTTGGCAGATGCAGCTTCGGATATGTGTGCGAGGCTTTTGACCCTGCAGCAGCCGGGACAGTACATGTAAACTGTGTGTAAAGCTGAAGGACATGCTGCTACCCTCCCCTCGCGGCTGTTGTGTCGGGGAGTATCGGGGCGTTGGGGGTCTGCTGCACTGCGCCCTTCTGGGCAATCCTTGCCCATTGCTACACGCATGTGATGTTCAGCTTGAAAGGTTGTTTGGGTCAACCGGGATCCAGGACAGGAGCACACATGACGCTGCGGTGCAGGGTGCATGCAGGGTTTCACATGGGTCATGTCTGGTACTTGAGCAAGCGCCCGCATGAATCCAATGCCCGTCCGCATGTTCAGTCCTGCAGTCGTCACTGCTTTTGCCGTTGCATGGTGCTGCTACTGGGAGGGCCGGCCGGTTGCCTCGCAGGGCCCTAAGTGAGCACGGGGGCGCCGGGTGTGCCGGTGCATGCGGATGCATGCCCGGAGCTGACAGCTGTTATAATGACATGATCAAAGAACGAAGTGGGTAGCATGAAGGTGTAAGGGGGGGGTGCTGTTTGGAAAAGCGGCAAATTGGGCATGCAACGGGGGAGTCACACCGTGGTCATGATTCACGAGCGCTCTCAAGTTGCTCTGCGGTTGAGTAAGGGGGAGTAAGGGGGAGGCTGTGAGCAGTAAGTACATCTAACACGAAAACTGTGATGGAGTTGTGGTCATTGGTTGGAGATGCACCGTATATCGTACTGTCCGAGGACTGGCTTTTGTACGGAACTCCTTTCCGTACATGCTCGCTATATGTGTTGCGAGAGGCAAATTACAGCAAAACCTTTACCAATGGAAGGACGTTACCACTCCACGGCATAACTAGACGTCCTGCACCCGTTTGGAAGCTTCGCGAGCGAACCCTAGCTATGCTTAGGCCCATACAACATCCCAAATAGGTTGCTGTTTTGGCCAACTGCTTACGCTAGCTGATCTTGTTCCCGAAGAAGCGCTTAATAGACCGACGAGCGCGTCCTCGCAGGGCATTAGCCCACGAGAGACGCGCGACATGAACGGCCACACCGACGACATGGAGCAGGCGGGAGGTCAACATGCTGTCCAAGAGCGTTTGGGCGCGCGAAAGCTCATCAATCGGACGGAGTTTGTGCGGCTATTAGAGCAGGCCCTGCATCGCCTTGGCTACCCTGACGTGGCAACCTTGCTCGAGCAGCAAGCGGTGCGTAGATGGTTTGTTGCTAGTTGGGCTTAAATGTGGGTCGAAGATTGCGGTATGTCACGCCAGGCAAGGTACCGGTACAATGCACGATGCCAAGCGCAATGCGCGGGTATCCTGAACGAGTTCGCCCCGCACCAGAAGGGAAATGCTGCCCCATCTTCGCCAAGAAGGGCACACGACAAAGCTGCATACGCTTGTTTACGCCTTGATGGCAAGTGGCTGGCCGGTCCATGGGCCGCAAGGGTTGAACAATCTCAGTTGTCACTTATTCCGCTTCATGTAAATATGCAGAAACCGTTATATGTTGGTTATGGTTAATTATGTAGCTCATGCCCTATGCCGACATGGTATCCAGGCTTCTTGCCTTGTTGCGGTTTGTGCGTTGTTTCGTTGCCTCCTTTCTCGGCATCGCGCCCCTCTGCCAACATCTCTCCCCAACTTGCCCCACCGTAATCCATATGCTATACTGCCACGCCCAGGCGGCGGCCGCTTCCGACGCCCAAACGCACCTCTTGCGAACTCCCGATTCCCCCACGTCAGAGCACAGCCCTCCAAAGCTGCCCCCACCACACACACAATATCCCTGTCGCCCCGCGCCCTGCCGCACCCCCGCCCTGACCTTTCCCCATTTTCCTACACATCACAATTCCGGCGCCTCATCCCGTAACCTGGTTACTCAAGCCCGTTACGTCATAGTCCACCGCATTCTGGCCCCCTCCCTTCCCCTCCGATCTCCCTCCTCCCTCCCCTCACATGTTGCAAAGCATGATGACGCCTTGCCACACGGTCAGTTAGTTGTTTCCTCTTTACTCCTCCCCCCCCCCCCAGGGCATCCCCATGCAGCCTCCCTCCGCCAGCCAGTTCCGCTGTGCCGTGCTGGGCGGGCGGTGGGGCGAGGCGCTGGACCTGCTGCCGCAGCTGAGCGGCTCGGAGGAGGTGCTGCGGGAGGCCAGGTGCTTTGGGGGGGTGCGGCGGCGGGGGAGGGGCAGGGGGAGATGGGGAAAAGGAAGAAGGCGGAGGGGGAAGGGGCGAAACCGGGTTCGGTTGGCTTGTTTTGCGTGCCATGATAAGATACGCGGGCGAGTAGTGGGGGGGAGAAGGTGCTGTGGAGTGGGGGGTGAGGTGGGAGGGAAGCTTTCCGCAGGGGCCTCAGCGCTCCTGGTCCTCGCAAGAGGGGCGCCCGGGGCCCTTGCAGCACGCACACGGATGACCGGGTTCTGGTGCATCCGGGTGCAGCTGAGATGGGCTGGGTGTGGGTGATGGCGTACGGCGCAAGCAGGCAGGCTGCACACCTCCCTCTTTCTTTCCTCCTCCCTACACTCCTTCTCCCCACCCTCCCTCTCACTGTCAGTAAGTTGTTTCCTCTTTACCCCAGTCTCCCTCCCCCTTCCTACCCCTCCCAACTTATCAATTACTTTCCCCTCCCCCCCCTCCCCCCTCCCCCAGGTTCCTGATCCTGCAGCAGAAGTACCTGGAGTGCCTGGAGGGCGGCGAGCTGGCGGGCGCACTCACCGTGCTGCGGCGCGAGATGGCGCCGCTGGGGGTGGCGCATGCGCAGCTGCACCAGCTGGCGGGTAGGGAGAGGGAGGGGGGGAGGGGGGGGGACGGGGGTTAGTGCATTTCGTGGCTGTGGAGGAGCAAGGGGAACCGCCGCACCCCGCATGCAAAACCCAACCCACACGTGCCGGCATACACACTCACCCCCCCTCCCCCCTCCCCTCCCTCCTCCCTCCCAGCGCTGCTGCTGTGTCCCTCCGGCGGCCCCCCCGCCTCCCGCACCAGCTGGCTGGGGGGCGGCGCAGCGCACCGGGGACACCTCATGCAGCTGCTGCAGGTGGGGGGGTAGGGGGGGCGGAGGAGCAGGAAAGGGGGCGGAGGGCAGGGGTAAAGAAGAAGGAGGAAGAGAAGAAATCATGCGGTGGGTGGTATGGGGGGGAGCTGCACCGCCTGCAGCTGCCCTCCAAGGGGGTAGGGGCGGGCGGGCGTGGGGGCGGGCGTGGTGCCTGCTGCATGCGCTGTGCTAGCTGAGCTGCGGGACCCCTACATGCTTGCTGAAGCGTGTCAACACAGCCCCCTCCCCCCGCCCCCCACCCCTCCCCCCTACCAGTCCAAGCTGCCCCCCCATCTGCTGCTGCCCGAGGGCCGACTGGAGGTGCTGGTGGAGCAGGCGCTGGAGGCGCAGGTGGGGGGGAGGGGAGGGGATTAGGTAAACTGAGCCGCGAGAGGGAGGGGAGGGGGAAGAGGTAGACCAGACCACACGATGGGGGAGGAAATAGATGAGAAGTGGAGCACTTGAGGGGGAGGGGAAAACATAGGCCAGACCACAAGTGAGGGCAGGGCAAGCGGGATAGGAGGGCGGGTATCCCACTCCTCTTCACCTCCACACACCTCCCGCCCCGCTCCCTACACCCACATCTCCCCCCACATCTCCCCCAGCTGTCCCGCTGCCCCTACCACAACTCCTGCGAGGGGCGGCTCAGTCTGCTGAGCGACTACCAGGCGGGGGTGGAGTGCCTGCCAACAAACACAGTGCAGGTGGGGGGCGGAGGGGGGGGAGGGGAGGAGCAGGGGAGGGGGAGAGATAGAAGGAGAAACACAGTGCAGGTGGGGGGCAGGTGGACAAGGTGGGGGGGGGAGAGCAGGGGGGCAGAGGTAGAAGGAGAAACGGTGCGGGGGGGAAACAGGATGGGGGTGGGGCCCTTCCACTGCCTGCCGCCCTGCTCCCTCCCAACCCCCCACCCCCCCACACACACCTGCTCTCCTCCCCACCCCCCACCCCCCTGCAGGTCCTCACTCGCCACTCGGACGAGGTGTGGCACATCGCCTTCTCACACAACGGCAAGATGCTGGCGTCGGGGTCCAAGGTGCGGGAGGAGGAGGGGGGAGGAGGAAAAAGAAATTCCAAAGTGTGGTGTGATAATGATACAAGTTAGGAGGAGGAGGGGGGGGCACCAGGGGGTGACGGAGAGGCGGGCGGGGCTCCAAGGGAGGCGTGATGCCGGTAGTGGGTAGGACAGCAAGCCCTGTGCGGGATGGCGGGATGGGCGGCACATCCCGATAGCAGCCCGATCGCCACCGTCGGACTCCCTTTCCCCTCTCCTCACCTCCTTCATTCCCACCTCCTCAACCTCCTTCATGCCCTCCTCTTGAACCCCCCCTCCCTCCCCCCCTACCCCCCAGGACCGCACCGCCATCCTGTGGTCCGTGAGCCTGCCGCCCGCCCCCTTCTCCGTGCTGCACGTGCTGGGGGGACACAGCCAGCCGGTGGCGCTGGTGAGCTGGAGCACCGATGACAGCGCGGTCATAACGTGCAGGTGGGGAATGGGTATTTAGATAAGTGCATCAACGGAGTCCCAATCCCGAATCCCGACTCATGCAGTGAGCGCATCGGGGGGGGGGTAAAGAGGAAACAGCTAACTGACCGTGTGACCCGCAGGTGGGGGAGGGGAGGTGGTGTTGGGGGTGGGGAGATGTCGCCATGCCGTACAACCGCGCAGGCGATGGGGTGGGGCGCGGCTGGCAGCCCCTGTACCACGTCCCTGCCGAACAGCTCTGACCCCCTCCGCGCTCTTTCCCCAACCTCCCCCGTCATGGCTCTGTTCCTACCCCCTCCCCTCCCTCGTTGTTTCACTTATTAATTTTTCCCCCCCTCCCCCTCCGCCAGCGAGGAGACGCTGCGGGTGTGGGATGTGGCCACCGGGCAGCTGATGCACTGCTTCAGGTAGGGGGGGAGGGGGGGTAAAAGGGGGGTAAAAGTAGGAAAACGAGGAGGGGTAACGGAGGGGTAACGGAGGGGTAACGGAGGCGCTCGATGGAAAGGGAAGGAGAGAGGTGCGGAGAGGGGCTACCAAGGGTTGTGACATCCTGCCCTGTGATCCCCCCCCTCCTCCCCCCTAATCCTCCTCGCTACCTCCCCCCCCCTCTCCTCCTCCCTCCCAGCCACCACCACGACTGCGTCACCAGCTGCGCCTGGCTGCCCCCCTGCAGCCCCCTGCTGGGGACAACAACAGGGGCAGCAGCAGGGGGGACGGGAGGGGGGGCAGCAGCAGGGGGGACGGGGGCAGCAGCAGGGGGAGCAGCAGGGGGGGCAGGGGGTGCAGCAGGGGGTGCAGCATCAGGGCCCCAGCATCAGCGGCGTCTGTTCCTCAGCGGCGGTGCGGACCGCTCGCTGGTGGTGGCTGACGGCGGCAGCGGGCGGGAGCTGCAGCGGTGGAAGCGGACGTACAGGGTGCAGGTGGGGGGAAGAGGGAGGGAGGGAGGGAGGGGGGAGGGGGGGTGGCAGGGGTGGGGGAAGGGGTGGTAGCGGTGTGGGACACCTGTGGCTCACAACGGCTCCTCTCTTCCCCCCACACACACAGGGGCAGCGGCGGCACGTGATGCCCCCGCCCCGCAGCGCGCGGCACCTCCTCCTCTTCTCATGACCCCCTCCCCCTCTCCCCTCCCCCTTACACCCTCCCCCCTCCCCCCCTCCCAGGACCTGGCCCTCACCCCCGACGGCGGGCTGCTGGCGCTGGCCGCCTCCGACCGGCGTGTGCACCTGCTGCGGCTGGGGGACATGCGGGAGGCGGCACTGCCGGTAGGGAGGGGGAGGGGGGAGGGGGGGAGGAGGGGGAGGGAGGAGGGGGGAGGGGAAGATGAATAGTAAGTGAAGCACGGGGGAGGAAGGGAGGGAGGGAGCGAAAGGAGCGCACAGTAATCCCAGTCCCATGGGCGGTGGGAGGGGAGGAGGGGGGGGAAGGGGGTGACACCGGCTCCACACCTTGCGCCACACCACAGTGGCAGTACAGGCCCTCACCGCAGCAGCCCCGCTAGGGTACCGGCACCCCGCAGCCCCCTCCACCGCGCCGGCTTCCACTCGCACCGACGTATGCCTCATGATGGAGTGTGTACCTGGCAGCCCACCCTTTCCCCCCCCCCCGCTCTCCCCCCTCCCCTCTTCCCTCCCCCCTCCCTCCGCTCCCCCCCCAGCCCGAGTCCTGCCCCATCACCTCCCTCGCCCTCTCCCCGGACGGCCGGCACCTGCTGGTGGCGCTGCAGACGGGCGAGGTGCACCGCTGGGCGCTAGGAGGGGCGGCGCAGCGCTTCGTGCCGGCACTGGACACGGGTGGGTGGGGTGGTGGCCTGGTGACCCATGGGTCACTGATGTCTTTTGCCCTCCTCTCCTTCGCCTTGCATGGTCCCAGTGTCCATTAACCTACAGTAAGCACGACAATGTGAACCTACCCCCTAGGCCCCGCCCTCTCCCCCCCATCGCTCTTCCCTAGCCTGAACCCCCATGGTATTCTTCTTTCGCACGCTCTCCCCCCCCCCCTGCCCCTCCCCGCCGCCCCCCCCGCTCCCAGGCCCCGACCCGCTTGACTCACTGCCCGCCGAGCCGGCCGCGGTGTACCGCTTCGGCGACGGCAAGCCGGGTCGCTTCGTGCTGCGGTGCGGGTTCGGGGGCAGCGAGGGGACGTTCGTGGTGCACGGAAGCGAGGACTGCATGGTAGGGGGGGGAGGGGTGGGCTGGGGAAGGGGGGCATTAAGGAGGAGTGAAAGGGGGGTCGGTGAAGGGGTTGAGAGCTGCCGTTCTCCAGGGGGTGCGGGTTGGGATGTGAGGAGCTAGGCTGTGGGCTGTGGGTTGTGGATGGTGGAGAAGATGGAAGGGACTTCTGTCTTTGCAGAAGCTGCCCTATTCCGCTATAACACGTGTGCCCTATTCCTTCCTGCTTGCCGGGGCGGCCCTCCCGCGCCCTACCCCCAGGTCCCCCTGCCGCCTCCTAACCCCATTGCTTTGCCCTAACCTGTGTTTTCCTGTGGTTCGGTACCTGGTCTTTGACCCCCCCCCCCCGCATGCGCTCACTGCATGAGTCGGGATTCGGGATTGTGATTGCGTTGTTGCATTTTTTTATAATTCCCCCCCCCGCCCCATAATTGGTAAGTTCGGTAAGTTTAGCTCGCATTGCTTTAACCACCTTTTCGGCTCGACTCACGGTTGATTCCACCAGGGGTTGTCAGCAACTTGTCTCATTATCATACCACACTTTGGAATTTCTTTTTTCCCCCCGCCCCCCCAGGTCTACCTGTGGCACCGGGACAGCGGCGAGCTGCTGCTCAAGCTGCCCGGCCACTCCGCCACCGTCAACGCAGTGGCCTGGAACCCCGCCTACCCCTTCATGATGGCGTCAGCCGCGGACGACCGAACCATTCGGGTGTGGCTGGCGCCCGCCGCGCAGCAGGGAGGGGGGGCGGGGGCGGGAGGGGCGGCGGGGGCGGGGGGAGGGGGGGGGCGGGCGCTGCCGCTGCTGCAGCCGGGGCTGGTAGGGGCAGGGGTGGGGGCGGGGGGAGTGGGAGGAAGAGGAGGAGGAGAAGGGGCGGGAGGGCTGATGGGGGTGGGGGGTGTGGCTGCGGCGCCGGCGGGCGCTAGTGGGGTATAAAAGGAAGGAAGTGCGAGGAGGGGAAGGAAAGGAAATGCCGGAGCGAAAGCAGCAGCAGCAGCAGCAGGGGCTATGTAGCGCACAGAGACAACAAGAGTGGAGGAGAAGAAGTGATGACGCCCGCCAAGGGGTCTGATGACCCATGGGTCACTGTCAACAATCCGCATGGTTTGTGCCCAGGATGTGGGGCTGGTTAAAGGAGGAGTCGCGGTGGGGTGCCGTTGTACGGCACACGCAGTGGTTGTCGGTTGTCGGTTGCTTCGGACAAGGAGCGGCTTAGGGGCGCGTCTTAGGACAAGGGGGGGGGGTGGCTACCCAGCCGGGCAGGTGTGCAGGTGTGTATGTATGCATGAGAGGGGGGTAGCCCCGCTGCCTGGTGTAGCAAAGCATAGCTGGTGAAGTTGCTTGCATGCAGGAGGATTTCTTTCCGCAGGTTATGCTGCCAATTTGAAGGGTCTTGCCAGCTGCCCGCTACAGGCGAGATTTTGTTGTTGTGTTGGCCGTTTCCGGGTATCCTGTTTTGTTGTCATCCCGCGCTGTGTACCATTACTTATGACCTGTGCGTCTCTCACACACTCTCAGTGTCGTCCAGCCCTTTACTTCCCGCGCTTTTTTGTCCCTTTTTAACGTCATTTCCGGAGTTAGGTAGCATGACGGCTGTATTTTAAGGCCGGGTTGAAGCAATTAAGACGCGGCATCCATTTGTATCATAGTGTGCGGTGTACAACCCGTTGTAACAATACAGATACAGAGTTGAGGCAGCAGCACAGTTGAATCCTGGCTGTCTGAGGAAACGACACGGCTTGTCAGGCTCGCGTAGGTGCAGCAGGATGCAGCAGGTGTAAAGCCTGAAAGCGGTTGGATCCGAAACCGCCGGAGGAAATCTGATAGCCCAAGGTTGACACGAGCCTACGCCAGCATGTTCCGATCTTCGGGGACGACATCCGTAAGCCAAGCACGCAGTTTGGCGCAAGTGTCAATCGCAAACCGGCCGTGTAGAACTCAATACAAACACATACTTCCGCAAACCAAAGAATCCGCAGTCCATATAGAACCCAAATCTGCACCGAATATTGTGAGGTGAGTAGTGTGAAGCAGACAGAGAGGAACTGTGAGCCATCATGGTAGCGACAAGCAGGCATGTGAAAGAGGAGGCCGCCCAGCGGCTTTTCGGACCCCACAGCTCCTACCAGGTGCGTATACGGTACTTTCCGATGGCTTGCGGGCTTTCCGAGAGCTTGCTCGCTTGCCTGTCGATAAAACAGAGACATCGCCGTTATACCGGTTGACGATTTCCGAGACGTTCGGTTTCCGAAATGTACGGGTAGCAGCAAGTCACCGCAGTCGCACCGTTGCCCCAGACTTCCGATGCTTTGCGTCCCCATGCTGACACATAGGAAAATCACAACTTCTGTAATGGATGAGCTCGCGTTTCGAATTGTGAACGCCGACTCACCGTTAGTCATGCCGTTAGCCATGCCGTTAGTCAGGCTCGCCCGCCACTGCGAAGCTCCGCCCCTCGAACGACCCCACACCTCCGCACCTCCGCACCCCGCACCCCGCACCCCCGCACCTGCCCCCGCACGCACGCATGTAGCTCCCCGCACCATGCCGTCCGGGAGCATGCAGTTCACCGCTGCTCGCATCCCTCTTCCCTATGCCACCGTACTTCCCTATGCCTGCCCCGGCCTATGGAATGTCCCATACCAAGATACCATGCAACGTGCCTCAGAAGTGTCCATACCGGTATGATTGCCTCCTGTGCACTTCCGACCGCTGACACATAATTTCATATGCGCCGATATACTGCCGTACATGTTCCTCCGTACCGCTGTGTGCTGCCGTGCAAAACACACACCCGTAGGAGCTGTCATGGGACGAGCGGCGGCTGCTGCTGGCCCACATGCGCTCCGGCGACGTCGGTGTCGGCGTGGTGGGCATCCGCAGCAACGGCGGCGGCAACGGCCACCGGGGCGTCGCCGTCGAGTCGCATGTCGTACTGGCGCCGCCGCCGCCGCCGCCGCCGGCTAGGGCAGGGCCCCACGGCGAGCCCTCGCCGCTGGGGATTGAGGGCCGTACGTCGTACCACCGTCATGCGCCACCGCCGCCGCCGACGACGACGACAACGACACCAGCTGCCGCCGTTGCTGCTCCCAGCAGCACTGTTCGCCGGATTGGCTACGGCCACCACCACCGCGGCCGAGGTGATGACGCAGCGGAGGCGCCGCACCACATCCGCTCGCATGTGCACGGCGGCGGCGGCGGCGGAGGCGGCGTCTCAGCAGGACCGGTCGGCAACGGACCCTTTGAGCGCGTCCCCGCGGCTGGCGAGCCCGCGCCGCCTGCCGCTGCTGGCGGTTCGTCCCGCCGCCGTCACGGCGCCAGCCCCAGCCACGGTGCTGGCGGCGGCGGCAGTCCTACTAGTCGCCGCAGCGGTGGCGGAGGCGGCGGTGATGGTGACATTAATCCGGTCGTCACTTCCGGCGGAGGCTACGGCAACGGTGTGGAGGGTGCTCCTGAGACCACCCTGATCCTCCCCACTACTGCTGCTACTCCCGTCACCGCCGGCGTGGGTGGCGGCGGCGGTGCTGGCGTTACGCCTGGCGGCGGCGGCGGCGGCAAGTTTGGAGACCGCGGCGATGAGGAGGAGGGCGCGGTGGAGGGCAATGCGCAGGTGCTGGCGGCGGCGGCTCGGCTGGCCGGAGTCGCTCTGCGTGAGGGGGTGGCGAACGCAGCGGCGGCGGTCGCTGCTGCTGCTAGCGCCGGCGCCGGCGGCGGTGACGGCGAGGGCGATGAGGAGTCTGAGGAGGAGACTCATGAGGCTGCCGGTGCCGGCGGAAGCGGACACGGCGGTCGGCGCCGCCATACGGCACACAGGGGGCTCCGAGTGGGCCGCCGGCACCGGGTGCATGGGGGAGGCCACGGGGGTGGCGGGGGCGGCGGTGCTGGGGGCGAGGGAGGTCAGCGGGGCGAGTAGCGGGGCCGCAGGTGCTGGGTTGTGGCAGCAAGGGTGGCAAAGAGTGCGGGGTAGAAGTTACGGTTGAGTAGTTTTTCCCGTTGGGATGCGGTACACGGCTACACGCATTCAACTGCCTGTTTGCGTATAGGTCTGTGTTTGTGTCAAGTATGGGCGGGTGGGTGTTGCTATTGAGCATGTGTTGAATTGTGATGTTGAGGCCTCTACAAGGGCCGTACATCCGTACATGGACGTCATCCGCATTGCAGTACTAAGGCATCTGCATGCGCAAGGAGGTTAGGATACGGGTGTTTTACTTCGGCGGCAAGCGGTTGTGGCACATTGTCTATATATGGCTTTTGCGTTGTCCAAAAAAATGTACAGATTGTTGAAGGGCTATCGGTGGCGAGAGTGTAAGAAGTGTGAAAGAGGATGCGCGAAGGAGGGAGGAATTCACCAAGCGTAACACGGCTGGCCAACAAGCCACATGTGTCTTTGCCTACGGAAGGTAGGCGGCTGCGGAGGTATACGTGTTGCTGACATCGTGGTAGGATTGCCTAACGAGGCATGTACCGGCAGGCAGAGCTACTTGCTTCCTGACTTGTTACAATGTGAATAAATGTAAGTACCGTTCATTCCATAACTTCTTGACATTTACCTTGTGTAATCGTGAAGAAACACGCATTTGTCTATAGCGAGGACTCAGTAGTTTTGGCTCGGATGTAAAACACTCCACAGGACACGGCTATTATGACAACACACTCGACAATGCCGTGTGTGTGCCCACAACCGGCATCAACACGGGGGCACAGAATGTGCTAACCAGGTCAAGGATAGACAAGCGCATGCATTCTCGTACGCGCTAACCACACGTGATTCCTTCCACAAGGTCCCAAACCAAACAGCCCAGGGCTGGGCCCTATTCCAGGCCCCCCCCTCCGCATGTATAGTCTACAATCCACACCCCTTTCACTTGCAGCAGCATGCTAGGCGAATCGCTTTGCAGCGTCGCAGCCTCTTTCTTGCGGTATTTAGTTCAGCCGAACCAGAGTGGCAGCAGCAGCCGTTGAGCTGCGGCACGTGTCACACAGTGATATGATATGATTGTGAAAGTTAACCCTACACGCAGCATGCACGACATACGGGCAAGACGCGTATGGTATGTCGTATCCAGTGCAACAACACAAAAGCCGGACAAGACAAAGGGTTTGAACGATGTTAACGGACACAATGGTGGTGAAAATGCAGACACATGTACGACAGCTTCCTACCAACATGCAACCTAACGCGCACATGAACACGTTCCCCGTCTTATGGGCTGCGTGGTGTTACGCAGACCACTAAAGCACCAAAGCATGCCCCTTGCCTGACCCCGCCACCCTACGTCCTGCACTGCCCCTCCGTACACCGATTTGCATCTAGAACTCATACTAAGCGGCTCGCGCCGTTTATTGTTATAAAAGACATATACCTTTGTGATACGCGATACCTAGTGAACAGGCGTTGACTCAAAGATGTATAAAGGTGTGACGCGCGGCTCAAAAGCGAATACAGCTACCCCGTTGGCTCAAACTCAAAAAGGAAGGACACCCCTGCTCAAAGGAAGGACAAACGTCGTCCTCTAAACGTTTTAAACGGACCCTAAAGCACCATAAACAGCGGAGCCCTATTCCGTCTATAGCTCGCATCGCACCCTGCATTCACACCACCCCTCATACCAGCATAATCCCCAAACCCCAATCCGATTATAGCACATCCCAGAACCATACGCACCCTCCATACTCAAGACAGTAAAAAGAACATCGTTTACCGAATCCTATCGGCAAAAAC